TGAAATAATAACAACAATAATAATAATAGTATATATATATGATAAAACTATTATATCTATATAATATAATATGATATAATACAATAACAACAGTTATAATAATAAAAAAAAAAATAATATATGATATAAATTTTATATATATATATAATATAATATAATACAGTATAATTTATTATTTTATTTAATATAATAATGTGTAATATAATATAATATAATATAATATACAAATATAATATATTATACAAATATTATATCTTTATCACATAATATTAGTATTTACCTTCCTGATGAACTCATTTTACTACAATAAGACAACAGAGTGAATTTGATATAAATGGGTTAAATTGAACAGTCCTCAAGTGTCTGTGTGTGTAACAGAGAGAGGTCTCAGCTGACCAATGATATCATCTGTTAGTCTCCCTCTCTCTCTCTCTCTCTCTCTCTCTATCAGTATATATAATCTGGTCCTGTCAGGACGTCAGCGGTCGGCCTGCAGGCTGAGACACGTTCATCAGAGCTGCAGACGCTCTGATCTGTTCTTATGAACCGTGACTCACTGCCTGGACTCACTTTGACTCAGAGTTAATAAAGTGAATCAATATACAGTGGGAATGTAAGGTAGAGTACCAGAGCTGGTTAGTCAGTCAGAGACAAAGACGCTGTTTTTCTCCGACACTGAGTCATTTCACTTCCAGTCAAGAAAGACTTTGATTCTCTGTGGTCGTCATTACTCTGCCCACTGATACACTGAGAGTCTCCGATCACTTCATATGAGAGGATCCAACAGCAGAACGAAACTCTGACATACTCACTCTGATTCTGACGGGCGGGGAAAATATAAATATAATCAAACAAAAACATACGTCAAATAAAAAAGTGCATCAAACCAGAAACATGAACTTCATAAAGACACACGTGTGTAACAGTGCAGCCATGCTGCAAACAAACCAGGACTGAGAGGACGATATTAGAGTAATGATGGATGAGGGGCGTAAGATGCAAAAACCAGAATCAAGTGTTAACATGCTAAAGGTAAACATGAGTGTAAACTTGACTGTAAAGATCACATGAGTGTAAAGGTGCACGTTTGCCGAGGGCTTGTTCATTTGCAGAGCTGGTGTGATTGCATACAGCTCTGCTGCAGGACATTTGCATAAACAGACATTTTTATTCATGCACTGTTGCACAGGGAGAGCACACACACACACACACACACACACACACACACACACACACACACGACCTTTAAATGAATCAGATACAGAAATATCCGATCAGGTAGTTTTTCGGTGGACCTGAGGTTCTCACGTCTCAGAGTCAGGGTCAGTTTTTTTCTTCTTCTGTTTCAGAAACACTAAAAAGTTTTATTCTCATATTTTTATTTGAGTGTTTCTGAGTTTCACTGCAGAGTAAAAGAGTGAAACTCAGAGAGGAGCTTTTCTCCACAGTCAGGTTTTAAATATTTGATATCAGGAACGATGTTTGGGTCTGTGTGCCCCTCCAGGGGAACCTCGGGGTTCAGTAGTAGGTTTCTGTCCCGTTTGGAGACTCAGAGTAGAAGAGCTTCACCTCATTGTTTGAAGTCAGAAGAAGAAATATGGAGCAGAGCTCCTGGTTTCATCCTCTCAACACATCAACAGAAACTGAACCAGAGGAGATGTTCAGATCCTGGTCTGGACTTCAGATCCAGACTGACAGTCGGATCATCAGCTGTGAGCGAAGGTCTCATTCAGAGTCTGAGAAACTACGAGACTGAAGACGATCAGGAAACAGACCATCTTTATCAATAAACCAGGGAGTAACTGAGTCTGTGCTCCTCTCTCCTCCCTCCTCACCTCCTCCACCCTCACCTCCTCCTCCACCCTCACCTCCTCCCTCCTCACCTCCTCCATCCTCACCTCCTCTACCCTCATCTCCTCCATCCTCACCTCCCTCTATTTACCATCAGACTTTTTGTTGACTTGGCAAAGACGTGACATCTGTTTACGTCTCTCTACGGCGAGTTCTGCTCACTAAAGCTAATGTGCTTATGATTCTGGGGGGGGGGGGGGGGGGTTACTGCTCCTCGTAGAGCGCTCGCCGCCGCCACTTCTGCCGAGATATGACTGTATAGACATCTGCAATCAGCGCTCAAAGCCTCCACAAATGTCATCATCAGACTGAAGTGGGAATGAGGAGACGGGCGACTTCAGGGCAGACGAGAAATAATGGAGAATGGATAATGGAGAGTCAGAGGATAAAAACAGACGACAGGGAGAGAGAGAGAGAGAGAGAGAGAGAGAGAGAGAGAGAGAGAGCGAGAGTCAGAGCGATGAGACCTGAGGAGAGCAGGCGGGTATGAGGTTTGAGACTGCTACTATAAAAACAGGCGGTCAAAAACAGACAATAAAAAAAACAAACTTTTTTACATCAGATTTGTCCGGTTCAGAGATGGTTAAACGAGCGATCAGAGAAATGGGAGGGGTTATCAGAGGTCAGAGGTCACAGCTCCTTGGTTTGTTTTGGCCTGTTTCTCAGGTTACCATGACGAGACGCCGCGGCGAGATCTGACACAAACAAAATCTTCAGGTTTTAAAAAAAAATCAATAAATAAAAATAAAAAATCTCATTTTCAGATCAAAACAGTCGACCTCTGTCTCTCTCTCTCTCTCTCTCTCTCTCTCTCTCTCTCTGTCCTTCTCCTCCGTCTTTAACGCGGCGCTCTACCTTCAGGCTCGCCCACAGAGTTACCAAACATCGGCGGATGTAATTAGGTGTGGAGAATATTTATGACTCACACAGAAACAGTCGGGAGCGAACGCCGGCGAACGCCAGGAAACACAAACACGAGTCTTTAGTCGTTTAATATTCCGGGGGAAGACGAGTTCATGGGGTGTAACATCCACGAGTAACCTCGTTATGTACGTCCCAATGAGCCGCCGCGTCACTCCGGCGCCAAGTGAGCCACGAAACAAAAAGTCTGTTTTTAAAATCTATTCCCGTCTCAAGTCTTCATCCTGGTTCTGGTTCTGGGGACTGGGAGTCTGTCCCGGTGTGCAGAGGAGAAGGTGAGCAGCAGAGGGACGAGTGTTCAGGTTATCAGAGCGAAGAGAAACTTTTCAAAACATTAAAAACACAGAAACACTGAAGTGAAGACGGCAGGAGAGCTGAACCATCTCTGTGTCTTTAAAATCATGTCTGAAGATCTGAGAAGTTAAAAAAAACTGAGCTGTTGAGGCAGATTTGAAAAACGCGTCCCACCCCCTACAAACAAACCCCTCCCCTCTGTGCTCCACCATAACTCCGCCCCCTGAACCTGTATCGCCCTCCCCACGACACGCCCCCTCTGGCAGAAGATCCTACGCTAGCTTCAAACAGGATCCATCATGTCGGATTGTTAGTGACTAGCGGCAGTAAACGCCAGCTCTGACAGCGAGCGCCGTCTGCAGCTACCGTGTTGACATGTCAGAGACTAATCAGAGTTATTTATGTAACATGAGCCACGATAAAAACTCTGCTGTCACATGTCCTCTTTGACTCCGCCCCTTTCATCACAGCTCCTGTCGCTAAGCTGCTACGCTACTTTTAGCCGCTCAGAGGTCCGAGGAGGGCCGGGAGAGTGGGAGGGGACGAGTCGGAACTACGGGAGAGGGGTGTGTCCAATACAGCGAGGTGATTGGATGGAGAGACGGAGCAGGAGATTGACCAATAGGAGCTGTCTGGGAAGCAATTATTTTTTGTAGGATGTTGGGGGAAGGTCCCGCCCTCCTTCGCCTCTGATTGGCTAGAAGTGCTGGGCTCTGATTGGTTGTTCCTTATGGCTGTGAAACATCATCGTCTGTCGGGTTCGGAGATTCAGAATTGTGATAATTTTCTGTTGGATGTTCAGAGTCGACAGCCCATGTTTGGCTTAAGTGTGTGATGACGTTTCCAGCTTTTTTAGCCAATCAGAAACGAAGGAGGCGGGACTATCTTTTTTCTCTTCACTTTGTGGCACTATAGGACCATGATCGCCATGGAAACGAGGATCATAATAATTAACAATCTCTACAATCATCAACCATGACTTTAAAAGAGATCTGGATCTGATCGTGGGGCCGCTCATTTCTGCTGATTCATCATTTTCCGACTTTCATCACCTAATGCAACCGCTACACACACACACACACACACACACACACACACACACACAGACACACACACACACACACACACACACACACACACACACACACACAGACCCGTGTCTCCCGCAGAGCGCTGAGGAGCGCTCTCACTCTGCTCCTTCCTGCAGAATCATATCTCCATCTGACCCTCCTCTATCTCTCTTATTTTTTATTCATCCTGCTCGTCTGTGATCAGGACGTGTCGGCGCCTCCCGCTCTGACAGATTTGAGCCGTGACAGCGAGCGTAGAGACCAGAGGAGAACTGATGAGCATAGATAGTGGCAAATAGATTCTGCTTTCATCCAGAGTGGGGCTTCACTGACGGCCTGTATGTGTGTGTGAGGGAATGTTCAATCTGCACTGAAGACATGTGTTTATGTGTGTGTGTGTGTGTGTGTGTGTGTGTGTGTGTGTGTGTGTGTGCGTGCGTGTGTGTGTGTGTGTGCGTGTGTGTGTGTGTGTGTGATATGTGATTCTGAGTGTTAGTCAGAGTTCATGTTAGCAAACATGAATCTATTACAGTCTCTGAAATGGAAAACCTCCAGGACATTCTGGCTGCAGGAAAATCAATCGACTCGATCAGCTGTAAGCGAGAGTAAATGATGAGGCACCAGGACACACACACAACACACAAACACACAACAAACCGCACATTTTGGATCAAGCATTATCACCTCGACTGGACCTGAAGAAAAATCAGAGTCTTTATTCAACCGGGGAGAAAAAGGGGAACACTGACAGAGATCCTGTCCTCATCCTCGTCATCACACACAGGGAATTATTGACGTGAACGTGTCCTCCTCCCCAACACTAGGGGGCGATATGGGTCTTTTCAGCAGGTCGGTGTCAGACGTCAGAAGTGTCTACAACTGCTGCTGGGCATTTTGGAGAAACAAGAAGATGGAGCATCGTACAGCGTTGTTTTTGTCCGACATGATGGACACGCTACTTTTTCTAAAGAGGAGACCAACGCTACTCCTCTACTCTGGGGGCGTGGGATACTACCCTGAGATACTACTGAGTGTCAAGGTTTCCATGGCAACACACAGTGTCCAGACAAGTCATGTTACAGAGATCAGATCATTTGTGCACAAAGAAACATCCGACATCAGCCAACGGATGTTAAAACCACGCAGAGAAGATGTGTGAGTCGGCTCGTTTGAGGTCATGTGACGCTGACATGTCTGTAACATGAGTCTAAAGTCATCGACGGCGTTTTATTATCATGTCGTTCTAACAGTGAAGAGTCTGAAACCACAAACAGGATCATCTTGAGGATGAGTTCAGGTCCAGATGAGGAAAGTCTGAGTTCACTTACAGACTCAGGTGTTCAGAGGAGACGTTCATTAAAAACCACTGGAGCCAAAATGACTCTTAAAGACTGTAATTCTTTAATCACTTCAAACATGATTGTTGATAACGACCTCTGAGAAGACTCGACTCAGTTTAGTCTCATAAAATAAAAAGTGAAGAGGATGACAGTAAAGACCTGTTGGTGAAGATCTCTCTCTCTCTCTCTCTCTCTCTCTCTCTCTCTCTCTCTCTCTCTCTCTCTCTCTGAAAGTTCACTGACCTCAATCACTGAGTTATCTGCTCCACGCTTCAGAGTTCACATCACCAAATCCTGTTTTCCCCGGGCCTGTGGGTGAGTGGGGTCAGAGGACAAAAATGAAAAAGAGACTCACTCTGCTCCTCTCTCCTCTTCCTCTCTCCTCCTGTCTCCTCCTCTCTCTCCTCCTCTCTGCTCCCACATCCTGTCCCACTGTTGACCAGAGTTAAATCGTTTCTTCCACGTGGTTATCGTTGCTGCTCTTCGCTCTCTACCTGAAACTCTCTGACCGTGGCGGCGTGCCCTCACAGGCCCCGCCCTCATGGTTAAAGCAGACTCTACGCTCACTCAGCACTGAATAGAATGTGCAGCAGTAGCGGCGGCGGCGGTGACCGTGGCGGTCAGAGCGAGGGCTTAGGTGTTTTGCTCTATTTAGCCCCGGACCTGGCGGCTCTTTTCTGTCACGCTCTGTCGCGTCACTTCTTCTTCCTGTGAGGCGTCCAGAAAATAGATATGATGTCATGCATGAACAGCTGCAGATGACGGCGTCCAGGATTCACACAGACACGGACGCAAAGAGGAGAGGAAGGAGGTCAGGCAGGACAAACGGACGGAGGAGAGGAGGAGAAGAGAGGAGAGGAGGAGAGGAGAGGAGGAGAGGAGAGGAGGAGAGGAGAGGAGGAGATCTTCTGCAGGCTGGAGATGAATAATAGATCAAACCTCTCTCTCTCTCTCTCTCTCTCTCTCTCTCTCTCTCTCTCTCCCTCCCTCCCTCCCTCCCTCCCTCCCTCTCTCTCTCCCTCTCTCTCTCTCTCTCTCTCTCTCTCTCTCTCTCTCTCTCTCTCTCTCCCTCGTTTTCTCTCTCCTCGCTCTAAAAGTCACAGACTGGATCTTTATAGTAACACCGAACATCTGAGCTGATCTGTGTCTGAGGAAAAAAAACACCATCAAAGATCATTCAGCACCTCCTCGCCTCAGCCCTCCCTCTCCTTCTCTTCCTCCTCCTCATTTATTTATTCATACCTCCCTCCGTTTGTCTGAGCGACCCGAGAAACGATCGCCGCTCAGGACGGAGAAACATTCACTCGCAGGTAAACGCAGGTGTTCGCTCAGAAACACTGAAACGTATCTGTGAGCACCTGTCAGGAGAGAGCGAGGAACACGGAGTTCAGCAGAGCTTAACAAACAGCTGACACACACACACACACACACACACGCACACACACACACACACACACACACACACACACACACACACACACACACACACACACACACACACACACACACACACACACACACACACACACGTGCAGCAGCTCTCTGAAGACTCTCATCTGTCGGCAGTTTTGTTTGTGTCATCTCTGAGCTCGGTGTGAAGTGGAGAGGAAAGAGTCCAAACCTCTCAGCACAGAACCGCTGGTCCTCCTGGGAGCGGGCCGGGACACAGGGAGAGGTTCTGATGGACAGAGAGAGAGAGAGAGAGAGAGAGAGAGAGAGAGAGAGGAGGAGCTGAGAGACAGACAGAGGAGGAGGATCAGGACGGAGACGGAGCGAGGAGAGTTTGATCCGTTTGTTTGTGATGAGCAGTTTCAGTCAGAGTCACACACACACACACACACACACACACACACACACACACACACACACACACACACACACACACACACACACACACACACACACACTCACACACACACACCACAGGGTTGGTAAAGTTGGCGTGTGAAAGCGATGCAGACGCTTGATTGACAGCTCCTTGAATTGACTTCTGTCATGAACATCACCGAGGGCGAGTTTGTGCAACAGCCAATAGATTTACGGCGTTAGAAACAGGCCGCAGAATCACACGCCGCAGAATCACACGCCGAGCCAATTTCAGAGACTGAGGCGACAAAGAAAATCAAACATGAACCTAAAAAAAACCAGAAAATGAAATGAGCAAAAACGACAACGCCGCCGCCGTGGTCAGGACACAGGAAAGAAACGTCCAAAATGACCTCCAATTACATCTGCCTCGTATGATAGAGGCGGAGCCACAGCTGAGTCCTCCGAGATCAGCTCGCTGTTGGCGGTACGATTCCAGGTCGCTGCACACTGAGCCGGGTTTTTACAGATGATAGAGTGGAGACTGAGATTACAGAGTCGACCATGATAATGGACTGAGATTATAGAGCAGACTAAGATTTGAGATTACAGAGTGGACTGAGATTACAGAGTGGACTATGATAACGGACTAAGATTACAGAGCGTACTTAGATTAAAGAGTGTACTGAGATAACAGAGTGGTCTGAGATTACATAGTTGACCATGATAACGGACTGAGATTATAGAGCGGACTATGATAACAGACTAAAATTACAGAGTGGACTGAGATTACAGAGCGGCCTAAGATTACACAGTGGACTGAAATTATAGATCGGACTTAGATTACAGAGTGGATTGAACTAACAGAGTGGACAAAGATTACAGAGTGGGCTGAGATTACAGAGTGGACAGATTACAGAGTGGACTATGATAATGGACTGAGATAACAGAGTAGTGTTAGATCACTGAGTAGACTAAGATTACAGAGCGGACTGAGATTACAGAGTTGATTCAACCTCAGATGTGTTTAAAGAGTCAGGATTACTGAGAACTTCCTGCTCCTCTAACTCCTCCCACTGCTGGTGTCAGACATCTAACCTCTGAGACGATCAGCCGTCTCCTCTTCCTCGCTGTAATCTACGGTGAATTACTGTAAACTCACTGTCCCTCATTTGAACCCCCTCCATCGTCTCTTAGTAACCCTCCTGTTGGGTCTTCCCTCCGTCCCTGAGGTCCGTCTTTCTGCAGACAGAGTAATGACGGGTAAATGAGTTGTTGACAGCCAGACTCCTCAGCTCCTGCCAAGATCATCATTCAGGTTCTGGCAGCTGCTGCATCAAACTTCAACATCCATTTAAGTCATTTCCTCTAATGAGACCGTCTCACCTCATCACCTGACAGTCCAGATCCACTAAGAGAGTCCTTAGGTTTAGATCCACGGGGTCATCCTTCCTTCCTTCCTTCCATCCTTCCTTCCTTCCTTCCTTCCTTCCTCTCTTTGTTTTGAAGTCACATTGTTCAGGACACATTTGTGTTTCCTTACGTGAGTCAAAGTAACAGCAAAACACCGGGATGTCGAGCCTGCTGCGCTGTGTGCTGAAAAAAAGGATTTACTGCCTCGAAAGGAAGTGAGGGAGTAACCTCAGAGAGTCGACCGACCACGGCGTCCAAAGAGCTGGACTTTTAGAGACTAGTGGACCCCGAAGACCAGTTCCTGGAGACCTTACCCCCAATTTTCACGGCATTCCGATCTGTGCTGAATTTATCCGCCATGCTCCGGCGTCCAGAAAAAATAGAACTCTTGTGATCAGTTGAGGAGTCCGGCGATCCGCAGAGGAACAGAAAGAAGTCGGTGTAAATTGACACGTTAACTTGAATGGTTACGATCAGCTACGATCGGAGGATACGACCTTTTGGGAGACATCCCGGATGCGGCGGAATTTGAGGGTTAGTGGACCCTCTACTCTTTAAATCTTTACCTGTTGAAAGGACAACTGGACTTACTTGAGACATTTCACCTAAGGCGAAACGTCTCAAGTAAGTCCAGTTGTCCTTTCAATGCGTTGATTCCCGCTCCAGAGTCCTGTCTGTTTTTAATCCCCTGAAGATCAGGACCATCCAGGTTTGGTTTTGGTCCCTGTCCCACTTTATCACATCGATTTCTCCGTGTCTTCTCTTTTAGTCAAGGATCATTTTTCTCCGATGACTCTCCACGGCTCCGATAAATCTCTACCTCTGGTTTTTCGACAGCAGGTCCTTGTCCAATTGCATAATGAGCTGCTGCCTGAGTAAACTAGAGGCTAATTACACACAGACTGTGAGCACAAATTGAATGAAAGGCGTGGTGGAAATTAGCCCCGCACTTCCATGCGCATAAATCCGCCTGTCTCCGCTTTGACATGTCAGTTCGGCGGGTACGTGTAATTCTTCGGAGACACAATCGAGGCTGACAGCGTGATGAGCAGCCGGCAGCACAGAGGGGTTTCAGTAAACATGTCTACATTTGGACCGAGGATGGGCTCGGGTCCAAAAAAAAACGGTGTGGGTAATGAAAGAGGGATGGATGATTTCCAGATCCAGCACCTGTCAGAGTCAGTGATCGTTTGATTGGGTCTGGATTCAGGAGTTTCATCATCATCATCGTCGTTGTCGTCGGGGGGCTAATGAAGCAGGAGAGAAGCTCTGATTTGATGTGAATGCCAACAACATCCTTTTCTGTTTGCAGCGGCTTAATTAGGACTGCCTGCCTGTCATGAGTGCGTCACCATGGCAACAGCAGAGATCAACATGTGCACATACACTGAGTGATCCAGATCTGGATCTGGTACAGGATGGTGCTGGATGTGTGTTTATTTTTAGGTGTGTGTTTGTGAGAGTTTGGTTCTTGGATTAATGATTGATCGTTTTTTATTGATGTCACTGATCAGAATCTAAAACAGGAGGGTTGTCTCTTATTTAGGGGGTCAGGAACTGAACCTGGACTCCTGGATTATTTGTCTAATTATAAACTATCAGAGTTGCATCGGTGTTTTTCAGGATCCTTGTGAAGAAAATGACTTTTAAAAGTGACGTGATATCAGGTTTTTAGATGAAGTTAGATTTTGATGTCAGTTCCTGAGTCTCTGAAGTATCAGCTGATCCTGCTGATCATCTCTGGAGGGGGGGGGGGTCTAACTCGGTGTTACGGTGTGTTTGACCCTAAATTAATTTTACACAGAATATCCCTTTAATCATCTTTAAATGAAAAAACTTGGTTGAGAAGAAAAAAAAACACTCTTACTGCAGATCTCATGTGTGGTCAGGTTCTGGTTCTGGTTCTGGAGCGGATCTGGTGCTCAGGTTTTCTCAGCTCTGGTCTTGTCCTGGTCCGCCTGCAGTGAGAGGTAAACATGTGGATTTAAAGAGTTTGGACTGAATCCTAAAATCTGACCTCTGCAGTCAGAGGACGAGGATTTTCAGCTGCAGGTTTGTGTTTCAGTGAAAGTAGGACAGTCAGAAACCTGCAGCTCTGCTGGTCCCACCTGTTCACCTGTTCACCTCCTGGATCTGAACCGAACCTGCTGCGTGACCTGCTGGATCTCCCTCAGATTACAGATTACAGATTACAGTCCTTTGAAGGAGTTTGTTTCCTCAGTTATGACACCATAAAAGTTTAATGTGTGTATCAGACTGAAACACACTCCTGTTCCTGGTCCAGCAGCAGCAGAGAAGAAGAAGAAGAAGAAGAACTCTCCTGTCCCACATTTTCATCCTCACACATGGATGGATGTGAGTCACGCTAATTCCCTCTGAGACAGGTGTTCTGCATGTCCCACATATAAAGACCCTCATTATGTAATCATCTCCCTAAACACACACACACACACACACACACACACACACACACAGACACACACACACACGGACCTGCTGGGCCTCATGCATGTGAACCCTCTGGGTCCCACTAAGTGGAGCACCAAATGAGATCAGGTCTCACGGCGAGGAGATAAGACCTCCCAAAGAGGACCACAGAGTCTGGAACAGTGGGACAGGTCCAGGTACGAGGATCTGGACTGTGTGCAGACAGGAAACAAAGACGTCCCATCAGCACCTTCATCTGACTTTCAAAATAAGAGATTGAAAGTACCTTTATTATGTCTGGTCTTCATCTTCATGAACACGTCTGTAAGTTCATGATCTCTGTCGCTCTCCATCATCTCTGTAGTTCTGAGTTCTGGAGTCACAAACCTGATCCAGTACCAGGTGGTTCGTTTCTACCTGAGGGTCCATTAGAGGTCAAAGGAGAAGGTTCAGATCCAGAGAGTTCAACAGAGAGCCACGTGAAGCGGGCCAGGGTGCTGCTGTCGTAATTGGCTAATTTCAGCCTTAGTTAAACATGTTTATATTTTGCTCTTTGTTATTATATTTTATCTATTGTATTATATTTTTATTTATTTTACTATATTTTTACTCTTTTTACTCTTGGCTTGGAAACGGACCCAGGATTAAACATCAGGGAGTGTAATCATGTTAATATTCCATTCACGTTTAATTTTCTAAAGTTGTAAACATAAAATAATACAAGGTCACTAAATTGTCTGTTTGGGCCTCGTGGTTAAAAATAACCGGCTCTTTTATTCCCATAATTCCTGCCGACAGTCTGAACCTTTTAACCCGTTAACAAGCTCACTAAATTAAAGTCTCGTTAGGAGGACCAAAGCAGAGCAGATATCGCTCACTGCAGCCAACAAGTGAACAGAGTAACACCAAACCCATCAAGGATGGAGGCGCGCTGCTCCATGAGTAAAAGGGGAAAAAGCACGAGTTAGTCTACGTTCAGACTGCAGGTCAGTTCTGATGTTTTAACCATCTGTGACTCATATCTGATGTTTTCATCTAAGTGTGAACAGGTCAGTTCTGATTGGTTCTGATCCGACCCAGGCCTCTTCTGTATGTGGATATAAATCAGATATGTATCTGATGTGACTGCAGTGTGGACGCTCAGGTCGCGTTCATCCGACCTTTACGTCATCAATATGAGACAAACGTCACCATTGTTCAACACAAACAGGCCAACAAGTCTTCCAATCCAGTACTATCTAACAGGTCGCTTTTTTCATGCACTGAAATACGACCCAGTGGAGCGTTTACTAACGAGTACCTCCGCCAATCAACAGACGTATCACACGGGCCTTTTGTAAGACTCATGGAGAAATATAAATGATAAATACGACTCTTACTGATCACCAACTTCAGTTTTACTCTGCTGCAGCTCTGTCCCCGTGTTCAGGGTCCAGCTCTGAGGACCTGTTGAGTCTCGCTCCGATGACAGCCGACAGGTGACCCACCAAGAGCCTCAGGTCATCAGATCCTCACTATTATGTCCTACTGCACACATGCTGGAGGTATGACAATCTTCTTAAGTGGATCATAAAGAGGATGCTCCTGGTTCTGGTCCTGGTCCCCTGCTGCTGCCCCCACAGGAGAGAGGACCAGAATAGACCGGAATGAGTTCAGCTCTCCGTCTGAATCTGGAGCAGGAGGAAGACGTGTGTCCCTGTTCCTGAGAGGAAGCAGGGGTGTCTTTATCCTGTATTTATATGACGATGATGATGATGATGATGATGATGAGGCGGCGGCAGCTGTGGGATTATGGGGGATTATTAAACGTACACAGACTGGCTGATGTAGAAGATCTCAGGAACAAAGCTCAGGTCTCAGATCGAACGTCATGTTGTTGGTCTGCACAGATGGTACTGAGCAAACATACAGACGTGTGTGTGTGTGTGTGTGTGTGTGTGTGTGTGGTTGTGTGTGTGTGCGTGTCTGAAGACGTGCTGATGGAAGTCTTTACTGTTCGTGTGTTTCTGCTGAGCTGGCGCAGGACAATGTCGCCATGATGCAACAGGCAGCTAATCCTCTCCTTATGTAAACGCTTGACTGCGATTCAAACCACATGTAGACGAGATCTTAGAGAGCTTAGATGGTCTGTGAGGACACGCTGCAGAGAAACCCTCCCTGAGGTTAGACTGAGTCTTCACAGACTCATACCTGAACCAGGTGAGAGACGGAGTTTCTCTAGTTATACCAACTGTAGTAACGACCGCAGGATAGAAATACACAGCGGTCTGAGGAGCCATAAACAAACCTCAACCAAAACGCCACTCTATAGCCACAAATAATGCTCAGAACAGCACCTAACTTCATCAACAGGACATATAGGGTCACAGACATAGTACTATATTCAGAGTTGTTCTAACTCCTAAGAAAACATAAACTTAAGCGGGGGCGTTTCTCCACCTCTGTAGTCTATAAGCTGGGCCAATAAACTTCTACTGTAGTAAAATGAAAAGGTAAAGGTGTTTTTATTAAACCGATTTATCAATAAAATGATGATTTTGTTAACAGGTATGGATTTATTTGCTGTCGAGTTAATATATTTGAACTAGAGCACAGTAAAGTTAAATTAGCTAATTTTCCAATGAGATTCTGTTACTAAATGGAACTACACCATGATCTACTGAGGTTAGTGCATAAAGGGTCCCCGCCATAGTACTAGACACCAAACATCTTTTTAACTTTGACTCATTTCTTTAGCAAAGAGACTAAACACAACTCACCTACTCTCTTCCAGCAGACGCTTGTTTGTAGAGAGACCTCATGCCAGTCTATTACGGACTACAGCGGGGTGACGCAGCTCAAGGAAGAACATTTATGATCATTTCTTCATGGAAATACAATCAGACCGAGACGCTAAGGCAGAAGAACTACCGCGTCTGTAAAATTATAAACATGATGATTATTACTTCAAGGAAATGATAAAGAAATACTATGACACATACAACATATCGAGGTGGTTAGAGGGAACACCAGCTGAGAGGACAAAAAGAGAAAACACACCTGGGAGGGAGATGAGATCTATACCTGATCAAATATCGGTGTTTTATGTTAATGTTGTTTTAAGATGACATGCTCTGTGACCCGGTTAACCCTTTCCTCTGTTTTTTTTTCTGCAGATTCTCGTTTATTCCATCTCCACTCCGTCTATCTGGGTCACTGGCAGCAGAACTGAAGGAGGGACTATGAAGACCAGCTGTGCCCCCTCACACTCATGTCCTCTGAGATATGAGATGACACGGCTCCCCTGCTGATCACCACCATGACCATAACGCTGTGAAGTCCCTTCTTCAGCACCCAACCCAGACCCCGATCCTCTTTGGAAATCCTTCCTCTCTCCTGCTCACACGTCCTCTGATCCCGCCTGTCCCCTCAATAATTACCCCCCTCCCTTCTTTATCTGAACCAGCATCATGCAGGGTGCTTCTGCTTCTTCTTCCACCCTCTTCCTCCTCCTTCTTCCCTCCCTCCTCCTCCTCTCACACTTCCCCAATATGGCCAGTGGGGACTGCTGGTTGATTGAAGGGGACAAGGGCTACGTGTGGTTGGCGATCTGCAGTCAGAACCAGCCCCCGTACGAGACCATCCCCCAGCACATCAACAACACGGTCCATGACCTGAGACTGAATGAGAATAAGCTGAAAGCGGTTCTGTTCAGCTCCATGTACCGCTTCACCAACCTGACCGACCTCAACCTGACCAAGAACGAGATCAGCTACATCGAGGACGGCGCCTTCGCAGGACAGGCCAACCTACAGGTAGACCCAGATACGTGCTGAGAATATATCGATTATTGATTATTATTGATTATTGATGATTGATTATTATTATTATTATTATTGTAGACTATCTAGTATTGATAATTAATATATCATATCAATATTATTATATTACATCAATATAATTATGATATTAATATTACAGAATATATCTATTATTGGTTGTAGAAATAACAGAATAATTAAAAAAATACTACTATGAATTAAATAATATATTTTTATCATTTTTATTATTATTATTATAATTATTATTATTGTCATTATTATTGTTATTTTAAACTGTATCTATTATTGAAAATTTTATTATATTATTAGATTTATTATTATTATAGACTGTATCTAATATTGATGATTATATTTTATCAATATTATTATATTATAGACTGTATTAATGATTGATTATTCTATTACACCAATATAAATGTGTTATTAATATTACAGACTTTATCCATTATTGGTTGATAATAATAATAACAACAATAATAACAATAATAATAATAATTATTATTATTAGTATTATTATTATTTTAGACTATATCTATTATTGTGTCAAACCCATGAAACTCATGAAATATCCTAGTTCACCACTTCACTGATGACTCCTCTCATGAGGCCGAAGCTGTGTAAAAAGTAACACCCAAACTTTGTACCAGTGGAAAAGCAGCTAAAATACAGAGTTTAAGGCAGTGAGAGAATTGAGCTGAAATCAGGGTTTTCAAGGACACCAGTAAAAAATAAATAAGCCGTCCTCTGTCTGTCCCAGTAAAGTAGGTCTATTATATTATAGGTCTATGATAAAACAAAGGAAACTGTTCTAACTCCGTTTGTGTTGCCCTCAGGTTCTTCAGCTGGGCTACAACAAGCTGACAAACCTAACTGAGGGGATGATGAGAGGACTCGGCCGTATGCAGTGTCTCTTCCTCCAGCACAACCTTATAGAGGTTATTGCCAGCAATGCATTCTGGGAGTGCCCCAGCCTCAGCAGCATTGACCTGTCATCCAACAAACTCGTCCGCATCGATCCGACCACGTTCACAGTTCTCAACCGGCTGATGGTGTGTGAACTGGCGGCAAACCCGTTCCACTGCGGCTGCGACCTTTACAGCTTCCTGGTCTGGTTAGAGTCCTTCAACAACGTCACACACACCTACGACCGGCTCCAGTGTGAAACCCCTCGGGAGATGACCGGTTACCCGTTACTTACAGCTACTGGTCATTCTGGGCGAAATGCAAAAAACATTTTGTTCCATCACTGCCGAGACGGAGTCATGATTCCAGGGATGACTTCTCTCCCACCAGATCTCGATGGTCCTTCTGGGATTGGGCCAGACATATTTGGTGGTGTGGGGCCGTACCACCAGGCCACCACCTCCTCCTCGTCCACTGAAAACACCTACATCCCCAGCATCAAGCTCCATCATGTCTCTTTGTCATCGGCCTCGCTGCTGGTGCAGATCCCTCGGCCCTACAGTAAAATGTATATTCTGACCCAGTACAACTACACGTATGTGTCTGACGTCATGAATCTGAAGAACAAGAAGGAGATGATCACTCTCAACAAGCTCAAGCCACACACCAACTACACCTTCTGTGTTGCATCAATCCGCAACTCCCAACGGTACAACCACACCTGCCTGACCTTTGCCACTCGGGCCCAGAATCAAGATGACGCACTCCCCACATCGTCCACAACCACTCACTACATCATGACCATTGTCGGCTGCCTGTTTGGCATGCTCATCGTTTTAGGCTTTGTCTACTATTGTCTACGAAAGAAGCGGATGCATGATGAGAAGAAGAAGTCCATATGTGTCAAGAAGACTATTCTGGAAATGCGCTACGGACCAGAGGTGGCCGCAGCAGTGGCAAATGACCCAGCAGCAGTTCACAAGCTTCAGGAGCAGTCCAGAGAACACCATCAGTATCAGCACCACCATGGAGGCAAACTCCCCATGTCCACATCCACCAGCTCGGGGATGCTTCACTCAGCAAACACCAGTTCCTCCAGACTGTCAACCATCCCACAGGTGGAGAAGATGGCCACGGCCTTTTCAGAGGCCATGGCCACGACCAAAGGGAATTACATGGATATCAGGACTGGAGGAGCAGGGATGGAGAGGATGGGGGATGGTGGGCATATGGGGATGAGGGGGGTGGATTTGAGGGATGATAATGGCAGTGATCTTGGGGACGACTCAGATGATGATGGACACGGCTCTGCTTCAGAGATTTCCACCATCGCCATGGAGGTGGACAAGGTAAACCAGATCATCAACAACTGCATAGATGCTCTAAAACTGGACGCAGCAGCAGTTGCTGCTTCAGGGGCCTCTAATAACCCAACAGCCTCATCCAACCCCACCTCCCCTCCCCCCACCAGCACGTCCTCCCTCACTCGTGGCCTAATCCCACTGTCCCAAGGGTTGACGGACACGTGCCAGGGCATTACTCCAAACAAAATACCCCCTCCACCTCCGCTCCCTGCCTTGAACGCCCCTCTATCTGAGCGCCCAGGGATCACTGGGGGTGGCTACGTTGTCACTCCCCCGTACCGGCCCCCTCCACCAGCCAATGCTGTTCGTCCTATTCAGAGGCAAATGAGCGCAGATGCTGCAGTGGTTATCGTAAATGCGGTGAAAAAACAATGCAGCACCTCCTCTTGCAGCTCCATGGGTAGGGACAGGGAGCGTGGAGGAGCAAGGGTGTACAGCCTGGATGTCCCCGAGCCGAGGAGCCCAGATGGCTGTAATCAGCAGCAGCAGCAGTATCCAGACCGTGCCAGTCCCGTGGGCTGTGGGGAGCCCCTCGAGAGACTGCCTTTGGTTGGGAGTGGGAGCTGTGGTGGAGGGGGTGGTGGTTGCGACAGTGGTGGTGTTGGTGCCCAGCATCAGGACAACCAGAAGGCCCATCATTACCATCAACAACAACAAATGCAACAGCAGCAGCAGCAACAGCTCGATGTGCAGCAGGACTACCACTGCTCGGAGCACCGCCACTCTGTCCCAGCTCTCTACTATGAAGGCTCCCACCAGGGCTCCCCAGCCCAGAGGGTTTCCTTTCTGAAGCCCCTGACACGCTCCCGCAGGGATGCAGCATCGTACTCCCAGCTTTCGCCAGCTCGTCACCATTCCGGTTACTCGGGTTACTCCTCCAGCCCGGAGTACTCCTCGGAGAGCACTCTGCGGATCTGGGAGCGATTTCGTCCCTACAGAAAAGGCCAGCGGGATGAGTCCTGCTACGTGACGGCTGGAAACGCCCTCAGAAAAAAGGTGCAGTTTGCTAAAGGAGAGGACCTGCATGACATCCTTGATTACTGGAAGGGTGTGTCGGCACAGCAAAAGCTGTGACTAAGAGACTAAAGCAAAGCAGAGAGGGAAACCAGTCTGGATACTCCTCTTCTGATCGGCCTGCAGGCAGAAGAAGAACAGAGAAGGAAATGTCGGACAACATTTTGCCTTTGGATGATTTTTGGCATGCTAGGTGTATAGATTATTGTGCTGGGAGCAGGGACTGTGAAACGGTGTCTGGGATACATGAGAGTCATCATGGTGTTTATTTTACGCGTCACTGTAGCACCATCTCTGGATAATATCCATTTGGTGATTGTTGGTTTGATTTGAGCACAGGAAGTGAGTGCCAGCTGAGTGATCATAGTCGTGATCATCTGGACCGTCTTTACCAGTGCCATGTTTTCATCCGTGGGGAACCACAGAGGCTAGACCTGATTTTAGGCTGCTGTGGTCGGAGTCCTCACAGCCCAGTTTGTATTGGATGCTGTTTTATTTGACAGTGTCCATTTGAGTATGTAATGACCGTGACTGAATGGTGATGCTGTTCAGTTACTAGCGACAACATGTCAGTGGTGTAGTCTTGTTCTCGCCCTGTTCCCCTTTCATGAGATCCTTTCAGTCCAGCAGGTTAGACTGTCCTGCAGCAGGAGGACACCATGAAAGTAGAAGGAAACCTTATCCTGCAAACACACACACACTCAGGCATTCATTCCTGAACCACATCAGCATTAGTCTAAACAACGACCTGAACTTTGAGTGTATTCAGGGGGAGAACGACACACAAACATCATGAAGGAGAGGGAGGAGAAATAAGAGGCTGTTGAATATCAGTGAATCATGTGTCAGTTACAGGATCTGTTTGCATCTCTCAGTCTGTCCATCAGTCCTAACCCCGTCTCCGACATAACAAACCAGAGGACACACCTTCTCTCTGCTCTCTGGATTACTGTTGTCCATCGATAACATCGCTGATGGTAGTGACAGGCATGCTCCCCTTCGCTCTCCGCCTCATGGTTCTGTGTGTTGCTGTGTGGTGAACCGTGGTCAGTGGCTGTCGGCATGCCGTGTCAGATGACGTTGTTCTGTGCCCAAACTGACTCCAGGATGTCTGAGTCTAATCAATACTAGATAATAATAATAATAATAACGGCATGATTATTGTTCAGATATAAACTTTGTACTTTCCCAGACATAAGTCACATGACTGACGCTCACACAGCCATGATGTTATCTCCAATCATGTTTCGTGTTTCCCATCAATTCGGCCTTTTAGGAGAGTTTACGAACTCTGACAGCTGACATCTTTCCCTCCCAGAGCGCTGCTTTATCGCTGAGTCGTCACATTACCAGCTAACACACACGATCTGAGACACGGCGTCCTAAAAACTGAACCGGCTCTCCACAGTTTGTTCAGAGACCCCGTTAAAATGGCAGCTTTGATTTCAGCAGACATTTTTATCTCTGTTTGGCTCACCTCCCACCTTCAGCGCTCTAATGGGACACTGCTTTGGCATTTGAGTCCTGAACTCCCCGTTTTATTCAATCAGAAAAGTCATAAATCGCCTTTTTGCAGAGAGAGCTTAAGTCTCAGCAGCACACACAATCACCGCTTTCCTCCTTTTAGTTCACTCCTCTGAGCAGATGCAGGAAATGTGAGCGGACGACAGTTTCTCCTTATCGGTCGAAACTTCAGTTAACCCTTTTCCACCAAAGTCAACCTGCTGCTGGTTCTGGTTCTGGTTTGGAGTTAGAGGACCTTAAAAAACCCTCAAAGTACAGTCTGAATGCAGCAGCTGGTCCCTGACCTTGTCTTCAGAGAAACCCGTGACGTGGTCTTCTCTGGGAATCAGGACTGACCAGTTATTCTGGATTCTTGTTGATCTGATTCCTCCAAATTTTCAATTTCTGGGAATTTTCTGCCTAAAAGTCGACCTCGCTGCTCAGGCGTTCAGATCTTGACGGCTCAGCTGATCGCAGATATCCCCTCTGAAATCAAAGATGGCGGCCTCAGAAAGTTCTCTTTGATCACCATGGGACCACCAAAGTCCTCATGTTAACGGCTCCACCTTGTCTAGCAGAGGGAACTTGGTTCTCCTCTGAGGTACAGTAGAGTCATGGGGGGTTCAGACACAAAGGTTCCCCTGATCCAAACCAGCCCAAGAACAGACTTTGTGGAAAAGGGGTCTCATCGGTTTTTCATCAAGTATCCATCTCTGAATCGTCCCCCTTATTTGAGAGCTCAGAGTCAGGGTCAAAGGTCTGACTCCCAGACCTCCTGCTGACCTCGGGTAACAGAGGAGACACGATGAAGATGATCAGTCCTTCAGCTGATCTGCTTCATAAAACCTGATGATTGGTCTGTATGTGGATGATGCTTCAGGTCCACACAGATCCTGTTCAGATCTACATGTTCAGATGTTCTTCTAAATGCTCTTCTGCAGACGTGGATCGAGTCGGAGTCAATCTCCACAATAACAAAGCTTCTCAGAAAATAGTGCCAATCTTCCTGATGGTTTGAAGTGGAGGAACAAGAGGAACATGATGTTAGTCATCAGAAATAATGACCTGAGAGTCAAAATGCAAATTTAGACTTTTCACTCAGAGTTCAGAATAAAAGCTTTCTGACATGAGAGCTGCTGAAACTGACAACAGGAGACGAGATCCTGCAAATATGATCCGTCAGAAACCTCTAAAAAGTGAGGCTTAAAAAAAACCAGCATCACAGTGAAAACCCTGTCCCTGTCCCCGGTCTCTGCCCATCCCGGTCTCTGGGATATCAATGCTCCTTTGAGTCGCTCCGTCCTTGTTGTTTGTCTCGGCGCTGCAGGAAAGCCGAACGTGAGAAAGCCGTCTAATGTGCGATTAATGTTTAATCCTTCAGCCAGAGGCGGGCCTGGGTCACTTCTCTCTATCTCTGACATTTCACTTCCTCCCATGTTAATCCGCTCCCATGTGTTTAAGCCCGGTCCAATTAAACTACAGTCTAGTTTCCTAAATAATGAATGGAAGCCCAAAATAGGATGTGGGTTTATGTCTAATCAGCTTCAAATGACTAACAGAGTTAAACGCTTCCATTAGCAAAGACCAGAGTCTTCCCATGACACCGCGCTCTTCAGAAAACACGTGCCTGTCCTGGAAGAACCTTCAGCTGCAGACGAGAGACGAACCGTCATCATCATCTCTGTTTAGGTGGACTGATCCGTCCCAAACACAGACCAGAACCAGAACCAGACTGTTTAGGGGGGTCCGTTTAAACCTTTGCACGCTCAGAAACACTCGGACAGTCTGCAGACCCCCTCAGCTTCACAGATACTGAAGATGATCTGCCCCAGAACTCAGGTTATGATCACACAGGATAGTATTTGACAGGAAACCATGACCCCCAATTTCCACCTCCATCCTGATCGTCTCCTAAAAGGTCGTATCCTCCGATCGTAGCTGATCGTAACCATTCAAGTTAACGTGTCAATTTACACCGACTTCTTTCCGTTCCTCAGCTGATCACAAGAGTTTCCTTAGAAGTCAGATGTCAGAGCTGAACGTGTCGTCACACCTGAGTTCTCTCGATTACTGCTGACCGCAATCCGCCACAAAATTCGCATCACAAACGGATCCGGTAGGAATTGGTGGACGGCAAAAATCGCAGCCGTTCCAGATGTGGTGGAAATTCGGGGTGATATTAAGAAGTGGACAGAACCAGATAACAGAGAGCGGTGTAAATAAATGAGTCATCACATGACCAATAATGCGCCCGGCTCATCCAAACCATCAGAGAGAAGAAGAAGTTCAGGTTTTAATCATGTGTCCTTTTCAGTGATTTTATAACATCCTTCTCCGTCACCTCCTGACCACACGCAGGAGAAGAAAGTGTGAGTCAGGACGAGTGAGTCAGCGTCTGACTCAGCTAAACAGACTCTGGTTCTGAACGCAGGTAATGGGTTATGGGGGACATCTAAAGGACGAGGGGACCAGACGACGTGAAACCGTCTCATGAATCCGATGATCTGAGCGAACACTCGGCGCCGTCAGCTTCAGTCAGCCTGTAGCTCCGCGGCGCTCTGACTCAGGTGACGGCGGTGACAGGCAGGTATTAGCTCTGTGAGTGGGCTGTGATTCATTCATCGGCTGTCTTTCGACCTTTTGTTTAATCGTCTCTTAAGTCCATTAGCCGAGTGTGTGGGAGATTAGCCCGCGTGGATAATGTGCCAAATTTGATAAATGGAGAACTAAAGTGGGTCTCCCTCTGTGATAAGAATGATCTGCATGTCCTTTTTATACTTCTTTAATTGTATTTACCTCAGCCATGAAAAAGGAAGTCGTCAGCGGGAAGTGACACGGCCAGAAGGATTTCGTGGTCACTCCTCATACTTTATGAAGCAGCTGTGACAGCCAAGCACTGCCAACGCTGTCTGCTCAACTGCCAACCGCTCACCATGAAAACCAATGAACCCGTGTGTGTTAACGCTGAGCTGAGAGTTAGTCCAGACGGGCCAGAGCTCAGCTGATTTGGTTCCCGCCCACTCCTCCTCCTCCTCCTCCTCCTCCTCATGACGTCTCTGGTATCGTAGGGACCGTCTCTGAGACCTGACCCCGAGGTCTTTGCCGATCTTCTCCCTGTCTCTGCTCTTCACGTAAGCACACGAGGGGAGGTGTGATCTTCATGTATCTTCACCTCCATCCGAGCAGGTGAAGCAGATACGGTAACGCCCTCAAACCCTCGCCGCTCCTTCAGTGGGAGGAGTTTTCTCTTTCTTAAAGCGACAGTCACACAAAGGTTTCTGATTTCTTTTGTAAATAACGAGCAGAAGAGCGTTTGGAAATCCTGGCCGTGGGTCTCTCTCTCTCTCCTGATTGGATGCCGTTTCCATGGTAACAGTTTTTTGTACACGTTATGCATTAACTCTGAGAGGTTTTGGTTCCCAAAGACGGACAAAAGACTTGGAGGATCTGTGAAATATATATCTGTGAATTTTGTACACTAGATGAAAAAAAAAAAACTTGCTTCTCTGGATGTTTTATACTCGGCCTGATCTCTTGATATGTTTGTGTGTTTCTCTACTTTGAGTTTGTCTGTTTCTTTTGTTTGGGCTTTTATTTTGGCGGGGTGGGAGGGAGGGGTGGGTTTCTAATACTTGCAATGATATATGTTATAAAGGTTTAAGAAGAGAGAAAGTTTAACATAGTGTACTACATAAAGAAAAGTGGTTATATTTGCATGATTCCCTGTATTTTTTGAGAGACTCAAATATATTGTTGTGTACATGAGTGGACGTCAAACGGAAAACGAACTCTGTCGGGGCTGAAACACCGTTCTGTCCCGTATCTTTGGTTTGAGCGTTCAGGTTTGACTCTGTGACTCTGTTTTCTTAATGATCTTGAGTTTTTATTTTGGTCTCATGCTGCCTTTCCTTCGCCGCCCTTGTTGCTGATCTTTAACCACGAGCAGGTAAAACGGGGGGGGTGGGTGTTTACATCTCTCAGCTCCATCCTCCTCTGATGATCTCCCTCACACACACACTGTCACAGCAGGAGGTCCTACTGTCTCTGACTCCACATCTCCAGTTAAAGACGTCACCATGAGAGAGCAGGACTGTCCTGATCCATCAGTCTGAAGTTAGCGGTAAATCTCGGCGGCGTCCTCACGCTCGCTGTGAGTTTAATCAGATATTCTCATTCCTCGTCCTCGGCTCTGAGCGCCCGCTGCTCCTCTCGACCACGAGTTCCTGTAATCAGCTGTCCTTCCAGTCAGCTGTAAATCAGTCTAATGACACAGGTCCTTTAATATTCACTAACGCTGTAGCTGTGCACCAATCAGCATCGTGGTTTCCTTGAATAAAGATCGGATCACAGCACTGAAGTGGACACTCAAACGAACATGAGATAATTATGATGAAATAGATGAATATTTATAGTCGGGGATCATCGGATTATCATCAGTGTGGAGATTCAAATGAATGCATGTGAGCACAGAGAGAAACAAATTAGCTGTAATTGGTTCCACTGGACGGAGCCGAGCTCCAAATGAGGTCCAGGATGGAGAGCTTCTCGTTCGGCTCCAACAACAAACAACGTGTGAGCAACACCGACCGCAGCTGCAGACACACAACTGTGCTGACTGCGTTAGTGTGTGAGTGTGTGAGTGTGTGAGTGTAGGCAGGACTGACACCGAGACGTCACACTCAGAGCGTTTACAGTCACAGTTTCATCGTACTAAGTTCATAATTCGTTTTTTTTTTCGCTGAATCGGACGTCCAATCGTATTATCTGGGTGTTTTAATCAGAGTTCTCAAACTCCGATTATAGTCGGACTAAAGTGTTTATATGACCTTCAGTTGTCCGGTCTAAAGGTTCTTCCACAACGGGGCTGTTTATTTCGTGCGATTATTTCAATATCTTTTTCGAACCCGTATCCTGTCAATACAAGCGTTCACATCAGCAAAGTTTCGCCGTCCTGCGATATTGCGGCATTTATTTTTTCGGATCACGCTCGATTTTTCCAAAGTTTCACGTAATGTGTGTAAGTTTGCAAAATCACATCAGACTTGATGTTTATCGTCAGGCGCATCAAAATTCGCCTCAGAATATTTCGTTATTTCACGTTGTATATTTGCGTCGGTCCCGTCGGTGTGTAACCGACGCAAAGGTGTTAATTCAATTTTCTCGAGTGTCATGGAAGCGGACTGACTGAGACGTCAAACGGCCTCTCCTAGAGCCGCCGCTGCAGATGACACCAGAACATCGACGAATCATCTGAGAGCTTCAGCAGCTTCATTAAAACGTCTCTGTCTCCTGAGGATGTCCCACTCCTGCTGTCAGATCAGGATGCTGTGATTGGACGATATCAGGAACAGATTTCAGCAGCAGAACACTGATAACACACGAGCACGCTGCCGAGTCCAGAGGGACCCGCAGAGTCAGGGACAGAGAGGAACCTTTAGACCGGGGGGTTTATCAGAGAGGACGCTGACGCTGATGGAGTTCCTTTATAACCAAACTTAAACCTGATTATCGAACCCTGCTCTCATAACTTCATCAAACCCAGAATAATCCACGACTCTGAGCTCAGACTGCACGGTCTCAGATTTACCGGTGTCCTCAGACAGGTCCAGTTCTGTCCCACCTTTACCAGTCAGACCCACATGAGGTTCACACTGAGCTGAGATCCTGCACTCTGACCTCTTTAGACTCTGATATTCTGTCTTAATTTGAGCAGCACACACACACACACACACACACACACACACACACACACACACACACACACACATCTATGTTTCTGTTTTGGTTTTCGATCCAGCCCTGACCGAAGCTCTCAGTTTGTAAAGTTTTATACCATGACGACCATCAGAGAATAACCCGGAGCGCTGACCGCCATCGCTCCAGACGAAGAGTTTAACGGGAATATTTCAGAGTTTAGTTTTTCTCAGCATGGGTAAAAAAAAAAATCTGTTTTATTTTCACTGACAGAAGAAAAAAGGTTTTAGTGACGTCTAACTGAGTCCTTTCATTTTAAAGTCCATCAGTCACTCGTCCTTAACTCTGGGGGGACTCTGTCCTCGGGGGTCTTCAGCTCAGAGACCAGACGGGACGGAGGAAACTCAAGTTTGGTTGGTGGGAACAACTCTTGGCTTTTTTCTTTCTTGGACTCTTTGTTGCTGATATTAACATTTTTCCCTTTGCAATTTCTGTACAAAAGATCGATTTCTATATTTGCAATAAATTTGTAATTAAAAACGAAACATCTAGTCTCTGCGTGTCTACGCTGATTCTTCAGAGTTCAGAGCTTATTATGGAGACATCACTTCTCTCTGTCACTGTGTGTGTGTGTGTGTGTGTGTGTGTGTGTGTGTGTGTGTGTGTGTGTGTGTGTGTGTTTACACCACCACATACAGACCGTCTGCTATAAATACACAGGCTGTGTGTTATCTTTGATCAGCTGATTGAATTATTCATGCTCTGAGGGCTGCAGAGCACCTGAACCGTCTACTGTGGGAGATCGAGGGAATTCCCTGAGCATTTCACACACACACACACACACACAAACACACACACACACACACACACACACACAGTCCACTTGTTCACTCCATTAAAACCTCTCGGTGTGTGAAGGGTTCTGCTGCCGGCACAGATGGAGCTCAGAGCGGCGAGGGAGGAAAAAAAACAACACAAACTGATGACTCATGAAAACGACAAACAGGTCCGCCTCGGCCCGGTTCCACCTCGACCCGGTTCCACAGAGAGTCCGAGGTCTGAGTGAGAGCGAATGCTTCGCCGAACATCCAAATTTAATGAGAAAGACGCCGGAGAACGAGCGTGGAGTTTTTCCTGACCTGGAGGCAGAGCGGGTCAGAGAGTCTGTGGAGCTGGTTCTGGTCACAGAGCGGGTCGGATCTGGTTCTGTGGGGTTTGTGTTACACAGCCCAGTTTGATTCATAGAAACCAAAACCACTGAAGAGGACCATGAGGAGAAAAGCCCAAAGGTGAGTCAGGGAGCTCCACAGGTCCTCCAGAGTCTGACCTCCAGTTCCCCTGATAGTTTACGGTTCAGACACGGTTTACAGAGAATAATCAGGTCCAGAGAAAACCAGAACCTGTCTGCACTCTGACCCGTCTTCCTGTTTCAGAATCATCTGTAATATTTGAAACAAGCTAAAGTTGGTTCAGGTTTTGTAGACTCAGTTCCTGGTTTATCAGACCCAGTTGTCTGAGACCTGAGGGGGGGGGGCTGAAATGTGTGTGTGTGTGTGTGTGTGGGGGGGGGGGTCTACCCTTCATCTTTATTATTATTATTATTATTATTATTTTCTGCATGATTAACGTTATCATTATAATCATTATTATTATTTGTTTATTATTATCATTATTATTTTTAACATTATAATTATTTTCATAATTATTATGATAATAATAATAATAACAATAATAATAATAATAATAATAATAATAATGATTATTATTATTATTACTTTTTTTTAATATCATAGTTATTATTATCAATATAGTCAAAGTTATTATTATTATCCTTATTATAATCATCATCAGTATTATCATTTTCATTATCATTATTATTATTACCTGATTATTATTATCATTATCATTTTCATTATAATTATTATCCTTTTCATGTATAATTATTGTATCGTTATCATTTTTATCATAATCTTTATTATTATCATTATCATTATTTTTATCATATCTTAGTTATTTTATTCTCATATGTAGATTTTTCTTTTTTAATCTGAAATCACAGAAATAAACTGACATGAACTCATCAGAACTCACCTCTCCAGTTTAGAGCTGAGGTTAGTTTGACACCTGAGACTGAGAGCGGGTCTGATTCACAGCTTTCTGAGAATTCTGAGAGTGTCTGAGAAAAACTAACCTCTCCTCTCCTCACACACACACACACACACACACACACACACACACACACACACACACACACACACACACACACACACACACACCTGTTTTTGGATCTCTGCTGCTCTGCCTGTTTATTCTGGATCAGATATTTCTGTTGGTTCTGATTCTCCCTCTCCAGCTGTTCAGGTGTGTCCCTCTTCCCTCTCTCTCCCTCTCTCTGATCCAGCTCCCTCCTCTCCTCTCAGTCGTGGACTCCAACCTTCCCGCTGAGCGCAGAGCGAGCCAAACTCAGCTGCTATAGAACGCTCCCACATTTCTAAATATCTATAACTCCGAACCCTCCGTGTTAAGCTCCTTATCGCCCGAGGATTAGAGGATTGGATTAACCCTTCCCTTTCCACTCTGCATTTTAAAGTAACTGTTAATCCTGCCCCGCTATCTGCGCGCGCCCTTTCACGCCTCAATCCCACACTGTGTCACAGTCGGTCTGTTTGTTTGTGGAAAAGAGACGCGGAGACAAAAACGGCGAAGAGGAGGAGACGATCAGAGGAACATGAACAGAGAGGAGCAGAGTCTGAGGGAGCTCCAGAGAGTCAGACTTACACCGTGATATAACCCTCTGACCTCTGACCTCTGTCTATATATATATACTGTATACATATTTATATTAATATGTACACACACACACACACTGACATACTCACACACACACACACACACACTGTTAAACTGAGGAGTGTGAATCCAAAGATTAGAGGATCAGACATCCGTGATGGAGTCAGCTGTTCTGATCCGACTGTAGTTGTTCTGATCGGACTGAAGCTGCGATGATCTGCACAGCGGTGGGCGGGACCTCGCTGACTGACAGGTGGGTCTCTACAGGCTGAGTCCACCGCCTCACGGCTTCTTTCCATTCCTCAGCTGAACACACGAGTTCTACTTTTTCTGGACGCCGGAGCATGGCGGATAAATTCAGCCCAGATGAACCCGTGCTGGAAAGGAAGTCGGGCACAGACACAAAATAAAACATCCGGCTTCTTTTCAATCCGCCGTGAATTCGCCTCCCAAACGGATCTGGTAGGAATTGGCGAATGGCGAAAAATCGCTGTCGTTCTGGATGTGGTGAAAATTGGGAGTAACTTCCCTTTAAATATCCGTCCTGGTCCTGAACGCCCTCAGGGACTCCATCAGTCCGCGTTCAGACCTGCAGAGACCGCTGTGGAGAGACTCTTTATTTGAAGAGGAGTCGATGGGCTAAGAGGGATGTTGACTCAAGAGGTCAGAGGTCAGGGAGGATGTAAACGTGACCTGAGGATCTCTCTCTCTTCTGTCTGTCGTGTTATTTTCTCTGTGATTGATTGATGATGTCTTAAACTCTGCAGATGAAATATGATTCTGACTTTTTCTAAAGAAGTAGAAAACCATCCTGACGTATGAACTCTTCATCTGTCCCAAAGCTGACCTTCATATATTTAAACTCCGCCTCTGCTGCAGTGGGCGTGTCTGACCAGTATCCGGCGCCGGCGTCCCCCTGCACACAAACACTGTCGGCGCTGCTGCTGCTGTGGCGGTGGAGGATTTAAAAGCGTCTCTGGCAGCATGTAATCACTCTGAATATGACGTGTCACCCGTCAGGAATCACCCTCCGCAGATGTAAAACTATTAACTCCCTTTAATGTCTCCTCCTCATCCTCCTCATCCTCCTCCTTCCTCCTCTTAATCCCTAATCCGCTCTGATCTCCCCTCGGTTCATCGCTCCTCCTCAGACGTTCAGACAAAGAGCAGCTAATGAGGATTCACAGTCCGTCCGTCTGTCCGTCCGTCTGTGTTCCGCCTCCTCAGATCTGACAGCAGCTCCTCGGTGGACATGTGGTGGTGAATGATGTCTGAGAGCTGCTGTCAGTCCCTCCATCTTTGACTTTTCATCAGTATACATTCAGAGTTCAGGACTTTTTTAAATAAACTCGTGTCTCATTTTCAGGATGACGTCCTGATGGATCTGCTCGCTCTGAGGTCACAGGAAGAACTAAACAAACTTCTGTCTGAGAAGTTCATCGAACTTTGAAACGCTCGTTTGTTTTTGTCAGAGTCGCAGATTTCCAGATTTCTGACTCAAGTTCAGTCTAGATTTGACTTCTTTAAACCACCACTGAGGGGTCTGGACCAGGACTGGATCTCAGGAGGTCTTACCCCTAATCTTCACCATATCCAGAACATCAGCGATTTTCGCCGTACGCCGATTCCTACTGGATCGGTTTGTGAGGTGAATTTCGCGGCAATCTTACAAGAATCTGCGGATTCACGTTCAATCGTGCGATAACGAGTTGTCTCTCTAAAGACAGACACATAGACATATAAGCAGTAGATTGTGTCCTTCCAGAGGAGGAAATCTACTTCTAGTCTTCTAGAATCAGCATCTCCTCATCCATGGTGTCATCGGGGTGGAATGACGTCTAAAAACCTTTCACTTGTTCGTCTCCGCTGATTTATAATTCTTTGTTGAAGGCCTTCGGCGAAACGTCTCAAGTAAGTCCAGTTGTTCTTTCAATGTGTTGATTCCAACTCCAGAGTCTCGTCTGTTTTTAATGCCCTGAAGATCAGGACCATCCAGGTTTGGTTTTGGTTCTTGTCCCACTTTAGTACAGAGATTTCTACGGAAAAAATAAAACTCTTGTGATCAGCTGAGGAGTCCGGCGATCCGCAGAGGAACAGAAAGAAGTCGGTGTAAATTGACACGTTAACTTGAATGGTTACGATCAGCTACGATCGGAGGATACGACCTTTTAGGAGATGATCAGGATGAAGGTGGAAATTGGGGGTCAGATGTCTACACCCTCCTCCTCCTCCTCTACCAGCTGAGCTGAACCAGAACCCGGACTTCTTTCTTCAGCAGTAATTCAATGGGTTTTCTCAGGGTCAGCTGGTCCTGGTTCTGGTCCCATCACGTCTTTGTTACAGTCGTCCCCGGGGTCGTATCTCAGGAAACACACGGAGCGTCTGCTGACTCACGCTTCAGTCCTCGCCGGCATCAACTGTTTTTGTCACCTTTTCTAACTGCTTCTGTTTTTACAAACTCCTCGGGGAAACTGAAGGTCACACGCCGCTATTTCCTGTTTCCTGTAAAAACTCTGATTTCACTTTTGGAGGCTGGAGCATGAGACCCTTTAGTCCTAGCCTGATAAGACACAGATATTCTGGTAATTCTGCACAGACTCGCTCTTTAAAACACTCCCCCTCCCCCCGCTCTCTCACCATATTAACCTTGAACGGCGAAACTTTCCTGCGCTCCACGCCACATTCACTCCAAACAGCTGCCACCGATTACAAAAAGCAAGAATAGCAGCTTTAATTACACGTCTCTTCACCGCCTTAAAGATAATTGTCCCGTATTTTTATTGTAATTACCTCTGATAATCACAGGAGAGCTCGCCACCGCCGCCGCTGCTGCTGACAACGCTGCAACAATGGCGTTAATTGTGCGGCAGGCGGCGGCGACAGGGCCTGAATACAGATATGTCGTAAAGTGTTATCAGCGAGGCGTCCTGTCATCTGACAAAGAAACATCAGTCACTCACACACGTCCTCCGACCAATCAGGCGCATCGGAAGCTTCTGGAAGAGCCCTCTACATCTGTGCAGCACTGAGGACGTGCAGCTGTTTCAGTCATTTATATACAGAAATATATAAAAAATATAAATATACGTTTATAACCACATGTGATGAATGCTCAACGTGTTTTCAGACATATTTACTCAACGCCCTGATGGTGACGATGCAACAGGAACAAACGTGTGTGTGTGCGTGACGGCGAGTGAATGTTTGTTCCTGTCCCACAGAATCAGAGAGAGAGAGTTTGTGAGTGTGTGTCTGTGTGTGTGTGTGTGTGTGTGTGTGTGTGTTTGTGTGAGTCTACTCTGAACGTCTGCGCTGGCAGAAGCTCAAGCTGCTGCACAGTTGGTCCTGATTTATTTTTGGTCGGACTTTCCTGGAGTTGATTCTTCGAAGTCAGAACCACAGCGGCGCCTCGTTAGAAACCATGAAAGTTTGTTTCTGTTCCGGACCTCACAGTCAAACTGAAACCAGGTTCAGATCAGCTGGTTCATACTTCCTGTCAATAACAGACTGATGTGACATTAAACAGGTAACTAACTACGATTAGCCGTCATTTACTGCAGCATTATAGACACCACAGTGTGACAGAGCGAGCTCCACGGACCAATGAGACGTTAAAGTTCCTTCAGCAGAGACACAGACCTTAAAACTGCAGTTACACACTCTGTCAGTACACTACTGAAGCTCAGGTATATCCACAGGGTATGAGCAAGCACACACACACACACACACACACACACACACACACACACACACACACACACAGAGAGAGAGCTGTTCGCTCAGGCGCAGAGATGTCAGACCTCTGAACACCTGACTCAGAGAAATCGACCACAGAGGAGCTTTACTCCAAACCTGAGGGAGGTTTTTCTACAGCCAGGAGCACCTGTTCCTGTCATAGAGCGGCACATAGAGCTGAATATAGAGCTGCTCATAGAGCTGAATATAGAGCTGCACATAGAGCTGAATATAGAGCTGCTCATAGAGCTGGATATAGAGCTGCTCATAGAGCTGAATATAGCGCTGCAAACAGAGCACCATAAAGAGCGGAATATAGAGCATATATAAAACTGCACACAGAGCTGCACATTGAGCTGAAAATAGAGCTAAATATAGAGCTAGACAAAGAGCTGAATATAGAGCAGCACATAAAGCTGAAAGAGCAGCATATAGAGCTGATAAAGAGTTGCATATAGAGCTAAATATAAAGCTGTATAAAGAGCTGTATATAGATTTATATAGAGCGGCACATAGAGCTGCACAAAGAGCACACTGAGCCGCACATAGAGCTGCACACTGAGCTGCATATAGAGCTAAATATAGAGCTGCATAAAGAGCTGTATAAAGTTCAGTATAGAGTGGCACATAGAGCTGCATATAGAGCTGAATATAGAGCAGCATACAGAGCTGCACATTGAGATCACGGACTCCAGTCCAGGTCTGAATCAGGTGTGAACATGAAAGAGAAGATCCACCCCAAACCACATCACCTGGGTTTGTTGAGTCCAGTTTCAGTTGTACTGATCCAATAAATCAATGATTAATTAAAGTTCACACTAGATCTGAGGACGTGTTTTGGGGTTTTAGCAGCTCTGGATGATCTGACAGAGTTTTGAGGTCACAGAGTCTCCAGAGCGGTCACAGTCTCGGTTTTCTCCAGCGTCTTCGGTCCCTCATTACTCACCGTACAATAATCCTGAACCGACACACGGACACACAGAAACAATCACCTACAGCTGCTCCACTACAACAGACGGACCAGTCATCCTCCAACCTGGACCTCCTAATGACTCAGAGGTCACATGACCAACCCCAGCCCACTTTGTTTACGCTCTGTGAGCCCACACACTTCTTCTGTTTGATACCAGCGCCGGCCCGTTTGTGACTGAAGAGTAAAAATCAGAGCAGAGACATCCCAGAGTCTCTAACAGAGCCATGAGACAGGACACACACATCTGAGGGCCCACGTTATCGCTCTGACAGCCACCGCCACGTCCACCGCCACGTCCACCGCCATGTCCACTGCCACGTCCACACACTGAGGGAGATTATTGGGATATCTGTCCTTGAACATCGTGAACACGTTTAATGGGATCTGCAGGACTTTGTACCAAGAAAAAGGGATTAGAGAAAAATCTGTGGACATAAATCTCTGTGGATCAGACAACAGGGATTGTTTCTGGACGCCTCAGAACCGGGACAGAGAAAACCGGAAACATCCACGGGGGACACGGTAACCATAAAACCAGACTCTGTGCCTTTGAAATCTGGGCTGACACACTTCACAGGACATTTGGACCGGCTCTGACCTGACCTGAAACAAATCAACAGAAACAACCCGTCGGCTGGAGGAACCAACAGACTCGTGATGAAGACGGAGATCACAGAAGAAGATCAAACGGTTTACAGTCAGTCCAAAACAAAGTCAAAGAACCTCTCTGCCTCAGGTTCTGGTCCGCTCTGTAATATTCTTCACAAATTGCTCTAAATGTTTCCGATCAAACCTGCGGTGAGTTTTTGTTTCCATCGTTTTCTTTGATTCATTTTTAATTATCACACTAAAATAAATGAACTCGCTCTCAGTGTGAGATCTTCCTGCAGCTCCATCAGCTGAGTCTGAGTCCAAACCTGTTCAGGTCCACGCAGTTAAAGCTAAAACATACAGGATGTGTATTTGGAGTGTGGCAGCAGCGTCTCGTATCTTGCAGCAAATCTGTTTCCATTCTAATCACTGCAGCAGAGCGTACAGGACGCGTATCAGCGCCGTCGCAGCATCGTATCAGAAAATCGACCACAGAAAGGAAAAACAACCTGTTGTTATCATGTTTCCTCTGCACTACACTCCAAAAACGCTGATCCTGTATGAGATACCCGACACTGTCATAACTGTAAACTAATCAAGTATTCCTCACAACAAATATTTACAATAACAACTTTTAAACAGTTTTAATCAGATTTATAATAAACTCCAACGGTACGAGAACATGTGAATAATTAATTTAATAAAAAGATGATTAATAAAAACTCGGTGAAATGAGGTCAACCCCCTCTCCCTGCTTCACATTCATGACTAACCTTCACCCCCCCCCACCCCCCTACATGGTGAACTGACCTTCCCAGAAGGCTGTTCATGATCAGCAGTCCGTCATGCTCATCACGCCACAGAGCCCAGCTGACAGACCTCGTTTACCTCTTAATGAAACACGTAAATAAAGTTTATTTTGTTTTTTTAACTTTATGTATTAAGTTTTTTTCCGATATAAAACCCCTAAACTTTCTACATTTTATTTTTTTAAACTTTCTTTATTTTAAATTTTTTAAACTTTTTAAAATTATTTTTGAACTTTCTTTGTTTTATATTTTTTTAAATTTTCTTTAATTTATTATTTTTAAACTTTGTTTCATTATTTTTAAACGTTCCATATTTTATTTTCTCAACTTCTTCATTGTATAATTTTTACTCTTTATTTTATTATTAAAAACTTTTTTATTATTTTATTATTTTTTTAACGTTCTGTATTTTATTTTTTTCAAAATTTCTTTATTTTTTTATTTTAAACTTTCTTTAATTATTTTGAATCGTCAGTGAATGAAAAATATTAAAGCTTTTTTGTCAGAGCTCCTTTCATTCTGTTTCTGTGCTTCAAACATTCGACCATTAAACGAGTTTGTTAACGAGTTTGTTAACGAGTTCGTTAATGAGATGTTTCACCAGTTTAAGTCACTCCTGAGTTTTAAAGAGCGAGATATTCAGTGGGTTACGTCAGTGTTTCAGGGATTACTCCTCCATCTGTGGACATGATGAGATACTTGCACCACCTCAGCAGCAGAAGCAGCAGATGAAGCACCTTCAGCCCTAAACTTCGCCCCCGGCTGTGTGTACGTATATACGAGTGTATATGTTCCTGAGGTTCCCCGGAGGATACACACATCAAATTTTCAGAGAGGAATAACCTCTGAGAGCGAGAACATCAATATTTAACCTGCTCCATTTCTCTGTGTGTGTGAAAGTGTGTGTGCGGACTGTAATTACCTCAGCGCTGCAAACACACTGACAGAGGAGAGAGAGAAAGAGAGAAAGAGAGAGAGAGAGAGAAAGGAGGGAGGACAGAGAGAGTGAAAGAGGGAGAAACATGATTATGATCATTTCGACTGTCGGAGAAACACTGTAAAGGTTTCTACACCCCGGATCTGTAATTAGATGGAAGCGTGTGTGCGTTCATGGGTGTGCGTTCACTTGTGCATGGACCCACGCCAAAATACAATACCACCCCCTCCTCCTCCTCCTCCTCCTCCTCCAGCGCTCTGATGTTTAGCAGGTTTGGCTTTACCCGGGAATCCCACTGGATCCGAAACGGATTCGCTTCAGACCGGACCGGCAGGTGGATCAAATACGCAAGCATTCGTACACGTATCCGATCCGCCGCCACCGTCAGAGGAGAGGTGCTTGCAAGATTTCTCGATTTCTCTGGACAAAATCTCGGGTGTTTCCCCATGAGACGTTGAATGAGATCCACCGATTGGTGTAAATAAACACCCACATCCCACAACCCCGGCCTCTCCCATTATCAAGTTAAGAACAGTTCAACATATTGACTTTATTTTATTTTGAAAATTAACCAGATATTTTACTTTGTAACCGCATTAAACTTCCTCTGCTGCTCGTCCTGCACTGATTTGATGCGCCGTGCTGTGGCGTCCGGCAAAAATAGGAGCTTGCGTATCTGACCTGACTGCTGGAGCCAATCTGCGGCGGAGCTGGACTACGGACAGATTCTGTGGAATCACACACATTGAATATAATGCTTGTGTATTTGATCCGCCTGCTGTGCCGGATCGGAGCGCAGCCGTTCCGGATCCTGTGGGTTTTAGCTGTTAAAGGATATTTACGGTAATCTACTGTAATCTCCTCATTATTATTATCATGATTAATTAACAGCTCCTGTTTTTGTCCGTCACCTTCAGGGTCGTATTTGGAGACTCAGGTAGTCCTGACTCTGAGCTGTAGGGGGCAGCAGCGTCCCTGAAGGATCATTTACGCTGCGGTTTGACACATTTCTGCTTTTTCATTTGGACGTTCACATTTTTGTCATTTCTACAACCGTCCTTTAGAAATGGTGTTAGTGATGTCAGTATGATGAAGCTCACTTTGGACCGGGTTGGACTCCCCGCCTCCTGTCTCCAGGGTCAGAACTGGTCCCGCTCAGGTTTCAGGTTCCGTCTCTCTGCTGAAGTTTTGTGTGTTTCTGTTTCTGCTCCTGTCTAACCTTCAGTTTAATCCTGAGGAGAAGGAGAAGAAGCTCCTCCGTCACCCTGTGGGATCGATAATCTGGTTGAAGGCGGAGTGATACGACATCCTGATACGACCAGGAACAGGAGATTTGTGAGGATGGAGGAGACGGGATAAGGACTGTTGAACACGGACTCCTTCTCTCCTTCACCTCCTCTCCCATCACTTATCTGAGCAGGAGCATCTCTGGAGAGACGATTTACCACCTGAGCGCTTCTTCTTCTTCATGCAGAGGACGACGGCGAGGAGGCAGAGACGAGAACGACCTCGCCTCCAGGTCTCAGATATTCAGATTTAGGACACGTGAAAAACCCTCAGGATTATAATCAGGATTTATTCCCAGTCCTCTCAGACACTCTGGTGTAAAAATCCATATTACTGTGTGACGGCGAGGTCGCCGCTCTCGAACCCGGGCGATGAATTCATGAGGTAAACCCTGAACAGGAAGTGAATAATGATGAATAAATGAGCCGCGGGTCAGGACAAGAGCTGAGAGAGGGGCGAGTTTTTCACCTCTGTGGAGGGCGGACAGACTCAGACCTGAAGACTGATGGTGGCGGTGAGCCCAGATCCAGGGTCAGGGTTCCTCATTAATCATGTCTAACAGTAAATTACTGTCATATCCTGAAATAACCGTTATCTTACCGCCGACACTAAATCCTGATCGCTGCGTCGCTCTGATTTCTAAACTGTTTTTAAAAAGTTTCCACACACAGGTTTTCGTGGACCGGGTTCTTCGAGGGTCTGATCCTGGACTTCATGGATGTCCTGTAATTTTGACCCTTTTACCGTGACGATGTGAGGAGACTAACCCTCAATTTTTACCACATCCGGGATGGATCCGATCTGGAACAGCAGCGAGAACTCACAAGAACCCGCAGATTCACGTCCAATCACACGATAACGAGTTGTCTCTCTAAAGACAGACACATAGACATATAAGCAGTAGATTGTGTCCTTCCAGAGGAGGAAATCTACTTCTAGACTTCTAGAATCAGCATCTCCTCATCCATGGTGTCATCGGGGTGAAATTCACTTGTTCGTTCAGGATGAAGGTGGAGATTTGGGGGTTAGAGCCTCAGTTTGATTCAGTGTTGGAGGATTATTGATGAACGATCGGTTTCTCATCCATCACTTCAGACCGACGTCCTCTACAGTCAGTCTGAGACAACCATGAGACAGGACCACCAAGGATCCAGGATGAGCTGGTTTAACCTGCAGGGTCGGGGGTGGGCACCAAAGAGACCCTCAGACTCTGATTAGACAGATCTTTGTCCATTATGGACTACAGCGGGGTGCCGCAGCTCAAGGAAGAACATTTATGATCATTTCTTCATGGAAATACAATCAGACCGAGACGCTAAGACAGAAGAACTACCGCATCTGTAAAATGATTAATATGATGATTATTAATTCAAGGAAATGATCTCCTGATGAGACCCTCCTGTTCATATAAAGACCTGGTCCGGTTTTTCAGAGGGTCTGAGTATCAGAAACAGAACTTGGACCTGGACCTGAACAGCTCAGAGTCATCCCTGAGTTCTCATTACAGGCCTTGGCCATCGACCCAATGGGTCAAAGTATCTGACCGACAGGGAGATCCTGACGGCTGTCCTGGACTCGGAGATCTGCCCGACATGAGAACAGGCCTCTCCGACACAAACTAACACACACTAACACATGAACACACTCACATACACACAGAACACACACACACACACACACACACACACACACACACACACACACACACACACACACACACACACACACACACGAACACACACACACACACACACACACACACAGATACACACACACATACAAAAAAACACACACAGATACACACACACACACACCTCTGCAGGCCAGAAGGATCAGTCATGGACTCCCCAGAGCGTGTCTGTGTTGTGGCGAATGCGTTGCGACAGGAAACCTGACTCACCACAACACCCGGGGGAGCCCGACATCAGCGGCGAGCCGAGGCAGCCCGACGCTCCGAGCACCAGACCTCCTCTTGGAAAAGAAACAGCACCCAACGCCGCGTCATCCCAGACTGTCAGCGTGGATTACTCTGACTCTTCTAACCGTCTTCACGCTCGGGTTCATGGAGGGCCTCATCAGTTAGAGTCTCGGGGGTCTGAGCCAAAGCGCTCCCCGATCAGACGGGCGAACGTTTCTTTGACAGCAGAGAGTTTAACTCTGAATTATATCAGTCTAAGTTCTTCCTGAACCAATCAGCAGCGCTCGTTTGGCCTATCCAATCAGACGGCTGCGTGTAACAGGATCAGTGTTGGATGTTGGAGCGGAGATGTTCTGCAGGATTTATTTCTCTCCTCACACCAGAACTCCGAACAGAGACCCACTCAGACTGGACGGGACGTGGTTTTATAGACGTGTGACATAGATCCTGAACCAGATCCTCACCCTCACATCTTCAGATATTTAGATCAACTTCAGTCAGAAGGTTCAACTGTGAACATCAGACTGTGATATTTAATAATATAATAGTCATAATATTAATAATAATTAAATTAATGTATTTATTTATTAATTAATTAATTAATAAGTTAATTATAATAATAATAAAATATATAATAATAACCAATGATAACTAATTTAAAAAAATAATATGTTGTAGTAAATAAATAAATGATAAATATAATCATATTTATGATATATATTATAATAAATATAATAAATATAATTATTATTATAATACTAAATGATTAAATAAAGTAATTAATATATAAATATGATAATAATAATAATAATAATAATAATAATAATAATAATAATAATAATAATAATAATAATAATAAACAGTTTTGTTTTGGTGAACTGAGCAGACCTCTCCCGTGTCTCCAGCTGACATCGGTTCGATCCCTGTGGGAAGGTTTGCTTTATTGCTGCGCCCCCACAGGGAGGTCAGAGGTCAGAGTCAGCTCAATAAGCAGAGCTGATGTTTGCTGTATGTGGTCATGAACCGGCTGAAGAGTCTGAACTCTCTGAACCTCCATCCTGCTGAGGGCGTCTGGGGATTATAAGAGAGCTAAAATCAGACTCAGAGGGTCCGGGTCTGCAGGGGTGAGGAGAGCTCAGGTGACTTCAGTCCAGATTTTAACGAGGACTCGATCTGAGGACTGTCAGAGTCACAGGTAACTGTCCAAACAAACACTAGAGCGGAAATACAAAGAGCTGAAACAACAGCATGAAGAGCAAACATGCTGTAACATAAAGAGAGGAGGAGGAGGAGGAGGAGGAGGAGCAGGAGGAGAGGGAGAGCAGATGTTTGCTGAACTAAGAACTGAAACCAGAGAACGGCTGAAGATCATCTGAACAAAATGATAAAAATGAAAAACCTCAGAGTCATCGAGGACTTCAGAGCTGCAGCAGAAAATAACAGAAACTCCTGATTCCTGTTTGTCATTTTCTGCTGAGCCGTCTTTTCTCTCCCACATCATCCAAACATCAACAAACATCAGTGAGAGCGGAGAGAGACGATCCGTTTATTTTGGCTGAGACTGTGGGACACTCAACACGCTCACTTCGATTCTACACAAACACAATTACTGCTCATTTAGACGAGGAGCGGAGAGGAGAGCTGCTGCTGCTGCTGCTGCTCATCCTTCAACACTCATCATCTCACTGTTCTCATCCAGACCGTCTCTGAGCCGGAGACAAACACGAACCAAGAACCAGAACTACAATCTGAACCTGAGGACAGAACCACAGGAACTCCGAGCTGAGGGCCAGATGAATAAGTGAACTGGGCATGAATGAATGAATGAATGAAGGTGAAACTCATAACTGTGTCGCCTGTTCCTGCACTCTGATTGGATCAGAGCCAGCGAGTAAAAAAGGAGAAAAAAAACAAACAGAAAGAAGATTCTCTGAAAACTGGTGACTCATGGAGAGGAGAAACTGATCTCATTTATGTGTGTGAGTGTGTGCACGAGTGTGTGTGCACGTGCATAAACAAATGTGTCTCTACAATATGTGTGTGTCTGTGTGTGTGCATGTGTTTGTGTGTGCACGTCCATGTGCATGAACAAAGTGTCTCTACAATAACTCTGTGTGTGTTTGTGCCTGTGGTTGTGTGTGCAAGTGTGTGTGTTTTTGTGTGTTTGTGTGTTTATGTGTGTATGCAGCTCTCTCTAGGCACCATTCACTCTCTTCATGTGCAGCAGGTATGCCGATTCTCTCTCTCTCTCTCTCTCTCTCTCTCTCTCTCTCTCTCTCTCTCTGTCCCTCTCTCCCGCTCCCATCAGGGGTGTATTCTACGGCACCACACCGGTGAAGAACGTCAAAGACGGACACTCAGGTGTTTCTCCTCCATGAATCCTGAGGTGTTTAGTCATGTCGGTCGTTTATCCTCCTTTACAGGATAGAACTGCGTCACTCATGTTGCTCTGAGATAAAAGTTCATTCTTCATGATAAACTTTGACTAAACTGTAGCTTCGTCTCATTCGCTTCAACCTCGTTGGTGTTCGGCGGCTTCTTCTTCCGGTCAGCGGACTCCAACATCGAAATTTGGAATCGAAATTTTAAAATTTGAAGTCGGTTCTGGTCCCAATCGATGTTTGGGACTCGATACCCATCCCTAGGACGGGGTTATAACAGGAGGGGGAGGAGGAGTCTGTCTGTCCACATGTTTAAATTAGGGCTGCAACGATTAGTCGACATAATCGATTACGTCGACACGACAAATTCATCGACACGAAAACGAAGCGTCGACGCATCGTGTTATTGTTGTTGAGAATCACATGCCGGTGCTGGGGGCAGTAGCGCTCGCTGTTTACATCCCGCGAGAGATCACAGAAGAAGAGTGCACACATTATGGCAGAACAAACTGAAAAAGACGCTCCAAAACTCCGACCCAAAACTTCAAAAGTTTGGGAACATTTTACGGAGAACAAACCAAAAAAAACACGTTGATCAAAGCTCAGCTTTCCTACCATGGCAGCACCACGGCGATGCATGAGCACCTGAAACGCCGACACCCCGGAAATAGGTGTTTATAAACAAAGAAGATATAAGAAATATAGAAGTGATTAATCGTGATTAATCGGACGACTAGTCGACAAAAAAATAATCGTTAGTTGCAGCACTAGTTTAAATGTTGAATCTGCAGGAAAATATGAGGCTGTGTGTAAAAAAGTTTGAGGGACGTTCATGTGGAGGACGAGTTCTTCAACAACAACAAGGAGTCAGAGTTTACATGTTAAACACACGCAGCTGCAGTCAGATCACGTGTTCTTCTCATCTATATTAATGCTCAGAGTCCCCGTCTTTAACAAACACATTAACACACACATACACACACATATACACACACACACACACACACACACACATATGTATCTGCAGATATGACATGAAAGTGTTTGATCCCCTCGTGTCCTAATCCCTGCAGACTCCTGGTGTGTGAAGAGCTTCAGAGGATAAGAGGACAGCAGATCCACACGTGTAATCAGGAGCTGAGTTTGACCTCTCGTCTGCACCGTCGGAGCAGATTAACACACTCACACAGAAACACGTCTTTTTATATGACCGACTCTCTTAAACGGGGTTAACGTGCAGGTTTGTCGCTCTGCATGCATGGCAGTGCGTGTGTTCACAAATGTCACTTTGTGTAACCGTGTGTGCAGCGTGCCAAACTTATTTATTAAAACACAGGTGTTCAATATTTGATTTCCTGAGCAGCGGCTCGGAGGAAGGCTGAGGTGAAAGGAGAAGCTTAAATATTTGATCAAACCTGCAGGTAGCACATACGGCTGCTCTGACTGAGTGTGTGAGCAGGAACCTCAAGTATCTCTGCGGCTGATAACTCCGAGTTCAAGCTCCAAACGAAGCGTCAGGAGGTCTGCTGTGACCGAGGCGCTCAAACAGGTTAAAGGATGCAAACGCAGAGGTCAACAACGCCGTTATCTGATATTCTCCACATGAGCTGCATGCACGGCTCGTTCACGAGTTGGTGGACTAATTACACTGACCCCGCTGAGCGCAGGTTACAGACGCTGTTACAGGAACAGTTAGAGCTGAATTAACTTTCTTATGACCATAAAACAAAAGTGACAAACTGCTGCAGAGACACAGCTGAGGAGGACGTCTGTCATGCATGAACACGGTACGACTGCTTCATCTGTATTTATAGTTACATAAGCCACGCTGCATCAGGAGATTAAAGCACGTCCATATATAGGCCACTACATCCTGAGTTAGCCACTTTATAGTGCTGCTGCTGCTGCTGCTGCAGGGACACGACATGAACATTACTATTAAAGATTATATACAGATACAGAGGAGGCCGAGAGCATCCAGAGGAACATCAGAGGAACAGAGAAGAAACAACAGAGAGACAGACCATAATGGACCACATGTGAGGGGGATAAATTCATCATTAATCAAGTTTGTAGTTACTGATTATACAGGGGGGGGGGGGGGTTCATGTTTCAGTGCAGCATCAACAGTGAGTCTGCAGCTGTAGCTGAGTGTCCCCGAGAGCAACAACCTGAACAGCTGATTCTGTTACTGAAGGAGGTCAATAATGGAGAATAAAAACACATCAGCTGAAAACATGTGACTCCTCCTCCACAGGAAATGAGATTTAAAAAGTCGACCACGGAGAAAACTTTGACTTAGCATCACTACACGTGTAAAAACATAAACAGTAAAGTAGAGAACTTTAAATGTCAAACTGAACTTCTAACCTTATACTGGAGCTCCTGCTGCACCACAGTTATGATCTAGACTAAAGTCATCTATGTGTTTCTGCATCTATACTGTATATTTCTATGATAGATGAGCTCTCCTCTTTAATCAGACTCCTTCAGTATCACAGATTCATGGTTATGATGCGAAAAAAAGGTCATGATCTGCTCTTCAACTCACAGGACCAGGACTTGACTTTGGCCTCCAGGACCACCTCCATCTTCTCTGCAGACCACCACCCCCTCTCTGTTTCATTCACAAACACACTCATGAGGACCAGCTGATGTTCTCATCAGTCAGAGTATCAGGGCCACAGGGACCTCATTCACGCTCTTATCTGTGATCTTCTCCTCAGAGTGTTTTTATTGAGTTTATCTCCAAAGATCTCCTCCAGACTCTGAGGAAACTGCTGCTGCTGCTGTTGGTGTTTTCCACGATAACGTGCCGCTGCAGTCGGAGGACGGGCTGTTGTGGATCAGTGATAATAACTAACACTATAAATACAAGCCCGCCCACAAACGGACCCTCGGGGGTTTGGTTCTGAACGCTCAGATGATCTTCAGCACATGATGTTTCATCAGGATAATTTCACACTTACAAAGAGCTCCAAACAACAGAAGAGGTGGTTACAGGGTCCATCACAATCAAGTGTTCTGGTTCTGGTTCTGATGATTACAGAGACTTTTCAACAGCTGATGTGATGGTGTGTTTAACAAAGACACGTGTTTGGTTTGTAACTGGATCCCTTATTAAGACCAGAACCACGTCCTTTACAAGAGAACAGATCCAGTCTCCAAACACCGATCCTGAGAAAGACCATAGACCGTATTTACTCTGGACGACTTGGTTCCTCCTCCCACCTGTACTCGGATTTGAAGCTGAAAAGTTCTCGGTAATTCTGCGTTTTTTCTCCACTTCCTAAACCAACATCGCTCAGTAGTTTTGTTCGCATTCGGCGGGAGAGTCGCTGTGATGACGCTCGGCTCAAACAGCGTATCCACAATCTCTGTCCTCCCATAGGCTGTATCAGGTGTCAATCATAGAAAACATGAACTTTTGAAAATGAGCTCTTTAGCATTAAGTTAGTAGACATTGAAAGACGCTACAGCCCCGCCTGGTGGCAGAAAGCTGCACTACAGCTCAGGTAAAACCAACATTTCAGGCTTAAATTAACGCAAATATCAAGGATTCATTTTAATAACCTTCAGTTATTTAGTCGTATTTATAATAACTGAATAAATACACACACACATGATGACAGAGGACCACCTGTGGTTACAGCAGCCCCTCACACACACACACACACACACACACACACACACACACACACACCCCTCACTGACCCCTCGACCTCTCCCGTCCCGCTCACTGGAGCGTCGGCTTCTGTCTTTAGCGGATGATCACAGCTGTTACAGGAGAGAGCGGCCGTTATGGTGATCTATCAGTCAGCGTATGGATCAGAGACACAGTGGATCCTCTTAGCCAGCACTTAGTGACAGATATGAGCGCCGCACACACACACACACACACACACACACACACACACACACACACACACACACACACACACACACGCACATTTACAGGCTGGTTAACGACATAAGCTGTGATCTTTAGTGTACCTCAGACCTTTCCCGTCTCCTGAGTCCCACTCTCTCTCTCTCTCTCTCTCCTTCTCTCTCTCTCTCTCTCTCTCTCTGTTTATCCCTCCACTTCCTCTCACACAGTAAACCCATCTGACAGCTGTTGTTACACACAACTGGACCTTCTCTCTCTCACACACACACACACACACACAGAGCAGGGATAATAAACTGTGTTATCTCCTCTCCTCTGCAGCACACCTCCTCAGACCACATTATTCAGCACCACCCTTTAGCAGATTTCCTCCTCACAGGAACACTTTCTGCTCCTCCTGGGAGGTTCTGCTGTATCCCCCCCGGGGGGTCAGATAAGAACTGAAATCCCTCCAGTGAGTCCTGGGTGGTCCCCAAGGTCCTCCTCCAAACCTCCAAACAAGAGCATCCTGATCTGACGCATGAACAACATGATCTGAAGTAATCCAGAGGAGCAGAGGCTGAACTTACCGACTAAAGACACAAACATGGTGGAATATCAAACCGCTCAGATAATATTTAATAAGATAAAAATAATCATCTACTAATAAATGTACAGAAATGATTCAGTATGTGTGAGGGAGGTTATGATTTACTAGGAAAATTTCACTTTAATTCAAAGAGGAAGGGTTTTTGTGTTTCAGGATCTCTATGGAGTTAAAGTTCAAACATGTTTAAAATCAAAAATAAAGACATTTTTATTCTGAAGGGGTACAGAGATGAGGAAGGTGTTGGGGAGCACTAAGTGTTATGAGGGTTATTGTTTCTTTCTCGTTTTATTTTGTTTTGTTGTTTTTACGTCTGCGCTGTATTACATGGATGTAGATTTTGTTTTGTAATACAAAGTCATGAACGTACTTTATTTATCTATAATTATCAGGTAAATCTAAGGAAGCTTAGTGTGGGTAATTATTATTCAAAGGGAGTTCAGAAGTTCTTTTTCTCACTTCTTTCCCAATATTTCTGTTTTCTGTTTAAATGTTTTGTCTTACTTTTCTTGTTTTATTTTTTATATTTTTGGTTCGCATATTCAAAAATAACTTCAATCAATCACAAGATGATGAGATTTTTACATTTAAGAGAAAATCATGTGAAGTAAAAAAAAAAACAACAACAAAACCATCATCTGAAGTCCTTCCTCTCCAAACTGAGTCAACATGCTGCAACAACAACAACTCAACCTCCACCTGTATCCTCCACCACTAAACTCCACCTTCAAGCTCCCCGCTTTAAACTCCACCTGTAAACTCCACCCTCATGGTTTCCAGGTGGTCAGGTCGCACCGATCACACAAAGCTCGGCCGATCGCTTTCAGAGATGATGACTCAGCTGTTTTTCCATGAAGCTCAGAGGAGGTGTTGGAGTCACTCACCTGGTGTCTGAAGTCCTCAGGATGGAGGTCAGCAGGTCTTTGGACATGAAGAAGGTGGACCTCCATCGTATCTCCTCAGTGGTTCCGGTGTTGGCTGGTTTCCTGGTTCTGTCTTTCCGCTCACGTGTTCATGTTACCTGAGGATTCTGCAGGACAGGTGAGCGTCGGTCCGGTTCGTCAGATTTCCGGGTTTTTCTAAACTTTAATAAACTCCACCTGTCTCATCCTCGCTCTTTAAACTGTCACGGTAAATACATCCGAATAATCCACTCGTGAATCGCGACGCTTTCCCCGTTTTTCCCGCGTGAATCCGCCATGATTGGTTCCCAAACTTTCCTGCCAACCTCAACAGGAAGTGACTCATCAGCGCCGCCAAGTGGACCAAAAAAAAATCATCTAATTTTGATTTATTTAGAACCAAAAACTGTTTCTTTTCGAAACTAAGGTAATAAAATATCGATATTTGGATCGGTGTAAAACTGCCGAGATAAATATCACGATATTATGTCTTAGCTTTATCACTTTAACTTTCTTATTGGTGGAATCAGCTGACTCTGATTATCCAATCACAGTCCTCCACTGCATATATCGAGATAGATAGATAGATAGATAGATAGATAGATAGATAGATAGATAGATAGATAGATTTTCTATGTGTCTAGATCTAGTCTTCTTAAATACAGATCTACATCTGAAACAGTCACAGTCTGGATCTCCAGGTCCGTAATGAACCACCTGTGTGTGCGGGGCCACCAGGGGGGGCCCTGAGGTTCACCCATCAGTGTGTCACTTCATGATGAGTGATAGTAGATGTCCCAGTCAAATATAGATCCTCGTTCATCTGAGCACACAGATTCATCCATGAGGACACGGACAGAGGGTTCGAGGGTGAATCTGAGTCAGGGGGGGATTTATGCAGCTATGATATCGACTCATCTGTGTTTACCGACACAAAGAACAGCAGCGTCCATCTTCAGCCATGATGACAGCAGCAGACGGACAGAGGGAGGTGGAGTGATTTGAGTAAAAGAGTCAGGAGAGCCGAGGATCATCACGTCTATTCTGAGATAAGATGTCTGCTCAGATTATACAACTCCATCAGGAGATTACAGCTGCAGGTTCAGGACTGCAGATTCAGGACTGCAGCTTCGTTCCTGGAAGAGCAGGAGAAACTCTGGAGGTAGAAAACAGGCGGGTTTTGTTGCAGTGCTGCATTAATGCAGATCTTCTTCTCTATGCTGCAGAGAAAACCACATCCAGGCTCCTGCAGGGCTTTTATGATGACTGGAGTTTGCCTCATTTGTAGTAAATCTCCCTGTTTGCTCCTCTCTCTCTCTCTCTCCCTCTCTCTCTCCCTCTCTCTCTCTCTCCATGATGTTTCCCTGCTGACCTCTACATCCATCATCACTCTCATCTTCTCTCCATCACCTCACTGAGCGCTGGGATGATGTTTTTGGACATGTTTACTTGTGGCAGCAGCTCAGTGCTTCACGTCCCCGTTGACTTGACCTCCATACAAGACGAACAAGCTGGAGAGAGGAGGAGGAAGTGTGTGTGATTTGTAGAAACCCATTAAGGATGTCATGATACTCAGGAGACCCTCAGCCCCTCACTCGTCTCGTCCTTCCCATGACCCATAAATAAAAAAAACGGGAACATGATTTTAAGTCTTTCTTCGCTCGGACTGCGGCGTGTTTTCTCTTCATGGTCGACCTCAGCTCAGTTATGGATATGAAGAAACAGACTCATGAAAACTACAAACAGCTCCTCCCCTCACTGGTCAGTTTATTTGGGTTATTGTCATGGAGTTTGGTAATCTGAGTACACAATACTCAAGGTTATTTTTGTTATAAGCTGTTGGGGTGTAATTTCTTAATTACAGTTTTCATAATTTCATAATTTCATTTCATAATTACAGTTTTGTTGGTTTATTGTGGACTCCCCAACACATTGGGTAGACGTTCGGGCATTTTAACCCAAGCACCACCCACTCACCAGATTTACACCACCGCTACTGTCCTTTCACACCGGGACCGTTTTTATCGTGCGATTATTTCGGACGTCAATATTTTTTTTCAAACCTGTATCCTGTCAATAAACGTTCACATCAGCGACGTTTTCCCGTTCTGCAATATTCCGGCATTTATTTTTTTGGATCACGGTCGATTTTTCTAAAGTTTCTCATACTGTGTGTCCACTTCTGACCAATCAGATTGCGTGTTGTTGCGACGTCAGATTCACCGGTATATCCAACATGGCTACCAATTCGCCATCACTTGAAGTTGAAGTGGACTCCATTTTTGTCTTGTCGCTTCCACCCGGGACGCTGTAGGATGGTAAGGCAAGGTCCCGCCCTCCTTCGCCTCTGATTGGCTATAAGTGCTGACCGTTTGGCTTGTGCGTGATAATATTTCCAGCTTTTCTAGCCAATCAGAAGCGAAGGAGGCGGGACTTTCCCCTGGAAAAGTCGCAAAATCACACGTCAAAATTCGCCTCCGAATATTTCGTAATTTCACGTTCTATATCCGTGTCGGCCCTGGGGTTTAAGGACCTTTCGTTGGGTTATATGAAAAACACGATTGTTGAGTAAAATTAAATGTTCTGTCCAATGTTTAACCAGCGCTGGGTCAGGAAACGACCTTTTTTAGAGTGTAGGACTCTGAGGAACCACGGTGAACCTCAGAGCTGCAGCCCGTCACCTTCACTCCTCCTCATCCTCTGAGGCGGCAGGAACAGCTGCATGAACCGGCACCAGAGACCCCGGTGAGGCCCGGCCCACCTCCACTTCATCTGCATAAGTGAGTTTTCCCAGAGGCCAAGTTACATAAACCTGGACTCTCAGGGGCCTGAGGGAAGCCCCCCTGATCCTGATCCAGCTGGGCGGGTCACATGATGATCATAAAACACGGACATCAGGCGGATTCACGATCCGTACAGTTTGATTATTCACTCTACACACATGTGAGGGAGTCAGGACACACGTGTACGCATGTGTGCACATCCACACGCATGAATGGACTCGTACATGAGGGCCTGTTTAACACGCATCAGTGCAGCCGTGCACGCATGCGCACACTCAAACACACACACACACATTTACATTTACAGTGAAACCTCCCAGGGATGGTCCTCACTGTTCATCTCACTGAGTGATCTGATGCAACAGCGCCATCTTCTGCACAGTGGGGGAACTGCAGCACTGCAGCAAACTGACTCTTTGTGAACAAGTGGTTCGTCTCTGATTTACCTGAAGTTAACCTGCTGATTCATCACGATCAATAACTTCTTTCATCTGATCGGATGAACTCGTCAATAACTCTTCTTCTGTCATGTTTGCAGTAACTCAGCGGACTCCTCCCACGTTCAGGCTGTGAGCTCTGGGTTTGAACTCAGCCCACGCCTTCCAACCCGTCTACCGCTCACCTTTACCTCGCCGGTAATCATCACCTTCATGTGCTTCAGCCTCTGAGGTTCTTTCTTCTTTCTTCTTTTCACTCACACTTCCTTAACAAAGCTTCTTTTCTCTCTCCTTCCTCTCCCACGTATCCTCCCGCCCCCTCCCTCCCTCTCTCCCATCTCTGTCTGTCTCCTCGTTCCTCCCCTGGCTTCTCCTCCCTCCGCCTCCCTCTGCCTCTGTCTGACGTCAGAGCGACTGCAGTGTGAGATCCAGGGCTCGCTCGCTTGACAGTGCCCATCACTCAGCGGAGGAGCGACAAAGACATCAGAGATGAGCTCTGGAGGAGCTGGATCAGCAGGGGGAGAGAGAGAGAGAGGGAGAGAGAGAGAGGGGGGAGAGAGGGTTAGAGCCACACCCACATGACTCTGACATGGAGTTTGGATTCATTCTGCAGGCTGCACGGCTGGCGAGGGCGAGCTGTGGGCAAGGTCGTCTTTAGGCTGCAGTATTTTTAATGATGTGACTCACCCGGGCATTGTGCAGCAGAGCAACGCAAGAGAGAGAGAGGGGGGGGGGGGGGGGGGGGGTGAAGTATGAAGTAAAGAGAGAGAGAGAGAGAGAGAGAGAGAGAGAGAGATGTCAGGGAGGAAACACCAACTTTAAGATAAAAAAGGTAAAATAAGGCCGAGAGCTCAGAGAGGAAACAACTGTGGGAGCAGAGGGAGGGAGAGAGGAGAGAGAGAGAGACACGATAAACAGAGAGAGAGAGAGTGGGGGGGGGTTTACATTTGAAAGGATTATGAGCTTCAGAGGAACGAGGCGAAGCAACATGTTTGTACATCTGTACGCTCACACACACACACAGTCACTGAAACACAGACTCTAAACATCCAAACAGCTGAACGTCATCAACCAGAGGAACAGCTGATCTGTCAGATTCAGTTCTACTGCGCTGCTTCTGATCTGACGTGTGTGTGTGTGTGTGTGTGTGTGTGTGTGTGTGATTAACAGCACACCACACACACACACACACACACACACACACACACACACACACACACACACACACACACACACACACACACACACACAGCTGCTTTAAGGCCTTTCCTTAAATAATAGATGTGCAGTGAGAGGAGGTTGTGAATATGTTGCAGCAGCAGAGAGACATCTAGTGGAGAAAATGTGTAAAAGCATCAGATGAAGATTTCAGTTTAAATTTAGATTCAGTCCTGATTTAGATTTAGACCTGATTTAGTTTTAGTCCTGCTCCAGTCTTATTCCTGATCCAGATTCAGTCCTGATTAAGTTTTAGACTTGATTCAGTCTTAGTCCTGATTCAGTTTTAGTCTGCACCCAGTTTTAGTGCTGATTCAGTTTAGGTCCTGATCCAATTTTAGTCCTGATCCAGTTTTAATCCTGATTCAGATTCAATCTTTATCCAGTTTTAGTGCTGATTCAGTTTTTAGTCCTGATTCAGATTCAGTCCTGATTCAGTTTAAGTCCTTATCCAGTTTAAGTCCAGGTTCAGTTTTTAATCCTGATCCAGTTTTAGTCCTGATTCCTGAGACCTGATTCAGTGATCGTCATGGTGACCTGAGGACTCAGCGATGCCTTCCTTTGTCCCAGAAACTACAAACACTCTAAAAAACAGATTTATGAACTCAGAGAGGTTTTCTCCTGTTAAAGGTGGAATTAATAAAAAAAAAGAAACTGAGGGTGAACAAAAAAACATTCATGACAATCACAGAGTCAGTATACTAGTGTCAACAGAGTTTCTAATGTCCACTATAATTATCGATTTTATTGTGAGGTTGAGCAGAATTAATTAAAAAAAACACTAAACCTGAATGAAGGGAAAAACATGACGCTGCATTTACGTTCTCCCGGATAATCGGGATTTTCCGAGACGAGGAGTCATTCCTCTCACTTTGGTGCGTTCAGGGACCTCAGAGCGTCGGATGGAATTGTACTGGATCCGTTAAATGAAATGAGAACTAAAGTAGGAAACAGGAGCTGAAGGGTGAAAACTATAACTGTCTTTAACAAACCGTCTTTTATCTCTTTTAAATCCTATTTTATCATGACTATTACCATCATTATTACTGTATTATGATTCTATTATCATTATGAATATCATCTTTCTATGTTTCCTATATTGTTTCCTGATTTCTAACCCCTTCTTTATTACATTTCTATTTTATGTTTTTATTTTGGTCTCATTTTATGTTGTAGGGTTCTTGTATTGTCTGAGTTTCTTATGACAAATGAAATTGTCCTTCAATTTGGAGGTTTTTAACTGAGCTTTTGATTTTTATTTGTTTTTATTTCCAAGTGCTATAAAATAAAGTTATAATAATAATAATAATAATAATAATAATAATAATAATAATATTAAAAGATTATAAAGAAACAGAAAAAAACCACATAGACTTTGGTCTGCGTTTTTTCAGAATAACAGTAAAAACATTAACAGGTCATAAAAAAGGGACATGTATTTTTTTTTTTAAATACACATTACATTTATCTAAAATAACTATAAATAATTTTCTTTTCTTTAATAATAAAAACTGAGGAATAATACAATTAAAACAGAGAAAAGATTTAATTGATTTGATTTGATTTTTTATTATTTCTCTCTCTCTCTGTCTCTCTGTCTCTCTCTCTCTCTCCAGGATCTATTTCTCCTGGTCTGAAGCTCATTTGTCGGATTCTTTCTCCCCTCCCCTGAACGCAGCTGTTGTCGTTGGTCGACGTCACCTTTTCCTCCGCGGAGGGATACCTGTGGTGCGCTGTGTAGTTCCGGGATGAGGACCTACTTCTCGGGATGGAAACCCGTTAGCGGGGTAAGGAGACGTCGGAGCGACACGTCTGCTAGCAGGTGCACAGCGCGAGGAACTCGGAACAAGGAGGTGAACGATGGCGTAAACCCGGTTCTTCTGTTCTCACCGACTAAAGACGCACCAGAACCAGACCTCCAGCCCGGACTTTGACGGGGATTATGTTCCGGTGAGTCCACCTGTGCAGGTTCGAGCTGAAAACAGAGGGTAGCGCGAGGAGCTAACAGCTGACACAGGAAGATAGATCTATGAAAGACTAGAGTCCTTTGAGGTCCGGATCCCTCTGCTCTCGGACCCGGTCCGGTTAAATCAGCTGATTTTAACGAACCAAGTTTTTCCTCTCTGTCTCTGACGTCAGCGCGTTTGACGTCACGTTAGTTCGTTAAACGCTGGTCGTTAATTGTCCTCGAGGATCATCTGTTAACCCTCACGTGACAGTGGAGGGATACCCGTTAATTAGAGCCCAGGTGACACTCAGGTGTTTGTTTATGTGGGGGTTTAATCAGCAGGGGCGTGTCCGGACTCTTCCGCTGAGGGGGCCCAGCCCAGGCAGCAGGATTATTTTTTTCATAGGAAAAACCTTTCACGTTAGTAGAAGAGGATTTGATTTGATGACTCAAAGCAAGTCGGAAATAACGCCGTGTGTTGTCGTGCTCACACAGTGAAGTAGAATCATTCAGCGGTGCGTCGCTGCTGAATGAATGTAGGGGAAACACGGCTGATACATGTGAGTCTGAGGTAGAACTCTGTGAGATAAAAACTAATTTTAGCCGTGGCGGTGCGCCACGATCAATTGCATGTAGGGGAAACCCTGTCTTAGTCGCTTTGCGCTAGTTGTACATGATTTCCAAACTGTTTGGTTTGTTAAAAACATCTAAAATGGAAACATGAGGCAGAAAACGATACTGCAAATAAATAATCATATATGTTATTGTTATTGTTATATGTTATTATAGTTATCCCTATAATAGAAATATTACTAATATAACATACATGGAATGATTAAATGTTTTATGTATAAATTATTTAATATAACTGCCTTGTGTGTGTAGGTCTATAACTATTTCTCTACCTATCTGTTTAATGTTTATTTATGTAAATTCATGGTTAAAATTATTCTTGAGTATACAGGAACATAACTGAAACTCTGAGGTTTGTTATAAACCAAACTGTTTAAAATCAGTTTAAAGTTAATCAATCTATGGTTATTTAAATGTTACATGAACCGTAGACTGGAATGTAAGGAGAGGGCGGGATGACCATAGCAAGATGGCCGCCATGCGCGGACGTCGGTCTCCATTGGCTAACAGCGGTTGTAAGCCATCTAGCGTTCATATATCTACGATCACACGGCCGTCGGTTCTGTACATCGGACAGAAAATTATCGTCATTCTGAATTTCATAACCCGACAGACGATGACGTTTCACAGCCATGAGGAATAACCAATCAGAGCCCAGCACTTCTAGCCAATCAGAGGCGAAGGAGGGCGGGACCTTCCCCGACCATCCTACAAATAAAAAATGTTGCGCCCAGGCTCATGAGTCTGCAGATCCGGGGACCGCTATCCTGAGACCCCCTGATGTGAGTGAAACCCTAAACCAGAACCACCAAGAACCTTCAGGGTCAGAAACAACAACAAGGTTCTTAGTGATCCGGTCCAAGAACTGAAGGGTCCGGTTCTGCAGACATGTGGATTCATGGATGACAGGAAGTCCGCACACACACACACACACACACACACACACACACACACACACACACACACACACACACACACACACACACACACAACAGCCCTGATCAACAGGTGAACAGGTGAGGGTTTCATGATGAAGGAGTGAGTCCAGTCTGGAGGAAATGAACACATGAAAACACCTTTACCTGAGATTTTACTTCCTGTTTTAGAGGAAGTCACATTCCTGTTCACCACCGTGACACACTGCTGTGTGTGTGTGTGTGTGTGTGTGAGTGTGTGTGTGTGTGAGTGTGTGTGTGTGTGTGTGTGTGTGTGTGTGTGTGTGTGTGTGTGTGTGTGTCTCTCACAGACGACTGTCTATCATCTCTCAGCTGAAGCTCAGTGTGAGGTGGTGTGTCTGACAAACACACAAAAACACACAAGGACACACACACACTCTGGGGTAGGAGGTGTTTCCCTGCAGACAGAGTGAGTCACTGTCGTCATGGTTACTGAGCAGCAGCTGGAGGAGGTGTTTTGAGAGGGGGAGGGGTCTTGTCTGGGTTAGGGGTGTGGTCAGTACGGGAGCCCTGAAGGGTCAGACTCTCTGCTGCAGGATGTTAGTCCTGGTTTAGTGTATCAGGGTGTCGACCAGCGTGTGTGTGTGTGTGTGTGTGTGTGTGTGTGTGTGTTTGTAAACACAGGAGGACACACCTTCCCTCAGACCGGCTCCCTCAGGTCGATCTGGTCTCTGCAGGACTCCAGTAGATCCTCTAATGATCGTGTTACAGGTGATGTTTGACCCGTTGCCATGGCGACCGTGTAAATATCTGCTGGGTCTGTGGTCTGTGGCGTGACTGTGATGACGGCAGTCTTCTGTTTTGACCCGCTTTGTTGTCAAACCATCATGAACAGACAAATAGCAGACAGTCACATGACCTGAACAATCTCCTGTCAGCACCACAGATCAGCAATCGATCAATAACTCGATCATAAATACATGTGAGTACGTTTACAGTGGAACGACTGAAATACAATAAAAATAATGAAAGAGGAAAATAAGAATGAAAACAACCCTGAGGCCCTAAGATCCAACCTGGACCTGGTCTCAGACTGGTCTGGGTTTATCAGCTCCTGTCCTGAGAGTGTGTGTGTGTGTGTGTGTGTGTGTGTGTGTGTGTGTGTGTGTGTGTGTGTGTGTTTGTTTAGTGTGTAACCCTGTGGATGTGACCGTTTAAAGGGGCCGTCTGTGATGATGATGATGATGATGATGATGGTGTTTGCTCTGCGGGGCCTGAGGGTGGAGGAGAGCTGAAGGTTCGAGGTCCTCTCAGTCCTCTCAGTCGTCTCTGTCTCTGGTTGTCATGGAAACTCTGCAGCAGACCCTCTCTCTGAACTCTAAATGTTCGATGGTCTGTGTAGTGACTCTGCTGACCTGAATTTTAGTCATTCGTTTTGATTCTGGTTCCTCTCGAGTCTCTGTTTCGATTCTTTTAAAAGTCAGGATATTAAAAAATAAACATGGTTTAATGAGGACGCTAACCATTGTCCTTCTTTTTAGATAAGATTTCTAAACTTCTCCTTGAATTTTTAAATGATATGAAATTTTTAAGAACTTTACTTTGAATTTCTCACATTTTGAACCAGAATATAAATCTCAGTTTTTGTTTCAGGTCGTTTGTCTAAGAAAAAGTTTAAGGGCTAACATTAGTTGGATATTTAAGTTGACCCTCAGTTCACAGTAGAGTTTGTTTGACGCTTCAAAGTTCGCAGAAGACAGAAGTCATTTATTGTTCCACTTTTCTGATTCTGATTCTGATTGGTTAGACGAAGTCTGTTGTTGTGCCGTAGAATGGATCCTCTCCACTCATGAGCTTCTTAAAGTGGAAGAAAATGATCTCATATATAAAAAAACACGAGTATTAGATCATGACAAACCTTCGTTTTGTTTTTATGTCTCTCAGAAATGCACATACAGAGATGAACTCTGGTTTATAAACTGGACAGTGAACTGTTAAGGTAGAGAACTTATTTCTGAATCAGAGGGCTTTTGTTTTCGGCTTATCTGAAGAGTCTGAATGAAATTATTAAAGGAACACAGAAAAAAACAGGAAATCAAAAAAACTTCTCCTCTGTCACATGGTCCTCAGAGGACACGCCCCCTCTGTGGTCACAGATTTCAGACTCATGTTTGGACTCCATGACAGAAGGCGATATCACAGACAGACGATCACAGACAGACGGACGGAGGAGAACAGACTCCATCTTTGTCTGTCACACTGACTCCGCCTCTACTGGACTTCACAGCACCAGCTCGGTCTCCTGGTGGTCTTCATCTCCTCTCTCAGTCGTCTACAAACGTTTTTCTGTTTCTGTGTTTTTTTCACAGTGACGGCGCCGTCTTCTGACCTCCTTCCTGCAGAGTGACGTTAGTGTTCGATTATCCAAGTATCTCTGAGTCTGAGAAGATGTCAGGTAAACGTTCGAGTTCAGCAGGAGTCTGAGGAGACCTCTGAGATGATGTTCCTGATCTGAGTTCATCTGTGGATCTGTGTTTTCAGGGACCTACACTCCGGCCCCTGGGGGCCCCTTCTCTGCTCTCACTCCGAGCATGTGGCCCCAAGACATCCTGGCCAAGTACCATCAGGTGAGTACGAGTCTCTGTGAGCCGGTTTCTGTGCAGACTTTTGTTTGTTCAGTGTGATCAGAGATGCTTGTATAAAAGGGCGTGACACACATAACCTCCACAGCTGTGTCATCATGTGACTCTGAGCCGCCGTGAACATGACCGCCAGGAATCATGAAAATATTCATCTCAGGAGACACACCATGTTGGAGACGATGTTCGGAGAATAAGACCTTTTTTTGGGGATGTTCTGGTTTTATACCTTATTGTCAGGAGATAAAGAAGAGGACGGAAAAATTACACTTGGATCTGAAGTTTTATATTTGGGAAAAGAGAAGCAGGAGATAAGAAGGTCAGGAGAAACATACAGATTTACAGTAATGTTGGTGACGCTAAAAAGACCATCAGTAGAAACTGTCTAAAAACAGATGAACCAAAAATGGAGGATTAGAGGTCATGATCGATGAATAAAGAACGGAGAAGCTGACTTTCTCATCTCGACTGAAAACAGAAACTTTTAAAAACTCCTGAAAAAACTGGGTTGATCTTGTGTCTCAGACTTTGTGCAGTAAAGACAGTGTGTATTATAGATTATTGATCCCTCATATGTTTATAATGTTTATGCTTCAACAGGAGAAAAGAGACGATGAGAGAGAGGAGAGAAAAAAGGACATGAGTGAAAAGTGATTTTCCTTCACAGTTATTCTGCTGAAACTTTACTAAAGAGTTTCTGTCTGATTACGTCTCTGCTCCACGATGGAAATTTGTTCAATATGTAAAATGTTGATGGATTATTGATCTGTGAAATCAGTAAAAAAGAAAATAATAAAAAAGAGCTGATCCTCAGAGCGTCTGCTGAGTCCATCCTCACCAGTTTTTCCTCTTTTGTCTCTGCAGAAAGATCCATCTGAGCCGCCTGAAGTCCAGTACGACGAGTTTGGGTTCAGAGTGGACCCTGAAGGTGCTCCACACACACACACACACACACACACACACACTCACAGGGTTTCAGTCTTTAAAGCACAGATGCCCCCCCCTCACTGGGACATAGATTCCTTCAGCGTGGCGATCTCAGCTGTGACCATCAGTAAATATGTCATGTGACTAAATCAGGCGCTCCGATCGTCTGATCTTGAACTGATTAAAGTGTTCAGACTCTCCCAGTTTTACAGTAATGTGTTTTTGCTCCATCTGTTAATATACAGGTCATGTGACCCTGAAACAGCTGATTCTGTTTTAGTTTTAAACCCTCAAAAAGGAGAAGGAGAAGGAGAAAGGAAGGGCATTCAAGTTAAAAAGGGTCTCCAGAGAAAAACAGGAGAGGACAGAGAGGACGAAAAGGTAGGGAGAACAGGGGGAAGGGGAGGACAGAGAGTTAGGAAGGACAGAGAGGAAAGGAAGGTAGGGAGGACACAGAGGTAGGGAGAACAGGGAGGTAGGGAGGACAGGTAGATAGGGAGTACAGGGAGGACAGAGACGCAGGGAGAACAGGGAGGAAAGGAAGGTAGGGAGGACAGAGAGGAAGGGAGGTAGGAAGGACAAAGAGGACAGGTAAGTAGGGAGGACAGAGAGGACAGGGAGGTAGGTAGGTAGGGAGGACAGGTAGAACAGATAGGTAGGTAGGAAAGGGAGGTAGAAAGGACAGGGAGGTAGGGAGGACAGAGAGGAATCGAGGTAGGGAGGACAGGGAGGTAGGGAGGTAGGAAGGACAGGGAGGTAGGGAGGACAAACAGGACAGATAAGTAGGGAGGACAGAGAGGACAGGGAGGTAGGTTGGTAGGGAGGACAAAGAGGACGGTAGGAAGGGGAGGTAGAGAGGACAGGGAGGACAAACTAGAGAAACCAGAACTTTCATGAGGTTCCCTCACCTCAGTCTCTTCATAAGAGTCCAGATCCTGGTTCTTTAACCCGGGTCTACCCTCTCCTCTCAGATGACGGAAAGTCCAGGTCCTGGTTGGTCTCAGACGGGTCCCCTCAGCGTGAAGACCCTCAGCAGCGTCTTCGTTGGCAGGCCCACCTGGAGTTCACCCACAACCACACGGTGGGCGACCTGACCTGGGAGCTCATCGACCCGGTCCTCGCTCGCTCAGACCGCCTTCGCTCGCTGGTCCTGGGCGGGATCCCTCACAGCATGAGGCCTCAGGTGAGCAGAACCGTGACCTTTGACCTTCGACCTTTCCCTCAGACCGACCTTCAGGGTCTCACAGGTGTTTGTGTTTCAGCTGTGGATGCGTCTGTCTGGAGCTCTGCAGAAGAAGAGGACCTCCGAGATCTCCTACAAGGAGATCATCAAGAACAGCTCCAACGACGACAACAGCACCGCCAAACAGGTGACCACCAGAACCTGGACCTCAGAGTCCACCAGAACTGTCCTGGACCTCGGACCATGAGTTCTGCATCCACCCACTAGACAATACAGCTTCACTGTAGACCAGCGTTTCCATGACAACACAGCATGGACAAAAGACTGCATAGATCTGAAACACATAGATCTGAAATAGATTTAAGACACATAAAATTGAAAGACATAGATCTGAACATGTAAACCGGAAACACATAGAAGTGAAATACATAGATCTGAAACACATAGATCTGAAACATATAGAACTGAATCAAATAGAAGTGAAATACATAGACTTTACATGAGGACCGTCATCTTCTCAGAGACGTTTTCTCTCATTTAAACACAGGAAGAGAAAAATCTGAAGTGTTGATAGACCCTCATGATCAGACCTGAACCAGCATCGTTCTGTAGTCCTCTTCAGCTGGTCTTGGTGGTCTGATGGTCACCCTCTCACCCCCTCACCCTCTCACCCTCTCACCCTCAGATAGAGAAGGATCTCCTGAGGACCATGCCGACCAACGCCTGTTTCAGTAACCTGAGCAGTGTCGGCGTGCCGAGGCTGAGGCGGGTGCTGAGAGCCCTGGCGTGGCTTTACCCGGACATCGGGTACTGTCAGGGTACCGGGATGGTAAGAACCAACACACACACACACACACACACACACACACACACACACACACACACACACACACACACACACACACACACTTTTATCACCTGAAACTTCCTCATTTGCTGCTAAAGACTCAGCTCTGAAATAAAACGCAAATAAACTTGGAGACGTTTCCTTAACTCCTATCCTGTCTTATTTCCTACCTCCTCTCCTCAGGTGGTCTCCTGCCTGCTGCTCTTCCTGGAGGAGGAGGATGTTCTCTGGATGATGTGTGCTCTCATTGAAGATCTCCTTCCTCCATCCTACTTCTCCTCCACCCTGTTGGGGGTCCAAACAGACCAGAGGGTCCTCCGTCAGCTCATCGTTCAGTACCTGCCGGCCCTCGACAAGCTGCTGCAGGAGCACGACATAGGTGAGGGGTTAGGGGGTCCAGAGAGATGATGCTCCTCCTTCAGTCCTGTATAAGTGTAAACTAACCTCCTCCTCCATCTTCTCCTCCTCCTCCTCCTCCATCCAGAGCTGTCTCTCATCACGCTGCATTGGTTCCTGACTTCGTTCGCCAGCGTGGTGGACATCCGTCTGCTGCTCAGGATCTGGGACCTGCTCTTCTATCAGGGCTCTCTTATCCTCTTTCAGATCACACTGGGCATGCTCAAGATCAAGGTATCTGATTGGCTCCTGGAGATATTTATTATTATTATTATTATGAGGTCACATGGTCCACAGATATCAGGATTAGTGAATATTAGTCTGTATCTGTATTCGTGGTTCAGGGTTCATGGACTGAGGGCCTGATTCCGTCTCTCTCTCTCTTCGGTTTCTCGGTCGCCTCAGATCAGTCTCTGTGGTCGTATAAATCCTGTCTTCTGATTGGTTGTTGAGTACCTGTACCTGACCTCTAAGTGTGACCTCTAAATCTCCTCCCTGACCTCAGGAGGAGGAGCTGGTATCTTCGGAGAACTCAGCGTCCATCTTTAACACGCTGTCGGACCTGCCGAGTCAGCTGAGGGACGGGCCGGCGGTCCTCGGGGAGGCCATGAGGCTGGCCGGCTCGCTGTCCCAGGAGACCCTGGAGGCCCACCGCCACAAACACCTGGCCTACATCCTGAACGAGCAGACGCAGCTGAACAACGGGAACAACACCACGCTCAACGCCAACCTCAACAAGGTCGGTCTGTCCGTCTGAGAGGCAGAACCTGCAGGAGGATCAGAACTGTCAGTCCTGATGTTTGACCTGGTCTCTGTTTCAGGTGGTCAGGAGACAGTCTCTGCGCAGGAAGTCCACCCTGAGCTCGCTGCTGTTCGGCGAAGACGAGGCGGACGCCCTGAAGTCCAAGAACATCAAACAGACGGAGCTGGTGGCCGCCCTGAGAGAGGCCATCACTCGCACCGCCGAGCATTTCCACTGTCTGGACCCTCGCCACTCCAGCACGGTGAGGTCACGCTCCGCCGTAACCACACGCTTGGTTAGGTCACATGTTCAGGTCTTCATCCTGGTGCGTCATGTCTCTGCAGGACCTGACCCCAGACTACTCCATGGAGAGCCACCAGAGGGACCACGAGAACTTCCTGGTCGTTTCTCGTAACAGGCGGAGACGAGCGAAGGCCTTACTGGACTTTGAGCGCCACGATGACGACGAGCTGGGCTTCAGGAAGAACGACATCATCACTGTGAGTCCTCGCTAACGGGGGGGTGTTCAGGGTCCAGTCTTCACCCAGGTCCTCACACCCTCCTCCACCTGTGTGTGTTTCAGATCATCTCGCAGAAGGACGAACACTGCTGGGTCGGAGAACTCAACGGTCTCAGAGGTTAGTGTTTTTCTGTCCTCTCGCCATGGCGGCCATGACGGTTTCAGCTCTGATCATGTGTTTCCTGTCTCTTCTTCAGGATGGTTTCCTGCCAAGTTTGTGGAGATCCTGGACGAGAGGAGCAAAGAGGTCAGAAGCTTCTGCTGATGATGATGATGATCCTTTGAGTTTAATTGATGATCAGAGTATTGATCGTTGGCGTCTGCTCTGCCTTAGTACTCTTTAGCAGGTGACGACTCGGTGACTGAGGCGGTGACGGACCTGGCTCGAGGGACGCTGTGTCCCGCCCTCAAGGCCATTTTCCAGCACGGTCTGAAGAAACCGTCGATCCTGGGAGGACCGTGTCACCCGTGGTTGTTCATCGAGGAGGTGGGGGTCCCAAACAGATCTGAGATGTTCCTCAAAGTCCTCGTCTCACAGGAATAAAAACTTCTCTCTGTTTTTTCCAGGCGGCGAGTCGAGAGGTGGAACGAGACTTCAACTCCGTTTACTCCAGACTGGTGCTGTGCAAGACCTACAGGTACACCCAACCGGATCAAACCAGAGAGCTGGTGGAGGTTTCTGGAGGTCTAACAGCAGAACAAATGTGGTGATGAGTGGATGAGAGTGACGTCTCAAACCCTCAGGGTCCGTGTTGAGCTCCTTCTGTTAGCAGCGCCGCATTTTACCTAGTAAATACATCCCTGTTCCCACGCTGCTGCGCTGCTCCAGCAGGCGATGACACGTGCTGCTCGACAGAGGCGGGACGCAACGGTGACGGACATGTCCAACACAGATCCTGAGGTTTTTTGGATTTAGAGGATGAAACAGTGATGAATCTGTCCTCATGGTTCTTCACCGTCGTTTAACCCTAACTCTCTCTCTCTCTCTCTCTCTCTCTCTCTCTCTCTCTCTCTCTCTCTCTCTCTCTCTCTCTCAGGTTAGATGAAGACGGTAAAGTGCTGACACCAGAGGAGTTGCTCTACAGAGTAAGTGTGTGAAACTGTCAGATCTGCAGGTTTATGTTATTAAAAAATAATTACATTTTTTTAATTATTTTTAATACTATCATTATTAAAATTTCTTTATTAAAAATAACTAATATAATTATTATCAACAATGTAACTTATTTAGTCATTAATTATATAATTATAATATTTATACTTAACATTAATATTATAATGATTACCCTACTATTACTATTATTATTTTATTATAATTTATTTTATTAACATTTATATTATTAATATTATTATAATTGTTATTAATATTGTTAATATTATTATAATTGTTATTATTTTTTATAATTTTATTTACATGAGAATTATTTTTAGTATTATTAAACATTCTGGTTTTTATTATTACTATCATTATTATTATTATTATTATTAGTAATGGTATTATTAAATAGGTTTCATTGTTATTATTAACATTATTATTTTAAGATCATTATCAACATTATTAGTATTATTAAATGTGCAGGTTTTTATTTTTATTGTTATATTTTTATTATTTGAATAACATTGTAATTATTTTTTGTAATGTGCAGGTTTTTATTTTTAATACTTTATTATTATTATTTAATTAACATTATCTTTTTTTGATGTGAAGGCTTATTAAATTTTTATTGTTATTCATGTTCATGATCACTGATTCTGCACACCCACATCTGTGTAAAAGTCGATCTCAGGTGTTATTTTTCTGACGGAGGTTTTGAGCGGATCAGTTCGGTCCCTCTGTGGAGGTAAACCGGTCTAAGAGCGCCCTCTGTCTGCTCTCCTCAGGCGGTGCAGTCTGTCAACATGAGTCACGACACCGCACACGCTCAGATGGACGTCAAGTTCAGGTCTCTGGTCTGCGTTGGGCTCAAGTAAGTTTTCTCACGGTCTGGTGGTCTTCATGTCCGTCCCTAATCTGGTGGAGATGTTAAACTGTGTCTGTCCTCCTCCTCCGTCAGTGAGCAGGTGCTGCACCTGTGGTTGGAGGTCCTGTGCTCCAGCATGGCTGCAGTAGAGAAGTGGTACCATCCCTGGTCCTTCCTCCGCAGTCCCGGGTGGGTCCAGATCAAGTGTGAGCTCAGGTGAGAACCTCTCAGGTCTGCAGTCTCTGTGAAAACAGCTGAAGTGGTTTCTCTAACGGTTCCTGGTCTTTGTGCTCCTCAGGGTTTTATCCAAGTTCGCCTTCAGTCTCTCTCAGGACTGTGAGCTCCCCGATAAGAAAGAGGTGAGTCCGGATCATCTCAGGTGGTCCACCATCATGAGGTCTGCTTCAGTCCAGTTTCTGCTTCAGCCTCTGTATTTTATTTCTAATGATGACCTTTGAACTTTGTCCTCCAGGAGAAGGAGCAGCGGCCGCTAAAGGAGGGCGTCCAGGACATGCTGGTCAAACATCACCTCTTCAGCTGGGACATTGACGGATAAACGCAGAGTCCAGATCAGCTGATCGGCTGACTCCTCCCCCTTCCTGTGTGTCTGTTTATCTGATGTCTCCTCTCCTGTTTCCTAAATCTGACCCGCTAAAGTCTGGGACTCCTTTCAGACCTCCTCCTGTCTCGTTATCTTAGAGCATCAGGAGGAGGTGACCCCGTGATCCTTACTGTCAGTCTGCAGGGTCGTGAGTTTTAGTCCTGAGGAGGAGAAGGAGGAGGAGGAGGACACCCTTACCTGGACTGTCAGGTGGTTCTCCTGCTTTAGTATCAGGATCAGTGGACTGAGTTAGATCCTCTAACCTCAGTGTCATAGATTCAGCTGAAACATAGATGCTGCACACGCTGAGAACAGCTGTTCAAGAGAGGCGGACAGGTGTGAGGTCTACCTGAGCGCAAGTGGACTGTACTGAGATGAGAAATGTGCACGAGGAGGCAGATTAAGCCTTTGTGTTTGAAGTTAATCTAGATGTTCCCTTTGGTTTGTTGTTTTTGTACATAAACAGTAAATGTGTATATATATATATATATATAAATATAAATATATATAAATGTTACCTGTGACTAAATGTAGATCCTGAAAATCAGCGAGTGTCCTAAACGGTTTTCAAACTTCAGCTCTGACTAAAATCTGCACGTGCATTAAAGAGAGAGAGAGAGAGAGTTTGTTTTACTGTGTGTGATCGGGTTTGACTTAGACCAGGACTAGGTCTTAAGGTTTGGGCTTTTCGTGAATCCTGCAGAGTTCATCAGAAGAATGAAACTGAACGGTGATGCAGGATTATTGTTTGTCTGTTTCTGCTCCAGATACAGGAGAGAAAAAAAACAAAACACAACTGCAACTCTAAAAACAGAAATCTGAGGGTTCGAGGTTCATCTGTGAAAGTGCAAAAAAAAAAAAAAAAAATATATATATATATATATTTAAAAAAATATTTTTTAAAATATATATATATATTTAAAATATATATAAAAATATATATTTATACACATATTTATATATAGTTTAAATATATGTGTATATCTTTTTAGATTAAATATATATGTAGTTTAAAAAATATAGTTAAAAAATACATATGAATAGTTTAAACATATATGTATGTTTATATATATATATATATATATATATATATATATATATATATATATATATATATATTTATATTTATATATATATATATATATATATATATATTTTTTTTTATTCATTGATATAATTCAAGTTAAAAAACATGTAAACCATCAAAAACCGGGGTTTGTTGGAGCTGGGGTCACAATTTCTTGATTGACCCAATTTAAGTGACTGTCATGATGTGGCTTCAGTCCTTTCACAGCAATCTTATTATAAATTTTAATGATAATAATATAATAAAAACAACCTTATGACTCTTTGGCACTAACGAGACACTTTAACATCAGTCAGCTGCAGATTGAGACAGAGGATCTCTGGTAAAAGTTGAGGAAAGCTCGTTTTATTGTCGTTTGTCAGTTTAAAACATCACATTTTCACAGCAACAGGCTTCAACAGACATGGAGGACTAGAGTTACAGGCAGCAGCAGCAGCAGCACTGTGATGAGCTAACGCTGTGAGCTAACACCATGGATGAGGTCTGAATGCGGCGGCGGGCGGAGGAAGGAGGGTGGCGTGAGAAGGGGGTCTGAGTGAGAACCTGAAGGTTTCTGCATGTTTGCTGAATAAATACCCGACAGTTAAAAACGCTAACAGCTTCGTCCTCATTAAAAATCACGACGCGCCCTCTTCTTCTTCGTCTTCTTTGCTACATTCAGTTTGATGTTTTGCATACAAGAGTCCGATCAGAGCACAGCTAACAGCGAATTTACAGAAGCAGAATAAATACGACATTTCAATAAAACAGGAATGAACAGGGAGGTCCACAGATAGCTGCTCGTGTTGGTGCTGGACCCTCAGTGTCAGTTTTAACCCCCTCCCTGCCTCCCTGGAGGAGAATCTGGATCAGATCAGACCCCCCCAGAGCGAGGCTGAGGTCCAGAGTCAGCCCTCGAACCTTCAGGACATTCAGGCAGCTGACTCCAGACTCGGTAGTGGGTTTATGTGTGTGTGCGGTTCAGGACGTGGTCCTCTGTGTTCCCTTTAAAATCAAAACTAAAGCCACTGTAAGAAGGAGGAGGAGGAGGAGTGAGGAAGAGGAGGAGTAGTAAGAAGGAGGAGTAGGGAGTGTCGCTGCAGACGGCTGATGGTCTGTGGAATGAAGACACTTGTGGAGTGACAGCAGAGGGAGCGTAAACTCGGACGGAGGCGCTCTAACAGCCTACAGGTCCTGACGATGAGGAGGGGGGCGCTGTGGAGTTGGCGTTGCTGTTCTGACCTTTTCCTTTGTGCCTCTGACCGCCTCGCCTCCTCCCACCTCCTCCTGACTTTGGCTGCACAGGAGAGAGAAAGGAGATCAGATCATCAGACTCACACTAACACAGAGATCATAGAGGAAACCAACAGAGGAACCAGAGACCGGGCCCTGGGCCCTCAGACCACCCTCTACAGGGTCCACCACAAAGTCAGGCATCAGGTCAAACCCTGAACCAGCAGGTTCCTGGTTTTAATCCACCTCCTCATCTTTTACCTTGTTCTCTTTGTTCCCCTCCTTTATCTGAGGGTCTTCATCCCCCTCTCCCTTTGGAAGCAGCATGGGAGGAGAGGAGAGGAGAGGAGAGAAGGAGACGAGAAAGGATGGAAGGAAAAGGAAACAAGGATGTGAGAAGATTGAAAGAGGAAGAGAAGCAGTGAAGATTTAGAGAGGAGCAGAAATACTGAGAAAAGCAGCAGCAGAAGATCATCTCCAGAAAACAAACGTCTCACCTGCTGCTGCGTCGCCGTCGTTCCTCCTGGCGGTCCTATCGTCGCTGCATCGTCACCTACTGCCACCGTGCCATCCTCTTTTCGGAGCGGCGCCTTTTTTGTCGACTGCATTTTAATTTGAGGAGGTTTGGAATTTGACGGCATGTTGTTGGTGGACTGAAGGAGCTGAACGAAAAACAAGAGGAAGAAGACAGAGTCAGAGCCCAAAGAGGATCTCAGAGCAGATCAGAGAGAGCTGGTCTTACAGGGTAAGTACTCAGGTTACAATTTCCAGAAACTTTCCATGGGAAGTTTCCAGAAAAATTCCCAGAATTTTGCAACCCTGTTCAGTACCTTGGTGATGGTCCCCACAGCTTTGGTCCGCCCCTCCCTGAACACCAGCCTCTGGTCACAGTGAAGGTACTCGGGGGTCTTGATGAAGCGGAAGTGGACTGAGGCCTTGTCCCCGGTCCTTAGGCAATCTCTGTTCATGGACAGGATGGTGGCTGTCTGTCTGATGCTGCCGCAGTGAACTGTGTGTGGGGGGGGAGAGATTATTACCGTAAACCTTTGAATAGAAGCCCATCCTAATGAAGGGCAGGGTCTGTTCGTGGCTGCAGGTAACCAGACCGACTACCCTTCATTGGATCAGCGGCTCTAAAATCTGACAGAAACAGACTAACTCAGGATTTCTACTGCATCCGGAATGGCAGCGATTTTCACCGTATGCCAATTCCTACCGGATCTGTTTTTGAGGCGGATTACGGACAGTTGGAATCGCCCGAACTCACAAGAACCCACAAATTCACATGCAATCGAGCGTTCCTTTCCAGCACGGGTTAATCTGTGCTGAAATTATCCGGCATGCTCCGCAGAGGAACGGAAAGAAGTCCGTGGAAATTGACACGTTAACTTGAATGGTTACGATCAGCTACGATCCGCGGATACGGCCTTTTCACAGTCGTTCCGGATGCGGTCGAAATTGTGGGTAAAGGCTGCAGGTGGTCTTCCCCACACCGAGCAGGTCTGTGATACCCACCCATGGCCTGGTATCTAGGGGATATCGTGGTAGGGTGATGCAGGACCAAGATCTCGGCCTCAAACTCCCAGGTGGCCTGTGGGCAGAGCCTCGGGGACACCATAACCATGCCTTTCCTGATGGACGAGCGTTTGATCTTTACAGAGAGGAGAGAGAGAGAGAGACTTTAGAGCCAAGACCTAAACCAAGGGTCTGAGGAACCTGAGGAACCACTCTGGAGGTCCAGCCACCTTTTTGAGAGCAAACGAAGCCGTCTGACCCCCTCGGACCTCCTTCACGGGCATCCTCTTACGGTGGATTGATTTGACGGCAATGGGGATGAAGCTGCCCAAAGGGTCCGGCCCCAGCAGCATGGTATCATTCAGCCGTATCAGTCCACGTAAAGTAGTCCCTGACACCACAGTCCCCACCCCCTGAGACAGACAAAAGACAGACGCTGGGTTAGAGCAGGTTTGGATCAGAACATGAGTTTGGATCACAGGGAAATGGGTCCGGTCATGAGAACTGGTTCAGAATACCGGCACAGAGTAGGTGTCGTCTATCTGAAACTCGGCGGGCTGGTCGTCTCTGTACGAGGTCCTGGAGGAGAGCAGGTTCAAGAACATCTTCAGCAGGTCCATGTTCTCCCCGGTCACATTGGAGATCTGGAAGATCGGGCACATCCTGGGGGGGTGCAGGAAACAGAACCAGAGTTACACAAACAAAGGGGGACCAGAACATGGACTCTGAAGGTGTCTGAGGAGTCAAGAAGAACCTCTCTGAGCTGAAGTTGGAAGCGGTGACAATGACGTCGTCCTTGTTCTGCACCAGGACCGGGATCTTCCTGCAGCCGGGGGACTTGAGTAACCTCTGGAGCAGCTTCAGAGTTTCTGTGGTGACCCAGAATCAGAATCTGACATAGACACGTCTAGAACCTTCGGATTTAAGAAGAACCTTGAGAGTGACAAGGACTGACCCTGAAGGATGTTAGCCGGACACATGTCGATCTTAGTCACCACCACAAAGACCGGGACATTCAGGGCCAACGCCAGACCCAGGTGCTCTTTGGTCATCCCCACGATCCCCGCGTTACTGCCAACCTGGGGGGGGGGGTTAGAGATAGATAGATAGATAGATAGATTTACAGACAGATAGATCTTGTTCTTCTCTGTGTGAGATTTAATCAGGGAGGAGAATCCAGAACCGTCTCTAACTGGTTTTTAAGTCATCAGTATCATTAGACTCCATGCTGAACAGAACTCTGATGGTTCAGGTCTCAGTGAACCCCCCCACTGACCATAAGCATGCAGAAGTCTGGTAGGTGTCCGGTCATCCCGAACACGGTGGTCTTCAGGTATTTCTCGTGGCCCGCCAAGTCGATGAAGGTGATGACTTTGGAGGACTTCTCGCAGATCTTGGTCCAGTCCAGACTTCCTCCGTGACTGTCGGGTTTGTTGACCACCTAAAGAGAGATGGATTTAGTCACGTTGGACTCTGGAGCTCTAAAAAGACCTGTAAACCGGTCCCCTCCTGGGCCCGGTTCTCCTCACCTGACCCTCCTGGTCGAAGCCCAGGATGTCGTTGCCCACGCTGCTGGTCCTGCCGCTCTCCATCTCGTGTTTGTGTCTAAAGAGCTTCTGGCGAGCGAACCCTCGCCCGTTGTCAAGCTCGCCGTGGGTCAACACTCCCAGCAGCGTGCTCTTACCGGCGTCCACGTTTCCCACCACCGCCACCCTACAGGAGGGGGAGGAGCACCAGAACATCACTAGAACCGAACCGGGCCGCTTTAACCACATCTCACTAACAGAAATCCAAACCACCATGACACCTCCTCATCACCTCTGATCCCTTACCTGACCTCCAGGAAGTCCAGCTCCCCTACACGCCTGCGGATCAGATAGTCCCGGACCAAACCGGCAGCCTCGTTTCGCTCCCGCAGAGGAATGAGGTCGGCGTCGATTTGCTCACACATGGAGTGCACCGTGGCGATGGAGGCCTCCATATCCTTCTCATCCAGACCCCAGTCACCTCCGTCTGAAACAGAGAGGAGGTACAAGAGGAGGCTCTGTGAGGATGGACTTCAGAGGAAATCCATCTTAAGGATCAGGACTCTGACGACCTCACCTGAGCCCATCCCCACCACGTAGATGGTCTCTCCACATCCCTCCTCCATCCTGTCCCGGAGCTGTCGAAGTAAAGAATCGTACTGCTCTCCATTTGGACTGACCAGAGCCAGCTGATCGGTCCGTTCATGAGGAGAAGGAGAGAGAAAACAGGAGAGGGTTAAAAATGTCTGCAGTCGTCAGCTGATCCCTGGTCGGTGGATCGCTCTTCACCTCTTTATCTCAGCTCTTCAGGAGCTGCAGGGAGTGGAGGTTCAGATCTGCTCTGCACACAAACACAGATGTCTCTATTCCCATGAAACTATTTAAGGATCTGTGTGAACGCAACACCCTGCAGAAACAGCAGAACCAGAGAGGAGCAGTAAGAGCTGCTGAAACAGCCTCATACTGACTGTAACAGGAAAACACCAAAACACCTCCTAGAGCTCAAACTCCACCGAACTTTAAAGGGATATTCCGAATTAAAATAATTAAGGGTCAAACACACTGTAACACCGAGTTAAACCCCCCCTCCAGAGATGAATGTTGTCGACCGCTTGCTTCTCTAGTTATACCAACTTTAGTAACGACCGCAGGATAGAAATACAGAGAGCCACGCCCTCAACCAAAACGCCACTCTATAGCCACAAATAATGCTCAGAACAGCACCTAACTTCATCAACAGGACATATAGGGTCACAGCCATAGTACTAGACACCAAACATCTTTTTAACTTTGACTCATTTCTTTGTTTGTAGTGAGACCTCAGGCCAGTCCATTACGGACTACAGCGGGGTGCCGCAGCTCAAGGAAGAACATTTATGATCATTTCTTCATGGAAATACAATCAGACCGAGACACTAAGTCAGAAGAACTACCGCGTCTGCAGAGTTAAATGATTACTAGGCAATCATTACTTCATAAGTGGTAGAAAATGGATGGATATTACTTCAAGGAAATGATAAAAAATGAGCAACATTCATCTCCGGAGGGGGTGTCGAACTCGGTGTTACAGTGTGTTTGACCCTAAATTAATTTTACGCCGGAATATCCCTTTCACTAGTGCAGAAATCTCACACACTTGTTCCTTGTGTTTGTGTGCTGACCGTTTGGCTTTAGCTTGTGATGATGTTTCCAGCTTTTCTAGCCAATCAGAGGCAAAGGAGGCGGGACTTTCCGTGGGATGTGTCTTTTTCCCCCTGGAAAGTCGCAAAATTGCATCGGGCTTGATGTGTATAGTCAGGCGCGTATAGTTGCCTCAGAATATTTCGTTATTTTATCATTCATATTTCAACCATAGACTATATTTAGAATAGACGCCGTCTGCCTCCTCGCTGGGTGAAGCCACTCTGAGAACAGCGCCCTCTGGTGACGGACTGCAGTATAGGTCATAAACCCCGCCTCCTTATGGAGCTGTGGACAAACGTTATAACTTAATGACACAGAATATAAATGTTTCTCCCCCCTGGTTGTGATGTTGACATGTAGTTACTGTCAGACTGGTTTGTGCTCAAGTCCTCTTTTTTCTGTACAGCTCCATTTTTAAAAGTTATTAGGGGGTTCATGTTTTCTATGATTGACACCTGATACAGCCTATGGGCGTTCAGGGATTGCGTAGCTCACCCAAGGGATACGCTGTTTGAGCCAAGCGTCATCACAGCGACTCTTGGTGACTCTTTCGCCGAATGCGCACAACGCTACTGCGCAGCGCTGGTTTAAATATAGTCTATGGTAAGGACCTTTACCCTTCTGCTCAACTTACCCCGGTCTCCCCTAAATGTAATTTTTCACATCCCTCCAGCATATTTGAGAAAACATGCAGTAATAAAACAGATGGCACATAGTTCCCTCCTCAGAACACACAAGAATACTGAATATCGAGGTTGGACCAGTCTGGGATCTTGTTGTTTTTGTGAAACCTGATGGACAGGTAAGGATCAGACTCACCTGACCACATCCTGATGTTCAGTCTGTGTGTGTTCACAGTGTCAGGTAACCTCAGAGCCTGTTTGTTTGTCTAAATTCACAGATATGTAGATATTCCTGTCCCCCAGAGACCTGCTCCTGGTCCCAGATGGAGCAGTCAACCTGCTGTTAGCATTAGCCACATTTAGCTCTTTAATGTTAGTGAACGGGTCCGGGTTCGGTTTAATAAATGGGTTTACGGTCAAACAGTGTTTAATTTTCAGTAAAAATATAACTATAAATAAAAATATAATCATGAATAAAAAAACATAAACGCGTTTCTTTCATTCATTCATCTCCAGGGTTAGCTCGGCCTGCTTTTACCTTATTGGTGAAGTCCACCCCCCGATCCTCGGACTCGCCGTTGATCACCTCCCCGTCCTCGAAGCACTCGTCCCCGGCCTCGTCTCCTCCGCATCCCCCCCGGTCCGGAGCGAAGATACTGGCCGGGACCAGAGCGTCAGCCAGCGGGATGGAGCCCGGGGTTAGACCCGGCTCAGGAGCTGCAGCTACGGATGACATTTTTATTATTATCCCGGCTCTGCAGAGACCAGAACCAGAACCAGATCCAGGTCCAGACTGTTGTGATGGTGACGGTTAGAAACTACACACACACATAAACACAAACACACACAATAACACACACACAAAATAACACACACACCGCGAACAGTCTTCTGCTAAAGTCGGTAAATGCACCAAAATAAAACCTTTTATTAAAGCTCCTCCACAGATTCACAATCAGCTGTTTATCACCAATATAACAACCAGCAGCTTATCAATATTAAACAGGAGGGCGTGTTCGGGTCCGCCTTCTTCCGGGTTTTTCTCCAATAGAGTCTGAGGTTGGATCAATAAATTCTCAGCGGACCAATCAGAGAGAGGAGGCCGTTCATATGATTAGATGATGGACAGCCCCTCTGGATCTGTTCAATGCTGCAATCCCAGTGAAACACTCCTCTATGACATGATAACAACAAACATAACAGCTGTTTTAACTTTTTATTAACCATCAATTTCATCATTCAGCTTTTTAAACGTTTGTTCTGAACAACAAACAAGTTTAATAAAGAAATTAAACAAAAGTAAGTTAAAAAAAACAAACAAACATTTAAAACGCTCCTAAAGTATTAGAAACGTTGTTATGATTAAAATCAGAGTTGATTTTTCCTCAGTCGAACTCCCTGTTAAAGATTAAAAAGACAGAATCAGAAATACTTTAATAACCCCAGGGGGAATTTGTTTTTTGTCAGAGTAACTCCAGTGCAAATAAAATAGAAAGAGGAGACACATAATTCTCAACTCAACTTTAAAACAACCACAGCTGAACAAAGTGCTGTACATAAATAGACAAAACAACACAAACATAAAACAACAATTAAAATAATGGATAAAATAAAAGCAGACTTTAAAAAGTAAAATATAGTTTCAATGTTTTTAAAAAACTAATTTAAAAACATAGAAACAAATAACTAAAAAAAAACATAAAACACTAAAACAGGAGCTGAGTCTTATAAATAAAAATGGGTTTTAGGAGTTTTTAAAATGGACAGTGTGGGGGGGCTGGTCTGATTTGGAGGGGTCACTCGTTCCATACAGAAAAAGATCTGATCCCTCTGAGCTTCAGTTTGGACCTCGGTACCTCCAGGAGCAGCTGATCAGCTGACCTGAGGCACCGAGCAAGCGAGGGTGTAGCGGTGGAGAAGCTCAACATATAAGTAAAATAAGTCAAAATAAAGAGATAAAATACAAGAATGTACATTATATACAACACAAAATAATAAAGTAGTATGCATGTAAACAGTGAGCAAAGTCCAGGTAAAGATTACTGACTGAGGGTGTCAGAGTCTCTGAGGGAGGAGTTACAGACTTTATATAATGTCGTATTTCCCTGCAGTCATGGTGGTTTCATCATCCTCAGATTTGACAGGTTTAATGTAAATATAACACAAAATAAAAAAATGAAATATTTAAGAAAAAGCTTCTTAAAACTTCACAGAAAGTCAGTTATTAAAATAAACCTTTTAAACACAGTTTATATGACAAAGTGGTATTTCTCTGAAGTGTCTGTGATTTCATCGTCCTCATCTATAACAAATAGACTGTCTGTAGACTCAGGTACAAACAAAAGAGAACAGATTATACAAACTTCACTTAAACACAGAGCTGAAGAGTAAGAGTTTATGTTCACTGGGCTGTTATAAATGATTAACTAACGTCTGAATGATCCTGTTTTCTCCTTTAAATGAAGTCAAAGCTGATTTTGGTCTGTCTCTGCAGTTTCTCCACCAACTTCATCTAAACACCAATAAAATACAGCGAGGTGGTTTTACAGTAGATATTGTTGTTTGACCAAAGATTAAATTACACAATACAGTAAAGTGCTGTTCACACCTGAACAGACATTCATTATTTATGTGGACTGTTCCTTTTAAATCTGAGATTTGGAGACGTAAAAAAGGTCTTTATCAAATAATTATTGTACAAAACATGATCACTAAAGTTGACCCTTAAAGGGATATTCTGATGTAAAATTAAGTTAGGGTCAAACTCACCGTAACACCGAGTTAGACCCCGCCTCCAGAGATGAATGTTGCCAACTGCTTGCTTCTCTAGTTATACCAACTTTAGTAACGACCGCAGGATAGTAATACAGAGAGACACGCCCCCAACCAAAACGCCACTCTATAGCCACAAATAATGCTCAGAACAGCACCTAACTTCATCAACAGGACATATAGGGTCACAGACATAGTACTAGACACCAAACATCTTTTTAACTTTGACTAATGAAAAAAAAACAACATGCAGCAGTAACAGCTGATCTTTTTGAAAGGTCAGCTGATCCAAGGGTTAGGGGGCGGAGCTAATGCTAAAGTAAGTTTTAGGGCAAATCCAGGAGCAGCTGATTGGCCAACTTCAGCTCCCTCTAGAGAGTGGACATGGAAAAGTTTGGTCAAGTCGAGCGGCGCCGATCCAATCCTTTGAATCCGAGCACACGTGGTCTCTCTCGGCCTCTAGTGGACAGTTGATGAACTGCAGTTTTTAGCTCTTTAGCATCAGCTTTATTTGCCTCTTCTTTCCCCATCTGTAAATGCAATCTCGTTGTGCACAAGTGCAATGACAATAAAGCATCTCCATCTCTCCATCTTAGTTTCAAAGAAAACACACAGAAATCTCTATACTAACTAAAGAGCGGGAGGATTCTGAGTTACCTGGTGATACAGGTGAGCAAACTGAAGCTAAATTATAGAGTCGGTGTCGTCTAACAGAAATTCGAACATATAAGGGGATCATCATTGATTGTGGCAAAAAAACAGATCTATAACTCAACTAACCTTATCTAAAAAAATACTGAAATATCCCTTTAATAAAAATCTGCCTGTCAAATTCAAAAACGTTTGGGCGCCCAAAGCTGATGGTTTGAGTCCAGTCTCTGCGATTTCTCCTCCATCCACCATCCTGTTCTCTCGAATAAAGACACAAAATTAAAAAATTAAAAATGAAATAAATCCAAAAATTTAAAAGAAAAGAAATAATCCCAAAACAAACAGGAGTGATGTGAACAGAGGTCAGAGGTGAAGAGGATTATCGCCGTCATTTACAACCTAAACTCATATTTCATCTTCCTGTCATGTAAACACAGGGTCATATATTCACCAACACTGGATGGTGTTTTAACCTCACAGATGGAAAATGTTCCAATTTTACAAAATGCAAACCAGAGATCTTTTCAGCACTAGGGGGCAGTAGAGCATTAAAAAAAACACAACTCAGGTGTGTGGACCCACTGACAGACAGTCCCTCTGTTTTATCTCAGAAACCTCTTTCAAAGATCCTCGTGTTTTCTCTTCACTTAATAATTAAAGTATTTTTTTATTAATTTTTCCTGCTATAAGAGCTGCTGTAGTTTGACATCCAGCCGTCTCTTCTTCTCTTTAACGGTCACAAAGATGAATTTGTGCAGAAAGTTGTCGGTTTGAGTGGAAGAGGAAGAGACTTTATTTAATTTTGTCGATGTTATTGAGTTAAAGAAAGGTTTTATATTTGCTGAATCATACATGGAGCTGTATTAATAAAACATCATACTGAAATATACCAAACACTCACTGAGGTTAAAGTAAGACAGGCTCAGATTCTGCTGTCAGGACCTTTCCCATCTGTCACCGCCAGGGGGCGCTTCAGTGAGGTGAGAGGAGGATCTCTGGTTCTGATCTTTGCTGTGAGTGTCAGAGTTTGAGGGTTTGAGTTTGCAGGATCACACACAGAGGAAGGACAGGGACAGTTTTAATGTCCGAGGCTCCAAAGACCTTCAGGTTTGACAGTAAGTTTGAAAAAACTGAAGCTGAATTAAACTTTTCCTCTTATTTAGAGTTCGACGGTCTTACAGTGTTTGTTAGTTTCAGACTGGATCAGAGCCCAAAATGTGCCCACCTGTACTGTGTCTACTGATCCAGACGATCTCCAGATCTTTGTCTTTGGACTCTGGGTCCTGTTTGTTTCAGCTGAGCCTGTCGTACAGCTCTGTCTCCTTCCTGCGGACTGGGGGTGTTTCTGTGAGAGTGTCTGAATCTCAATTTTCCTCCATAGACCCAAAACCCTGACCCCTTGTGGACTCTAGTGACTCTCTGAGAACGTGAATGACTGAATGAGGCTAACAGGACCAGGACAGCACTTAAAAACATCTCAGAAAACTCAGAAAGAGTCGTTTTTATTTGACAGTTTTGACTTCCTGTGACAGTGTCCGTCATTCTGAATCATAACGTGAAAGATAGAGGCAGATATCTCTGAATTTGAGTTGATAGTTTGATCTTTTATGTATGTTTATTTACAAACAGCGAACAGTATAAAGTCATTAAAAAGACAAAAGAAAGGACCGGTGCCTCAGTACTGAAGTCTGAAAACAGACCCTGAAGATCGATGAGCTTCTTTGTTTCATTAGGCGGGTACATTTATAAAAAAAACACCTAACCCTAAAAAATGTCTAACAAATGTTTTTTATCTCACAAGTTTAGTCAAATGATTGGTTTGAATATGTAAATGAGGTAGTATTGAATTAAATATGCACTAATTTACATACATTTACAGAACTGAAAACTGAACGATGAATAAAATTCATGTTTTATTTTGTTGACATACTAGAGTCAGATGGGGGGGGTTGACTTTGGATATCTGTTTTTATCTCTCTGTAAATGGGAAAACACTGAAACCACCCCGAAAAACTCAAATATAAAAAGGAAAAAAGATAAAAGACGACATCTCATAAAATCAAGTCTGTAAAAGTGAGTTTTTAAATTTGACTTAAAAGAAGTGACTGTCTCTGCTGTTCGCCTTATCTCCTATTTAATCAGATATGACCTCATTTACATATTCAAACATAACATTTGACTAAACTTGTAATATAAAAAATATTTGTCTTAATGTAAGTTATAAACTCTGGAAGTTTCATGGGGATATCTGTTAAATATTTTACCCTATTCACCTGGGGCGTCTCCTACCATCATGGACGCCATCTTGAAAATGACGCCTTTCCAGAGGTCAAACTTTGGTCACCTTTTAGTTTATTATTAAGGACATCTAATACTATAAAAAAACAGCTGAGAAACCTTTGTTAGGATTTTTTAGGGTCAAGTCATATTTGTACTTGACTACATGTCTTTACTTTACATGAAGAAAATGAAATTTTGGTTGATGATGTTATTGTCTGCCTTTAAATCACAGTAAAAACAGAAACCCTAACCACTCATACAGTACACCTCATTATTGTTTAGTTATACTTTTATCCTGAAATATCGTCACCACAACATTTGTGTTTTAAAGTCGATCATCAAACAACATGAGTCGTTTTGTTTTTCCTCAGAATGCAAATCACTGGATGTAAATACTGCGAGCTAACCACCGTGCGAGGAGGAGATGTTCGGCAAGCATGAAGAGCCGCTCATGCATGTTATCCTGCAGGTGTGTGTCTGCTCAAGTGTGCACGCTGAACACGTCTTATCTGCAGCTTTAGGAAAATGATTTCACAGTAAATCACTCGACAGAAATCAGCAGGCAAATCGATCCGAAACAGACTCTTTCAGTCAGCTGGTGGAGTTCATATGTAAAAACCTGAACGACTGCTTTCATCTGTGAAATCAAAACAGTATGATCTCGTACCGGTTAAGTCATTTAACCTCGTATAACCAACATGCAAATATGGAGACACAGTCTTTGGATCAAACCATCCAGAGCGTGAAATGAGAAAATGTCGGCACAAAGAAATTGTTACAAATCTTTTATTAAGATATTCATTATTGAATCCATGTCGACATTTTCTCTATGATTTGTATTTATTTATTTTACAGTCGTTAATGTGCAATTACCTTTGATAATGTTGGGTCACAGTTACAGGGCTTTCACAAAGTTATTGGCACTTGGAACACAGAAAGAGGAGGATGACGAGTACAGGGCGATGTCCACTGGCGCTACGGGGTTACAGAGGGACAGGAGCAGGGGCCAAGACATGGGCAGACCAGTTACTGCACAGGGAGTGAGAAAGCGTCGTTTCTGGGTAGATATATACCTCATGCTGCGAGTGCACAACAAACAATCTGACCTCTATGTGTGCGTCTATATATAATATACAGTATTTATCTATACATGTGTATCATCATATTTATATATGTACTGTTTAGTGACAAAAGGTTCCCCATGCCGTGCCACACCTTCCCGCTGAAAGTGTGTGGGTCTCCATGTTTAGTGAGGTGTAAACGTGTGCGTTAAAAGGTGAAGAAGTAACAGTTCCCTTCAGTGAGCCCAGCAGAGAAAACAAAAACATGAGACAGACAGTGAGACGTTCACCAGAACCGGTCCTGGTGTCTGACACAGCAGGTCCGCGGATGGTTCTGGACCAGAGCCCGGCTGCTGAGTTTGAAAAGCAGACCAACGTGGTTTCCTTACAATCAGCGGTGATATTTGAACACGAGTAGGAGTGACTCCGAATCATTCAGTAGGTCACAGTGTAGCACAGTTTCTGATTCGAGCCCTTGTTGTTTCTCACTCTGAACCTTTGAAATCTTGATTTTCTTTAACCTCACGCTGCAGACGCCTTCAGATCAGTCTGTGTCAGCAGCTGTTTGCCTGATGACATTCCCAGTTTGAGTTTAGATTCTTACAGAGAGCATCTCCAGACCTTTCAGAGGCCGTTTTCAGGTGTTTAGGTGATAGAGTCATGTCTAAAGATACTTCTTAAATTTGTCTTTTCAGTGAATCAGAGAGGAGGACCGAATATTTAAAGGGATATTCCAGAGTAAAATTAATTTAGGGTCAAACACACCGTAACACTGATGATCATAAATGTTCTTCCTTGAGCTGCGTCACCCCGCTGTAGTCCGTAATGGACTGGCCTGAGGTCTCTCTACAAACAAGCGTCTGCTGGAAGAGAGTAGGTGAGTTGTGTTTAGTCTCTTTGCTAAAGAAATGAGTCAAAGTTAAAAAGATGTTTGGTGTCTAGTACTATGACTGTGACCCAATATAACCTCAGTAGAACATGGTGTAGTTCAGTTCAGTAACAGAACCTCATTGGAAAATTAGCTGATTTAACTTTACTGTGCTCTTGTTCAAATATATTAACTCGACAGCACATAAATCCATACCTGTTAACAAAATCATGATTTTATTGATAATTCGGCTCAATAAAAACACCTTTACCTTTTCATTTTACTACAGTAGAAGTTTATTGGCCCAGCTTATAGACTACAGAGGTGGAGAAACGCCCCCACTTAAGTTTGTTTTCTTAGAAGTTAGAACAACTCTGAATATAGTACTATGTCTGTGACCCTATATGTCCTGTTGATGAAGTTAGGTGCTGTTCTGAGCATTATTTATGGCTATAGAGTGGCGTTTTGGTTGGGGGCGTCAGACCTCTCTGTATTACTATCCTGCAGTCGTTACTAAAGTTGGTATAACTAGAGAAGCAAGCGGTCGGCAACATTCATCTCTGGAGGGGGGGTCTAACTTGGTGTTACTTGTGTGTTTGACACTAAATTAATTTTACGCTGGAATATCCCTTTAACTTGACCTTTATCAGGGTGTGTAAAGTGAGGACCTATTCGAGGACAGGAACTTGTGAGCCTGTAGTGCAGAAATCACACACACAGTTTGTTCCTCGTTCCATGTTTAGCAGTGTCATTATAAGAGGATTTCATGGACCAGTATTACACTCTAAAAAATCACTTTTGTTGTCCACTGCAGTGATCAGATTCAAACTCCCTCCAAATTAAACATAATTATCATCTGTGCAGAAATTTAAATGATTTTCACCTTTTTTTAAACATGAAAATATATATATCTTTAAACTCCCTCTCTGATTCACAGCTGTGTCGATGCGTGAAGGGGCTGGACGTCCCTAAGGTTCACGTTCACTGAACTCCTGCTGGGCCTCTGAGGAGAAAACTCCCCGCTTCAAGTTTTCTGTGCGACACCATGTGATATCTCCACAAACCTCTGAGGGTTTCGCTCACGTCAACATCAGAGGGAAATGCAAACTAAAGAACTGTCATGGTGGGAAAACGTTCACAGAGGTGTAGCTTGAGTTGTGTTGTAAACTTGTCCGAGTGAAAAAGCCGCTGAGCGAATAATGCGAAAGAATTGAGCTGTAACTACCTGAAACCGCTGCTTTGCCTCTCTGACACACATGAAGTGACTTTTGGAAGTGAAACCTGAAACAGCTGCATGGGGGACAGGAAGCACAGCAGTCTTAGAGGTAAATGGGGGAGGGATGCTCCTGCAGCATCGACAGTCAAATGCAAAAGCGTACTGAGGTTTTGTTGGCGTTACCCTTAACAGAATACTCACACGGTACTGCATGTTTGTTCGGACCCGAAATCTCTGTCCAGGAAACTCCTCCTGATCATATGAATCAAAAATGAAAAGAGGTTGTTGAACTGTTTCTATCATGCCTCTTGTTATATTTTCAATAAGACTGAAAAAATAACTAGTTTTCTTTTTTTTACACCAAAGCTATCCTCAGAAAAAATACACGCTTTAAGAAGAAGAAAGTGATCAGTCGTCTTTGAGAGCATGTCAGATTAAGCGCAGTCTCCTAAATCACACCGACACCTGTATCCGCCCTCGACAGGACCTGGACCTGTCCTCTGCAGGTCCACATGCACTCACAAACACAGACGGTCACCAGAACAGATCAGTAAGAATCAGGTGCATCCAGCAACAGAAAGGAAGAACACTTGGGATTAAACTCAACAGTCTTCTGGATTATTTACAGTTGGGTTTGTGCCACTTCTCCGCAGGAACGCGCGCCGACGCCGGGCGACTAAAGGAAACACACCGTCTAAAAGGGGTTCAGCTGCTACACGACGTTTTTTCTCCTAAAGGTGCGTGAACCACCGGTTCTCTCGTTAAGGTGCAGAAACCTCCACTCCACCTCTCACAGAAGGTGCAAACTCAAAGAGGTGGTGCATTAGATACATGAATAAACGACATACGGAGACACACAGCCGTGCAGAACAGACTCCGCCTTCACACACATACACACGCACGCACGCACGCACACACGCACGATAGTACCATAAAGCCTTTTGCTCCAAGCAATATTGCGTCTCCTGACCCGCCGAGTTTCTTCTTCTTCTTCTTCTAAACTAAAAGGCACATTCCAACAGTCTCTGCGAAGACCTTTGACCTTTGCACAAAAATATAAGCATCTTCTCATTTTTTCAACGTTGTGGCGTCGTGATAACCTTGTTATTTCTCAGAGTAATTGTGGGCCGATGTTTATTCGAAGGAGGCAAACGTGTCAGATAAAACAGATAATCATAAAAACAGTCAAGCCAGCTCAATCAGACCGAACGTATCCTGGACCGCAGATGAAACGCTGTAAATTTAGCCGCTCATCTGCTCGCTCTGTCAGATAAAAATAAACGGTCCTATGATGAGACTGCTTTTCTGCAAAAATAGCACTTTTCCTTATTTGATAAAACATGACCATGAAGGTTTGAAAACTATCCCTCTCGCTCTCTGTCTCTGCTCAGCGTGGACATTTGTATAAATATAGTTTATCCTCTAAAAATAGGACCATCTTTGATTCACCGCCGCCCTCCACTCTTCTCCACAATCATCTCGGCGTGGAAAGCGTTTCCCTTCTCTCGGGGTCTCTTTCAGTTTGCAGATAAAGTAAAATTTATAAGATGAGCGGTATTTCTGTAAGACTGCACAGTGAGACGCTGGGCGAGACTCTCGGGTCTCGGGGGGGTGCGGGGTGAGGAATACTTGCAGGGTGACGATGAGTGGAGGAAGAGCAGGAAGTGTTGGAGATCAGGTCCGTTCCCGAGGCTGGAATACAAGTCGTCAGGTTTGCATAGAGAAAAATGCCACTGACACTTACATTCATGATACAGTACTTTTCCTTTTCTCCTAATCTATCCATCCAGCCATCTTTTCCTCCTCCGGCGGCACACGCGGCGCCCCCCACCTGCGTTTCGGGGAATGTATTTAATATGTGGATGAGTTATACACCTTAAAAAGACCAGGGAGGCAGAAAACTGAACGCCCTCCCACTCGCTCCCTTTCTTCAGCTAACTCCAGGGTTCAGTCATAAAGCAAGAATTACAGTTTTCACGTCCTGGTTACGTCAGGGCGCCGGCAGCTGTGCGCCCTGGCGGTGTAGTACAGACGGTCAGATGTGAGAGATCAGCGTGGGCCAAAGAGTGAGGAGGCAAGCAGAGCTGGGAATACTGGGATGTGTTACCGAATTTCAACCCTCCCCGGACACCGCCTTCAAAATAAGGGTCCTCCGTCCCCGCCCACACCTGGTAGCGATTCACCTGAAGAGCCGCCGGACTCCATGCCCACGCCGCCAGCGGCCTCCAGAGAGGCCGGGTCGAAGGCGGGGTCCGTGCCTAAGGTGTCGTCCTCCATCTTGACTCCATCAGGGAGGAAGGCGGAGTAGGCGTCGCTCTCAGCCATCAGCAGCTTCAGTTTGGGGATCCAGCTCTTACGGACCACACGGCGAGCGTTGGTGCACATGTCGGCTGCGATGGCGTTCATCTCGCTCTCTTTGAAGCTGGTGGCGAAGTTCTGGCAGTAAACTGGTGGTGAAAGAGGAGAAAAAGACGATTAAAGCGGAGGAAATGAAACCCTGAGGTCCAGCGTGGAGGAGACTGAAAAATGACATAAACCCGCTAACGCTCGTCAGCTGATGTGCGGCGAACGCTGCTCGACTTCAGAGGCTTCAAATAAAACATTTACAGTTTCTTTCAGTCAGTGAACACGTTTACACAACGTTAACGAGCGACACCTCCCAACAAAATGATGATTATTTTTAGATTAATAAAAAATGTTAACACACAACATCCCATAAAAGCAAGAACAATATTCCAAACCTTCGATACAGAATAAAAACCTCTGCTTCTGTCATGATATCAGTTTAAAAACAATAAATCGCTGATAATAAACAAACTATTGAATCATTGACACACAGCTGGTTTATGTTGGTAAACTGGGCGAAGGGTGGATCCAACATACCAAGTGGATTTATCTCAGGTGGATAATATCAGATGTTGATGAAAATATGAACCCTGAAGATCAGAGAGATTAGATACGGTGGATTTCATGTTTTTACCTGTAAAACTAAAAAACATCAAAGACTCTGTAGTTTTCATAATGTCAGTAATAATCAGTATTTTGAACCCTGGTGAACTTTGATTGACTGCATGTACATGAAGTGAAAACAAGAGTTTTTCTCTGACAGGATAATTTCATTTGGAGTCAGATTTCCAGTGTTTTGGTGAAGTTAGTGTGAGCAGAGAAAGACGTGTTCTAGTTTGAAATGAAGAGTTAGTAAATATTTAACAAAATGTGGTTTTGAGAAGAAAATTATTGAGTTTTGTAGAAGTGAGTCTGTGTTAAGGTTTTAGAAAAAGGATCTGTAATCTGTAAAGGAAATGTCATTTAGACGGAGGCCGAGTTCACAGGTCGTCTGCAGACTGTCCCAGTTTTAAGTGTCACCCTCTCATGTGTTCACAAACACACTGAAGGTCCCTCACTCAGCTTCATGGTGCCGCCTAGTGGTCACTGTGTGTCATTACACAATGAAAACCCAGGAGGCTGTCAGGAACTTGTAGCCTTTAGTAATCTTCACTTTACTCTACATTAAAACCGACCAATAAACAGTTCAGGTCAGCTGTCAATCAACTGAAACTTTAATGAGGGCGGGGCTTAAAAAATCTGATCTTAAACTATTTTTATTCTAATGTTAAAACACTGATTCATGAACTCTGAGGCCTGATCTGTTCTTGTTTCCCTGACCTGCAGGTGGCTCCACAGACATGAGAGCTGCTGCACCGACAAACGTCACAGACATCGAAGATCATCAATATGGAGGTGAGATATGATGGAAATCTGTGACAGCATTAAATGAGATATGATAGATACCATCCAGGTCAGCTCCGTGTCCTGAGAATAACCCTGAGACAAACTTTGACTGTGAGGATGTGGGTCTGTGCGGCGTTGTGGATAAAGGCGTTTAAAGTCTCATTTAAGAACTCAGTCCATGCTGCGCGTTACTGACATACAAACATAAACGTGGACACCCTGAAACTGTGACAGAGCGTTCGCACAAAATACATCCAGTTAGTCCTTTTCACCAAAACTCAAAGAAACTGAGGATTAAATCTGCATCTACTGAGATCTACTGTTTACTTTCTGCAGCATAGATCTTTAAAAACATAGATGGGCTCTGATGTCATCAACACCAGGTCAGTGGATGTAGGAGTGAAACGGTCCAAAGTCCCGTTTCAGTGCAGCCTCCATGAAATAAGGGTTCAGTTTAGTGAACATGAGACTGGTTTGAACAAGAGAGCTGATCATCATGTTAAAGGAGAAGTACGTCTAATTCACTGCCGAAGGGTCAATTCTTAACATTTTTAATAATTAACGCAGACTGAAGAAGATCCCTACAACTTAAAAAATTAATAGAAACTGAAAGAACCCGGATGTAGGGCTGAGCGATACGGGGAAAAGTTTATCATGATATATTATTTTCCTATCAGCTGATATGGATCAATATCAGGATATAAAAATCTAACAGTGTTTATTGGTCTCATGTCTTTTCCAACACAATAATCTCCTGCATCTGTGAGGTCTTTGTGTCTCTTTGGCGTTTTGTCGTAAGGCGTCGCTCTAGAGAAAGACGACTGAATGGTCGTCTGTTTCGGCTCCTCGCTCCTCTCGGGGTTTGTAACCTTTTGCATTGCGCGTGCTCTGCGGCGTGGCGCTGCTTCAGGTGGTGAAAAAGATTTGAGGTATTCCCCGACTTTGAGAACATGTACTCGACATAATTTACAGTCCACATTACTCTGCTTCATGTCCGACCTCCAAACACCAAAATACCTCCACACCACCGACGTTTTCCTAACGCCAGTGTTGTGGTTGACATTGATGTGGTCATCTGTTGAGCCTTCATGGTCATTTCTGTCGGGGGTAGCACTCATTTTCTTTGTTTCTCACCAACAGTGCTGTCGGCTTCACCTGTTAAAGTGCTATGGTTGGGTGGAGCTGCTGTCTGCTACGACGCTGCAGTTGGTTGATACTTGGTTCTAATTCAGAACATGATTGGTTCAGACCCGGAGTAACTCCCCTTTTCATTGGCTGTTCGTATAGTCGACCAAAACATGGCAGAATGACGACTATTGAAAAGCATATTGACCATGTTTTATATTCATATTGAGGAAAATTAATTTCTGATATGTATCGTTATCGTTTTATCGCCCAGCCCTACCCGGACCTGAATCAGAAATCAAATCAGGACCTTGTGATTCTGAATCTGATCTGATTCTGATACCAAGCCCTGCACTGAATATGAATGTTCAGGCATCATGTATGTCGATCCCTTAGTCCAGTCATGTGTAGTTTACAGACTCACATTTGACTGCGTGCAGAACTCGGTTGTCCAGGGGTTTACGACTGGGATCGTTGGTGGACGAGCGGATGCCGGTCCCACAGCTGTTGGCCAGTGTGTTCCTGCAGCATCGAAACCAGGAGTTACACAGAGCAGGAGGAAAAACTAAAATAACTGTTCAGATAACAAAAAAAAAAAGATTTCTAAATTAATACTGAGCTTCTGCTGACTCAGCATGAAACACTTTCAGAAATAGACTCACAGACAGAAGAAACAGACCTGTCAAAGAAGGCGGCCAGCAGCCTCCTCAGCAGCACCTTGTGTCTGGTCCCCGCACTCACATGACAGTTCATAAGCTGGGCTCTGGATATATACACAGACGTACCTGCACACACACACACACACACACACACACACACACACACACACACAGTGAACCATCAAACAGCTTACTTTACGGCCTGTTTGACCTGTTCAGATTCAGATCATGTGGGTCATATAAAGCCCGGATCTTCACTGAGATTTACTGGAGCAGAGTCTTTGTTTGTCTAGAGTCGACTCTGACTCAGTTCAAACACGACAGCTGCTGCAGGTGGGGACTGAGGACGCCGAGCTTTCACTGCGTCTGATCGTCCATGGAGCTAACTCTGACTCTTCTCTCTCTCTTTTCTCTTCTTACTCCTATCACACTCAGATTCTCACAGATCTCTCATTCTTCTTTCTCTGCCGTTCTTTCTCTCGTTGTCTTGAACACGTCAGTCAGTCAGCGCAAAACAGTAAAACAGACACTGTCACAGGACTGTCTTTACATAAACATGCAGAGTCACATGTTTCAATGCAGCCTAATCTGCATGCCAGAGCCAAGCCCAGTCATCTGAGGACATCTCCTGTCAGATCTGGTCCTGCCTCCGTTCTTTGAATCAACAGTTTTATTATTTTCTGAGTGTTTTCATCCACTAACCCACAATTTCCACCGCATCCAGAATGGCTACAAAAATGCAATATCCACGGATCGTAGCTGATCGTTCAAGTTAACGTGTCAATTTACACCGACTTCTTTCCGTTCCTCTGAGGATCGTCGGACTCCTCAGCTGATCACAAGAGTTCTATTTTTTCTGGACGCCGGAGCATGGCGGATAAATTCAGCACAGATTAACCCGTGCTGGAAAGGAAGTCGGGCACAGACACAAAATAAAACATCCGGCTTCTTTTCAAAATAAAACACTCCGTGTTTCAGGAGGATCGTATTTCACACCATGCAAACGGGCGGAGACGAACAAGTGAAAGGTTTTTAGACGTCATTTCACCCCGATGACACCATGGATGAGGAGATGCTGATTCTAGAAGTCTAGAAGTAGATTTCCTCCTCTGGAAGGACACAATCTACTGCTTATATGTCTATGTGTCTGTCTTTAGAGAGACAACTCGTGGTCCTTGTGAATTCTCGTGATTACAGCTGTCCGTAATCCACCACGAAACTGCCTCACAAATGTATCCAGTAGAAATTGGCGGACGGCAAAAATTGCCGCCGTTTCAGATCAGAGCCGTTCCGGGTGCGGTGAAAATTGGGGGTAATACTTTATCCGGATTTCTCGAGCCCATAGCTGCAGGAACTCGCTCTAAACGTAGACCCTGATTAATAACGTTACCTGAGACGAGCTCGAGTTTCTCAGCAGGGTCTCCTTCCTCGTACAGTTTGGGGTGACAGCGGTTCCCGATCTGAGCGATGAGTTCTGCGGGGAGGCATGTAAGGTCTCTGCCTCGCATCCGACCCCGTGTCTCCGTGTGGTCTGGTAGAGCCTCGACACGCTCGCCTGCGGCTGCGGGAACAAAAAACAGCAAACACAGCGAGATAAACATCACACCACGTCACTTTAACAGGCAGAGGACGGAGAGCACACAGCGCCTCCGCCTGCTGAAACATGAGATTACTCTTTAATTCATGAAAGGAGACAGGAGTCAGCGTGGACCTCCACCCAAACACACGTGTGGTGTCTGTGAGATTCACCTGCAGCCCCCATGTTGAGCATGCTGTACATGGTATACATGTTACAGATCTGCCTGTACTGCTCTTCGGCGCACTCTTCTGTCCCCTCCTCCTCCTCTTCGTCGTCATGGTAACTGATGGGTGAGTCACTGGCGTAGGTGCTCAGGGTGCCTGGGCTGGCGCCCTCTGACATGCCGAGACCCGCTGCGGACCCGTTGGTGCCGGCGCTCCCGCTGGTCCCACCTGTGGCCACCATCCCTGCCAGGCCGGTTGCCGTAGCGCCCATACCCATGGCTAGTCCGAGGGCTCCGGGGCTCTGGATGGCACTGCCCCGCACCGCCTCCTGGGAATAACGGGCTGCCTTCCTGGCCCCGCCTCCTCCTCCTCCTGAGCCTGCTCCACCCCCGTCTCTGCTGCTGCCGCCCTCCCACAGCCGCTTAGCGACAGGTGTGCAGACCACTGAGTACGGAGTGGCGGCCTCCGGCTGGTTGGCTGGCTGCTCCGTCTTGACTCGGGACACCAAAGAAAGTGGTGTCACGCAGGACGCAGGGCGTGCAGCGCCGTTACTGGTTTGTGTTACGGGACTCTGAGGCTCAGAGGGCGGGGCCTCTTCGGCGTGGAGGCCCTGAGAGTCACAGCTGGGAGAGGAGACCTGCAGAAACAGAGACTCGGTGTTAGCATAAACGACAGTAACATGACTGTGTCTGCCACGCTATTGGCTGAGGAATCAAAAAGGAGGAGGAGTCACGTCAACATTAACCAATCCTCTCTCTTGACTTTTAGTGAAGCTTCACTGTGATCCTGTTTCCGCCGACTGTGAGAATACTCAGGGGTGTGTCCAGACTTTTGACCGTGGTGACCATAAAGGAGCTCTGACAAAGGCACAGGTAACAAAAGGTCATGAACACACGTGACTAATCCATCTGATAAACCCTGAGAGCTCCAGTCTTTAGGGCACATGTTAAAATATAGAAAAATACTGTTAGTTAAACTGAAGCTGCAGCCTTCATTTTTCTATCATTTCTTTTATAAAAATAATAATAATAATAAATAATAATAATAATAATAATAATAATAATTATTATTATTATTATTATTATTACTAGAAGTAGTAGTATTTTTATTTTTATTTAGTATTATAATTATTATTATTATTATTATTTATTGTTATTATAATTACCAGTATTAATATTGTTAATAAGATTATCAGGATTTTTTTTAATTATATTATTTATTATTGTTATTGCTATTATTATCATCATTACTATTATTTTTTTATTATTTTCTCATATCTATTAATGTTATTATTATTATAATTTAAAAAATCAAAAAAACACGGCCTGCTTTCTCTGCTAATGCTGGTCAATGATGAGGTATTATAGCAACTACAGATCAGTGCAGCATGCATCCTTCCCTCAGATAAGCCTTACTTTGAGGAAAAACTCGGTTCCTTTTTCCATGATCTGTTGGATCTGCAGGAAGCCTGCGGTGTACATGAGCAGAAACTGGTCCCCCACCGTCATGCTGAGGCGTCCCGTGTAGCAGAAGGACAAAATCTGCTGAAAGCTCTGAGGCTGCACAGCTGATGGGAGCTCCACGACGGTCGGGTTGGTCTCATTGCCGCCTCCACCTCCACTATTGCTGCTGAAAAGGTCCCGGAAATAAGAACTGCTGGCAGCCAGTACGGCTCGGTGAGCCTGGGAGGAAAAGTAGATAAGTACGGTGTTACAATGAGACCAGAGACCATCAGCCAATCAGACACACCTTTGAACTAGTTCATATTTTCATCTATCTGTAAAATAAAAGGCAGATACAGACAAAGGACTAACGCCAGATTCCAGCTGGTATCGCCCAGCCCTATAACTGGTCTTCCCTAACCCACCTGCTCACTTTACCTCTTACAAACTTTGCTGTTTACCTTGAAGGTGTGGCCCTTGACGACCACGGAGACGTCACAGTAGAGGCCCTGCAGCCGCTGCTCGTTCAGACACTCTAAAACATTGTTTCCAAAGTTTGGGATCGCCATCTGGAGGGTCTGGGCCATGGTGCGCTGACGCACACCACCGAAGGGTCTGCATGAAGAAAAAGAGAGGCAGGATGAGAAAAAGGGAAGAAAAGGTATGAGAAAAATTACGTCCACTGACACAGAGCGCGACACCGCGGGTCCTGCACCACAAATGAGGTTTGAAACACACCATGACTTCAGCAGGGATCGGATGGTAGTTCTGGTTCACCACATTACACTAGCCTATGCATTATTATTATTATTATTATTATTATTATTATTATTATTATTCCTTGAAGTAATAATCATCATAATAATCATTTTGCACTGCAGACACCGTAGTTCTTCTGTCTTAGCGTCTCGGTCTGATTGTATTTCCATGAAGAAATTATCATAAATGTTCTTCCTTGAGCTGCAGCACCCGTAATGGTCCGTAATGGACTGGCCTGAGGTCTCTCTACAAACAAACAGCTGCTGGAAGAGAGTAGGTGAGTTGTGTTTAGTCTCTTTGCTAAAGAAATGAGTCAAAGTTAAAAAGATGTTTGGTGTCTAGGACTATGTCTGTGACCCTATATGTACTAACCTCAGTAGAACATGGTGTAGTTCTGTTCAGTAACAGAACCTCATTGGAAAATTTGCTGATTTAACTTTACTGTGCTCTTGTTCAAATATATTAACTCGACAGCACATATATCCATACCTGTTAACAAAATCATTATTTTATTGATAATTCGGCTCAATAAAAACACCTTTACCTTTTCATTTTACTACAGTAGAAGTTTCTTGGCCCAGCTTATAGACCACAAAAGTGGTGTGTTTGACCCCAAATTAATTTTACACCGGGATATCCCTTTAAGGATTAATTGCTGAAGCTTCATTAAAAACCTCGTGTGTCCTCCTAAATGCTTCATGAGGAGGGTGGCAGCAGTCACAGGTGGAATAACTCAAATACCTTTTTATAACAGTCCCATTTACTTTTGTTAAAGGGAGCGGGGGGAGGGTGTACTGCCCCAATCTTATGTTTAAGAATGAAGGTTTAGAAAAAATGCCGAGTTTATAGTAGTTTTTTCACCAAAGTCATCCAGGAAAATTAATTCAAACGCGTGTAAGTTGGAGGAGCTCTTTAGATGTAGACACATGCACTCTCTTTCAAACTGTTCTAATCCTTTTATTTTCATGGCACGGTCACGAAGCCCATAAAAGCAAATGCAGTGCGTCTGTTCCTGAGAAAAGTAGTCCTGAATCAAAGAATTATATCCTTTGGCATATCCAGCTGACACAGGCCGCAAATATTTCTTCACACAGTCCCACTGAGGGCTGTTGGCAGACCCACAGAACGTTGATATTTGAAACAAAGTTTTGTTGGAGCCTTCATGGATAATCTACGTTGCATTAATCCTATACGTCACTCCAGCCTCCCAGAAGTTGTTATTGCCAAGAGCGGGCTCAGTAAAAGCCTTTTTATTTTCTGTCTTCTATGAGCTATAAAATCCTGCTGTCCTTGGATAACTGGGTCACATTCTGTTATTCTATGTGCAAATGTGTGTGTGGCCTAAACAAATACTGCACTAACACTAACATGTTTCCATGAACCTCCCCAAACAGTCAGAGGCAAACAAACCCTCTCACCCCGTGCCCCCTCTAAGACTCCTATATTATGTCAATATTAAATTAAAGTGAAGCAAAGCTCCATTAGCTGGAGATAGGAACTCTGAGTGTGTGAGTGTGTGTGCAGGCGGCAACACAGGACAAGAGTTTTGTTCCTACTAACATGTTTCTGCATATTTTGGGTTTTGTCTGCAGAACCGTGTTTACCAGAATAACAGAGGAATCTACTTAAAGGGATATTCTGGCATAAAATTAAGTAAGGGTCAAACACACTGTAACACCGAGTTAGACCCCCCTCCAGAGATGAATGTTGACGACCGCTTGCTTCTCTAGTTATACAAACTTTAGTAACGACCGCAGGATAGCAATACAGAGAGCCACGGGCTCAACCAAAACGCCACTCTATAGCCACAAATAATGCTCAGAACAGCACCTAACTTCATCAACAGGACATATAGGGTCACAGACATAGTACTATACTCAGAGTTGTTCTAACTCCTAAGAAAACAAACTTAAGCGGGGGCGTTTCTCCACCTCTGTAGTCTATAAGCTGGGCCAAGAAACTTCCACTGTAGTAAAATGAAAAGGTAAAGGTGTTTTTATTGAGCCGAATTATCAATAAAATCATGATTTTGTTAACAGTTATAGATATATGTGCTGTCGAGTTAATATATGTGAACAAGAGCACAGTAAACTTAAATCAGCGAATTTTCCAATGAGGTTCTGTTACTAAACTGAACTACACCATGTTCTACTGAGGTTAGTACATATAGGGTCCCAGCCATAGTACTAGACACCAAACATCTTTTTAACTTTGACTCATTTCTTTAGCAAAGAGACTAAACACGACTCACCTACTCTCTTCCAGCAGCCGCTTGTTTGTAGTGAGACCTCAGGCCAGTCCATTAAGGACTACAGCGGGGTGACGCAGCTCAAGGAAGAACATTTATGATCATTTCTTCATCATTTCCTTGAAGTAATAATCACCATATTAATCATTTTGCACTGCAGAACGGTAGTTCTTCTGCCTTAGCGTCTCGGTCTGATTGTATTTCCGTGAAGAAGTTGATGAAGTTAGGTGCTGTTCTGAGCATTATTTGTGGTTATAGAGTGGCGTTTTGGTTGAGGTTTGTTTATGACTCCTCAGACCTCTGTGTATTTCTATCCTGCGGTCGTTACTGAAGTTGGTATAACTAGAGAAGCAAGCGGTCGGCAACATTCATCTCTGGAGGGGGTGTCTAACTCAGGGTTACGGTGTGTTTGACTCTAACTTAATTTCACACCGGAATATCACTTTAAAGTGCAGAGACTTTGCATGCATAGGCACTGTGCCCGCTATAGGCACTAAGACCACATAACCACCTCCCTTAGTAGTGTGCTATAGAACCAATTCAGCCATAAACTCAGACTTTGATTATTTTCACATATGTGATGAGCCTACAGGTCTCCACTGCACACTTCAAACAGTGACACTTTCACCTAGTAAGTGTTGTATCACTTAAAAGTGTTGCATGAATGCATGCAAAACTCACACACACATCAGTGCATACCAAGCAGTGACAACCTGTGACACTGTGAGAGCAAACTGGTTGGAGCCCACCCTGTGAGAGGCATACAACCAACTTTGGTGTGCCTGAGTGATGAGGGCTGGAGTGAGCCGCCCCATCATATCCAAAGCCTTTCATTTGGGACCTCGCCAAGCTCCAGGGTAAAGAGAAATGCTCTCTTTGTCTCTGTCTCACTCAAGCTCCCTCTCCCTCATACTAAAACACAGATGCGCACACACAAACTCAAACAAACCCACAAAAGGCACACTGAGTCACACACAGGCATTAGACAATACTGCTTGTTTACAGTTTGGCGAGCCGCAGTAAGCACACATGCGTGCACATAAAGACAAACAGGCACAGGGCTGAGAGAGCAGGGTGTGTTTGCACAGTTTGTCCTGACAGAGAGAGAATGTGCCTGTGTGTGTGTGTGTGTGTGTGTGTGTGTGTGTTTGTATGTGTCTCTTCATGCACCAAGGAGGGGCGCTGAGGCCTGCAGAGATGAGAGGGATCATCTCAGGTCCTTATTCCATTAAATATATAGAGCGCAGTGATGTGAAAGAATGAAAGTCACCCGATTTCACCCTGCAGCTCCGATCTCAAACCAACCATCCTGGTGAGGAAAGTAGGTCAAACATACAACATGCTTCAGACCAAAGACTTTCCATTGTCCGCCTTAAGAATGTCCTGCCTGCATTCAGAGGGGCGAATGTCATGTTGTGATGGGACAGCTGTAAATGTATCCCCACTAGGGCTGGGCGATATGGACCAAAAGTCATATCCCGATGTATTTAGGCTGAATATTGATATACGATGTATATCCTGATATTGTTTTGGCAAAGTGAGAGCAAATGTTTAGTCACAGTCACAGCTAAATATGACATGTCACAAGTAGTTCTCTATTTAAACTGGCCGGGTGAAATTCTGCTCAGCTGTTCAAAGAACAATAAAATGTAAATATAAATACTGTATAACCACAGGAGTATCTTAAATATAGCCCTTAAAGTAAAATAGGCCTATCTTTTTATGAAATAAATGTATTATATATGAGAAAAGCATCAACATTTTGACTACTATACATGGCCGATTAAAATCAGATTGTAGATTTTTTTCTCCCCTCTAACAAATCCACAGATGCAAACAACGAACACTACAAAAGAATAAAATATGACAAACCCCAGTAAGGGCAGCATTTACATGTATAAAGACAGAACAAAAAAATAAAGTGCTCAGTTTAAGAAAATTGTTTTTAAACATCATTTTGAGATTACCGATCTGTCTTTCTTATCTTTCTAACAGTCTCAACCGAGACTATGAGCTCAGTTAACATTTCCCCCTCTTCTCTCTTTTTGACTTTGATAAACAGTTAGTGCTGTCATAATGGAAGTTACTGATGCAAAAAAAAAAACAAAAAAAAAAAACAAAGCCCGTTGCAAATAAAAAAAGAAACGGTGCAGATTTTAAAAAAAAAGCCACAACAGAAGTTAACGACAATAAAAAAAAAGCGGCATTGCAAAAAACAAAAAAAGTTACTGTGAAAATAAAAGGAAGCAAATAAAAAAAGCCACAACAGAAGTGAACTGCCGGGGACCAATAATAATGATGCACTGGTGTTTTACGATCCAGGCGCCGGAGATGACGGCGAGAAGACGAGCAAAGAAGTAAGTGGAAAGGTTATTGATTAATTTCGCTTCGTAAAGTTTTCAGACTCAGGCCATGTAGCGCCTGAGTCCATATGAAGTTGAACTGGAGGATCTCGGTGTCCAGTTAGCTTCAGCTAAAGGTCCTTTCACACCGCGACCGTTTTGTCGTGCGATTATCTCAGACGTCAATATTTTTTTTCGAACCTGTATCCTGTCAATACAAGCGTTCACATCAGCGACGTTTTCCCGTCCTGCGATATTGGGGCATTTATTTTTTCAGATCACAGTCGATTTTTCTAAAGTTTCTCAGACTGTGTGTCCACTTCTGACCAATCAGATTTTGTGTTGTTGCGACGTCAGATTGTATATCCAACATGGCCGACCGGCTGATTGTTTACGTGTCGGAGAACAGAGTGATAAAAAACACAAACATTACAAAGATAACGACCTGAAGGACGACTTGTGGAGAGTCATAGCGTCGGATTTCTCATATGATGATGGTTTGTGAGCTTTAACAGTTTGATAAACGTCTTTGTTTGAACCTTCATCTGTACTAACATAAGCTAACAGTTGTTACCATAGTTTCATGTGCTTATCTTATCGCCTCTGATTGGCTATAAGGGCTGACTGTTTGGCTTGAGCGTGTGATGATGTTTCCCGCTTTTCTAGCCAATCAGATGCGAAGGAGGCAGGACTTTCCCTGGGATGCGTCTTTTTCCCATATGTCGCAAAATCGCACCGGACTTGATGTGTATAGTCAGACGCGTCAAAATTCGCCTCCGAATATTTCGCATTCAATATTTGCGTCGGCCCCGGTGTGTGAGGACCTTTACTCATAAAAATAAGTATGCAGACCCGTCATAATTTATGCGCATCCTTTTATTTTCGCAGTAAGTAACTTTTATTTTTTTTGCATTGACACTTTTTTTGTATCGTCAACATCTGTTTTTTTTGTTTTTTTATTTATTTGCAGCAGTGGCGGTTCTCGATCACCGTCAAAGAATATATCAATATATTTCTTAAATAGATGTATTGCCCAGTCCTAATCTCCACTCACCATTTTGTGCAGTTTAAGTGAAATTAACAGCTTCTACTTTGCCAAGGGCATGATTACTGTGGAGTCATTGGGGCAGCTGGCACACAATGCATTCATTCCCTCTATAGGCATTTCCTGGTTCTAATGTGCCCATGCCTGCCTGCACAGCTTAGGCCTGACTCTCTTGGTTATTCTTATATAACAGGAAGAATCTGAAGACTAAAGAGCGCACACATGTAAAAAAAAAAAAAATAATACCTTCTGAACTTCATAACTCCACATATTACTACAGAAATGACATGATGGGTGTCCCGGCTACTCTCTGCCCCTGCACACTCATGTTTTCAGGGGGAAGGATGCCGGGTAATGGGGAGCTCTGTGCGCCTGGCTATCCGCCGGGAGAGCTCCACCGTCTGCTGGCACCGGAGCCGGGACGCGGCGGGAGGGGGGCGACACAGGATGGCAGCGAGCCCCGGTGATACCCGGGTGAGGGCGACGGTGTGTGTTCCTGTTTACGAGCTATCAAATGGCATTAAAGCGAATGAATCAAAGTCATTAAGAGCAGCAGACGGGGCAGTCCTAACTTCCTCATGTCTTCCTGCTGAAATGTTGGATGTCCTGTCTCCATCCGCAGCAGCAGGCCTACTATAGAGGTGGCTAATGGCTAAGCTAACAGCGCTGTTAAATATTTTTGGGTTGGCCCCGGCGCACCATCCACCTCATGCACATTCAGCCCCGGCAGCTGCACAATGTCACGCATTTCCGCGATAATCCACACTCAAAACACAAACGAGACACTTACTGCCTGTGCGGAGGAGGGAGCTGTGCTGCGGCTCTGCCGGTTGTCAGCCCAAATGTTGCTTATTTAAATATTTTGGTGATGGGGGAAATCGCTCCCCCTGCCATTCTCCATTCTACCGACATCAACAGGTCATCCCAGGACACGCAGCAGCTGAGGGCGAGCCAGACGGAACCAGTGCGGCACGGAGCGGAGGGGAGGGAGGGTGCAGGGTGGGGGGGTTGGAGCACAACAAGGCACAATTCTTTACAACCGGCGCGCAAGAGCCGCCGTGCCAAAAAACCTGACTGCCACCGCATTTTCGCATATTTTAGAGAGCAGAGACATGGAACTAACCCTTCGACACACACCTCGCACACTCTTGAGTGAGAAGCACAGTTATGCACACAGTGAGTTTGGGAGTCTGCCAGGTAAAGTGCAGACTTTCTCGAGCTTAAAATGTTCCGTATCTGCTGAACCGTTCAGCCCAAATTCAGAGCTCTTCTAACGGAGAGCACCGGCACAGTTCTCCCCTCTCCGCCCCTCCTCCTCCTCCTCCTGCGATGGATCCTCAGACGACCCCGGCCGGGCGCCTCACACAGCGACAGACAAGAAGACACTCACCCCTCGCTGGGAAGTTGACGCAGACAGACAGCGCTGGTTTCAAAGGAGGCGAGGCAGCGCTCTTTCTCCTCGCTTTTCCTCGCTCCAGGCAGCCATTCAATATGTGCGAAACGCCAACGGCAGAGACATCGAGGGCGGTACAGTATCCCGGGGGATTGCGGAACACAGAGGCACTGATCGCACGGAGCAGGAGACGAGGAAGACACGCATGACGCGCTGGTGGTTCAGACTCATGTTGGTTTGGAGCGCAGAAACCTGTCCCCGAACCGTCTGCGCATCGGCACAGCAGAGGGAGACACGAACCTCACTCTTCCCCTCTCTGAAAAGTCTCACTTTTCCCGCACATGAGCGATAGATTTGGGAAAAGTAGGCCGTGCGTGTGTGTGTGTGTGTGTGTACCTATTTAACTTGGGTGAACTCGGTGCGCGCATATAAAGTAGGGATAAAGCCGCGCCCTCTTTGGCAGTAAACAAGTGAAAGCTTATGTTGAAAATGCAGGGTTATGACACCTATCGTACCTACACTCACACCTGTGTTCACCTGATATAAAGCAGGCTCGAGGTCATGGAGTTCCAAAACACGAAGGCTTCACCTTGTACATGTGAAAACCATCAACACAGTAGATTTACGCTCTTCTCCGTCTGTTCCAGTACGAATGTGGATGTGCATCTGTGATTTCTATCTGTCCTGTAAATGTATTAATGTGTACATTTAATTAAATAATGCTGGCAACTATCTGGGCCTAAAGGATGGGGAACTTCACATTAAGGTTAATCAGTGCATCATGTTAAAATTGACAACGGCAACTTCATACCGTCTCTTATTAATATAAATATATAAATATCTATATCTATAACCAGACCCTCTCCTAGCAGGCCAACACCACCAACAACAATAAAAGTGCAATACTACACCCCTAACTATTTATTAATCATGTGCAATATCAATATCATCATCACATCCATACCTGTTTTTGTTGGCACTGATCTTTCTTTCTCTTTTATATTTTTCTCATACTTGTCTTTAATACTGTTCTTCAATTGCAATGCTGTTTCTTTTTTTTTTATTACCGTAGTTCTTTATCTTATTAGTTTTTTTGTACCCGTAATGAATGCATATGTTGTGTGTACTGCTGCTGTTAATGACTTAATTTCCCCACTGAGGGATGAATAAAGGAAAATCTAATATATCTATCTATCTATAAATAGAGGTGTGTATATATTATATATATATATTTGGTAAATATTATCTGATACTTGTTATTGTATTCCGGTTAGATGCTGAACTGCATTTTGTTGCATTGTTCTGAACAAGTGTAATGACAATAAAGTTGAAACGAATTTAATGTAATCAATGATATGAAGTATAATAATAGTTATGAAGTATAATAATAAGAATAGTCATTTATTCCCTTTTTTCACCTCACTGTTAAAAATATCTACTGCTTCTCCACACATACACACACACACACACACACACACACACACACACACACATACACACACACACACACACATTCTGATCCTTTGTTTCCTACAGCTGCAGATTTCATCAAAGAAAATCTTAATTAGGAGGATTAATTGAGATCTGACCTGTGTGTATGTTACAACACAAAAAGATTCAGTGTTTCCACTGAAAGGAGCCCAGTCTTTTATGCTGTGCGCATTAACACCATCTAAATTACATTTGAATGGAAACAGTATTTATAGTTTATATGTTTTCACTGGTATGTGTAATTTTCTGCTATTTCAGGTTCCTGTTATGGAATCGAGTTGGAATTTTGAACGTGTTAACGACAACCCTAAATATGAGATGATAATACTGGTTTGATTTTTTTTGTAATATGTTTACAGAAAAAGCTGAGGACAACTGCTGAGAGATTTCACTTTTTTCTCACAAGTCTAATCACACCTCAGCTTGAAACACCCACTCAGAAATGACAGCGGATACCCAGGAAATACTCTGAAAAATGAAAATGATTACTCTGCAGGCGTACTCCGTGTTTTAGTTAGCTAACTGAAAAAACGTAAAACATTTTTTTCTAATATTAACAATATTTTTATGTGTCATTTCCTTCTGACAGGGAAAAAGTTGAAAAAAAAAATCCTGCCATTATGTTTCTTTTAGAAGTCAAATCACAACAAAAACAAAATCATTGTAAGGTCATTTTAGTTCAAGGATAAAGTCCTCAAAGTCCTAAAGTGGTGATAAAGTGGTAGTTTTTGTTCAACGGAAAGCAGCCAGCTGTCTGTACCAAAGTGAGGACCGTCTGGTTGAAGTGTCCCTAATGTTTTGTCTCCCCAGCTCTACATTGTTATAAATATCAGGGCTCTGATCAGACTGAGCAGTAATCTGAGACGTGTGGTTTTCCCTTTCAAAACAGCATTTTGAGGCTGATCCTTGACTGAATTCATGTCTTTGAATATGATTTTACAATGACTCTATTCCTGTGAGAAAATAACGGATACCCCATTGTAATTTTCCATAAGCCTTATAATGTAAATATTAATATAGGCCATGTTAAGGAAGAGGATTAGGGTCACAAATAAATAAATAAATAAATAAAATGAGGCCGAAACAGATACAGTGCCTTAAAAAAGTATTCATACCTCTTGAGCTTTTTCACACTTTGTCACTCTACAACCACAAACTTAGAAGTATTTATTGAGATTTTTTGTCATAGACCAACACAAAGTAGCACATCAGTGTGAAGTGGAATGAAAATAATACATGGTTTTCAAAAATGTAAACAAATAAAAGGCGGTATCCGAAATTAATCACTCAATCCCTAACCCATAACCCCCATATGGGTTTTCACTATTCACTGCTCGTTTTTGCAGTTTTATTATTGAATTTATAGTGGTTTTAAAGGTGGATCCCCACAGTTCCACATAGTAAGATATATAGGGACTAATCAATGAGTAGTAAATCAAATGCAAAGCCTTGGAATTCAATACTTTACTCGATTTGTACAGGATTGAAAGTGATTTTGAAATTTTCCCCTTAATGTATTCAATGTGTTGTTTCCATGTTAACTTTTGATCAATGACAACCCCAAGAAATTTAGTCTCAGTAACTCAGGGGTGTCAAACTCAACCACAGCAAGGGCCACAATCTGGATTTACGTCTAACCTGAGGACCCCAACAGGGGGGGTCAACATTTAACCCAAACTGTCAGCCTCCTTTTCAAAATATATTATAAAATCAGCAATGATTATAAAACACTTGGAAATTCATAAAGTAAAAAAGATAAATTTAAAGGCAATCTGAGATTTAAAAAAAAAAAAAATCCAATAGATTAATTCAAAAGATCAGAACACTATATTAAAAATAGAAAATAATGCTTTTAAAGTCAAATACATGAGGAGAAATTTGATATCGAGTTTAAAGTCAAATTTGACTTAAATTTAAAATTGCAATCTAAAGGATTGAAATGACATAAATCTAAATGTCGAGTAGAAAAAATCAAAGCACAAAATCAAAGTCAAATCATGTTTGACTTTTAATCTTTAGATGCAAAATTAGAAATATGGATAAAACACATTTTTTTCATCCACATTCTTGACTATTTATCAAATCTTCCTTACTCTTTAATTTCCCAGATTTTCGTGGTTTATTGAGGTCATTTTAAATAATGGTGCTAAAGTTTACATTATGATACTGGAGGAAATCTGCAGACCTCATACTGGTGGGCCAATAATAACACATATGATATAATCTCATGGGCCAGTTTTAACTGTTCCACGGACCAGATTTCGCCCCCGGGCCATGAGTTTGACACCTGTACTGTAACTCTTTCAATATCAGCATTACAGATTCTTTTTTCAAAGGAATGTGTATAAAAAAAACTTTGAAGTAATAAAAATAAAAACCTCAAACTCTCTTGTTAAAAGGCTCAAACAGCGAGTCCTTCCTGTTGCGACCCCGCTACTTCTCCTTTACCTCCGGTCCCCGCAGGTGTGTGGAACTGTTCACCACCTGAGCTGAGTAGAGCCCGTGTAGACGACCATATCGGCATACCCGGAGACATTTACCGTCACGAAGCTCCATCAAGAAATATCCGCATCGATTTCGCGCTTAATCCCGCGGTCTGATGTCCTCTTGTCGGGACTCCATTTTGGGTTCCCAAGTGGTTAGTCGGACCGTAAGTCATGTAACGCACAGACAGAAGGCGGGAAAATTGGTACTGTAGCTAGCTAGTCTGGGAGCGCAGCGCCGCCATCGACGACTGAAAACCTGCCGAAAAATCCTCATCCTGAAGATACTAGCATAGAATTTATCCTCCAAGTTAATAGATAATATTGAATACCAGCAGGAAAACCGTTGGAAAAGTTTCTGTAACTTCATGGCGTCGAAGGATTTGCTCATTGTGGATCTTACCAAAGACGCGGAGGGTCTGTAGAAGAATTCGGGAATTAGTTCAACATTTTCTTCACACGAAGAGGCAAAGTGGTGAGTCTGAACTGAAAATCAATGACAGTTTACCATGTCTTATCTCTGTTGATGTGATAATTAAACCAGGCTTACTGATTCAAAAACTTAACTATTTGTAACTAGCTCTATAAAATGTGGTAATATGTAGTGAAACGAACTGAGACGGTTTGACAGACTTCATGTACCGTTACTGGGGAAACAGTCATGATGTGTCGGTCGTGGTTGTGGTTGCCATGTAAAATTAAGGTGAAGATTTTCACTCTATGTAGTCAGTTCTTTCTAATTTACCAGGAAGGTGTAGGAGGAAGCAGGATTTGTGGTTTTTGAGGTAACTTCAGGGTCAACTCTTTGTTTGTGTTGCTACAGTTGATGTTGATGTTTTTAAGAAGAGGCTCAAGACTAGGGTTGGGAATCGAGAATCGAGAATCGATGGGAATCGGGACTAAAACTTCGATTCTTCCGGTATCGTTCAAATATTAAAATTTCGATTCCAAGTTTCGATGCCAGAGTCCGCCGACCGGAAGAAATAGCCGCCGAAAATCAACGAAGAAGCCGCTTAACACCAATGAGGACGGAGCGTATGAGACAAAGCCACACAGAGAGAGGAGAGAGACAGAGAGAGAAAGTACATTGCAACCCACAGCAATGCAGCCGCTGTGGGTTACAATCTCTCTCTGTCTCCTCTCTGTGTGTGGCTTCGTCTCATACGCTCCGTCCTCGTTGGTGTTCGGCAGCTTCTTCTTCGTTGGTCAAAAGTTTGGCTAACTTTAGCAGGAAGAATGAGCTCTTATCTCAATGCAACATTAGCAATACAGTTATATCATGCAAAGGAGGGTAAACGACCAACGTGATTAAACACCTCAGGATTCATGGAGGAGAAATACCCGAGTGCTCGTCTTTGACGCGCTTCGCCGGTGTTGTGCCAGAGAATGCACCCCTGCTGTTGAATGCACCCCTGAAGGGAGCGCGGTTGAAAGTACACAACAAGGCGAAACAATCCAAGTTTTTCTTACCGTTGGACGGAATCTAAAGCGTGTGCCTTTAATGATTTCATTCAGGCTATTCAGATATGCCGAAAACAATAGCCCTCTGATTCGGAATATTTACTGTCCTGAAAATATAATGTTCTCTACATTAACAGCTTACTCTACAGTTTATATACCCAAGTACACCTTTATGTGTGCATTTTTGAGACACATACAAACAAAACGAAAGTTTACTGCTCCATTTGACACGTTTTCATGATCTAATACCCGTGTTTTATTAAATATGAGATCATATTTCTTCCACTAAGAAGCTTATCAGTGAAGGGGAGGCATTCTACGGCAGGGGTGCATTCTACAGCACAACACCTGTCTTCCGCTAACCAGTCAGGATCAGATAAGTGAAACAATAAATGACTTCTGTCCTCTGCTAACTTTGAAACGGTAAAGAAATTGAACTGTGTACGGTGAGTAAACTTAAATATCCACCTAACGTTAGCCCTTGTGCTTTTTCATAGACAAACGACCTGAAAACAAAAATTGATATTTATATACTGGTTGAAAATAGCTCTGTGAGAAATTCATAGTAAAGTTCTTAAAAAGTTAATAGGATTTAAAAATTCATGGAGAAGTTCAGAAATTTCATCCTAAAAGAAGAGCCCCGGTTAGCACCCTCATTCAAACCATGCTTTTTTTTTCTTTTTTCTTTTTGATATCCTGCCTTTTAAAAGAATCGAATTAGAGAATCGATAGGAATCGGAATCGAAATGAGGAATCGAAATTGGAATCGGAATCGTTCAAAATCAAACGATACCCAACCCTACTCAAGACTTATGTTTTTAACCAGGCTTTTCACTGATTGCCTTTTTATATTTCTTTTATTGCAAATGTTCATTTTAATCGAAGTTCTTACTGTTCCTTTTATGTAATCTTATTATAATCTTAGCTTTTGCTTAACTCCGGCCTTAGTGGTTTTTACTTCTTTTACCTCTTTCTATATTGTAAAGGGCTTTTACGTATTTGTTCATTTTATTTTACTTTTTGTTTTAGTCTTTCTTTTTACCATTTTTTAATTATTATTTTTTGTATTGTATTTTATTTAAAAAAATATTTATTTATTTTTTATCTTTTATCTCCAGTGTTTCCTAAAGGTAGCTCTTTCCTCACGTAACGTCTCAGTGTCAGGCCATGTCTCTTTAACAATATATCTTAAATTCTCCAATGTGTGTGTGCGTGTGTGTATGTGTGGGTGAGCAAGGGTGGGTGTGTGCCTGTGTGTGTGTGGGTGGGAGGGCCAAATTCAAATTTCAATCAATCAAATTTTATTTATAAAGCGCCAATTCTCAATAGTCGTCATCCCAAGATGCTTTCCAAAGAACAAGAGCAGGTCTAGACCACGCCCATTGTTTGATGAATTATCAAGACCCAACGTAAAATGGGACAGATTTAATAACCCGTCTCATCTAACATGAGTGACAGTGGCAAGGAAAAACTTCCTTTTAACAGACATAAACCTTGGATAGGACTAGACTCATGCTAGACAGCCACCAAGCCGCTACTGGGTTGGGGAGGAATACAGAGAGATAAAGGGAGAGAGAGAGGGCAGGGGGAGAGAAAGAGAACAAGATAGAGGGAAGAAGAGAGAGAATGAGTAAGGGAGGGGGAGGGAGGGGGAGGGAGGGAGAGAGAGATGGGGGACAGCAGCAACATTAAAACAACAGCAACAACAACAACAGCTCATGAAGAGTTGTGGTTGCAGGGCAAGTGATGATGGAACAATATGAATTTAGTTTACAGGATCAGGATAGAAGTAATTATGGACGATGTTGAATTAATTTACTGTGATTACAGTCAGCAGGCCTAATAGTAGTTAACTCTAGTTTTATGTTATTAATTTTGGTAAGGCTGATGTTCATGTCTGCAGCAACAGTCCAGAGGAACCTAAGAGAAGAAGGAGCTCAGGGCCTGAGGCGGACAATCATAGACGATGCAACTGGAGTCAGGCAGGTCCACAGCAGCAGACCGTCTACAGCAACAGTCCAGAGGAACCGAGGAGACTGTGGGACTCAGAGACATACAGAGAGATCTGGTTAGTAATTTATTTGGGAGAAAATGACTTCAATGTAATAAAGAAATGATTAATTATGGACGATGTTAAATTAATTGAAGGTGATCAAAGTTGGCAAGTTTAATGGCAGTTTACCTAAGTTTTATGTTATTAATGTCAGTGAATCTGACGTACATGTCTGCAGCAACGTTCCAGAGGAGCCTAAGAGAAGAAGGAGCTCAGGGTCTGAGGTGGACGATCATAGACGATGCAGCTGGAGTCAGGCAGGTCCACAGCAGCAGACTGTCTACAGCAACAGTCCAGAGGAACCTAGGAGACTGTGGGACTCAGAGACATACAGAGAAATCTGGTTAGTAATTTATTTAGGAGAAAATGACTTCAATGTAATAAAGGAATAATTAATTATGGACGATATTAAATGAATTTAAGGTGATTAAAGTTGGCAGGTTCAATGGTAGTTTACTCCAGTTTTATGTTATTGGTGTCACTTAGGATGACGTACGTGTCTGCAGCAACAATCCAGAGGAGCCTAAGGGATGGAGGAGCTCAGGGCCTGAGGTGGAAGATCATAGATGATGCAGCTGGGGTCAGGTAGGTCCACAGCAGACTGGGTCAACTTAGGGTCAACGCTTTGTTTTCAGTACTACAGAAGTGGTTCACTTCTCAACATGGTTTATCATCATGGAAACTGATGCTGACCCAATAACCTGCAGGACAGGTTACGTTCAGAAGAAGAGAAGTTTGAAGGAAACTCCATTCAATGACCAATCAATTTGCCTGGCTCTGACTTTTTTTAGAGTTAGGGCTTAAAATATAGAATAAAAAACCTTGACTTGCTCTGTCAATGTCCACACCAGTAACCCGTAACACCAGAAACTGTACATGAACGATTTGGAGTCAAACAGAGGAGTTCTGACCGACTGAGTAACTGGGACAGCAGTTCTGGGAAATCATGTGTTACTTCAAATTATGAGATAAGATGCTAACACTATAGTGGTACAACTGAAAGATTTGATAGCACAAATGTTTTTCTGCCCAAAGTTTCCCTTTCAGATTTGACTTCCTTTCACTTATTCACTCTGTTATTCAACGAAACTGGAGACTAGCGAGCACAATCAAGAGCAGACCCTATTGAAATTACTTGCAGTATACCTGCAGCTAAGGCTGCACGATATTGGAAAAAAATAATATTGCGATTTTTTCAACCCTGCGATATATATTGCGATATTAAAAATATAGGAATTTTCACCAGATGACCTGAATAGCACTTAATGTTATGCTGCACTGCTGAAATCTTGAGGACAGTTATCCTGCACTGATCTTACCTCTTTTTGTGAATGTTAGAATGGCTTCTGTCTCAGAGATATTTTTAGCTTTTATTGTGCTGGGACGTTATCAGGGCTCTCAAGTTTTGAACTAAGCTTAGAGTGAGATTTCCTGGGGGGGGGGGGGGGGTGAAGATAACTATTAGTATAATTATCTCTTAAATACAACGGAGCACAAGGGGCACAATTAGAAAAAAACGTTTTTATATCTTACAGAATAAAGTTATTATTTGGGAGAATAAAATCATTAATGTATAAGTATTAAGTCGTAAAGTTGTTAAAATCTGCACTGTGGAGCATTTAGATGAATTTTACTTTAGTATAGGTTTCACAAACATGGAGATACTTAATCCTTTGGTACATGAGCATTACACTGTCATGAGTATCAGAACTTATATTTGAGATATATGAGAAATGCAGCTTTTGTGGAGGGGAAAATGGCTGGAAATGGCTGTACGGAGGCTAAATCCGTCAATACAGCTGTTAATAGCAATAGCATAGGGCTTTAGTTTATCATATGAGTTTATATGCCATGAGGTGTTGAGGTCTCTGCATGTGTAGGTTACTGACTTACTGTAATCATCGGGTCTATCTCGTCCTTATAAAAACCTGCTCTATTACGGCGAGTGTCTGTCCTCTCCTGTAGTCAAACCGCAAGATATCAAAATCTACCCGGATACAGCAATGCTGATTTTGATTGGCTGTTCAGTAGATATACTTTATTTGATTGGCTTGCGCGTGGCACGCAGCTTCTGAACTCTCGGAGGAACTCAGTTGATTCGTACCTGTTCCATAAAGAGGTGCAACTTGGTGGACATCACCATGTTCATTTAAATGCGTGAGAAATACGATGTGTGGCGTGTGAGCGTGTGAACAGGTGGGAATGCGTGTGTCTCACGCTGAGTGCGTGAGACTTGAGAGCCCTGCGTTATTGTGGCAACAGATTAACACAGAACACGTGTTTTGGTCCTTCTTTTAACCGAAATAATTCCAGATAACTGACTTTCCTTTTCTTTTGGGCAACAAATCTTCATTTTCGGTGGTTTTCGCTTGTTCGTTGCTCATTTTGCGATCGTTGTTGTTGTTGTTAGCGGTGTTGTGCCGAGAAACGCATGTCCTCCGAGAATTGCATGCACCTCGCAAAACGCGCACCGCTTATAGTAGAGTGATCCACGGAAATGTACAATTTAAAACCCATACAGTTCTTATTTGTTGGGCTAAACAGTCATGAGTAAAGTTCCGAAAGTAATTCTCAGCGGACACGAGTCTCCCTCCATGTGCAGAACATGTGCAGGGGTGGGTTTCCTCCTCTCTGATTTTGATTGACAGCTGGCAGGGTAGTCTGATTGGCAACTGAGAAGTGAGTCTGATTGGCAACTGAGTTAAGGACGAATGTGATTGGTGGATCGCTGCAAAGCACATGCAGAGTCACATGCAGTGTATCTCAGTCAGTTACCCTTGAAATTAAATGAGTTCATTCACCTCCAATATCGCAGGCTCTGCGATGTGACTATCGCACACACGTACATCGCGATGACGATAGTCAAACGATATATCGTGCAGGCCTACCTGCAGCTATCAAAAGTGGATAGTCTTTTGTCACACAGACACAGGGGTGAACTTACTGAAACCATCATAGGAGAGCTGTGGTAATGAATGGATTAATAATGATAAATATTATTCGCAGGCGCTGTTTATATGTTGGATGGCTCGTCTCCACTGAAAAGGGGGGAGAAGAGAGAAGAACAAGCAAGGTAAGTTTCTTAATCAGTTTTTGGGAAATGGAAACATGTGGTCTAGATATTGGAAGAAGACCACTTTTTTTAGACACAGATTTCACAGAAACTTCAACTAAACATGCAGTAGACATTTGCCATTGACAGTGGAACAAGGTAGGTGTCATTTTAGTACCATTTTATTACCAAAAGTCAGATTAATATCCATTTGTTTTACAGTACTGTCGGCTGTGACCTTCATGCAGTCCACACAGCCTTATAAGCTGTTCTGTAAAGAAATGCCGTAATGTTTAACTGCATGTCATGGAGGTATAGGATTAATTTAGGATCTGACCAGGTGCATATTAGTTTATAACTAATATTTTAGCTGTATTCCCTCTATCAGTTTTTTTATTAACACTGCTGATCCTGCCTTCTGTGTGTTTTTTCCTCCAAAGAAAAACCTCTTTTTTTAATCTCCACAATGACTTTTCATCCCACTAAAACTCCACACCTGCATGATTTGACTTTGTCGAGAAACCAGGTATTTTCTCTGACTTTCCCCTGAATGAAACTCCTAATGCAGGACCATGAAAATATCTGCATTGACTTTTTTTTGCTCAGGATTAAATTCTGAAATATTATTCTAAATGTTCCTTTTTATAGTCTTAGAGTTTACTGAGCAGAAAGAACCATCATTAGTTTGAGCCACTTGCTTGGAATTCATGACATGGATATTGGGGCCCGACCGAATTATCGGCGAGCTGATTAAATCGGCCAATTTTAGCCCGTTTGAGACTAATCGGTAACCAGGCCAAAACTCGCCAATTGTCGCCAATATTTTCAGAAATAAAATGCAGAGAATAAGATTCGGTTTCACTTTGAAAATGTTCCGCCATTTGAAAAGTTCCCCGACTTATCCTGTAGATGGCGCTACAGCGACCTCATGCCAATCCTCATCCACTAACTACCTCACAGCACAGCAGAGTGACGGATCTGAAGCAGCAGCTCAGGGACGCGCGGAGGAGAGTGGTCCGCCTCAACGGGTAATAAACCAGTTTGTGAAATGCACAATAAGTCAACAAGTTTCTGTCACGCTGAGTTAACGGTGAAGCTCCATGTAATATGCAAGTTAAAGTTAGAGTTAGCCACCTGCTATTAGCCTTGCTACACTGTTAGCCGTGCCAGTAACGGTAGAGTAAACAACAGTACACATTAACATGATCGAGCTACTTCTCTTACTGAGGTAGCTGCATGTCTCCAACGCTTTTCTCGTCTGAGTTTGATTCATGATAAATACGTGGTATATTACTTAAATGATCAGTCGGTCTTCCTGTCGGCGTGAAGAGCAGTAGCCTACAGTATATCGAGTGTTTCTCATTTTTTATGATGTACGTGAGTTAGCTTTATTTTTATTTATTCATATAGGCTGTTTATTTTAGAGGATGACGAGTGTGTGAGTTTGACAAGACGGAGCTTGACAAAATAATCAGACTCACACCCGCTACAGTCTGAATAATAAGCTGAAAAGAATTAGTTTATCATTACAGTTAAAATAAATAGCCAGGGGTGTAGTGTACAAAATGCTTAATGTAGGCTATGAGTTTGAAAATGGCCCATATATAACTTGACAGATTCTTTTAAACAATGCATATTTAATGCATACTTGCTGTTCTCTCACTTTTTTTCCTTTTGTTGTTGTTTTTACAGATGTCAAAAGAAAGCGAGCGAAGCAAGGTGTGGGACCACTTCACCAAGGATGCCACACACAAAGCACAAAATACCTCATTCTTTTGCAGCTTTTTTTATTGTTTGTTTTGAGGGATGTGAGAGATGAGGATGTTGAGCAAAAAAGTTGGAAGTTAACTTTACTGTTTGCACTTTACACAAAATATCTCATTCTTTTTCAGTTGTTTTAGCAATAAAAAGGATTTGAAATTAGTTTTCTGTCTTTAACTCTTTAAGTGTTTGAAAGACTCAAAAGCAGCCATTTGTTTAAAAAATGATTAAATATATAGATATATTACTTAAATTTTAAAACTTCATAAAAAATTCAACAAATCGGCCGATTAATCGATAATCAGATTTTTTCCCCTCCTAATAATCGGTATCGGCATGGGCCCCAAAAAATCCATATCGGTCGGGCACTAATGGATATACTTTAATGCAGGAAGTAAAACAGAAAGACCAGTTAGCTTTAGATTCTGGAATATGCTGATCTAAATCAGTAAAATCTATGTTTTGCACACTTTAAAAGTGATCTTTCATATAACTTTCTCTCTCAAGACAGCTTTGTAAACTTGCCATACTCTGAAAAAACAGTTCTTCCTTTTTGAATCACATTAAAAATTGAAACCTCAGGACAAGAAAGGAAGTGTCTTTTTACACAATTTCAAAATGACAAGATCTGAAGTTAATTTCGGAAACTGGAGTTTATTTAATTTGCCTTTGGTTGGGATGTCAGGGTTTCCCCCAGGAATCTTTGAATCTGTCATATATTTTAAATTGTGCTTTTATTTTGAAGAGTAACCTACTTCCTGTAAGTGAATTAGGACGGAATGGAAACAGAAAACGGTCCCAAAGCACAGAAGGTCTATTGATCAGTCACTCATAAGCTCAACCTTTGCTTTTGGATTTATCACAAATCATGAGGTATCAGTCTTTTTTAACATGCAAAAGTGCAAAACCATCAGATGATTTAATGCTGATGCTTTCTCTCCCCCCTTTTTCATTTTTTATATGACCTCCGGCAACCAGAGTCAAGGATCACCTCTGTAAACTCACACTATAACTGTTTGCTAATTTTTTTTGCACAGTATCAATCTTAAATAAATTAATAAATATGGTTAGATGCAAGTAATTCAACTGTTTCAAGGGGTGAGGCCCTGATGATTTTTGTTGTTTTGTTAATTTATCTTATAACTTAAGTTTATAACAGTTCTCAGTTATAAATCGATAATGAGTAATTCATTACTTACTAACAAAGCTGACATTAGTGAGGTAATGCCAAATAAAGCCAACTTTTCTGACATGCAACAGAGTATAAGGGCCACATTAAAGATACAATTTAAAAAAAGAAAAAAAGTCTTACAAAATTAAACTTTTTTGTTTTTTTTGTTACAAGAATAAAGTTGCAGTGTGGTTATACTATGAAAGTAAAGTAGCAAGTAATTTATTACAAAAATGAAGTCAGAGGGAAATTATAATATAATGAGAGTAAAGTCATTTTGTTATGAGAATGAAGTTCTGATGAAGGGGTAGTTTTGGATCATGGTGAGGAGCCAGCTGTCAGCTCCAAAAGTGAGAAACGTTTAGCGTCTGGTTAAATCATCTGATTTGTTTCCTCAGATCCACATTATTAAAAGGTTCAGGTTTCTGAAAAGACTGCGCTAAAACATGAACTATCCTTCTTCTAAACAGCAATATGTGTCTAATCCTTGGCCAGCTCTGGATAGAGAAGAAATAAATGATGAACATGTCATTATAGCCTTTGGAGCGAGGAATGGCTGCTTCTATAATAAAAAAAACTTGGTCTAAGTCATCAGAAATAAAACAATTAAAACAATAAGACAAATTTAAACATAGCAAAGCATTAAAAATTTCAGTAAAAAAAGCTGCCGTATTTTAAACAGTATACTTTCCTTATCCCATCCTCAGCTTGTTGGGTTAAAAAAAAGCTTTTCTTTTTTTCTATCCCACATATTTGAGGGATTTATTTAAACTGTGAGGGGATTTTATTTTCACAGATATATCTTAATGCTTAACAGATTGATTTTCTTTCTATGACACTAGAGTAGGAAGAGACAAATCTAACATTGAGATAAATCCTGGGGAGGAAGCTGACTGAGAATGTTTGCTCTTCTTTTTGAAACTGCTCTACATTGATTTCAATATAAAAGACTGGGAGCTGCAAACCTGCCACAGCCCTCTGCTGCCGACCGGCCACTGGACAGTTTGTAGTTGAGCACCTTGCTCAAGGATACCTCGGCAGCAGATGTAGAAAGAGTATTTGTTCTGTATGTGTGAGGAAGTGTGGTAGTTGTTTGTCTCTGGTCAATGTTGACTCAGCCATGGGGTCAAATAAGGACCCAAAGGGAGGGGGTCTGGCTCAAGTTGATGTGAGAGTATGTGCTGTGTTGGACAGGGAAACACTCTTGAAGACAGCCTGCTGGGCATAGTGTCCTGCTTTTCCTGTTGCTGGTCCCTTGGCACTTAGCATGGCAGCAGCATGGAGGGACTCCATCCCAGCAACAGCGTCATAGATTTGGGCTGGCAGCCACAGGGTCCCCAGCCAATCAGAGCACACACAGTGCCAGATCACTTCAGAGGCAGCCAATAGCAACCCTGGATGTGCTGAGTGCCATCCCTCCCAGATGTGAATTCCTTTAAACCCACAAGGTACACAAATGCAGACACAAACACTCAGTTCTAACTCAAAGACAGAGTGTGCACACATTGAAAGTGTGTTTGCGTGTGTGTGTGTATGTGTAGGTGCAGCAAAGGTGACTAAAAACAGTCTGTTTTTCATGTGAATGCACCGCTGTTATTTATTTGGTCAAGTTCAGACTTGACAATATCTTTTGTATGACTTCTCAACTTGTATTTAACATGTAGGGCGCCACTCATCACTTCAGTGTATGAAGCTTTGTCTCACTCTTGTGGTTAAACTGGGTAGTACAGCAGTTATGGACTGAACTAAGGTCCTGGATTATAAATTTGTCTTTGAAGAAATCTGTGACATTTTTTATGGTAATCAATGACGATGGTAGTGACAGCCTTTGTTCCACATGTTGAAATCTTTATTGTGATTAATGCATTGAATTCAGTGGTTACAAGTTTCTTGGTAACAGGGGTATAATCACTACAGTTTAGAATTTAATGCATGATTCACGTTGTTCATTTATTCAGTTGCAACATGTTTCCTTTAATTCTGCAAACATGTACGAGTTTAACAATACCAAATCTAAAACAAGCTTGTAGAAAAGAAATGAACATTTGTTGAACATTTGTTGTTCACTATGTACAGTCTATTGAAAGGATTTATAAAAAAAAGATTAAATTTCCCGCTTAAAGGTTGATAAGATCCATTAAAACTCCCTAGAACTTGACGTATGAGTTGTGAAAGTGGATCCGTCCTCTGATCCTCATCATTTAGTCTGCAAGAGGAACACAAGAAATGACTTCAATGCTAACTCCCAACACATTTAAGTTCCAGAATAAAATAAAATGAAGATTGCAAAGACTGATGTAACCGAAATGAAATGAAATAGACCATATAAGAAGGCTGTGTCTTACCTTAATCAGGGTTACAAGGATACCGTAGATGATGGAGATGAGGAAAAAAATGAGGAACGTTAAAGACATATACCAGCTGTCCACATCTGTGTCTTGGTGTCTGGCAGCGTGCATAATGTCATCTAAGAAATTACAACTATCCAAGACGCCTGTAAAAGAATCAGAGAAAGATCTTTTAGATACTCATAATTGTCAAAGATTTAATAAAAAGAGCTAGAGACACACATAAAACAATAACAATGCACAAGTCATACTAAAACTAACCAGCAAGCAGGCTAAGGACATCAACAGAGGGTGCATCATTAATGTAAAGAAATTCCATAAATTTATGCTGTAAAATAGAGTTTCAACCAATTTGAGTTATTTCATTAGGACCTGTACTTTTTTACAAGCCTCTGTAGTTTCACCTCAAAGAGAGCAAAATATTTTACAGCCAGTTTTTCTCCCAGTTCCAACACAGCTCTTTTTCAATAACCAAAATGTCAGTGGGCTCTAGAGTGTACAAATTCTTTGGACAGCATTACTATGGTGTTGAGAATATCATAATTAAACTATAGTTAAATAATAAACATACATTCTCAGCTCACCAAACACATCCTTTATCGAGTTTCCAAGAGGCGTTTCAGATGACTCATGTTTGACAATGCAAGAATATGTTGACTTCTTGTGCGCAGATTGGGTGATATTTAGTCTGCTGCTCATTGAGAAAGTGTTGCTCCCGGTGTACTGCCACACAGGACTGTTTGTGTAGTCAGTTGAAGGGAGTATCTCACCATTTTCCTCCCAGTAAACTATAATATTAGATGGGAAAAATTCAGAAACCAGGCAGTTTAGTGTGAGGCTGTTGGATGTAGAAGCTTCAGTAGCACTTGGCTGTATGATCTTCACTGTTGGTTGCTTCATGTCTAGGGAAACACAAGACAAATTCAGAGTTTTTTTATGGACACCAAGCAAAATTATAACCATACATTTTTAGTTTTTATTAGGGTCATAAAGGTTTTTGTGCTGCTGGTAAATCAGAGACTTCCTACATTAACTTCACGTGGTTCAGCCCTCATATGGTAACTCCAAAACCTACATTAAAAGGTAGAGACGACGGGTGGAGAGGTTACAGGTGGTGCACAGTCGCTTTTACTAAGCTCCTTGTCCCTTAGCACCTTGTTTCACATGCTCCCCCAGCCTGTTAAGAGTAACTTCCACCTGCAACAGCTCACTGTCTTGACCTGTCTGTGATCCTTGTGTGTTGTACTGTGTGTGGGCCGTGGATAGAAATACTAAAATGGACCTCTGCACATGTACTAGATAAGTGGTTGCCAAAAATTACCATAGCATTAAAGAGATGAGGTGCAGCTGATTGTGGGAGTACTCTCACTATGGATCTGCAGCTTGATAAAGTCTTCTCTGATGTTGTGTTATTGTTTGTGGCGCAGCAGCGTTTCATGCATTTCACTGGTTGGCTGACTTTGCACAGCTGTTAAAGAGATGCTCTTTGTCAGACATTACCGTGCTCTTCTTTTGCATTAGCCATGAAGAACGAGGAGCTGGTGGGTTTTTGTTGCATGACAAAGTGGAGTCATCCAGTGTTTTAAGTCACAACATCATACAGCCTTCCATGTTGCTGTTGCTCATACATTTATAAAAAAATATGAAATCCATTCCTTACTTGAATGGTACTCTTAGTTGACTGGCTAAAATATTGCTAAGAATGTATGATGTTCATGGTGGGCTTCTGATACATGGCCTGCCTTTTTGAACTGTGTTTAGCCCTCTGAATTAAAAGCAGCTTGAAATTTTGATATGGAATTTATATAAGTACCTTTGCTTTTGCTGATGTGATCCTCATAGCTCTGGGTGGAACATAGGTGCCTTGCCTCACAGGACACTTGTTTATAAGCATTCCAGTCCTCCACTGTGATATTAAGGAAGCTCTGCAAAGTTTCCGTCCCGTTGCTGTGACTTACTGATGGCGTAGTACGAACATGGAGATTATTTATGTTCCCGTCTACTTTCCAGGTGATGGTGAAATCTTCAAGAAGTAGGCCAACCAAAAAACAGGTGACGGTAACCTGTCTCTTGCCCTCAATCTCCTGTAATGGTGGTCCCATAACATAGATGCCAATTGAGTGAGATGATGTGGGACTAACTGTGAAAGGAGACAAGACAGTCAAAAATGAAAGATGCAACACCTGTCAAGTCACAATCTTGACTGACTTCCAAATTTATGACGCTTATATAATTCTGGATTATTTTAACTGGATTGCTAAGATTGTTCTTTACTTGGTTGTACCTTTGCAGAGGCTGATCTCCCTCCTGATTTTGTTGTTTTTAGACTTGTCAGAGACTTCACAAGTGAAATTCTTCCCTGTCTTCCAGTCTGCCTGAGGAACTGAAAGCTGACTTAGTACAGTCACAAGTCCATCTGCACCCATGCTGATGTCCTGGGTTGCAGTTGCAGACTCAGGAAACCATTGAATCTGTGGGTGAAAACCTTGACCAGAGCACAGCAATTTTTGATGTCCTGACTCTTCAGCAGGCATCAACAGAAGCTTCATTGATGGGTCACCTTGAATGATATGAACAGATTAAAAAAAAAAACTATATGTTATGCTGCTCATTTTTAAAAAGGGGTTCCAGTACAGATGGTTAAAAAAAGACAAGTCAAGGAAATACTACTCACCAAAAATGTTGCCTGTAGGTACTGATTTGTAAAAGCCTGAGAAGCCTGTACTGACTTTGCAGGTAAAGGTTGTGCCATTTGTCCTGTAACTGGTAGGCACAGTGAAGCGTTTGGTGATCAGATGAGGGCCAGGGGCCTCATGAAGAGCCACCCACAGTTTCCCTGGCATGTCTTCATCTTGAGCTTGGAAAGTGACAAAGAAGTCACTGGAGGAACTCTTTGTGATCTGACACTCCAGCACAGCACTGTCCCCTTTGAGTAAATCTGGGAGTGATCTGCTGATCTCCACTGTAGGTGTGTCTGCAGGCCCTAGAACATACAGAGGCAAACAGGGGTGTAAGGCCTTTTTTCATTTGGTCACTGTTCTATCAATGAGCAAGTGAGGCATTTGATCACCCACCAACACAAAATATGTATCTCCAGTTTCCTCGCCTTCTTACCTGAAACCTGTTTAGTTTGCTCAGTGGTGGGGACACAGGGATGTTCAGCTTTACATGTGACTTGTTTCAGTGTTTTCCAGTGGCTGGATTCAACGCTGAGAGTGCTGACAATATGACTCATATTAGAGGAGAGAGTCACTTGGTCTGTGGATGGAGGTCTCCCATCCAGCTGCCAGGTCAGTGTGGCATCAGACTCATGGTGGACTGAACAGGTAGCATGCACCATGGATGTAGCTGTCATAACTGTCTTGAAGCTGGGAGTCTCCAAGTGGATAGTTGGGGAAATAGAAGAACAAGCTGGACGAGAGAACAAACAAAAACAACTTGAAAATATCTTTAATCTTAAAAAAAGTTTAATTAGGTTTACTCAATAGTTTATCTTGTAAATATTTATCGAGACAATTTTGACTGATGCTGCATTTTTACCAGGTTGTTATCATTACTTGGTTGTACCTTTACAGAGGCTGATCTCCCTCCTGATTTTGTTGTTTTTAGACTTGTCAGAGACTTCACAAGTGAAGTTCTTCCCTGTCTTCCAGTCTGCCTGAGGAACTGAAAGCTGACTTAGTACAGTCACAAGTCCATCTGCACCCATGCTGATGTCCTGGGTTGCAGTTGCAGACTCAGGAAACCATTGAATCTGTGGATGAGATCCTTGACCAGAGCACAGCAATTTTTGATGTCCTGACTCTTCAGCAGGCATCAACAGAAGCTTCATTGATGGGTCACCTTGAATGAGATGAACATATTAAAAACACCTATAGGTTATGCTGCTCATTTTTAAAAAGGGGTTCCAGTACAGATGGTGAAAAAAGACAAGTCAAGGAAATACTACTCACCAAAAATGTTGCCTGTAGGTCCTGATTCGGAAGAGCCAGAGAAGCCTGTACTGACTTTGCACTTAAAGGTTGTGCCATTTGTCCTGTAACTGGTAGGCACAGTGAAGCGTTTGGTGATCAGATGAGGGCCAGGGGCCTCATGAAGAGCCACCCACAGCTTTCCAGACATGTCTGTATCTTGGGCTTGGAAAGTGACAAAGAAGTCACTGGAGGAACTCTTTGTGATCTGACACTCCAGCACAGCACTGTCCCCTTTGAGTAAATCTGGGAGTGATCTGCTGATCTCCACTGTAGGTGTGTCTGCAGGCCCTAGAACATGCAGAGGCAAACAGGGGTGTAAGGCCTTTTTTCATTTGGTCACTGTTCCATCAATGAGCAAGTGAGGCATTTGATCACCCACCAACACAAAATATGTATCTCCAGTTTCCTTTCCTTCTTACCTGAAACCTGTTTAGTTTGCTCAGTGGTGGGGACACAGGGATGTTCAGCTTTACATGTGACTTGTTTCAGTTTTTTCCAGCGGCTTGATGCAACGCTGAGAGTGCTGATAATATGACTCGTATTAGAGGAGAGAGTCACTTGGTTTGTGGATGGAGGTCTCCCATCCAGCTGCCAGGTCAGTGTGGCACCAGACTCATGAAGGACTGAACAGGTAGCAGGCACCATGGATGTAGCTGTCATAACTGTCTTGAAGCTGGGAGTCTCCAAGTGGATAGTTGGGGAGATGAAAGAACGAGCTGAACGGGAAAACAAACAAATACAACTTGAAAATCTTGATAATGGAACAAAGCTTGTGGGGGTTTCCTCAATAGTTTATCTTTTGAATAATTTACTGGGGCATTTTTGACTGATACTAAATTTTAACTAGATTGTTCTCTTTACTTGGTTGTACCTTTACAGAGGCTGATCTCCCTCCTGATTTTGTTGTTTTTAGACTGGTCAGAGACTTCACAAGTGAAGTTCTTCCCTGTCTTCCAGTCTGCCTGAGGAACTGAAAGCTGACTTATTACAGTCACAAGTCCATCTGCACCCATGCTGATGCCCTGGGTTGCAGTTGCAGACTCAGGAAACCATTGAATCTGTGGGTGAAAACCTTGACCAGAGCACAGCAATTTTTGATGTCCTGACTCTTCAGCAGGCATCAACAGAAGCTTCATTGATGGGTCACCTTGAATGAGATGAACAGATAAAAAAAAACAACTATATGTTATGCTGCTCATTTTTAAAAAGGGGTTCCAGTACAGATGGTTAAAAAAAGACAAGTCAAGGAAATACTACTCACCAAAAATGTTGCCTGTAGGTCCTGATTTGTAAAAGCCTGAGAAGCCTGCACTGACTTTGCACTTAAAGGTTGTGCCATTTGTCCTGTAACTGGTAGGCACAGTGAAGCGTTTGGTGATCAGATGAGGGCCAGGGGCCTCATGAAGAGCCACCCACAGTTTCCCTGGCATGTCTTTATCTTGAGCTTGGAAAGTGACAAAGAAGTCACTGGAGGAACTCTTTGTGATCTGACACTCCAGCACAGCACTGTCCCCTTTGAGTAAATCTGGGAGTGATCTGCTGATCTCCACTGTAGGTGTGTCTGCAGGCCCTAGAACATGCAGAGGCAAACAGGGGTGTAAGGCCTTTTTTCATTTGGTCACTGTTCCATCAATGAGCAAGTGAGGCATTTGATCACCCACCAACACAAAATATGTATCTCCAGTTTCCTCGCCTTCTTACCTGAAACCTGTTTAGTTTGCTCAGTGGTGGGGACACAGGGATGTTCAGCTTTACATGTGACCTGTTTCAGTGTTTTCCAGCGGCTGGATTCAACACTGAGAGTGCTGAAAATATGACTCATATTAGAGGAGAGAGTCACTTGGTCTGTGGATGGAGGTCTCCCATCCAGCTGCCAGGTCAGTGTGGCACCAGACTCATGAAGGACTGAACAGGTAGCAGGCACCATGGATGTAGCTGTCATAACTGTCTTGAAGCTGGGAGTCTCCAAGTGGATAGTTGGGGAAATAGAAGAACAAGCTGGACAAGAGAACAAACAAAAACAACTTGAAAATATCTTTAATCTTAAAAAAAGTTTAATTAGGTTTACTCAATAGTTTATCTTATAAATATTTAATGAGACAATTTTGACTGATGCTGCATTTTTACCAGGTTGTTATCATTACTCAGTTGTACCTTTACAGAGGCTGATCTCCCTCCTGATTTTGTTTTCTTTAGACTTGTCAGAGACTTCACAAGTGAAGTTCTTCCCTGTCTTCCAGTCTGCCTGAGGAACTGAAAGCTGACTTAGTACAGTCACAAGTCCATCTGCACCCATGCTGATGTCCTGGGTTGCAGTTGCAGACTCAGGAAACCATTGAATCTGTGGGTGAAATCCTTGACCAGAGCACAGCAATTTTTGATGTCCTGACTCTTCAGCAGGCATCAACAGAAGCTTCATTGATGGGTCACCTTGAATGATATGAACAGATAAAAAAAAAAAACCTATATGTTATGCTGCTCATTTTTAAAAAGGGGTTCCAGTACAGATGGTTAAAAAAAAGATAAGTCAAGGAAATACTACTCACCAAAAATGTTGCCTGTAGGTCCTGATTTGTAAAAGCCAGAGAAGCCTGTACTGACTTTGCACGTAAAGGTTGTGCCATTTGTCCTGTAACTGGTAGGCACAGTGAAGCGTTTGGTGATCAGATGAGGGCCAGGGGCCTCATGAAGAGCCACCCACAGTTTCCCTGGCATGTCTTCATCTTGAGCTTGGAAAGTGACAAAGAAGTCACTGGAGGAACTCTTTGTGATCTGACACTCCAGCACAGCACTGTCCCCTTTGAGTAAATCTGGGAGTGATCTGCTGATCTCCACTGTAGGTGTGTCTGCAGGCCCTAGAACATGCAGAGGCAAACAGGGGTGTAAGGCCTTTTTTCATTTGGTCACTGTTCTATCAATGAGCAAGTGAGGCATTCGATCACCCACCAACACAAATATCTTTTGTATAGTTTCCTTTCCTTCTTACCTGAAACCGGTTTAGTTTGCTCAGTGGTGGGGACACAGGGATGTTCAGCTTTACATGTGACCTGTTTCAGTTTTTTCCAGCGGCTGGATTCAACGCTGAGAGTGCTAATAATATGACTCGTATTAGAGGAGAGAGTCACTTGGTTTGTGGATGGAGGTCTCCCATCCATCTGCCAGGTCAGTGTGGCATCAGACTCATGGAGGACTGAACAGGTAGCATGCACCATGGATGTAGCTGTCATAACTGTCTTGAAGCTGGGAGTCTCCAAGTGGATGATAAGAGGGTTTCCACTGTGGACTTCAGAAAAAACAAAACAGAGAAGCGATGTAATGAACTAACTTTAAATGGCTTATCTCTCTCATTAGGCATAGTTTGTAGCATTCTTTTGTTTTGTGTTTACGTACTTTGACAGACATTTATTGTCTTTCTATATTCAATGCTGTTGTGACGGGCCTTGCATGAAAAGTTTGCGCCTTTTGCCCACTCCGTGCTTCTTGGTGTGATCTCACTGCTCAGACTGAATAATTTTTCATTCTCTTTATCCACAGTCTGCACCTTCTTTTGGATAGGTAAATTCCCTAGAGGCTTGTTGTTCTCGAGCCACTCCACATCAAGTTTTTCTGGAAAGAAGTCGCTTAGTGTGCATTTGAGTCTCAAGGTTTTCGGTTTACCATCCCAGACAGGTTGTAATGTGATGTTTGGAGAAACAATCCGGGGTTCTATGAGAAAAAAGATGATATTTTATTATGACTTTCCAATGCCCCATGTGCAGAAAATATCAGGAGAATTATGCTGTAATAAATACGTACCTTCAGATTCTTTTCATCTCATGGCTTATTTTATATTTGTTTACCTAGGCTAGGTGGCAGAGTTGTATTTTAAAACTGTGTCTTAACAGTCATGTGGAGATAAGGCTGAATGACTGTTGCACAGATACAACAGTATGACATGGTAGAGTGATCAGTTAGCAGCAAGCAGAAGCGTTGTGTAACACCCAGCTCCCAAAAAAGGACCAAATTACAGAAGTGAAACAACGCTAGGAGCAACGGTGCATCACAGACACCAGGTGTGAGGTGTGGTTATGCCAGTAAGAGAAACAGACTGTGCATTTAAATATCTCACATCAGTTTACATACATTTTAAAATAATTTGTAGAAGGCTTGAGTTCTCAGTTCTAATAATAATAAACTTGAGAATCAAACCAACTGTAGCAATTTTCACATTTACATGTTAAATCTCATGAGGTTGTCTCTGGATGATGCTGGGGAGGTAATTGATACATTAATAAATAGTGAAAGAGATTATCACAAGAAATAAGAGTAATGAAAACTTTATTGGTTAAACAGCGGACAGTATGAACAATCAAAAGAAAGACAACAGGCTGCAGAATGACATTGATGGTCAACTTCAATTAAACACTTTTTTTTTGACATCTCAAAACTTAAAGATGAAAACAGCGATTACTTACATGATACTGAGTTCATTAAAATATCAAGAAAATATATCATATAGAGTTCACCTTGTTTCATTTCACCTGCAAATGAAACACATACACACATACATACATGTAAGTAAAATTCAACGTAAACATAAAATGTAATAAATGTACACTTGACCTTTTCGTAAAAATGGAAACTTTACAGTCTTAATTAACAAATTGTTTTCTAAGGAGAGACAAACTGTAATATTGTGATAAGTCATTAAAACAAGCATACTTCAAATTGATCAATCTATGGCTAAAAAATGGCTGAGCTGGATTCTGTTTCGTTTGTGTCAAATAAATAAGTCTAAAAATCACCCAATAAAACTTTGAGATAACTAATAATAATAGTAATGATAATAAATTTTATGTATAATGCTCTTTACAGGTGCTCTAAGATGCTTTACAAGAAAAACACAATTTAAAATACAGAAAATTTTGAGTAATAAGACCAACAGTGTAGAAGGTTAAAAAAGACACAATAGTAAAGGACAATAAAAGAACAGTTCACAGGTTAAAAGCCAATTTAAAAAGGTGTGTTTTTAGGAGTGATATGAAAATATGGGGGTCTGTACAGTCTCGGATGGGTTTGGAAAGGGAATTCCAGAGGGCGGGGGTGGCAGCGGAGAAAGCTCTGTCCCCCCAATTAAAGTAAAAATAAATACTTATAACATTGTTACACAAAACACTCTGTAAGAAACAACTGCAAGATAAAACATCACCAAAACACAGAGCTATCAGTCTTTACCAGATATCATTATTATAATGTCAGACTTACTGATAACTGTAAGTCAGTGTCAAAACTGTCAAAAACTATTTAATAAATATAGATTAGATGTTCATTGATCTTCAGGCATTAAACCATGATGGGTCAATATTTTAGTTGCCTTTTAAACTGTGAACAAATGTATTAAACTCTGTCTAAGTACATTAAACCATCTATTCGGTTTTATCGCTCTCAATTTATCAATATAAACTCTGTACCTTGAAAGCAGTGGTTCCGATGGTGAAAAGCAGAGTGATGAGGAAGAGAAGGATGAAGGTGAGGGCTGCTTCAACCATGTTATCTTTTTCTATCTCCCAGGCACTGTTCCATTGTTCGAAGTCTGGAAGTAGTTAAGAGGAATTTTTGGGTTAATACTTTGAACAATCCAAAAAGCAGCTTTTCAATGCAAGAGGGTGCAGTGAACATTAATGTCCAAATAAGAGCAATGGATAGTGGACTTTATGTCTGACCGGACCTCGTGTGCAGGGCTATATCCTGCTCTTGACATAGTCCCTGACTGTGTCATGTCTGCTGGACAGACATCCACTTCACAGTACTCTCAACTACATCATCATCGCCAATGATATTTTATGTACTCGCTTTGACATGAGCTATTAAAGTTATCCTCACTAACTAATTGTGGTTTGTCTCTGATATGCATCAGTAAAAAGTCCTCAATGTCTTGAAAAGATGCATGGAGGCAGCAAGAATTTGAACCTGGCATACACTTGTTTCTGACAAGCGGATTTTGTATTGCCTTTGTCATGATTTCACTACATTCTTTTTTGACAATATGTTAACCGTTGACATTGCCATTTCTTTGTTGTATAATATTTCTCGTCATCTTTTTTTTTTTTTTTTTTTTTTTGTCAAATTAACGTTAGTTCTGGCATTGATAGGAGTGTTTCATTTCTCTCATGTTTTCTTAGATTCGTTCAAGTTGTCGTTTGATGACCCTGAATTGCTTTTGAAAGACTTCATTAATGCTGTGGCTTGTAAATCAGTGTACGTGACATTTTACTGTACAGGAGTCAAACCTAATGCGATGATCTGGTGTTGCAAGACCCAGAGGAGGTAACAGGTGTACGTATACACGGAGACACACACACACACACACACACACACACACACAGAGTCACACAAACACGTTTAAATACACAACTAGAGAAAAGTCAAGATAATAGACTTTTTTGTAACAAGTGGTTGTTATTCTAGTCACTACAAAGCAAGACTGACAGTTTGACTAGATAAAAATATTTTGAATTAATCATGTTAATATGTAACAGCAGTTTGTGTTGCAGTAAAAGAGCTTAGTGATGAAACACTTGGACACAAAAAGGCCAAAATACTGGTGCAGTGAAGACATAAACGACATGCAACAGACATCAACAGAGTTCAGAGTGTTTTTTTTTATTTTGATTTTGCATTTAAAAGACAAATACTGTCAAATAACAAGCAACAAACATTAAACAAACAGCAAAACAGACGGAGAGACAAAAAACATCTACTGGGCCTTGCACGATTCAGGGATGTTCATGTTGAGGTTGACCATGTTGGTGTTGTCATTGTACTTGTACCCAATAGACCTGACAACAGCCTTAGTCGTGTTGGTCAGAGACTCGTGGTATACTACGCAGTTGTACACTGCCCCACCAGTTTTCCACTGTTCAAGGCTGAGAGATAACTGGCCATAAACCGAATAGGTTTCCCCGTTTTCTAGAGGCTCTGTTTGATGGAACTCATACTCTGAGTTTGGTTCCTCATCATCAACAAGCCAAGACACCCAAACATTCTTAGGGGAGAAGTCTTTCACATAGCAAGTCAGAGTCACCATGTCCTTTTTAGTATGCTCTAATGGGGGCAGCATGAACATTGATGGACGCTGAATTGATCCTCCTGCAAGCATGAGAGAACAATTAAGCCTTTTGCCTTGGAGAACACACAGCTACAGGAAATCTCTGTGACTGAACCCCTCTCAAAAGTCATGTATATCAAATATGACAAGAAGAATCTAAAACAAGTTTCAGAGCACAAGTACCAAATAGAGTACTTACCAAGGTCCCTCTTATAAGTTTTCTTGACTGGGTCTACAGAGTCTGAGCGTGAGACAACACACGTAGGTTTTATTCCCCTGTGCCATTCGTCATAGGAGATTTCAAGTGGAAGGCTGTATAGGCCTTTCCCACCTGAAGGGATTTTCTTCTCGGCATCAGCGATATCCTGTCCTCGCTCGTCCTCCCAGTAAATCTTTTCCACTCCACCATTGGCCGTGACCTGACATACCAGTGACCCCTTTCCATTTGTGAACAAGTCCTCCAATGAAGGGTCAACAATATTTATGCTAATGTCTCCACTGGGACACGCTTTGTTGGAGTAAGGAACAAGAGGAGATTTATTCAGTCAGAAATGGATGCAAAATGACAGATATTAAAGTTATACAGTATTTATATATCAAGAAAAAGTATCAGTTTACTCACGCTTAGATGTGTCTACATAAGTGACAGAGGCATTCTTGAAAATGGGTCCACTTTCATCTTTCCCCTCAAATATGCATCTAAATGTAGTATCTGGAATCCACTCACTGGATGGCACTGTGAGTAAACTTGCTGCACTGTACAGAGTCCCATTGTCTGTCTGTCTCTCGTGGCGGGGAGTTTGGATCACATATTTTTCATTGGGGACTACCGCTTCATTTTTCAGCCATTTGAAGCCATAATTCTTTGGTGAAAAATCTTTGGCAAAGCATGAGAAGAAAATCTCCTTGTCCCCTTCAGTATATGAGTGAGACACTTTGAGAGTTGGCAACTCAAAGAGTTCCGCTGTAAAACAAAGATATACACAAATATATGTATGCGCAAGCAGGGAATTATACACATATATATGCAGAAGCCAAAGTTAACAAAGTGCTTTAGTTTTTGTGTAATCTAGATTTAGAATTGACCTGTAGATCATCTGAATTTACCAGTTTACTTTTTGTTCTACTGAATGAATACATGTGGGTACATCACCTCATATCAATGCTAATGCTAATTTTAGCTTGTTTTGAAATTAAAGTCAAGAAGAAATTAGAACTATCTTTACAGCTTTACTTTATCGCTTGCTTCTGCATATACATTGACTGCTCGAGCAAGCGGACATGGATTACCTTGTACATAAATCATCAACATACAAGTTCCATCTATCTGCATAACTTTGATTATGCAGAGGATGGAAAGAAGCGGTGCACATTGCAACAATCTAGTCTTTAACAGGCGCAGAGGACATGAAGAATATTAGTAAAGAATAAAATAGATTAAGTTAGCAGCGAAATGTATGTGAGAAAGTGTCAACCTTGTCATTCCACTTCACTGTTTAAGTTTATCTGCCAGGTTCACTATATAGGATAAAAATACTGATTTTAAATATTTCGCACTATATTAACAAAGATGTTAATAATTTTTGAAATTTTATGCTCTTTTTTTATGTTTTTTTATTGCTGTCTGAATGTAATTGACTATAAAATATTGTGAAACAATTACACTATTTTTTTCCTCTAACCCTAAACCCAGAAGAAAGTTTAAATAGTGGGCGTTAGTCTACCTCTGATAAAAGCGCCTAAAAGGACTCAATTAAAAAGAGAATACTAAGAATGTTTTAATGTTAAATGATTTCAACATTATGTTTTTATTAATAGTGTAAATATGATTATTATTATAATAGTCGTTATTATAATTAAAATTATTAGTTGTAGTAGTAGTCAAAGCACTTAATTTACAGTAAACTACTAAATGTTGATATTTTGAATGTTTTTGAAACTGTTCTGCTGCGGCTCCCTGACAACAGCAGGCCCCATCAAGCATGAACAGTTTTACCACATGAACATTTTTTGATGATGTTTCAATGACAAATTCAACTACAAAAAAGTAAAAATTGTCAAACATTTTTCTTTTTTAACCTGCATCATTATAAACAAACTGCTGTCAGAACATTTTTATAAGACTTAGCATGGGTCTTACGTGGCTTGATTACAACTCCCTGTGCTGTTCCTGCTGGATGTGTGGCGATGCATTTGTAGGTGTCTCTCCTGTCCCAGTCCTGACGGCTCACTTGGATTTGACTGATTCTCATATAAAGGTCATCCTTCCTCACTGGGGGATACTGGATGAAGTCAGTCAAGTCAACTCCGTTTTTGTTCCATGTGTAGGTCAATGAGGAGGGCGAGAATCCGGTGGCAAGGCAGCCAAGAGTGACCGTGGCTTCAGTCCCAGAGTCGCATTGCATCAGAGGAAACACAGTTGGTCCAGTTGATGTGGCTGACAAAGACAAACAGTGGTGTCATTAAAATACCTTAACAGAGAACTAGTCATAACAGAATTATTTATCAAACACTCGTAAAAACCCACAACAGGATTTCATCAAGGACTACATTTTAATACCTTTTCCTTGAAATGTTTCACACGTAGAAAGTGACCTTCGTACCATTCATACTCCTCATTCACTTTTTCAGATGTTGTTTGTTAAACTGATGGCCCTCCATTATGTACGGCTACAATTCTCTTTTCACAAAATTAATGTGCTTATTATTTAAATTCCATGGTGGTAATTAATAATTTTTAAAGAATTTAATGAGCGGCACATTTCTACAATCACGGCATAAATAAATGTATGGCATTTAATTCATTAAACTGTGTAAATCATGTTCAATTAAAGGCATTTATTTGACGTTAAATTTTTCTTACCTGATGTAACAGTAACCGTTGTACCTTTTCCCCAGTAGTCAAAAGAAGCATCGTAACACTGTGCTAAATTACTGTACTGCGAGTGTAAAAAAGCTGTCTACTAATGTTTAGTGCAAACGAACCGTAAACCTTAATTATGCCTACTGACTGTATTTCACTTAAACAAAATACAGTAACTTAGTTTTACATATCAATATTTTTATAAATTAACTTTCACCCGCAAGTTGTCTAAGAAAAATACTATCTGCATTTTTTATAGTCTAGACAACACTATAAAACACACTGCAACACGTGAAAGCAATTTATGTCAGGAAGCAAAACTCAAAATTAATGCATTAAAGTCTGAGGTTTTAACAAAAGATCTTTTTGAGTGGTAAATCTTACCTGATGTCACTGTTACCATCGTGCCTTTCCCCCAGTAGTCAAAAGCACCCCAGTAATCACAGTGAACAAAGCCGAGGAGGACTTCTCACAAAAACTCAATTTTGCAATAACCACCAACTTTGATAACATTTCAAATCAAAGTAAAACCTACAACTAACCAATGTACTTTTAACCCTTTTTTTTTGCAAGGTGACAAATACTTAAAGCTGTGTTGCCACTGGCCTCTACATGTGACCACAGTAAAAAAAAATATATTACTGCATAAGTAATCAAATAAGAAATTTTGTTCACTGTTCAGAAATACCAAAAACACATACCTGAAGTGACGGTGACCGTGGTCCCTTTACCCCAGTAGTCGAAAGCCCAGTTATCACAGTGAACAAAGTTCGATAGGACTTAAAACAAAAACTTGATACTGTGATACCCACCGACTTGTGCCTAAGATTTTGTTTCTGGCAAGAGTTAAAAATTTCAGCGAAATGCGTGTCTTTTAACAGACTTTTTTTCAAGTGATTGTATCAAACAGGAATTAAAAGCGTTTTATCAGTCATGTGTCAGGCTACAAACCCTTTAACCCGCTGTATCACCAGTCACTACTTCGATCACATTAAAAAGACAACATTGCATTGGTATTTAAAAAAAAAAAATTTTTTTACTTTTTGGAAACGTAAAAATTCATACCTGAAGTGACAGTGACCATGGTGCCTTTACCCCAGTAGTCAAAAGCTTCCCAGTAATCACAGTGAACTAAGTCGGTGTGATACTTTCACAAAAATGTAAAGCTGTCATATCAACCAACTCCTTTTTAAACAATTTAGTGTGAGGAAAAAGTTGTCATAATTACCCATTAACATACGTTATCACCAGTCACTACTTCGATCACATTAAAAAGACAACATTGCATCGGTATAAAAAAAGAAACTCATTTAATGTTTGGAAACGTAAAAATTCATACCTGTAGTGACAGTGACCATGGTGCCTTTGCCCCAGTAGTCAAAAGCATCCCAGCTATCACAGTGAACAAAGTCCTTGTGACACTTCCACAAAAATGTAAAGCTGTCATATCGACCGACTTCTTTTTGAACAATTTTAAGTGGCAGAAAGTTATAATCACAATAAAATACACTCTATTTAAGAACAAATATAAAATACATACCTGAAGTGACGGTGACCATCGTGCCTTTGCCCCAGTAGTCAAAAGCGTAGTAGTCACAGTTTAACAACTTATCATGGACTACATACAAAAACCTCGTTCCTGGACATCTACATCTTCCATCATTTGTGATTTTATCATAATCTGCCCTTTTCTCGCTGCAACATTGGCCTCATAAATAACCCCCCAGAAAATAGATCTAGAAATACCTTCCACAACTTAACAATATTAACATACACCATTCCAGACAGGTTTGTCACCCATAGAAAAAACGAAAAAAAAAAACAAATTTACTTTAAAGTTTACAAAATAGAAAGTTGAAGAGAAATTGGCTTACCTGATGTGACTGTAACCGTTGTTCCTTTACCCCAGTAATCAAAAGCACCGTCACAGTGTTGTATGTCAAAGCATCAAGTATACAAAAACAGGTACCTCAAACTTCCTCGGCAAAGAGGTCACATTATTCTATTTTCAACAGTGTAATCACTACAAATGAATTTTAACCGTTATTTTACCTGCTGTGACCGTCACTGTCGTTCCTTTCCCCCAGTAGTCAAAAGCATTGTCACAGTGTAATAAGTCAACACATCTAACATACAAAAACAAGCACCTTGAACATGATACAGGTGCCAATGAGGTCTCAAATTGTAGTATTTTAGCAGTCCTGTAGTAACATTTACAATGGTAGGACAGAAAAGGCTTATTTTACCTGCTGTGACCGTCACCGTTGTCCCTTTTCCCCAGTAGTCAAAGTAGTGGTCACAGTGATTGGTCTCAATGGTAGTTAAGTGCAAAAATACATGACTGCTTCTATTTAACAGATTTCTCTGCTTTACTGCCGAATCACTCTATAGACCCGACATTTGCTTTGATCCTATTCAGTTTTTGGTCAAAGTTGTACATAATTTTGACAACAGTATTCATGAATCTACTTTTAATTTAGAAATAACTCAACTTTGATTAGGAAATAGAATGATAGTATTTTGACTTACCAGAAGTAACTGTGACTTGGGTTCCTTTCCCCCATAAGTCAAAGTAGTCATCACAGTGATACACTACAGTCCATCTTTAAATCTAATACCAGATACATTCAGACAATATAAAGCATGCCTGTTCCACTGACTAAAGCTATTCCCCCGGAATAATTTATGAACCACTTCCCTTGGGATATCCATGTTTGTGGTGGGAGTTATGTAACATTGAGCGTGTTTGCCAACTGCCAGTGTACACTTCCTCTTTACCACATCCCCTTGTTATTATCAGTTACAGCAGCATGGGGTTTACACAACCAGATATGATTGATTTAGCTGAATTTCCTTCAGTTATGTTGACAACACAATGTCCACAAAGTTACTATTTAGTAAGAAATATGATATGAAGTTGATGCAAAACATAATAAACACATGATGTTTTGATATATAATGATGCAAAGACAGAAATGCAAATGCTGAAACTAAGACAATTTAATGTATTTCTCAAAATCATATGTTGTTTCAGAATTTGTTGCTTACAAAAAAGTTAAATATGGGAATAAAAAAGATGGTGTAGGAGTGACATCTTTCAATGTTTATCCACAAAAACAACAAAAGTCAGAAAAAAGCAAGTACAGGGAGGTAGCTCCTTTAACCTGTATTTTCTCTGAATTTCCTGTTGCAGTTTTTTTTGGAGCCTGTTTTTTTTCCACTTTGCAGGACTTGATTCAGACGTTTTGTCACAATTTAGGATTTGCAGTGTTTCTTTTTTGCAGCTTCGTAGCAGCCTCTACAGAGTACAGTTAGGGAATTGTTAATTGGATCAATGTGAATAGTTTATTTTAATTTTGCATCGTTGGGTCCCAGAGAAACTTTCCACTAAACAATCTTTAACATAGTTGAAGTAGCCTAGAAAAGCAGCGAGAGCTGTTTATTGTCACCTGGTCTTAGCAGAAGGTATATCTAGCTACATAGTCTGTGGTATTGTAAGATAACGACAGGTGGAATAATTGTAAAGGTTCATGGATAAAATGATAATATTCACTGAGCGTAAATAAATTCTTTTGCTTTTTCAAATGTCCGAGGAGAAATCTCTATTGCAATTTTCAAATGCTCAGGGCTCATGGTCATGGCTCTTACAGTGCCCTGACCTGTAGCACGGAAGTCACTGTCATTTTATAGGTGAGGTGGTTGCCTTTTTCACACCCTGCACCCATGTTTTGAGAATCCCAAATGAACTTGCACCCATGGTATTGCAGTTGGCTTGTGGCTCAGTGGTAGAGTCACTTGTCTCCCATTCAGTCGGTGAGGTTTTAAGTGCTCAGACAACTAGAGAAAGTGCTATGTAAGTGTAAGTCCATTTACCATTTATAATGCCTCAACTGCACAGGTAGAGTCTTGTCATACTGGGGGCTCAGAGAGTGCCATAGACCATGGCTCAAGACCAAGCTGTAGATTTGTACTTTGCCACCCACCTTTGCCAAGGCAGATTATAAGGTAACTTCTTGGCTTCCATTTGTGGGCAGTTTCCTGGTTAATCTACCACATAACCCCCAATTTCTACCGCATCTGGAACAGTTATGAAAAGGCCGTATCCACTGGTAGCAGGTGATCATACCTATTCAAGTTAATGTGTCAATTTCTTCCGGCTTCTCTCTGTTCCGCTGCGGAATGCCGGACTCCGCAGCTGATCGCAAGAGTTCTATTTTTCCCGGACGCCGGAGCATGCCAGATAAATTAAGCACAGATTAAACCATGCTGGACAGCAAGTTGGGCACAGACACAAAATAAAACATCTGGCCTCTTTTCAAAATAAAACACTCCATGTTTCAGGAGGATTGTATTTCACACCATGCGAACAGGCGGAGATGAACAAGTGAAAGGTTTTTAGACGTCATTTCACCCCGATGACACCATGGATGAGGAGATGCTGATTCTAGAAGCATGGAAGTAGATTTCCTCCTCTGGAAGGACACAATCTACTGCTTATATGTCTATGTGTCTGTCTTCATTGAGACAACTCATTATCGTGCGATTGCACATGAATCCGTGGGTTCTTGTGAGTTCTCACGATTACCGCTGTCCGTAATTCGCCACCAAATTCGCCTCACAAATGGATCCGGTAGGGATTGGGGGATGGCAAAAATCGCCTCCATTCCGGATGCGGTGATTATTGGGGGTTACACACCAAAACAATCAACAAACCCATAAGCACAAGGCTAACACACTGTACGTTGAACGGTGAAAATGGCGACAGGTTCATCTTTTTTATGTCTCATCTTCTCTGGAGGTTTTGTTCAGTACCTAGCTTCTTACCAAGGCTTGCTTGCTATCCAGCAACTATGGAGCATGTGCAGAACACTCAGGCCAGTTTCAGTCATTGAGCTATCAGTGAGCGTGACTATAGCATTTTATCAGACATGCACATTTGCAGTGTTGTTTCACCCTGCTTGGAATGGCAGAATGCAAGAACTGTTGACTGAACTTTACTGGGTCACGCTGTCTGTGTTTTCTTGCAGCATAAATCGTGTAAATCAATCGATCAATCAATCAATGAAGCTTTTTGCTCCAGTCAGGTCAGGTGCTCCAGATTGTAGCTGTTGTGTTGTTGTTGACTGACATATGGTGTAACCCAGTGGTCCTGGTTCAGACTCTGCAGTAGTGTGAAGAAACTACAACAGTATCACTTTTACAGTGGTAATTGTTCATTTCAGGTAGCTCTTACTTACTGTCTCCTGAAATTTAAGGGGTCATCGCAGCTCATTTCTGAACTTGTGGCTTTTAGCCTCAGGTTTCAGTTTACTAGCTGGATGAGGAAGCACCTGCTGTGATGGAGGTTTCCTGTATTTTACACAAGTTTTGACTGCCAGTCCAAAGTGCACAGATATTACCATTGCTGTTCTGACAGGCTTGTGTAACAGTATTTGAATTCAGTCATTTAATGTGTCACATTGAAGTGCATTTAGTTTTTAAATGTATTTCATTTGATTCAGTTTTTGGATTCTTGATTCTTATTGAATAGTTTTGATTGAAATCTGAAGTTTGCTGTCATAATATAAACTGTGAGCAGACAACTCGATGTCAACTTTATTTTTGCAATATGTGAAATTATTAACTGTGATGCAAAGTACAAAGGAGGAAATAACTTATCTGTGGTGGTTTAACAGAGCTGCTGAAGGATGAGCGTGGAGTTCCCCAAGGTTCTGTGCTGGAGCCATTGTTGTTTATTTTGTAGCTTATATTAAAACAATAGATGTAATCTCGAAAACTAAAAAAATAACTTTGTTTGCAGACGACACAAACTGACTCAGCTTGAGATTGTGAGGAAGGAGTCAAAATAAAGAGATGGATTGATTTGAATTAACACTAAAGACAAAATAAAGTCTGTCAACTGTTGATAGACGAAGTGGTGTGATTGGAGAAAATGTTTGCATTGATAGGATTTACCCCTTAGTAGTAATGATAAATATCTCTTTGCATCAGTGTTTGAGAAATGCTGGCCATCCCTGCATAGGGCCATGGACAAATAATCATTTCTCTGCAATAGTCTGTAGTATTGTGTACATAACTTCTGTTCTGCCAGTGCCAGTCAAACTATAGACTATTATATAACATCTTATATTTTTATAAGTTTCACCTGTCAATTTTAACTCCAGCTCAAATGTTGATATCGTAACCTGAATGAGCTTTCTGACAACAGAAAACTTGTAACACCATATTCTCTGGATATCTCTGTTCTTTGGTTGATGGATAATGGCTCCATACAGCTGAGCGAATGTCTTCCCCTTCCTTATTCAGACAGTTTGACTTTGTGCCTCGGTTCAATAAGGAACACGTTTCTGGTAAAGCAGCTTCATTTACCCTCATTCTCATCTGAGTAAAGAGAGGTTTTTGTCATAGGATATATCACTGTGGCCGCTACCCCACACAGTGGTATAAAGCTGTACAAAAACTGGAGCACACTGACTGCCATGGCACACTATTGGTGTGGCTATTATTGATAGTTCTGTAACAACAATTTGATTGGTGAGGATGAGTTCTAATCATATCAAAAGAATCAGTATCTTGAGGTATCACAGGATTCATTTTTATTTTCATTGAAGGTCATTTAAGTAAGAGTCATTTCATAGAAACACAAACCCCACCTCCAGTGAAGCTGAATAAAAACAGAATACAATGATTTGTGATTTATATATTCAGCTGAATACAGTACAAAAAGGAGATATTTAATGTTTAGACCGAAAAACTATATATTTACTCAGGGCAAGACAGTGCGACCATTTCACTCACATTTGTGACTGAAAAATAGATGTGTTCGAATTGTAAAAATGTATTTAGGGGCACATGTGCGTATAAAAAAAGTCAGCCGAGGCAACGAATGTTTTTTCATGTAAATACCGCAGTGAAGTTAGTTTTAGGTTGGATATTCAAAAGACATTCACTGAAGATCTACCGGTGTCTTCTCACTCTCCATAACTGGGAATAACAACAGCAGCGCGGTTAAATCTACTCGACACCCCCACTGTCAACGTCGGGTGTTGAATAAGGGACCATCAATAAATTACTGGTTGATGTTTTCAAAAAAGTCTGTTTTCCTTCAATAGCTTCCATGTCATGTGACCAATTGACCTAAAATTGATTTCAAATGATAGTACTAAGGTCAGACAATAAGACACACCTCTTTATTTCCCTAATTTGTCCTCTTAAAATATTTTGTGTTAAACTTAAAAAAATTTTCTTCAATAGCTTTCATGTCGTGACAAAAAAAACCTAAAATTGATTTCAAATAATAATACTTATTTCAGCACTTCGTGAACATGTAATAATAAAAATAATGAGAGTTCATTTATATAGCACCTTTTAAAAAAACTCAGTTTACTAAGTGCCTTGAAGGATACACAGCAGATAGATTTACAGAAAACCAATACAACAAACAATGACCCAACAGCTGACTACCAGGAAAATAATAAACATCATCATTAGCCACACATTGATATCGACCCAACAATAGAAAACATGAGAACCCAAGCAGGTGAAGAACCACCTGAACTGAGACCAAGAGGACCAGGAAAGTGAAGTGAGAGAAGGGCGATGGAAGGGATAAAAAGGTTTTTTTTTAGGGAGCCTCAGCATCAAATTCAAAATGAATGAGTGCAAAGAAACAATCAGTTTGAACATGAAATATCTTTGTCATGTATTCAGTTGAATTTAGATGGAAAAGGATAGATCATTGTAATTAGTAGCTTAAAAACATCTTATTTTTTGGGTGACGGATGTGCTTTAGCAAGAGAAACGCAGCCTGTTTTTAGTGTATTTGCTAAGGAATATCATGCAGTTGTTGATGTGAGACTCTAAACCCTTGATTCCTGTTAATTTTATGCGCCATCCAGCCAACTTTGTCCCCAAAATGGACATGCAGAAAAGTGTTCATAAAATAATCATTTTTTAACATTTTTTTCTTGACTTTTTTTTAACTCATATCTCTAAAACAACTTCAGCCCTGACCATTAGAAATAATGAATGAAAAATTTGATGTTTTACCCTTTTTATGACAGTTATTGTGCACCATGTCACTGTTACTTTTAATGGTAAAAAACACAAAATCGCCAAATCCCATATAAAATGACCTGGATGAAGAATCTTTTTTTAATAAATAGAGTTTAGGCCATGTCAATGATGAAAAGTAAAATCCATTTTAGTGCATTTAAATCCTTTTTGTAGGGACAATTTCCGTATTTAAGCTACATCCAGCCTACTTTGTCCCCAAAATGGACATGCAGAAAAGTGTTCATAAAATAATATTTTTTTTACATTTTTCTTACTTTTTTCCATTCAAATAACTTTAACAACGTCAGCCTGGACTTTTAAAAAAGTAATGAATGAAAAATTTGATGTTTTACCCTTTTTATGACAGTTATTGTGCACCATATCACTCTTACTTTTTGTGGTAAAAAAAAACAAACAAAAAAACAAACAATTGGCTGTATTTCCCTTATAAAATGACCTAGATAAAAACACTTTTTTAAACATGTTAAGTGCAGCACTACATTTAAAGGGTTGGGTCAAAAATAAATATATTTTTTGTTTTTACAATTTCAGAAAAAGCAGTAACTTTATTTATCACGTCCCTGATTAATGACCAACAGCTCAAAAGGGATTGTAATAACTTTTCAATAAGTTAATTGTAAACCATCTCATATCTGTCTCTTCATTTTATTTGATGTATATACCAGGCTTGTGGAGAAAAATTACTGGGCAAAATTCAGGAGATATTTTATCCTTCATTTAAGACACAGTGACTCTGGGCCTTGGATCACTCAACAGGTTTTTGTATGACTACGTATCACTGTGGTTGCCATCCCATCCACATTGCCACATACTCGTACAAAAACCTTGGCATGATGTCATGCATAGTCTTTATGTCTGTTTGGGGCTAATTACTCAATTCCAGTCACTTTTTTTTTTTTTACAGCTTAACCATCGAACAAAAGGACATTCTGTAGAAATACAAAAACTGTTTTTTCTGTTCAAACAGCTGAAGTTTCACAAGCTTTCTTGTTTCTGGATTCATTTCTCAAAGGCTAGAAGTTTTTGTCATTGGATGTTTCACTGTGGCCGCTGCTATATACTGCACTGTGATACAGCTCCATACAAAAACTGCACTGTGCATACTGGATAGTATCATGAATGAATGATATCTAATAATTGTAGGTATTTCTCATAATTGTGCATTGAGTTGAGATCAAATCATGTGGAAGTAATTAGATTCCCAAATGAACTTTTTTTCCCTTTTGTTCATTATTGTTGGTCGGACTAAGACTCACAAAAGTCTAGTTGTCTACGGAGTTCGTTTTTTTGTTTTTATTGTGGTTAAAAAAAAAAACCCTCACTCGTCACTCTGTTCCTCTTAAAATCAAGTTTGTCCTTCAGCTCAGTGTAGGATAGGTTTTTGTATTACTGTATATCACTGTGGTTCCCACCATACACTGTGCCACAGTCTCATACAAAAACCTTTGCCTCACACGGGGTTGCATTACTGCTTCCTGAAAATGTGTACATTTTCACTAACAGGATCACTCATAACACAGAACACATATTTTTCTCTTTTACACCTGAACAAATTTTTTTCTTTTCAATAAGACAAAAAAGAATGTTAGTCTGACTAGAGTTATGGAAGCATTGATGACAAAGTTTATCTTTTGGTCAGTATGTTGCTCAATTTGGTGGGTCTTAAATGTTAATACAAACAAACTGGAATAGGAGGAAAGTTTGTAAACAATTCTGGTACTCAGAGAATAAAACCAGAATAACGTCTGATCTCTGAATTATCTTATACACCGTCAGGACAGTTTTTAGAGTTGTGTCGGATGTGTATGGTTCACAAAGGGTAAATCCCCCAACATTAAATACCTACATACAGTGTTATATACATGATACTTCAGTTTGTTGCCTAATACATACAGAAAGACATCTTTGATGGCCGTACTAACACTTTGTGTTCTGTGTTTTTTTGATATTAGCTGCAAGTTCTCTTCATATCAAAAAGGGGTTTTTGTCATTGGATGTTTCACTGTGGCTGCCATATGCTGCACTGTGATACAGCTCCATACAAATACTGCACTGCGCATACTGGATATTATCACTAATGAATGCAATCTAATAGTTGTAGGTATTTTTCACAATTGTACATTGAGTTGAGATCTAATCATGTGAAAGTAATTAGATCCTCAAATGAACTTTTTTTCCATTTTGTTCATTATTGATGGATGGACTAAGACACATAAAAGTCTCGTTTACAGAGTTCGTTTTTTTGTTTTTGGTGTGGTTAAAAAAAAAAAAAAAAAAATCCCTGGTCGCTCTGTTCCTCTTTAAATCAAGTTTGTCCTTCAGCTCAGTATAGGATAGGTTTCTGTATTACTGTATATCACTGTGGCCCCCGTTATACACTGTGCCACAGTCTCATACAAAAACCTTTGCCTCACACGGGGTTGCATTACTGCTTCCTGAAAATGTGTACAGGATCACTCATAAAACAGCACAATTTTTTTTCTCTTTTACACCTAAATAGAAATTTTCTTTTACATAAAACAAAGATGAATGTTGGTCTGACTAGAGTTATGGATGCAGTGATGACAAAGTTTATCTTTTGGTCAGTATGTTGCTCAATTTGGTGGGTCTTAAACGTTAAAACAAAGATAAACTGGAATAGGAGGAAAGTTTCTAAACACTTCTGGTACTCAGAGAATAAAACCAGAATAACGTCTGATCTCTGAATTATCTTATACACCGTCAGGACAGTTTTTAGAGTTGTGTCGGATGTGTATGGTTCACAAAGGGTAAATTCCTTAACATTAAATACCTACATACAGTGTTATATACATAATACTTCAGTTTGTCACCTAATACTTATAGAAAGACATCTTTGGTGGCCGTACTAACACTTTGTGTTCTGTGTTTTTTTGATATCAGCTGCAAGTTCTCTTCATATCAAAAAGGGGTTTTTGTCATTGGATGTTTCACTGTGGCTGCCATATGCTGCACTGTGATACAGCTCCATACAAATACTGCACTATGCATACTGGATATTATCACGAATGAATGCAATCTAATAGTTGTAGGTATTTCTCATATTTGTGCATTGAGTTGAGATCTAATCATGTGAAAGGAATTAGATTCTCAAATGAACTTTTTTTTCCATTTTGTTCATTATTGTTGGACGGACTAAGACTCACAAAAGTCTCGTTTACAGACTTCGTTTTTTTGTTTTTGGTGTGGTTAAAAAAAAAAAAAATCCCTGGTCGCTCTGTTCCTCTTTAAATCAAGTTTGTCCTTCAGCTCAGTATAGGATAGGTTTTTGTATTACTGTTTATCACTGTGGCCCCCGTTATACACTGTGCCACAGTCTCATACAAAAACCTTTGCCTCACACGGGGTTGCATTACTGCTTCCTGAAAATGTGTACAGGATCACTCATAAAACAGCACAATTTTTTTTTTCTCTTTTACACCTAAATAGAAATTTTTCTTTTACATAAAACAAAAAAGAATGTTAGTCTGACTAGAGTTATGGATGCAGTGATGACAAAGTTTATCTTTTGGTCAGTATGTTGCTCAATTTGGTGGGTCTTAAACATTAAAACAAACAAACTTGAATAGGAGGAAAGTTTCTAAACAATTCTGGTACTTAGAGAATAAAACCAGAATAATGTCCGATCTCTGAATTATCTTATACACCGTCAGGACAGTTTTAGGAGTTTTGTCTGAAGTATCATTTTAGTGACTGCTAGAACCTTTGGGACGGATGTGCATGGTTCACAAAGGGTAAATTCCCCAACATTTAATACCTACATACAGTGTTATATACCTGATACTTCAGTTTGTTGCCTAATACTTACAGAAAGACATCTTTGATGGCCGTACTAACACTTTGTGTTCTGTTTTTTTTTTTAATCAGCTGCAAGTTCTCTTCATATCAAAAAGGGGTTTTTGTCATTGGATGTTTCACTGTGGCCGTTATATGCTGCACTGTGATACAGCTCCATACGAAAACTGCACTGCACTGCACTGCGCATACTGGATATTATCACTAATGAATGCAATCTAATAGTTGTAGGTATTTTTCATATTTGTGCATTGAGTTGAGATCTAATCATGTGAAAGGAATTAGATCCTCAAATGAACTTTTTTTCCATTTTGTTCATTATTGTTGGACGGACTAAGACTCACAAAAGTCTCGTTTACAGACTTCATTTTTTTGTTTTTGGTGTAGTTAAAAAAAAAAAATTCCCTGGTCGCTCTGTTCCTCTTAAAATCAAGTTTGTCCTTCAGCTCAGTATAGGATAGGTTTTTGTATTACTGTTTATCACTGTGGCCCCCGCTATACACTGTGCCACAGTCTCATACAAAAACCTTTGCCTCACACGGGGTTGCATTACTGCTTCCTGAAAATGTGTACAGGATCACTCATAACACAGCACAATTTTTTTTCTCTTTTACACCTAAATAGAAATTTTTCTTTTACATAAAACAAAGATGAATGTTAGTCTGACTAGAGTTTTTTATGCAGTGATGACAAAGTTTATCTTTTGGTCAGTATGTCGCTCAATTTGGTGGGTCTTAAACGTTAAAACAAACAAACTGGAATAGGAGGAAAGTTTCTAAACACTTCTGGTACTCAGAGAATAAAACCAGAATAACGTCTGATCTCTGAATTATCTTATACACCGTCAGGACGGTTTTTAGAGTTGTGTCTGAAGTATCATTTTAGTGACTGCTAGAACCTTTGGGACTGATGTGTATGGTTCACAAAGGGTAAATCCCCCAACATTAAATACCTACATACAGTGTTATATACATAATACTTCAGTTTGTTGCCTAATACTTACAGAAAGACATCTTTGGTGGCCGTACTAACACTTTGTGTTCTGTGTTTTTTTGATATCAGCTGCAAGTTCTCCTCGTACCAAAAAGGGGTTTTTGTCATGAGGTGTTTCAGTGTGGTTGTTATAGTACACTGTGGTAAAACTCCATACAAAAACTCCACCCTTCTCAATGCACAGCTCGTACGTTATTTTCCAATTGTATCTCAAACATGTTACTTTAAGTATTTTTATTAACAGTGTTTATTTGATATTGCTTATTAGTTGGTATCACACTGTTTATAGGGTCCCACTATGACAAGAACAAACCAAGAATTAAGATGAAACAGTTTTTTTTTAAATAGACTGAAAAGAAAAACTGTAGTTTGTTCCAGGCGATGCTTTTTGAGATCATACCCCGTGTACACACACACAGAGACACATCATAACTTACTTTTTAAGACCCGTGTTTCTGTGGAGGGGTTTTATGAACAGTGTGAATCACTGTGGCCCCCGTAGTACACAGTGAAATACCTCACTGCAAAAACCTTTGCCAAAGAGTTGGTGTCGCATTCTCTACGTGCACAACACAACTGCTCTTACATTATTAATTTACACAAGTCAGAATCCAAACTTTTTAAAGACTTTTTGTGAAACTCCTTTTTAACTTATTTTGCTCAGATGCAGGACTGCAGCGATGAGTGTTTTTTTGTGCTATTCTTCTGCTCCTGCAGAGACTGAAAACTGCACTTTGCTGGTGCTGTAAAACACGGTGTGAGCATTTATGCCCCAAATAGTAGATCCACATTCTGTTATACATCAATAATGTTTACAGCCATTTCACTGAAAAACTGGATTCAGACTCTTTTCTAACCTAACATATGAAACAGTTTTTTGACTGGGTCAGAACAATTTTTTCATGAAGCTGTGAAGATACAAAAATAAAGAAGGAGGATGTTTATTTTAATGTACCTTTTTAAGCAATATGATTGCAGTCTCTTCACATCCTCAGTCTGTGGCTGCTTCAGCTAAGACCAGAAAAACCTGATATGAGTACAAGAATATGACAGAGCTCAGTGGACAGTGTCCAGAGCTCGTGTCTTTGTCTCTATTCAGACATTTATCATCCTCGGTAGATGAAGCACATGTCCATCAAATGCTTTGAAACGTGTTTGAGGAGATAGTTTTATTTCTTCCTTTAATCAATCACCTACAGACACACCTGTTGAGAAGAAAATCACTGTTACACTGACCTCTACTGGCCATGTATGTACATGATGTTGTATCAGACAGTGATGTGGTAAAAAGAGGCAGTACTCTGCAGGTCAAAATTATTAAATGTTTCTGAAATCGTAGACCTTGCATGTGTATAGGAGTGTGTATATACATAGACAAAGTAGACATGAGGGTAGACGGGGATACATAAACTCCTCTCCTACTGTATCTTACTTTTTCTTGAGTGTATTTATCTTTATTTTTAATATACTGTACATTTTTGCACCTTTTTTTTTTATTCCTGTCAATGTTCTCACACATGGCAGGAACTGACTGTGTTAGAGCCAATTTGTATGGTTTAGTGCCATATTCAATATTTATGTATTTTAAATTTCTCATGTGGTTAATGGATTTTTAGTTCATGCAATTTCGATGGTTTTACAGTAGGTGGCTCCACTTGCATGTGAGGTGGAAGTGTTTCCTTGTCTCTTCAACCTACATAGCGCTGATCAGAGGCAGGTGTGTGTGTGTGTGTTTTGTGACTGGTAAGAGCTTAGAAGTTTTTGACCGTCAGTTATTTATTTATTTTTTTTGCACTTGTCAAGGATGAATCCATGTGAACTTGCATCTTTTCATGCAGTTGTGCATTTGGAAATTATTGGTGTGTTGTAAATAAAACTCAAAGTAGATTATTATTGCAACAGACCCGTGGAGCCTAATTTTTTTTATTGACAAGTGGCCCGTGAATGCGTCACTCCGATGTAAGCTGGTTTCAGATACGTCTTGGCTTGTAGGTTTAGTTTTCTTTTTTTCTAGTCACAAGTAAGTCAAGACGATACTGACTGTAAAAGGCGTGAATGAATCTTGAATTGAATCATCAAACTTTGTGAGAACTTGTTGCAAAGTTTCGTTAGCAAACTAATTCTTTATGGTACTTTTGTCCGGGGTGATAGGTACCGTGTTGTACAACAGTATGAAAAACAAGAACAGACTGATCAACTCAACGTCTTTTCACTATTCTGTGAACTGCTTCTGTCTGAAAATGAGGATTCTCAGGAGCTCATTTGAGCCTTTTTGGAGTAGAGTGTGAGAAAATTCTCAGAGGCTCTGAGATGCTGACTCGAGGAACATGAGTGATCCTGTATTTTCATGTGTATCAACAGGTTTCAGTCCCACGACCTGCGTAAAAGAAAGCTGATGTATAAATGATTTCAACAGTTAAAACGCTTTTTCTACATTATCTTGTTTTCTTTTCTTTTTTCACTTTTATAGATGTTTCCTCATGACAAAAATCTAAATCCTGAGTGACATAAGCTCTTTAGAGGGGAGGTTGAATTTCTACATTAATCATGAGAACAGATAAATACGTGATTTATCCACTAGATGGCAGTCTTTAGTTACTTTTGTACCTGTAGTGCCAGAGTTCCTTCAGATGTCCCATCAGCTAAGACAAAAAAGAGAGGGGAAAAAAAAATCCTCATTTTGAAAGTGAGAGCTGCACAAAGTGATCATTATAATGATAATAATAGTAAGATTCATAAGAAAAACTACCAAACTCTGTCTTTGCTGAGAAGTTGATTATTTTGCAGTTAAAAGGGTTCAAGTTTTTCAAAACATATTCTTCATCTGTGTCAGTCAAGACGTCAACAAATATGTTTTTGTGTTCATGGGTATAAAAGAAATCATGTCATCTGTCAACATTTATCATTTCCATCATCTGAACAAGCCTAATTTACAGTGGAGTATTAGTATATTTGTTGAGGGAAAATACTGTACATGTTTTTAATAGTTCATGACCTATTCTACTGAGGTATCTCCTTTCAGTCTGTTAAAAAAAACAACTATTTTTTAAAATTCTGTCCCTCATATGTTATACAAGAGACCACACAGAAAAATAAGCAGAACACAATAACAGAGACAATTCATCCATTTTTTATTTTCATGAACAATGTTCTGAATCTGTTATTAGTAACAACAGAGGGCAGTTTTTAAACTAATCTTTTGACGATATTCTGAATAATTTAACAAGGATGTACTTGTCTTCAACGTAGCATCCATTAAAAAACAACACAAACAGACAGACAATCCTCAGACTTTACAAGAAACTAGTTATCAGACTTGCACACAACACAAAAACTCATAAAAAATAAATGAATTACACAGTAGTATTATACATAGTTTCATAAGCGTTTCTGTATTTTCATCAGAAACTTGTGGAGTCTTTCCTGCAGAGTTTCTTGGTGGTGTTTTTCATGTCGGTCTCTTCATGCTTGGATACGTTCTGATATGCAAACAGTCAAGGTTGAGTCTCAAATTTCGAGGAAGTTTATTTGTAGCTCACAGGTGCGGTCCCAGCGGTGCAGAAAGAAAGGGGAAGTGGCTCTCTAAAGAAGATATGTTTAGCATCACCAGGAAATGATAAAAACCTTCAAGGTGTAACTGATAACAGAAGTTTGCTGCAGGCTGACTTCTCATGTCATTGTCTTCGATATTCTCAGACCCTGTGTTGTTTCAAAATAACCCTCACAAGCTTTTTATCAGAAACTCTTTGGTCCTTAACGGTTTTAGTGCGATCTCCAATCCGCTCTGTCTTTCTTTTCACATTTTATGCTGTAATGATGAGAAATGTCAAATATGCCATTTGTAAATGCATCTAAAAGTCACTGTCACATTTTAAAGGCAGAAAACGTGTCAAGAAAAGTAAGCAATAAGTAATATAGCATCAAGGCCTAATACTGTAAATATGTAACTATAAGTATTTTTATGAGAGTGACAGTTTAGTTTTTTTGTATCGTCCTTAGGTGACAGAGAAACTTTTGAATTAATATTTTGACTCTGAAGTTAGCAGATATACAGCTGTCTGTGGATTACCTTAGTTTCTAAATACATAAAAAAAACTTACTTTGTTCTGTACATCCGTTTCCTTCCTTATTGATTCCTCATCTGTTACAGAGAAAAAAGAAAAACAGTTTTATGAACAATATAGTTTAACAAAGTACCTCTCCCTCCCGATGTCCGATCATTCTTTCTAGCTGAGATAACCAACAATTTTCATGACGGATAGTTTTTGTTGCCTTTTGTAAAGCATTGTGTGGAAGGTTTACTGTCTTAAAGAGGTAACTGAGGTTGTTGTTGTTTTAACTGAACACATTTTTGATTCTTTCAATGTGAACTGAATCATTTAGAACCAAAACTCCCCAGAACAGAGATACTTAACTGGAGCTAAACCATTGTGTTTAAGTCCACAGAATAAGACTCATTTATCAGAAAGTCTACAACAGTGCCAGTAAGATTTGATTACAACATGTGATGATCCTATTTTGACATGGAGCTTGGGTCTGCAGCTGATCTGCATTAACTTTTACATTCAGGTCTTTAAACATAGTCTTTTCTTCTTCTGTACATTCAAATCTGCGAAAGTAAGAAACACCTGCACCCACACATGTTCAAAAAGACGTGGCTTTTGTGTCGTGTAAATCACAGACATATACTCTGTGTACTTCTTGATTCGATGATAATGTTTATAATCATACTGATAACATATAATGCAGTAATTTTTAAGCTGCATTTACCTTGACCAGGCTGATTATCATGTTGTAGAGGAGAGAGGATATGAAGAGGAATATGAAAGAGGAGGCTGTGGACCACAGGCTGCTGAACTCATCCTCTGCAATGGTATCCAAGCAGTTCACATAAGTCTCATTTGTAGACACAGTGTCCAATTTTAGAGACTTGTTATTTGGAGACTTTGTTGAAAGATCTAAGAACAGGAAGGTATAGCAGGTTAGATAAGAGATGTGTGTATGTCTCTGTGTGTGTGTTGACAAATCTTCTGTATATTCAGGTTTAGTGTGTATAATCTGTAGTGTCATTTAGTCTTAGGCACTCTGTGTGGCCATTTCAAAATAAAACAGTCATTTCATGTTTGCTTGAAATAGTTGAAAGCACATGTAAACATGTAACACACTTTTTTTTTTCATGCAACATTTATTGAAAACAGTCAAAACACCTCTCAGCTCTCAGGCTGTTAGATGATTCGACAAAGACAGACTGACAAACTAGAGGAACATGTTTATGATGACAAAGACTGATGACAGCAAAGTGGACCACAGTGGAGGGTACACACACACACACAGAACAAAACAAAACATTTAAAACTGAATCCGCAGTTTTTTTTCACTCCCTAACATTCCAGTGAGTTACCCTGGGCTTTGGAGACATTTCGAATCGTAGGGTCCTCGCTGCCGGCAGCCCAGACGACACATCCAAATGTGTGCGTCTTCCACTTCTCTGCAGTTGTGTAGTAAACACTCGTCACTAAGTAGCCATTCCGGAACTTCTGTTGGGGGAAGTCTGTGCCACTAACATAGTTGCCGTTGTTTTGTGAGATATCCTCTGTCCAGGAGATGTTGTAATTCTGCTGTACAGGACAGGAGACCAGACACACCAGAGTGACCTCATTTCCACTTCTGGCGTCCTCCTCTGGGAGAATGTGGACCGTCACTTTTGGTGAAGGTTTCTTTGGGGTAATGGGGACCGTCACTTTTGGTGTAGTTTCTCTGTCTGAAAGAGACATCTGTTTTAGCAAAGAGTTTCATCAACAGCATTTCTCTTCGCTGGAAACATTTTATGACATGTTTGTGTTTCACAGATTACTGAAAACCACGATAGTTGGTCAAAAATCACTTACCTTGATTTCTTATTTCCTCGGTTAAGGTGCCTCCAGGATAAGTCAAAGAACAGTTAAAAGACTGCTCTGATTCCCAGCTAGATTTTGGCACTTGAACCACACTGAGACCGGTGTATTTACTTCCTTGGACAGCTGCAGGATACTGCACATGGGTCAAGCTGGTAGGGGTCCACTTGAAGGTACTCCCTGGGTTGAAGTCATGTGCCAAACAACCAAGAGTGATGCTAGTAACTTCACCCCCAGTTTTGCACTGAACCACAGGAAACAGACTCGGTGTCGGTGTAGGTCCTTTGAAAGAGATGAGTAAAGGTTAATATCTGCTGAATAGAAACAAAAATGATTATTAAATGCTTGAGTAAAACGTGAACAATTAATATTTTAATTTCAGAATCACTAAAGACAGAAAAACAAAATGATTTGTAATAGATCGAAAAATACTAAAATTACAAGGCTTGACATTAACTTTTTTCACAAGAAGCGCATGTTCTCCTAAGTTGAAAAATTAAGGAGCACACAAAGACCTTTAGGGGCACAATGAAAATTGATCTAATAATGTGTGTCTTATTGGTCGACATAAGTACTATTATTTGAAATTAATTTAAGGTCAATTGGTCACATGTAATGGAAGCTGTTGAAGGAAAACAGACTTTTTGGAGAACATCAACCCGTAATTTATTGATGGTCCCTTATTCAACACCCGACATTGACAGTGAGGGTGTCGAGTAGATTTAACCGCGCTGCTGTTGTTATTCCCGCTTATGTAGAGTGAGAAGACACCGGTAGATCCTCAGAGAATGTTTGTCGAATATCCAACCTAAAACTAACTTCATCGTGGTTTTTACATGAAAAAACATTTGTTGCCTCGGCTGATTTTTTCTTTTTTATGCGCACATGTGCCCCTAAATAAATTTTACAATTCACACACATCCATTCTTAGTGGCAAATGCGAGTGAAACGATCACACTGTCGAGCCCTGAATTAAATGTCATCAAGAAGCATGTCCAAAATTTAAAATACGTATGTATTTAAAGTATCTCTGCAGATTTTCTCACAAAATCACATTTGATTTATACTCGGCAATTAAGGTTCAAAACTATGATATTTTGACTTTTGAAAACATTTGATATCAAAAGTTTGCTGACAGATTTATTCATTCACAAACTTCGATCTAAATCCTGTGGTTCTTGCTGTAATGGAGCTCACCATGGTTAATTTTAAAACAGCTGTGAATAAAGTCATTATGACGGTAACTAATAATCAGTAAATGTTGCTAAGATAAAGACAGGACTGTAAGGGGAGACAGGAGTCTCCTTGTTAGTCTAGACTCTTTAAAGACAAAGAGAAGGACAGCAGACTCAATTACAAATTTGTAATATAGAAGTTAAAAATTACAAATCTGCTTGTTTAAACTAGTAGTTACCTCGTGTTTCTCAGAGAACTACTTGGTCCTGTCCTCTTTGGTCCATCAGCGGAACTGTAGTTTTAGATTATTGCTCTCAGGTTTTTGTATGGCTTTGTATCACAGTGCCCCAGCCCATCACTGTGATACACCCTCATACAAAAACTTCACCCCGTTTCAGAGGGAGGGAATGATTACACAAAAAAGATATTCTTGTTTTCAAGTAGATGACCTTCCCTTCAGCGTTTTTGTCCTTAAGTTCATGATCTATCATACCCTGAACCCTGTAAGACACTAATGCTTATTTATAATTAAATTAAAACAAAGTGCTGTTGGCGTCTCACATTTACATTAGGGGTGGGAGAAAAAATCGATTCACATAAGTATCACAATTTTTTTATTTTTCCATTTTTCAAACGATTTTTGTGTTAAAACATCTTTTTTTTTCAAATTTAAGAATGAATCTTAAAAACAAACTTGCATGTGATGTGTATTTTTTGGGGAAATATGGTTCCTGCAATAGTCAGTAGACAATCATAATCATTCAACTGTTTCACTGATGTTAAAAATGCAGACTAAATGTTGAGAAAATAGACAGCATCGTAGAATCGCAATTTAAATCAAATCGGCATCCCAAAAATTGTAGAAGAATTGAATTGGGAGAAAAGCATATTGTCCCAGCCCTAATTTGCATATTTCACTGTAACTGGAAAGAGTTTTTTTTTTTTTAGCATCCACTTTTTACATCAGCTGAGGACAAACTGTGAAAAGACAAAAGACAAATACTGTATACAGACCCTTACATAGAGCCAGTCACAGTGGCATGTGCAGCAGTTAGTGTACAGCTCTCTGGCTTCCTGTATTAGCGTGGAGTTCTGGCACAGTAATAAACAGCAGAGTCTTCAGCTGTCAGGCTGTTCATCTGCAGATACACCTGGTCCACATTGTTGTCTCTGGAGATGGTGAAGCGATTTTGGACTGGCTCTAAATAATATTTGTTGCTTCCACTTGGAGCTGAAATGAAAGAAACCCACTCCAGTCCTTTTCCTTCAGCTTGTCTGATTCAGCTGATACGTGCATCTCCATCCGATATCCCCGCGTATGTACAAGTGAGTTTATGTGATTCTCCAGAGGCCTTTACCACAGGGTCAGACTCAGTCAGAGTCTGACCGCAAACCACTGAGGATCAAATACAGACTGTTAGAACCACAAATAAAACCGTCACACGTACAAAGACAAGAGTCACGCTTTACTCACCAGAAATTAATGACAGTGTGAGAACCGTTATCCCGGTAGCTGAGGCCATCATAAAAATGAGGACAGAGGTCTTGTTGATGGAGTGGTTTCTCCCTCAGTTTGCAGTGAGATTATTAAGGATGGAGATGGTGACAATTTGCATTGACTCCACCCAGTTTTCTTGTATCTGTTTTTAGTGAGCAGAGTTTCAGGCTAATTCACCAAGACACACAAAATACATAAAACTGGGTGAATCCAGAACTTGATCCTTGATTTGATGAGGCAGCTTTCATTAAAGAGAGACAACAATCAACATACCCCTCGCTTACGTGATTTAATAACACACTATGAACAGGAATTTGATGGCCTGACATGAGAACAGATTTGGTCGTAGAAAAGAGTCAAAAATTTTTCTATCTTACAGACCTCTTGGTCTTGGAGAGTCAAGTTTATCTCCAGAGCAGATTTCAAGTCAAGGTGCTGAGCAAACTCACTCTTATTATTTTCATCTGGAGGATGAGAGGAACAGTTTTACCAGAATATGAGTGTTGAGAGGATGAGAAAGGTTTGACAGACATTCAGACAGAAGTCAGTGCAGGAAACTGAAGGTTTTATTCTCTGTGCTATATTAATCTGTGATCTCAGAATTAGGGGGGGGCAGGGATCCCAGGGGGTCCAGAAGTTAGGACAGGGGGTGTGGTGTCGCAAAGTAAAAGCATTAAACACAGTTTGGATAAAGAGCAAAACATGGACGATTTTGTGAAAGGAGTTTTGAGGAGTAAGAAACTATGATGAGATTTATGAACACTTAGTTTTTAATGTTGAAGACTTCAGAATTATGAAGGAACACCTGTGGAATTATTGAGTAAATAAAAAAGCGCTAAACCAACCAAAATATATTTCTCTGTTTGAACTCATTCAGAGTTGACATCTTGTGCTCCGATTACAGCTTTGCACACTGTTCCATCCAGCTTCATGAAGAAGTCACCCAGAGTGGTTTTCACTGAATGTCAAGAGTTAATTTGTGGGATTTCTTAGACTCCTTATGTGTTTGAGACCATCAGTTGTGTTGTACAGTGGAAGGGCTCGTACAAACAACAATAAGTCTGATTAAAGTTCAGTTCAGCAGCTGCTGAATTTGAATCCACTCATGAACTTCTCTGTTTTTGTAAGCTTCATGAAGTCAGAGAACTTAAAAGGTTGAATGAAAAAAAAACAGATGTTTTTCACAGCACTCTGGTGTTTGTCTGTGGAGGTTTTTGAGCAGCTGCTCTGCTCTCTTCTCTCACTGTGTCTCTTCGAGCACAGAAGTAAACAGCAGAATCTTCTGCTGTCAGCCCCTGAACCTGGAGGTACTGAGTGCTTCTGGGCACATCTTCAGTCATGCTGAAGCGACTCTGGAAGGAGCTGGCATAGCTAGCAGAGTTTGAACCTGCATCCATCCACCCAATCCACTCCAGAGCTCTCCCTGGCCTCTGGCGTATCCAGTGGATATAGTAGCTGGTCATGTCAAACCCAGAAATGACACATGACATCCTCACTGTCTCTCCAGGTCTTTTCACCTCAGAGGGAGTCTGCTCCAGTTTGATCTCACTCCAAACTCCTGCAGTGATAGAAATTGTGATTATTCTCTAACAGACTCATCAAGAACAGGTCGAACATCTCCTAAAAGACCTAAACTGGATTCATTTTCTCACCGTGGATCGCAACTACAAATAATAAAGTCCAGATAAGAGTTCTTTCCATTCTTAGGTTCAGAGCTCTCTGATCTCAGTTTGTTAGAAATATCCTCAACTGTCCCAGTGCTGCCACAAGTTACTGATGGAGGGTTTATAAAGAGGAACAGTTTGCATAGACCTCCCTCTACAGGTTTAAAGGGGAACATGTGACATTTCCATAAGCAGAGGATCTCTACAACTGGAGACAAAACTATAGACCATCAGGGTCCCAGGGTCCGGTGTCTAAACCAGCAGCAACCAAAGATCAAGTTGTCCTCATGGTTTGGTAGTTTTAGTTTTTAGTTTTTCTCTTTTTACAGAAGAAGGGATTGTTGGTGTAAGAGGAGGAACCGTATAGTCCAAGTAATTGTGTTATAGTGTGATATTTGAGTACACATTGATCACTCGGGTCGAAAATGAATTTTTATCTTCAATAAAATTTTGTTTTTTTAGTTGTGTATATTTGTGAAGACAGAATAGTGATTATGTATTTTAAATGTCACATTTATCAAGTTAAGTAAAGTGCTTTTTTTAATGATTGTGCTTTAGATATGGGTCACAGTTCTGACAGTTTACAGAGTCATTATGATGATTGTTGGTCTGAGGGCTCCTCCTCTGGTGGCTTCATGTCACAGGTGTTCAGGCTCTGAGGGGTTTTTGTTCAGCTCTACAGATGGTTTGTGTTGTTGTGGGTCTCTGGCACAGTAATAAACAGCAGAGTCTTCAGTCTTCAGACTGTTCATCTGCAGATACAGCTGCTGTCTGCTGTTGTCTCTGGAGATGGTGAACCGGCCTCTAAATGACTCAGAGTACCAGGTGCTACTACTGTCATATCTGATATAAGCGATCCACTCTAGTCCTTTTCCAGGAGCCTGTCTGATCCAGTTCATGCTATTGTCACTGAATGTGAATCCAGAGGCTGTACAGGTCAGTCTGTGGGATTCTCCAGGACGTTTAACCACCGGCTCAGATTCAGTCAGAGTCTGACCACCAACACCTGAAAAGACAGAAGAAAAAAACCAACAGATTGAAGTGAGTTTGTTGTCATGAGGTGAAAAAGTCCAACTCAGATTAGTGATGATCTCCACCTGTCCAGCAGACAGTCAGAAGCAGCAGTCCTGTCCTATAGTCCATCATGTCAAACTGAGTGTCCACTGTCCTCTGTCCTCCTCTCTGCACTCACTGAAGTAGAGGAGGAAGACGGCTGACTTTGCATTGACTCCTCCCTTCAGAGAGAAAATTAATGTCACCTTCATGTTTTGTGGTTTTCATATATTTTCCTTAATTTTCTCATAATTTATCTTCATTATTAACTCCAGTTTGGTCTCACAGTGAAACACAACTTCAGGTACAAACTGATATTTTACAGTGTCCCTATTTTCTTCAACATAAAGGAAATCTTTAGTCTTCATCCCTCTATACAAACACTTTAGTTCTCAGTATTTTGATAGTGTTGATCTTGTAGTAACTATGGATCATTGATTATCACCGTTGTTTGTAATAACAGTGAGAGACAACATCAGTTAGTCTGAAGGAACTAGAAGCTGTTGTATGAACTCAGAGTCCGTCATTCTCTCTGAGTCACATAGTAAAGGTCCAACACAGTAATGTTTCTACTGTCACCAGTCACAGTCTGCTGCACCATAGTTCATTTGAAGGAGCAAGTCCCAGATCAGGCTCCCAGGAGCTCTGATCAGATGGAGTGGAGGGTGGGTTCAAGGCCTCAGTTCTGTTGTCCATGACAGATATGATCCTCTTTTGGTTCAGAGTTTGAGTAACAAACCATCAGGGAAATGTGAGAACTGCTTCTGAATAAAGGGCCTGATCTGACAATATCTAAGAGGGTGCTTGTTGGTCAGATTATATTGAACTGAACAGGATGAAATAGGTGAAAGAGTTCAGACGAGGATTTTTAAAGTTGGTGGAGCTCATGTGGAAAAGTGAAGACTGAATCATTTAGAGTTTTTGAACAGTAAAGTTGAGTTTTCACTGCTGTTGAATGGATGCTCAGATTCACAGTCAGGTTTTCTTCTCAATGATGAAGTCATTGCTGCAGCGATGAGCGTCTAGACGGCCTAAAGAAATCAACTGAAATCAGTCCAGTTATTTTCATGAATAACTCCCATCATTCATTGGGAAATGTCTTTTCAAAGCCCGGACGTTCTCCAGAGCTCCTCACACAGCCATCATCAGTGTAGTTCAGTTTTTGTCCAGCTCTGTCGTCCCCTGTGTCACTGTGGCTCTCGAGCACAATAATAAACTGCAGAGTCTTCCTGTTTGAGGCTCTTCACCTCCAAGTACACGACATTAACCGATGTGTCCTTGGTGATGGAAAACTGGCCCTGTAGACTTTGGGCAAATATTGTGCCGGTCCCGCTATCGATGCGACCGATCCACTCCAGTCCTCTTCCTGGTTTTTGACGAATCCAGTGCAGCCAAGCCAGAGCAAGTCCTTCCACTTTACAGGACAGAGTGACCGGTTGTCCTGGTCTGCTGACTACTGGTTCTGAGGAGGTGAGGGACTGGCCCTGAGCGGCTGAAAGGGACCCAGAGTTTTAGAGGACAAGGAGTCAGCAGACATGCAGAGATCACTTTCTGCTCCTCTGCTGCTCAATAAAGACACTCACCTGAAATCAGAGCCAAGAGGAGGAACCTTTGGACCCCTGTCATGGTGGAGACTTGGCTCAGCCTATGAGAGTGACGGTCATTATGAAGGATATATAGAGCAGGCAGAGCGGCTGTGTCAGGTGCATCAGCATGTATATTTGCATTTTACTCACCAGAGATTTGGGTGATGATGATGATGTGAAAATGAAACTCTGAGACAGAGACTGTGGACTTCAGACAGACTGAGACACCAACAGTCAAAGATGTCCTTCAGTCTTTCTCCTTATTTGAGTTTTTTTAACCAGTTTTTCACCTTTCCTCCTGTGAGAACGAGTCAGAACAACATGAGATGGTGAACTGATGAACACATGACTCTGCAGTCAGTAACTAATGATAAAGTGAGTGTTAGAGTTCAGTCAGTCAATGGTTTGAGTCTTTGAGTGAAGGTCAGTGAGATAAGCCGGTCTGAGTGTTTCTGAACAGTAAGAGAGGAAAACTTGACACTGACTGCCACCTGCTGTTTCAGAACTGAAATAACATTCACTGGGAACGATTTCTGTAGATGGGTCGCTCTGTTGTTTTTATCCAGGGGGGGATTATTGTGGTTGGACACATTTGTAGTTATTTAATTAATATTTACTGTTGTCCATGAAAAAGAAAGTTTCACAGTTTCTCAATTTCATAATTTATTTAATCAGAACTGAAATTATTCCAGAGAACTATCAACAAAAGAGTCCTGTAGGTTTTTGTACAGCTGCTCAGCAGACTCCAGTCACTGTGGGTCTCTGGCACAGTAATAAACAGCAGAGTCTTCAGTCTTCAGACTGTTCATCTGCAGATACAGCTGCTGTCTGCTGTTGTCTCTGGAGATGGTGAACCGGCCTCTAAATGACTCAGAGTACCAGGTGCTACTACTATAAGCGGAGGCGATCCACTCCAGTCCTTTTCCAGGAGCCTGTCTGATCCAGCCCATATAGTAGCTGCTGAATGTGAATCCAGAGGCTGTACAGGTCAGTCTGTGGGATTCTCCAGGACGTTTAACCACCGGCTCAGATTCAGTCAGAGTCTGACCACCAACACCTGAAAAGACAGAAGAAAAAAACCAACAGATTGAAGTGAGTTTGTTGTCATGAGGTGAAAAAGTCCAACTCAGATTAGTGATGATCTCCACCTGTCCAGCAGACAGTCAGAAGCAGCAGTCCTGTCCTATAGTCCATCATGTCAAACTGAGTGTCCTCTGTCCTCTGTCCTCCTCTCTGCACTCACTGAAGTAGAGGAGGAAGACGGCTGACTTTGCATTGACTCCTCCTCTCAGAGACTAAATGAGTGTGGACCTCTTTTTTTCTGTTTAATTTTTTTGCATATTTGTTAATATTGAAGTCACTCATATGTCTTTTATAATAATACATTTTATTTAAAAGCATAAAGGTGTTTTGTTGATGATAGGAGCAGCTGAGTTCTGAACCAGCTTTAGTTTATGAAGAGATTTGTGAGGAAGACCAGAGTCACAGTCATCAATACAGGAGGTAACAACCCACTGAGCATTTTTTGGTCTAAAAGAGGTCTAATAGACGTCTAAATGTAGCCTAGACGAATGGTCTAAAATCAGGCTACCACAGGTCTAAAAATGAAAGTTTTTAGACGTCTGAATTTAGACCAAGTTTAAGACTAGCTGGCCAACAGAGGTATAACTGTATATTGCTTGACGGCTATCATCATTATTTTGGTTAAATACTTGGAGATCAGTTATGAAACTCACAGTTGCTTTTTGAAAAAAATAGTTATCAAATAATGGGTAAAAGTGCAACGTCTAAATTCTGTCTAAAACTATACAGACTCTAGACGGTTGAAATTAGGTCTAAAAAATACTAGATGTCTAATAGCCGTCTATTGCTCAGTGGGAAGGCTGTGGACCAGGATAGAAGTGGTATGGGGGTTGAGGGGTGGAGTGGGGGTTGATGTTGCAGAGTAGAAACATGCTGACAGGGTAATATTACTGATGTGAGCTTGGGATGATAAGGAGCTGTCAAGGATAATACCCAGACTTTACCCTGTGGAGGAGCTATATTGTTTGTATATTTGATATTTAAACCTCATTTAAAGACAGTTTCTGTCATTAAAAGCTGATGTAGAAATGATTGTTGGTCTGAGGGCTCCTCCTCTGGTGGCTTCATGTCACAGGTGTTCAGGCTCTGAGGGGTTTTTGTTCAGCTCTACAGATGGTTTGTGTTGTTGTGGGTCTCTGGCACAGTAATAAACAGCAGAGTCTTCAGTCTTCAGACTGTTCATCTGCAGATACAGCTGCTGTCTGCTGTTGTCTCTGGAGATGGTGAACCGGCCTCTAAATGACTCAGAGTAGTGGATGTAACTACTACCATCGCTGCTGATAGTAGAGATCCACTCCAGTCCTTTTCCAGGAGCCTGTCTGATCCAGGCCATCCAGTAGTCCCTGAATGAGAATCCAGAGGCTGTACAGGTCAGTCTGTGGGATTCTCCAGGACGTTTAACCACCGGCTCAGATTCAGTCAGAGTCTGACCACCAACACCTGAAAAGACAGAAGAAAAAAACCAACAGATTGAAGTGAGTTTGTTGTCATGAGGTGAAAAAGTCCAACTCAGATTAGTGATGATCTCCACCTGTCCAGCAGACAGTCAGAAGCAGCAGTCCTGTCCTATAGTCCATCATGTCAAACTGAGTGTCCACTGTCCTCTGTCCTCCTCTCTGCACTCACTGAAGTAGAGGAGGAAGACGGCTGACTTTGCATTGACTCCTCCTCTCAGAGACTAAATGAGTGTGGACCTCTTTTTTTCTGCTTAATTTTTTTGCATATTTGTTAATATTGAAGTCACTCATATGTCTTTTTTTTTTAATAATACATTTCATTTGAAAGCATAAAGGCGTTTTGGTGATGATAGGAGCAGCTGAGTTCTCAACCAGCTTTAGTTTATGGAGAGGTTTGTGAGGAAGACCAGAGTCACAGTAATCAATACAGGAGGTAACAAGGCTGTGGACCAGGATAGAGGTGGTATGGGGGGTTGATGTTGCAGAGTTGAAACATGCAGACAGAGTAATATTTCTTTTGTGAGCTTGGGATGATAAGGAGCTGTCAAGGATAATTCACAAACTTTACCCTGTGGAGGAGCTATATAGTTTCTATATTTGATATTTAAACCTCATTTAAAGACAGTTTCTGTCATTAAAAGCTGATGTAGAAATGATTGTTGGTCTGAGGGCTCCTCCTCTGGTGGCTTCATGTCACAGGTGTTCAGGCTCTGAGGGGTTTTTGTTCAGCTCTACAGATGGTTTGTGTTGTTGTGGGTCTCTGCGGGCACAGTAATAAACAGCAGAGTCTTCAGTCTTCAGACTGTTCATCTGCAGATACAGCTGCTGTCTGCTGTCGTCTCTGGAGATGGTGAACCGGCCTCTAACCGACTCAGAGTAGTAGATGCTACTACTAGAAGGGTATATACACTCACCGGCCACTTTATTAGGTACACCATGCTAGTAACGGGTTGGACCCCCTGTTGCCTTCAGAACTGCCTCAATTCTTCGTGGCATAGATTCAACAAGGTGCTGGAAGCATTCCTCAGAGAGCTTGGTCCATATTGACATGATGGCATCACACAGTTGCCGCAGATTTGTCGGCTGCACATCCATGATGCGAATCTCCCGTTCCACCACATCCTAAAGATGCTTTATTGGATTGAGATCTGGTGACTGTGGAGGCCATTTGAGTACAGTGAACTCATTGTCGTGTTCAAGAAACCAGTCTGAGATGATTCCAGCTTTATGACATGGCGCATTATCCTGCTGAAAGTAGCCATCAGAAGTTGGGTACATTGTGGTCATAAAGGGATGGACATGGTCAGCAACAATACTCAGGTAGGCTGTGGCGTTGCAGCGATGCTCAATTGGTACCAAGGGGCCCAAAGAGTGCCAAGAAAATATTCCCCACACCATGACACCACCACCACCAGCCTGAACCGTTGATACAAGGCAGGATGGATCCATGCTTTCATGTTGTTGACGCCAAATTCTGACCCTACCATCCGAATGTCGCAGCAGAAATCGAGACTCATCAGACCAGGCAACGTTTTTCCAATCTTCTATTGTCCAATTTTGATGAGCTTGTGCAAATTGTAGCCTCAGTTTCCTGTTCTTAGCTGAAAGGAGTGGCACCCGGCGTGGTCTTCTGCTGCTGTAGCCCATCTGCCTCCAAGTTCGACGTACTGTGCGTTCAGAGATGCTCTTCTGCCTACCTTGGTTGTAACGGGTGGTTATTTGAGTCACTGTTGCCTTTCTATCAGCTCGAACCAGTCTGGCCATTCTCCTCTGACCTCTGGCATCAACAAGGCATTTCCGCCCACAGAACTGCCGCTCACTGGATATTTTTTCTTTTTCGGACCATTCTCTGTAAACCCTAGAGATGGTTGTGCGTGAAAATCCCAGTAGATCAGCAGTTTCTGAAATACTCAGACCAGCCCTTCTGGCACCAACAACCATGCCACGTTCAAAGTCACTCAAATCACCTTTCTTCCCCATACTGATGCTCGGTTTGAACTGCAGGAGATTGTCTTGACCATGTCTACATGCCTAAATGCACTAAGTTGCCGCCATGTGATTGGCTGATTAGAAATTAAGTGTTAACGAGCAGTTGGACAGGTATACCTAATAAAGTGGCCGGTGAGTGTATAAGAGATCCACTCCAGTCCTTTTCCAGGAGCCTGTCTGATCCAGGCCATATAGCTGCTACTGAATGTGAATCCAGAGGCTGTACAGGTCAGTCTGTGGGATTCTCCAGGACGTTTAACCACCGGCTCAGATTCAGTCAGAGTCTGACCACCAACACCTGAAAAGACAGAAGAAAAAAACCAACAGATTGAAGTGAGTTTGTTGTCATGAGGTGAAAAAGTCCAACTCAGATTAGTGATGATCTCCACCTGTCCAGCAGACAGTCAGAAGCAGCAGTCCTGTCCTATAGTCCATCATGTCAAACTGAGTGTCCACTGTCCTCTGTCCTCCTCTCTGCACTCACTGAAGTAGAGGAGGAAGACGGCTGACTTTGCATTGACTCCTCCCTTTAGAGAGATTGATCCTGTTTTTTTCTACTTCTAACCTGAGGGATTAGGGTGTTAAATTTAGGTTTGAAAACGATTGAAGTTAACAGGAACCTCCCCTCTGTCACCTGTTGGTTGTTAAAGAACCAAACGTTAAATTTGAATCAGAGACACTGAATGAATGTTTTAAATCTGATGAATCAGAGAGTGAGGTCCTCATATTAGAATCAGAATCAGAATCGCCTTTATTGTCATTGTACACAGTACAAGGAAATTTGAGCGCCGCTCCCTTTGGTGCAAAACAATGGTTATAAATAAATACTAAACTGAAAGCAATTTAAAAACACTAAGATAAGAAAGTAAAATGTAGTAATATATACAGAATATATACAAAACAGGAATGATATGAAAAAACAGATTATTGCGCAGTGAGGCCCAGTAATATTGCATGGTTAAATGATTCATTTATTGCACTGTGATCAATGTGATCAGTATATATGTTGGTTGAGGGGGACGGGTTCAACTGGACTTGTTGTTGGTCAATCCTTACTCAGTAAGAGGCTGATCCACGGGTGTCTAAAGACGAGGACACTGTCAACACTTGGCCAACCTGACTCTTAAAGGGAATGATAGGAGACTGTGATTGGTCTGATTCATGTTATACAATAACACACCACAAGATAATCAAGGACATAATCTGAGATCATTAAGTATAGAACCTTTAAAGTGTCTACTTCTCTCTGTCTGACACTGAACTGGTGTTATAATGATTGTTGGTCTGAGGGCTCCTCCTCTGGTGGCTTCATGTCACAGGTGTTCAGGCTCTGAGGGGTTTTTGTTCAGCTCTACAGATGGTTTGTGTTGTTGTGGGTCTCTGGCACAGTAATAAACAGCAGAGTCTTCAGTCTTCAGACTGTTCATCTGCAGATACAGCTGCTGTCTGCTGTTGTCTCTGGAGATGGTGAACCGGCCTCTAACTGACTCAGAGTAGTAGGTGCTACTACCAGTGTTGATATAAGCAATCCACTCCAGTCCTTTTCCAGGAGCCTGTCTGACCCAGTTCATAGCATAACTGCTGAATGTGAATCCAGAGGCTGTACAGGTCAGTCTGTGGGATTCTCCAGGACGTTTAACCACCGGCTCAGATTCAGTCAGAGTCTGACCACCAACACCTGAAAAGACAGAAGAAAAAAACCAACAGATTGAAGTGAGTTTGTTGTCATGAGGTGAAAAAGTCCAACTCAGATTAGTGATGATCTCCACCTGTCCAGCAGACAGTCAGAAGCAGCAGTCCTGTCCTATAGTCCATCATGTCAAACTGAGTGTCCACTGTCCTCTGTCCTCCTCTCTGCACTCACTGAAGTAGAGGAGGAAGACGGCTGACTTTGCATTGACTCCTCCTCTCAGAGTGAAAATTAATGTCACCTTCATGTTTTGTGGTTTCCATATATTTTGCTTAATTTTCTCATAATTTGTCTTCATTATTAACTCCAGTTTGGTCTCACAGTGAAACACAACTTCAGGTACAAACTGATATTTTACAGTGTCCCTATTTTCTTCAACATAAAGGAAATCTTTAGTCTTCATCCCTCTATACAAACACTTTAGTTCTCACTATTTTGTTTGAATCATATAACTTAATTGTGTTCATGTTAATAATTATTCTTTAAAGTTTACGTCTTATTTTGATGACCATGTTAGTGAATAGGGAAGGAAAGTAGGTGAAGAGAGAGGAGAGGAACATTCAGCAGCAGGTGGAGGGTTGGAATAGTGATGAATATGAGGATGATGATGATAGTGGTGACAGTAATAATGATAGTGATGAAGATAACTGAATAAAGATATCTGACTGGTCTGATGAGGATGCACTTTGAAGTTGATGTTTACATTTGAGTCATGTTCTGTGAAAGGAGAGAAAAGTTTGATGGTTTCCTTTCTGACTGAAGTATTTTTATAGATCTAAATATATTTGTTTGTTAGCAAAACTGTAACTCAGCCTGATGAGGAGAGCTGAAGGATCTTCTATAGTTCTATAACTGTGAGTCTGTGTGACTCAATATTAAACAGCAGAGTCTCCAGTCCTCAGACTGATCTCATTCAGGTACAGCTGCTGTCTGCTTCGTCTCTGAGGACTGTAAACCTGAACTCTGGTGTTTGTCTGTGGAGGTTTTTGAGCAGCTGCTCCGCTCTCTTCTCTCACTGTGCTTGTCGAGCACAGAAGTAAACAGCAGAATCTTCTGCTGTCAGCCCCTGAACCTGGAGGTACTGAGTGCTTCTGGGCACATCTTCAGTCATGCTGAAGCGACTCTGGAAGGAGCTGGCATAGCTAGCAGAGTTTGAACCTGCATCCATCTCCCCAATCCACTCCAGAGCTCTCCCTGGCCTCTGGCGTATCCAGTGGATATAGTAGCTGGTCATGTCAAACCCAGATATGACACATGACATCCTCACTGTCTCTCCAGGTCTTTTCACCTCAGAGGGAGTGTGCTCCAGTTTGATCTCACTCCAAACTCCTGCAGTGATAGAAATTGTGATTATTCTCTAACAGACTCATCAAGAACAGGTCGAACATCTCCTAAAAGACCTAAACTGGATTCATTTTCTCACCGTGGATCGTAACTACAAATAATAAAGTCCAGATAAGAGTTCTTTCCATTCTTAGGTTCAGAGCTCTCTGATCTCAGTTTGTTAGAAATATCCTCAACTGTCCCAGTGCTGCCACAAGTTACTGATGGAGGGTTTATAAAGAGGAACAGTTTGCATAGACCTCCCTCTACAGGTTTAAAGGGGAACATGTGACATTTCCATAAGCAGAGGATCTCTACAACTGGAGACAAAACTATAGACCATCAGGGTCCCAGGGTCCGGTGTCTAAACCAGCAGCAACCAAAGATCAAGTTGTCCTCATGGTTTGGTAGTTTTAGTTTTTAGTTTTTCTCTTTTAACAGAAGAAGGGATTGTTGGTGTAAGAGGAGGAACCGTATAGTCCAAGTAATTGTGTTATAGTGTGATATTTGTCTGAACACAAAAGAAGTATTCCTCTGTTTTTTCAGAGTACACATTGATCACTAGGGTTAAAAAATGTATTAACATCTTTATTAAAATGTTGTTGTGTATATTTATTTATTAAAGCAAAATAGTGATTATGTATTTTAAATGTCATAATGATCAAGTTAAGTAAAATACATTTTTTAATGATTGTACTTTAGACATGTAGTGATTTGAAATGAGCCTCATACGGTCGCACCAAAATATATGTAGCGATTTGAAATGAGCCTCACAAGGCCGCACCAAAATAATACTTGGCGATTGGAATTTATAATAAATGTCTGAAGATTAATAATCTCAAATTATGACATTTATGCACTCGTTGAAAGGGGCACCACCCACCCTTAATGGTGGGAAAATAAAGAAAACAAAAGTTTAATTCAGAAATCAAACATCATGTCAGTTTTAATTAATCAGTCTTAATTAATCAGTCTTAATTAATCAGTCTCATATCTTAAGTCGAAATTCTAATTTCAGGGACTCCACTTCTGGAAGAACACTAACAGACAGGAACTTAGAAAAATAATGATCTGTTTATTACAGGATAAATGATGGTACAACACACATGCAATAAATGATGATAAGATAATGAAGATAAAATAACAATAGGTGAATAAATAAAGATTCTGAGTCAGGCTCGGAGCACTAAAGTTAATGATAGTGAGTGGATATGCGCTAACATATTAACCTACACTAACTTTGGTGTCGAGATAAACTCGGATGTGGATTTGGAGGAATCTAAGATCACCAGAAATAGGTGGATATCTGAGTTATGAACGCATGAGACAGCACCAGCCCTCTTTAGAGCTCTGGAGGTTTGCATACTTAAGTGAGACTGGTCCTTGGAGAAGATGGAGCAGGTTCCGAAGGTCCGGGGCTACTGGCAGTTCGAGCGGTTCAGCTCAGAAGACGACTGAAGTCAGCCGAAGGATGAGCCAGGAGTTGCAGCACTCGGGCCCGAAGCAAAGCCAGCGCCTGTGGATCCTGTGGATGCTCGTTTGGGTACTTCTTTGGTCTCACTCAGAATCTCTGGCACAGAGGATGACCTGGGCCTGCTGGGTTGCGTTCAGAGGTGACTTTGAGATCACGCAGAAAACTCAGAAAAACAAGACTCGAGCAGAGAAAACTTTAAAAAATGGCTTCGCGAAATTAAAGAAAAATCAATCAAAGGCTTAATCTTGAATTGCTATGCACACAAAAAGTTGAAGTTTCAAAACTTGAACTAAGACGATGTTAAAGAAAAATCAACGTGAATCAACACGTGGCGTAAAACTTAGAAGACTAAGAAAAAGTTCTAAGAGAAAACAAAGAAACGCACCACAGAAGGGTGTGGACAGAAGAGAAGGGGCATAAGAGCCGGGGACAAGAGAGTCAGCAGAAGAGCAGAAGCATAAGAGAGAGAAGAGAGGAATAAGAGACATAAGAGAGTGAGCAACCCGACTTCACTGGTTTTATCTTCTCACACTGGGAGTGGCTCCGGCGTGTGTGTGAGACAGAGGAGGGGTCGTGGAATCTCTGATTATTTGATCTAACTTATTCTTTTGGCTGGTAAAAGAGTCAGATCTGATACTCACTCACTATGATTAATATCATTGAATGCTTGGTTTCATGATAAATAATTTGATACTAAACACATATGAATGAAGTGTAGGATCACATCAAACATTCTCATTATGTTTTAAGTATCACATTGAACATGCTAAATTACTCTGAAATGAAACAGATAGTAACACATGGAAACTGTGAACAACAAAAGAGTAAACACATGTGAATGAACTTCATCATGATTAATAATGGATTCTAAATACTCACATTAAGGTTATTCAATGACATTATAACCACCTAATGGTTAAAAATACTAAATAAACAACTACAATATAAACCAAACATTTCTAAACTGTCTCTGTTACCTAGAGTTAAGTTATGATCCATAGTCAATAAATTTAACTCTTAAAAGTTCATGAAACAGTCTGAAAAGCTGTTGGTCTAAAGAAACTAAAGAATAAAGGATTTATTCTGTAACTCGGCCTCTGGAGCACATAGAAAAACGGGAAACATCTCATTTTAACACAAAGTTCATGATTAGACAGATTAGTACATTGCTGAATGCATAAGATGTCATGATCAGTCATTTGTATTCTTTCACCAAAGGAATGTAGTCTTTATCAGTGCATGGTCGAGCAGGGTTTTACGACCGAGGTCTGGAGGTCAGTGTCCCCCCTTATCCTGGGGTCCGTATGTTCACACACTTTAAGACGCTAAATCTCAAATGGGAGATCTGGGTTGAGGTTAATGTTTATTTAGATGGTCAGCAAATGGAGTCAGTTTGAAAGGTAATAAAAACTCTGTCTCTGTTCGCCGAACTGACCAATCCTGAAGAGTCAGAGGTTTAGTCAACCTCCGGTTGGGTCACTTATTTAACCTGAAAGGGCAAACACGTCTGGAAAGATTTATATCCTGTTTCCTGGGACCAGATAAGGAAACTTTCCTGTAAGGAATGTGTGGGTTTCACATCCAGGGTTGTCTTGATTGCTACAGACATGAGTCACAGTTCTGACAGAGTCATTATGATGATTGTTGGTCTGAGGGCTCCTCCTCTGGTGGCTTCATGTCACAGGTGTTCAGGCTCTGAGGGGTTTTTGTTCAGCTCTACAGATGGTTTGTGTTGTTGTGGGTCTCTGGCACAGTAATAAACAGCAGAGTCTTCAGTCTTCAGACTGTTCATCTGCAGATACAGCTGCTGTCTGCTGTTGTCTCTGGAGATGGTGAACCGGCCTCTAAATGACTCAGAGTAGTAGATGCCACTACTATCAGTATTTATCAAAGAGATCCACTCCAGTCCTTTTCCAGGAGCCTGTCTGATCCAGGCCATATAGGAGCCACTGAATGTGAATCCAGAGGCTGTACAGGTCAGTCTGTGGGATTCTCCAGGACGTTTAACCACCGGCTCAGATTCAGTCAGAGTCTGACCACCAACACCTGAAAAGACAGAAGAAAAAAACCAACAGATTGAAGTGAGTTTGTTGTCATGAGGTGAAAAAGTCCAACTCAGATTAGTGATGATCTCCACCTGTCCAGCAGACAGTCAGAAGCAGCAGTCCTGTCCTATAGTCCATCATGTCAAACTGAGTGTCCACTGTCCTCTGTCCTCCTCTCTGCACTCACTGAAGTAGAGGAGGAAGACGGCTGACTTTGCATTGACTCCTCCTCTCAGAGAGAAAATTACTGTCACCTTCATGTTTTGTGGTCTTGACACATTTTGCTTAATTGTCTCAGAATGTGTCTTCATTATTTACTCCAGTTTGGTCTTTCAGTGAAACACAACCTCAGGTACAAACTGATATTTAACAACGTTCCTATTTTCTTTAACATACAGTGGATATAAAAAGTCTACACACCCCAGTTTAACTGCCAGGTCATAGTGATGTAAGAAAATAACAGCAAGATAAATATTTTCACAACATTTTCTATCTTTAATGTGACCTTTGACTTGTACAATGCAATTGAAAAACAAACTGAAACTTTTAAGGGGAAAAATGAAAAATAGAAAAGTTATAATTACCTGATTGCATAAATGTGCACACCCTTAAACTAATACTTTGTTGCAGCACCTTTGGCTTTTATTTCAGCACTTAGTCTTTTTGGGTTGGAGTCTATCAGCGTGGAACATCTTGATGTGGAAATATATTTTCCCACTTTTCTTTTTAAAACCGCTCCAAATCTGACAGATTTTGAGGGCATCTCCTATGCACAGCCCTCTTCAGATCAGACCACAAATGTTTGATGGGATTCAGGTCTGGACTCTGGCTGGGCCGTTCCAAAGTCTCAATCTTATTCTGGTGAAGCTGTTCTTTTGTTGATTTAGATGTGTGCCTTCGGTCATTGTCGTGCTGAAAGATGAAGTTCCTCTTCATCTTCATCTTTCTAGCAGAAGGCCGAAGGTTTTGTTCCAACACTGACTGGTATTTGGAACTGTTCATAATTCCCTCCACCCTGACTAAGGCACCAGATCCAGCTGAAGAAAAACATCCCCAAAGCATGATGCTGCCACGACCATGCTTCACTGTAGGTATGGTGTTCTTTTGGTGATCAGCAGTGTTGATTTTGAGCCAAATATACCTTTTGCAATGATGCCCAAAAAGTTCAACTTTGGTTTCATCAGACCATGACACATTTTCCCACGTGTTTGGGAGATTTCAGATGTTTTGATGTTTTTCTTTGAAAGATAAGTCTTCCATCTTGCCCCTCTACCCCATAGCCCAGACATATGAAGACAGCAGGAGATTGTTGTCTCATGTTCTACACAGCCAGTACTTGAAGCCAGAAATTCCTGCAGCTCCTTCAGTGTTGCTGTCGGCCTCTTGGTATCCTCCCTGACCAGTTTTCGTCTTGTTTTTTCATCAATTTTGGACGGACGTCCTGTTCTTGGTAATGTCACCGTTGTTCCATATTTTCTCCACTTGATGATGACGGTCTTCACTGTGTTCCATGGTATATTTGATTCCTTGGAAATTCTTTTGTAGCCTCACCTGACTGAGATCTTTGAATACTGAGATTCCTCTGGTTCTTTGGAAGCTCTCTGTGGACCATGGCTTGTGCTGGAAAATGTGTCTACAAAAATGTCTGGAAAAGCTACTTGAACAGCTGAACTTTATTTGGGGTTGATCAGAGTCACTGTAATTGGTGACAGGTGTGTGCTGACTCCAGTTTAACCTGAGTTTGAATGTTATTGGTTATATCTGAACACAGCTACATCCCCAGTTATTAAAGGGTGTACACACTTATGCAACCACATGATCTCAGTTGCTTATTTTTACTTCACCTCCCTGAAAGATTTCTGTTTGTTTTTCAATTGTGTTGTACAGGTTATAGGTCACATTAAAGGTGGAAGAACATCTAACATTGTTTATCTTGATTTAAATCTGGCAGTTAAACAGGAGTGTGTAGACTTTTTATATCCACTGTATTTATTCATTCATTCATTCATGGATAAATACTTGACAGTTATGTGTTTTTAAATATCAGTTTGATCAGGTTTAGTAAAAGATGTTATTTTAATGATTGTACTTTAGATATGAGTCACAGTTCTGACAGTTTCCAGAGTCATTATGATGATTGTTGGTCTGAGGGCTCCTCCTCTGGTGGCTTCATGTCACAGGTGTTCAGGCTCTGAGGGGTTTTTGTTCAGCTCTACAGATGGTTCGTGTTGTTGTGGGTCTCTGGCACAGTAATAAACAGCAGAGTCTCCAGTCTGCATGTTCTGTCCGTTTAGAGTCAACGTGTTTCTGGAGGAGTCCAGGTCCATAGTGAATTTGTTCTTGAGTGAATCTTTGTAGTAAGTGCTGTATCCCACATGTGCACTTGAAATCCACTCCAGTCCTTCCCCTGCAGGCTGTCTGATCCAGGCTGACCGGTAGCTGCTGACAGAATAAGAGACCTGACAGGTGATGGTCAGAGGTTGACCTGGCTGCACAGTCACAGAGGCTGGCTGAGTCAGCTGTTCACACTTCACACCTGTTGAAAAAGAGAAAATGTTTGGTACCAAATGATGGAGTTGAGCTGTAAAAGAAGAACTGTGGACTTTGACAGATCCAGACTGACTCACATCCAGCTGCCAGCAGCAGCAGCAGCAGCAGAGCTCCAGAAAACATGGTTTATGTTGAAGGTGAGCAGCTGTGAACTCCACTGACAGCCTGATGGACAGTTTTTATAGCTGAGGAACAAGGAAGCTCTCTGAGTTTGCATAGAATCAAACAGATGAAGCAGCAGCAGAGTTGGTCTGCTCACTGTTTGGTAGTAATATTCATATTTGTATGAGATGATAATGATGATGAGGTGAAATCTGTTGATGATTTGACTGTGTCACAGGCTAATATCAGAACTATCCCTCCAAACTGCAGAAACCTCCTGGAAGTTCAATTTGTAATTGTTCTATAATAGGGCTGAAATTCACCTTACCCTTCCAGTGTTTCCCCGAGCTTTTTCACTTTGGCAGCGAGGTGGTGGGGCGTATGACGTAGACAAACGTCACCCTGTATGACATTTGTCTATGTCTACGTCATACAGGATGGTGGGAGATGAACCAGCGCTGTTTTCGGGGCTGGGAGAGATGATTAAGTTAGCATCCAAAAGAGAAAGTGCAGTGTTTTGATAAAAATTTTAAAATTTAACATATATATTAATCTACGACTTAAATAACTGGGCTGGGATCTCGTTGGCAGGGCGGGGATACATTACAGGGGAAACACTGTCTTGAATCCTTGAAGCTCTTCTTTAGTTTGACGGTAATACTGCAGGAATCTAATGTTTCAGTGCTCATGAGTCAGTGCTGTTACCTTTGTGCTCAAATCACCTGTGTGTTTGTTTCTTTCTGCTCGTTCTTGTGTTCATTCTTGAAGAGGATCAGAGCAACACTCAGTCAGTCCTAGACTGCCCTCTAGAGTTTAAAGACAAACTGGAATATTCCAGTTTCAGCTTTCACTTCAAAAGGGACATTTTGACAGAGTTTCTCAAGTCTGTTGGAGAGTCTAAACTCAGACTGTGGATGTTGGATTCTTGAACTTGGACTGCAGAGAGAGGAGGGTCCTCTTTGGGAACATGAAACCTGTGGTTATTTTCATTCAACTGAATCTAGAAGGACTACATAACTTTCTGCAAAGATTTGAACTTGAATTTATTTTCTAAATTTTGTTGCTGATAAAAAAGTCAATGTAGTCATCTGATGAAACTTCAGTCACAGCTGCTCAGTAAAAAAAGAGTCCTGTAGGTTTTTGTACAGCTGCTCAGCAGACTCCAGTCACTGTGGGTCTCTGGCACAGTAATAAACAGCAGAGTCTTCAGTCTTCAGACTGTTCATCTGCAGATACAGCTGCTGTCTGCTGTTGTCTCTGGAGATGGTGAACCGGCCTCTAACTGACTCAGAGTAGAAGGTGCTACTGCTGTCATGTGTGATAGTAGAGATCCACTCCAGTCCTTTTCCAGGAGCCTGTCTGATCCAGGCCATCCAGTAGCTGCTGAATGTGAATCCAGAGGCTGTACAGGTCAGTCTGTGGGATTCTCCAGGACGTTTAACCACCGGCTCAGATTCAGTCAGAGTCTGACCACCAACACCTGAAAAGACAGAAGAGAAAAACCAACAGATTGAAGTGAGTTTGTTGTCATGAGGTGAAAAAGTCCAACTCAGATTAGTGATGATCTCCACCTGTCCAGCAGACAGTCAGAAGCAGCAGTCCTGTCCTATAGTCCATCATGTCAAACTGAGTGTCCACTGTCCTCTGTCCTCCTCTCTGCACTCACTGAAGTAGAGGAGGAAGATGGCTGACTTTGCATTGACTCCTCCCTTCACAGAGAAAATCAATGTCACCTTCATGTTTTGTGGTTTCCATATATTTTCCTTAATTTTCTCATAATTTGTCTTCATTATTAACTCCAGTTTGGTCTCACAGTGAAACACAACTTCAGGTACAAACTGATATTTTACAGTGTCCCTATTTTCTTCAACATAAAGGAAATCTTTAGTCTTCATCCCTCTATACAAACACTTTAGTTCTCACTATTTTGATAGTGTTGATATTGTAGTAACTATGGATCACTGATTATCACCTTTGTTTGTAATAACAGTGAGAGACAACATCAGTTAGTCTGAATGAACCAGAAGCTGTTGTATGAACTCAGAGTCCGTCATTCTCTCTGTGTCACATGGTAAAGGTACAACACAGTAATGTTTCTACTGTCACCAGTCACAGTCTGCTGCACCATAGTTCATTTGAAGGAGCAAGTCCCAGATCAGGCTCCCAGGAGCTCTGATATGATCCTCTTTTGGTTCAGAGTTTGAGTAACAAACCATCAGGGAAATGTGAGAACTGCTTCTGAATAAAGTGCCTGATCTGACAATATCTAAGAGGGTGCTTGTTGGTCAGATTATATTGAACTGAACAGGATGAAATAGGTGAAAGAGTTCAGACGAGGATTTTTAAAGTTGGTGGAGCTCATGTAGAAAAGTAAAGACTGAATCATTTAGAGTTTTTGAACAGTAAAGTTGAGTTTTCACTGCTGTTGAATGGATGCACAGATTCACAGTCAGGTTTTCTTCTCAATGATGAAGTCATTGCTGCAGCGATGAGCGTCTAGACGGCCTAAAGAAATCGACTGAAATCAGTCCAGTTATTTTCATGAGTAACTCCCATCATTCAGTGGGAAGTGTCTTTTCAAAGCCCGGACGTTCTCCAGAGCTCCTCACACAGCCATCATCAGTGTAGTTCAGTTTTTGTCCAGCTCTGTCGTCCCCTGTGTCACTGTGGCTCTCGAGCACAATAATAAACTGCAGAGTCTTCCTGTTTGAGGCTCTTCACCTCCAAGTACACAACATTAACCGATGTGTCCTTGGTGATGGAAAACTGGCCCTGTAGACTTTGGGCAAATATTGTGCCGGTCCCGCTATCGATGCGACCGATCCACTCTAGTCCTCTTCCTGGTTTTTGATGAATCCAGTGCAGCCAAGCCAGAGCAAGTCCTTCCACTTTACAGGACAGAGTGACCGGTTGTCCTGGTCTGCTGACTACTGGTTCTGAGGAGGTGAGGGACTGGCCCTGAGCGGCTGAAAGGGACCCAGAGTTTTAGAGGACAAGGAGTCAGCAGACATGCAGAGATCACTTTCTGCTCCTCTGCTGCTCAATAAAGACACTCACCTGAAATCAGAGCCAAGAGGAGGAACCTTTGGACCCCTGTCATGGTGGAGACTTGGCTCAGCCTATGAGAGTGACGGTCATTATGAAGGATATATAGAGCAGGCAGAGCGGCTGTGTCAGGTGCATCAGCATGTATATTTGCATTTTACTCACCAGAGATTTGGGTGATGATGATGATGTGAAAATGAAACTCTGAGACAGAGACTGTGGACTTCAGACAGACTGAGACACCAACAGTCAAAGATGTCCTTCAGTCTTTCTCCTTATTTGAGTTTTTTTAACCAGTTTTTCACCTTTCCTCCTGTGAGAACGAGTCAGAACAACATGAGATGGTGAACTGATGAACACATGACTCTGCAGTCAGTAACTAATGATACAGTGAGTGTTAGAGTTCAGTCAGTCAATGGTTTGAGTCTTTGAGTGAAGGTCAGTGAGATAAGCCGGTCTGAGTGTTTCTGAACAGTAAGAGAGGAAAACTTGACACTGACTGCCACCTGCTGTTTCAGAACTGAAATAACATTCACTGGGAATGATGTCTGGAGATGGGTCGCTCTGTTGTTTTTATCCAGGGGGGGATTATTGTGGTTAGACACATTTGTAGTTATTTAATAAATATTTACTGTTGTCAATGAAAAAGAAAATTTCACAGTTTCTCAATTTCAAATTTATTTAATCAGAACTGAAATTATTCCAGAGAACTATCAACAACAAGAGTCCTGTAGGTTTTTGTACAGCTGCTCAGCAGACTCCAGTCACTGTGGGTCTCTGGCACAGTAATAAACAGCAGAGTCTTCAGTCTTCAGACTGTTCATCTGCAGATACAGCTGCTGTCTGCTGTCGTCTCTGGAGATGGTGAACCGGCCTCTAAAGGACTCAGAGTAGTAGATGTAACTACTACCATCGCCACTGATAGTTGAGATCCACTCCAGTCCTTTTCCAGGAGCCTGTCTGACCCAGGCCATATAGTAGTCCCTGAATGTGAATCCAGAGGCTGTACAGGTCAGTCTGTGGGATTCTCCAGGACGTTTAACCACCGGCTCAGATTCAGTCAGAGTCTGACCACCAACACCTGAAAAGACGGAAGAGAAAAACCAACAGATTGAAGTGAGTTTGTTGTCATGAGGTGAAAAAGTCCAACTCAGATTAGTGATGATCTCCACCTGTCCAGCAGACAGTCAGAAGCAGCAGTCCTGTCCTATAGTCCATCATGTCAAACTGAGTGTCCACTGTCCTCTGTCCTCCTCTCTGCACTCACTGAAGTAGAGGAGGAAGACGGCTGACTTTGCATTGACTCCTCCCTTTAGAGCAATTGTTCCTGTTTTTGTCTACTTCTAACCTGAGGGATTAGGGTGTTAAATTTAACTGAACTTTGAAAATGATTGAAGTTAACAGGAACCTCCCCTCTGTCACCTGTTGGTTGTTAAAGAACCAAACGTTAAATTTGAATCAGAGACACTGAATGAATGTTTTAAATCTGATGAATCAGAGAGTGAGGTCCTCATATTAGCTGTAACTGTACAACAGTAACTCCTGATCAGCTCATCACTGTTTTTAAACTGTTTTCATTCATTTTCTGACAACTTAGAGACAAGATACACTTCCAATATGATCCCACTCACTTAATGATTATAACATTATCTATTCTAAGAGAACCTGAAAACTCTGACCCATTGTTAGTTATTGTGGAGACACAGTTTCACCAAGTCAGACAGAGTTTCAGAAAAATATGAATTTTTCTTCTATGGAAAAATAAAACTTCCAACTAAATTTTCATAATTTTTTTGTCAGTGTATAAAGAAATTACTGAAGATCTGTCAGTAAAAAAACCTGTGGATCAATGAAAATAAAACTTTATTGATTCGTTTTTCTATTTATTTTTTTATGTACACTACAGGCCAAAAGTTTGGAAGCAAGATCAGATTTGTACAAAAAAGATCATCGTTTCATATTTCTAATTTGCAACACAATAAACATGACTATTGTGTAAAGAGTAACTTATCAGAAGACATTTTGACTACAATTATGAGGTATTTGAGTTTTTGTTGTTAGACTTTCTTTAAAGTAACCTCCTCTGGCTTTAACAACAGCTTGGCATATACCAGGCATTTGTTCACCAAGTTTTCTAAGGTCTGTTCCAGGGATTACATTCAAGCTTTCTTAAGTTCATTAAAAAGAGACGCTGATTCGTGGGACGCGTTTTTCTGACCGATCAGTCCAATTCATCCCACACAAGCTCAGTTGGAGAAAGGTCTGGAGACTGAGGGGTCCAAACCATCTTTTGAAGAACACCTTCCTCTTCTTTTTTGTCTCGGTAACCCTGACAGAGCTCGGCAGAGAGCTTAGGGTCATTGTCTTACTGCAAAACAAACTTATGAGCCACAAGTCTGAGTCCAGATGGAGCAGCATGGTGCTGGAGGATGGGGTGGTACTGTTCCTTCTTCATGATACCCTTTACTTCAAACAAATCTCCTACTCCATCACCTGATAAACATCCCCATACCATGAACTACCACCTCCATGCTGAATTGTGGGTGTAACACATGGAGCTTTCAGACGTTCACCAGTTTGTCTGCGGACATAGACTCTGTGTTTTGAACCAAACAGTTCAAACTTGTTTCTATCATCATAAGTCCAGTTTTTGTGAGCTTTTGCCCACTCATATCTCTTTTTCTTCTTCTGTGGATGAAGCAGTGTTTTTTTGCAGATACACAACCCTTCAGACCAGCCTTTCTCAAACATCACAGTTGTCAGAGATATGGGTTTCGACTTTGTCATGTTGATTTCCTCCCTTATTTTTGGTGCTGTCTTTCTCCGATCTCTCTTCCTGGTGACAATGCTCTGTTTATCCTCTGCTTTTGTAGTAACTCTCTTTCGTCCAGGTCTTTTTCTATCATCAGAACTTCCAGGTTTCTCTAGTCTCCTTGGAGTGTAGTGGACTCCTTTGTTAGACACCTTTAGGCGTTTTTCTCTTCCTGTGTATCCTTCTTTCCTCAATGTACAAATCTGTACTTTTGTTTCTTCACTCAGTTGCTTCTTTCTGGCCATTTTTGCGGTAGTTTGAACGCAGTTGAGATTTATTAGGATTTTTGTATGCAGACTCTCAAAAGCCAAAAAGTTGAAGTGAATAATCCAAATGTGTTTTGTTTTTTTGATTTTGCACTGAAGTTGTGACTCTTGCAAATGTTTTCAACCCTAAAACTAAGGCCTTATTATCTTTTGCTGAAATATATTTAGCAATGGTCTGTTGACATCAATGTATATCTAAAGGGAAATGGAGTAAAATGGTGCATTTCCATGAAAGCAACATCTGATCATGGAGTAAATACATCCCAAAATACATCAAACTCATGCTGGATTTAAAAAAAGCATTGTGAACAAAAACTTGAAGTTACTCCCAACTGTTCGGCTTGTAATGGTCTTGCTTCCAAACTTTTGGCCTGTAGTGTACATCTGCATTGAAATGTTATTTTTTTAGTTGTGTATATTTATAAAAACAGAATAGTAATATATTTTAAATGTCACAATGATCAGGTTAAGTAAAATACATTTTTTAATGATTGTACTTTAGATATGAGTCACAGTTCTGACAGTTTCCAGAGTCATTATGATGATTGTTGGTCTGAGGGCTCCTCCTCTGGTGGCTTCATGTCACAGGTGTTCAGGCTCTGAGGGGTTTTTGTTCAGCTCTACAGATGGTTTGTGTTGTTGTGGGTCTCTGGCACAGTAATAAACAGCAGAGTCTTCAGTCTTCAGACTGTTCATCTGCAGATACAGCTGCTGTCTGCTGTTGTCTCTGGAGATGGTGAGCTGGCCTCTAACTGTCTCAGAGTAGTAGGTGCTACTACCATCACCGTTGCTGATACGAGCAATCCACTCCAGTCCTTTTCCAGGAGCCTGTCTGATCCAGTTCATCCAGTAGCTGCTGAATGTGAATCCAGAGGCTGTACAGGTCAGTCTGTGGGATTCTCCAGGACGTTTAACCACCGGCTCAGATTCAGTCAGAGTCTGACCACCAACACCTGAAAAGACAGAAGACAAAAACCAACAGATTGAAGTGAGTTTGTTGTCATGAGGTGAAAAAGTCCAACTCAGATTAGTGATGATCTCCACCTGTCCAGCAGACAGTCAGAAGCAGCAGTCCTGGGGTGCGTTTCACGTAGCAGGTTTAGTGGAAACTCCGAGTTTGATAATCCTGAAATCAGGGAAACTCTGAGTTTTCCGTTTCACAAAGGAGGGTTAGTTAAACCAGGGAGAGAGGGGTAACTCTAACCTGTTTCACAAAGAGAGGTAACTCAACCTCGCGGTCAGTTACCACAGTAACAGACTCCGTGAACCTAACCTGCTCGGGAGCAGGTTTAACTCAGTTAACCCAGAGTTTCAGGTGAGACATCGGCATTTTCTCATTTTGATCATGTTTTACATTGTCAAGTAAGTATTAAGTGGCAGTTTGATCCCTTAAAAAAAATGCTCTTTTCACACTCAAAACTGAATTTTACTCTCTTATTATGTTCCGTTAAATGATTAGGAATATTAAACTAACACAAAAACGGGTGGTGGTCCAGCAGCCCCACCTTTAACGGAGGCAGAGGAGCTGCCCCCCGTTCGACGATCGCGGCCGGTCCGATCGCAAATCCCCCCCCCCCCCCCCCCCCCCCCCACAGACACACACACACACACACACACACACACACACACACACACACACACCAGTCCGACGATCGCTGCTACGGGGTGGGGGTTGCGATCGTCGGGGGGGGGGGGGGGGGGGGCAGCACCTCTGCCTCCGTTAAAGGTGGGGCTGCTGGGCCACCACCCGTTTTTCTGGCATCTGCCCTCTTTCTGTTTCCTGAGTGAAAGTCTAATATTGAGTGTAGTGTGTTATAGTTTAATATATGTACATATACATACTGAGAGTTAGTTTAATATTCCTAATCATTTAACGGAACATCTTAAGAGAGTAAAATTCATTTTTGAGTGTGAAAAGAGCATTTTCTAAGGGATCAAACTGCCACTTAATACTTACTTGACAATGTAAAACATGATCAAAATGATTCAAGCAGTTTCCCTGCAACAGTCTGTCATTGTGATTGCACGAGACTAGATTTAAAGTTACGCATTGACGCGAGCAGCGATTTCCTCCCAAGCCCTCTCCCTCTCCTTTGCAGCTGCTGCTGTATTGCACTTTCTTTTACAAACGTGCTGTAATTCGCTGTTGGCTTGCTGCTGCCCCCTCCTTCTCCCTGTTTCCATTGGTTGATCATTGAATCTGCGCTCCACAGATGCTGGCTGTTTATGTCTGGCGTGCACGTGCTTAACTCCAGGTCAAACTACTCGGAGTTGTTAAAACCGTCTCAAATCAGGTGTTGTGAAACCGGAAACTCAGAGTTTCCTAACTCAGAGTAGATCAACTCAGAGTTAAGGATTTAACTCAGAGTTTGTTGAACCACCTACGTGAAACGGACCCCTGTCCTATAGTCCATCATGTCAAACTGAGTGTCCACTGTCCTCTGTCCTCCTCTCTGCACTCACTGAAGTAGAGGAGGAAGACGGCTGACTTTGCATTGACTCCTCCTTTCATAGGAATATCATTTGACTCTTCTCTAACTTTATTGTTGAGGTTATTGAGGTCATGTGTATTTTCCCTTCTCTTAACTCATCTTCGCAGCATTGTTGTTGACATCACATTAAAATCAATATAGCGGATCATGGTTCATGCATGTGCCACCAAACTCTGTCTTGAATGAAGAAAAACAAAAACTACAGAAAGTGATTCATCGCTTGTAGAGACAAGACAGTATGAAGATGGCGCTAACTTTTTTTCAGCAGCGGTGCAAACTTTACAGGCGCCTAACTGTTTGTTTAATCTATAACTGTATATATATGTTAATAGGCAAGGTGTGTAGGTCCAAATTTCACATGAGTGTGTATGTCATTGAAACTGATCATAAAATGGTTTTGGTGTTTTTATAACTTAACCTAAGGATTTTTTTTTTTTTGTAACTTAAACGTTTTCTGTGACCTTATTGTCATCCACCAAACCTCTTGCAAATGTCGGCGTCTTCAGCCTTTTTTTTTAAACACGTGCTTTTATTTTAGAATGTGAAAAGAACCGGAAGTAGCTCTTGCTAGCTACGTAAGCTTCACAGAGACCGTGGCGCACCTTTAGCGGTGTTGTTTCCTGACAGTTTGCTTCTTTTGTTGTGTTTCTCCATGTTTCATGGTGTTTGTTTTAACTTTGAGCATGTGGTTTTATTTAAGTGTAAGTTGAAGAATCTTATTTTTGACTGTGAAGATTGACTCTGAGGACGGACTGCTGTTTGTTGAGACACAGACTAGAGTGGTCTGTATTACTTTGTGTATTATCTATATTAGCTAAATTGCTAAACAGCGCTATTTCTGTAATGATTACAAAAGCTGATGTTGGCCTTTAAGGTCCTTACACAACAGGACCGACACAAATTTACGACGCGAAATTATGAATTATTTGGAGGCGAATTTTGACGTACCTGACTATACACATCAAGCCCGATGTGATTTAGCGACTTTCTGGGGGGGAAAAAGACACGTCCTGGGTGGAAGTGAGAAGACTGACCCAACAGCAGACTGAGTGTTTTTCAGTTCTGATTAGACTCTAGTGTTGAGATGTCTGTCTGTCATGATAGCATGTACTGAGTCGGGTCAGAACCAGATAAGAACATTAAACTATAATCCATAAACGTAAGGTAACAACTGAGACCTAATGGTGCTGTGACAGCAACGCTGTGACTGAGTTTGAGACAGTGAAAATACTTATGGTATGTTGTATCTGAACAGGTTAGCTGAACTAAAGTTACTTAGCACAGATCAAAGTTAAAACAAAGATAGACTTATTTCATCTGCTATTGGTGGAAAAAAATACTGATTATTGTAAAAATGCTGAATATTGGCTGATATGATCAGCTTTTCCAATTTTTGTTCGATCCTTACTGAGTAAGAGGCTGATCCACAGGTGTCTAAAGACGGTGACACTGTCAACACTTGGCCAACCTGGCTCTTAAAGGGAATGATAGGAGACTCTGTGATTGGTCTGATTCATGTTACACAAAAATACACCTCGAGATAATCAAGGGACTTAATCTGAGATCATTAAAATTAAAACCTTTAAAGTGTCTATTTCTCTCTGTCTAACACTGAACTGGTGTTTTGATGATTGTTGGTGTGAGGGCTCCTCCTCTGGTGGCTTCATGTCACAGGTGTTCAGGCTCTGAGGGGTTTTTGTTCAGCTCTACAGATGGTTTGTGTTGTTGTGGGTCTCTGGCACAGTAATAAACAGCAGAGTCTTCAGTCTTCAGACTGTTCATCTGCAGATACAGCTGCTGTCTGCTGTTGTCTCTGGAGATGGTGAACCGGCCTCTAAATGACTCAGAGTAGAAGGTGCCACTACTATCACCATATATAAAGGCAATCCACTCCAGTCCTTTTCCAGGAGCCTGTCTGACCCAGGCCATCCAGCTGCTGCTGAATGTGAATCCAGAGGCTGTACAGGTCAGTCTGTGGGATTCTCCAGGACGTTTAACCACCGGCTCAGATTCAGTCAGAGTCTGACCACCAACACCTGAAAAGACGGAAGAGAAAAACCAACAGATTGAAGTGAGTTTGTTGTCATGAGGTGAAAAAGTCCAACTCAGATTAGTGATGATCTCCACCTGTCCAGCAGACAGTCAGAAGCAGCAGTCCTGTCCTATAGTCCATCATGTCAAACTGAGTGTCCACTGTCCTCTGTCCTCCTCTCTGCACTCACTGAAGTAGAGGAGGAAGACGGCTGACTTTGCATTGACTCCTCCTCTCAGAGACTAAATGAGTGTGGACCTCTTTTGTTCTGCTTTAAATCTCATTTGTGGTCTTTGAAACTGCAGACAGTCAGACCGTTAAAGAACACTTACAACTAACAGTTTTATATTTTTGAATATTGAGGACAGCTCTCTCTCTTTTTTCCTGTTTGTTGATACTAAACTCATGAATACACACGTCTTTATCTCCCTGGACAAAAACTGACTTTGTTCATATTTTCAGATCAAAACAAACTAAAACACAGTGAGTGATTTTTGTCAGTTTTTAGAGTTTAGAGATTCAGCTCAATGACTGCAGATTCAGAAACATGACTCTGCAAAAACATCAACTTTAGACAGTGTGTCTCAAACTTGTTATGAGTCTATAAGACAAAAATGGCAACCCTTTCTTTTACGGTACACTTATTACCAGGTAATAAACAGGTAATTACCCAGTAGCAACATGAAATTATCTGGTAATTACATGATAACTACTAAGTCAATACTGTCTAGCTACCAGGTAGGTAACCTTCCATCATCATACAAGTTTGAAGCTGAATTGCTCTGTTATTCCCAGGATTTTCTCCACTTCCTTGAACCACAACTTGCGCAGTAGTATTGTACGCATTCAGCAGGTGAGTCGCTGTGATAACGCTCGGCCCAAACAGCGTATCGCTACGCCATCTTTGCACGCCCATAGGCTGTATCAAGTGTCAATCATAGAAATTAAGAACCCCAAATAGCTTTTGAAAATGGAGCTGCAAAGAAAAAAGAAAAAAGAAAAACTAGACAGTATTGACTTAGTAGTTATCATGTAACTAACAGATAATTTCATGTTGTTACTAGGTAATTAACAGTTAATTACCTGATAATAAGTGTACTGTAAAAGAAAGGGTTACCACAAAAACTGAGTTATTGTTAATAAGTGTTTCTTTTTTTTTTTTTTTTTCATTTATTGACACTTAAAAATATTTAATCAGGAATAAATGAGTCATATAAGTATGAGGATGAGGTTTCTATATTGTTTGTATATTTGATATTTAAACCTCATTTAAAGACAGTTTCTGTCATTAAAAGCTGATGTAGAAATGATGATTGTTGGTCTGAGGGCTCCTCCTCTGGTGGCTTCATGTCACAGGTGTTCAGGCTCTGAGGGGTTTTTGTTCAGCTCTACAGATGGTTTGTGTTGTTGTGGGTCTCTGGCACAGTAATAAACAGCAGAGTCTTCAGTCTTCAGACTGTTCATCTGCAGATACAGCTGCTGTCTGCTGTTGTCTCTGGAGATGGTGAACCGGCCTCTAACTGAGTCAGAGTAGTAGATGCTACTACTACCAGTATTAATCCAGGCCATCCACTCCAGTCCTTTTCCAGGAGCCTGTCTGATCCAGCCCATATGGTAGCTGCTGAATGTGAATCCAGAGGCTGTACAGGTCAGTCTGTGGGATTCTCCAGGACGTTTAACCACCGGCTCAGATTCAGTCAGAGTCTGACCACCAACACCTGAAAAGACAGAAGAGACAAAAAACCAACAGATTGAAGTGAGTTTGTTGTCATGAGGTGAAAAAGTCCAACTCAGATTAGTGATGATCTCCACCTGTCCAGCAGACAGTCAGAAGCAGCAGTCCTGTCCTATAGTCCATCATGTCAAACTTAGTGTCCACTGTCCTCTGTCCTCCTCTCTGCACTCACTGAAGTAGAGGAGGAAGACGGCTGACTTTGCATTGACTCCTCCTCTCACAGAGTAAATTAGTGTGGACCTCTTTTGTTTCCCTTAATTTTTTTGCATATTTGTTAATATTGAAGTCACTCATATGTCTTTTATAATAATACATTTTATTTGAAAGCATAAAGGCGTTTTGGTGATGATAGGAGCAGCTGAGTTCTGAACCAGTTTTAGTTTATGGAGAGATTTGTGAGGAAGACCAGAGTCACAGTCATCAATACAGGAGGTAACAACCCACCGAGCATTTTTTGGTCTAAAAGAGGTCTAATAGACGTCTAAATGTAGCCTAGACGAATGGTCTAAAATCAGGCTACCACAGGTCTAAAAATGAAAGTTTTTAGACGTCTGAATTTAGACCAAGTTTAAGACTAGCTGGCCAACAGAGGTATAACTGTATATTGCTTGATGGCTATCATCATTATTTTGGTTAAATACTTGGAGATCAGTTATGAAACTCACAATTGCTTTTTGAAAAAAATAGTTATAGAATAAAGGGTGAAAGTGCAACACCTAAATTCTGTCTAAAAATATACTGACTCTAGACGGTTGAAATTAGGTCTAAAAAATACTAGATGTCTACTAGCCGTCTATTGCTCAGTGGGAAGGCTGTGGACCAGGATTGAAGTGGTATGGGGGTTGATATTGCAGAGTTGAAACATGCAGACCGGGTAATATTACTGATGTGAGCTTGGAATGATAGAGAGCTGTCAAGGATAATACCCAGACTTTACCCTGTGGAGGAGCTATATTGTTTGTATATTTGATATTTAAACCTCATTTAAAGACAGTTTCTGTCATTAAAAGCTGATGTAGAAATGATTGTTGGTCTGAGGGCTCCTCCTCTGGTGGCTTCATGTCACAGGTGTTCAGGCTCTGAGGGGTTTTTGTTCAGCTCTACAGATGGTTTGTGTTGTTGTGGGTCTCCGTACACAGTAATAAACAGCAGAGTCTTCAGTCTGCAGACTCTGTCCTCTTAGAGTCACTGTTCCAGCTGAAGTGTCTCTGCTGTAACTGAACTTGTTCTTCAGAGCATTATTTTGGTAAAAGCTGCCACCACCATACTGATGAAAAATCCAGTCCAGTGTTTTTCCTTCACACTGTCTGATCCATCCTGTTGCATAGCTGTTATCAGTCAGAGAATAACCAGAGACCTGACAGGTGATGGTCAGAGACTGTCCAGGCTGAACAACCTTGGAGTCTGGCTGGATGAGATCAATACTGTTGACACCTGTGGAAACACAAACCAACATGATCTCCATCATTCATGTTCTTATTCAGTCGATCTGATGGGATTATTAGTTTAAAGCTCCTCACAGGATCCAGCAGCCAGCAGCAGCAGCAGAGCTCCAGAGAACATGGTTGGTGTTGAAGCTGACCTGATGGGAGCTTCTCTTCTTCTCTGACTCTCAGCCTGATGTCAAGTCTTTATATCAGACTGAGAGGAAGCTCACTTTGCATACAGACAGACAGACAGACAGACAGTGAATCTTTCCTCAACACAGAATTTCAAAGCTGCTGTTTATTCTTTTGCATTAAGGTTTAATACATTAACAACCATATCTTTATAAGGCATTCTGCTCACTGTTTATAGCACTTCATAAACATTGCTGTAAGCAGTTATAAGCTCTTATCATTCATAAGGGTTCTTATAAAGTCCTCCAGACTCATGGAAAAGGCTTCATAAATATATTTATGATCAAGTATAGTGAGTGGGTTTGCTAAATACTGCTAAGTGCTTCACTCATGTTGGGTCGAGATGGGTCAGATTAGTTCTCTTCTCGAGGTTGAGTCTTTGTAAGTCATCAAACAGTGAGTTTGGTCTGGACCTGCTCTTTCAGAAAGGGTCTTGGGATGACAACTGTTTTTATTTGGAGTTATATAAATAAAAATTGATTGATTAATTTAAACAAGACAATGTTTAGTGGGACCATTTTAATGAGCAGCAAAAGAGAAAAAAATGACAGGAATCTGTCAGTCATGTGACTCTGACTCCTGTAGGTTTTTGTACAGCTGCTCAGCAGACTCCAGTCACTGTGGGTCTCTGGCACAGTAATAAACAGCAGAGTCTTCAGTCTTCAGACTGTTCATCTGCAGATACAGCTGCTGTCTGCTGTTGTCTCTGGAGATGGTGAACCGGCCTCTAACTGAGTCAGAGTAATAGATTCTACTACTAGCAGTATTAATCCAGGCCATCCACTCCAGTCCTTTTCCAGGAGCCTGTCTGACCCAGTTCATTTCATAGCTGCTGAATGTGAATCCAGAGGCTGTACAGGTCAGTCTGTGGGATTCTCCAGGACGTTTAACCACCGGCTCAGATTCAGTCAGAGTCTGACCACCAACACCTGAAAAGACAGAAGAAAAAAACCAACAGATTGAAGTGAGTTTGTTGTCATGAGGTGAAAAAGTCCAACTCAGATTAGTGATGATCTCCACCTGTCCAGCAGACAGTCAGAAGCAGCAGTCCTGTCCTATAGTCCATCATGTCAAACTGAGTGTCCACTGTCCTCTGTCCTCCTCTCTGCACTCACTGAAGTAGAGGAGGAAGACGGCTGACTTTGCATTGACTCCTCCTCTCAGAGACTAAATGAGTGTGGACCTCTTTTTTTCTGCTTAATTTTTTTGCATATTTGTTAATATTGAAGTCACTCATATGTCTTTTTTTTTAAATAATACATTTCATTTAAAAGCATTAAGGCGTTTTGGTGATGATAGGAGCAGCTGAGTTCTGAACCAGTTTTAGTTTATGAAGAGATTTGTGAGGAAGACCAGAGTCACAGTCATCAATACAGGAGGTGACAAGGCTGTGGACCAGGATTAAAGTGGTATGGGGGGTTGATGTTGCAGAGTTGAAACATGCAGACAGAGTAATATTACTTATGTGAGCTTGGGATGATAGAGAGCTGTCAAGGATAATACCCAGACTTTACCCTGTGGAGGAGCTATATTGTTTGTATATTTGATATTTAAACCTCATTTAAAGACAGTTTCTGTCATTTAAAGCTGATGTAGAAATGATTGTTGGTCTGAGGGCTCCTCCTCTGGTGGCTTCATGTCACAGGTGTTCAGGCTCTGAGGGGTTTTTGTTCAGCTCTACAGATGGTTTGTGTTGTTGTGGGTCTCTGGCACAGTAATAAACAGCAGAGTCTCCAGTCTGCATGTTCTGTCCGTTTAGAGTCGCTGTCATTCTGGACATATCAAAGTTGATATCAAATTTGTTCTTCAGTGAATCTTTGTAGTATGTGCTGTATCCTTGACATCCATAGAGAACCCACTCCAGTCCTTCCCCCTCAGGCTGTCTCATCCAGGCTGTCCAGTAGGTGTCAACAGAATAAGAGACCTGACAGGTGAGGGTCAGACGTTGACCTGGCTGCACAGTCACAGTGGCTGGCTGAGTCATCTGTTCACACTTCACACCTGTGGAGGAAAAGATGTTGAATATTGAATCAGTGTATTCAGAGTCAGAGTGTTAGGATCAGACTGTCAGTGTGTCTGTCTCAGTGAGACTCACAGGATCCAGCAGCCAGCAGCAGCAGCAGAGCTCCAGAGAACATGGTTGGTGTTGAAGCTGACCTGATGGGAGCTTCTCTTCTTCTCTGACTCTCAGCCTGATGTCAAGTCTTTATATCAGACTGAGAGGAAGCTCACTTTGCATACAGACAGACAGACAGACAGACAGACTGATGGAAAGTCCGCTTCCTCGCTTTGCATAGACCTCCCTCTACAGGTTTAAAGGGGAACATGTGACATTTCCATAAGCAGAGGATCTCTACAACTGGAGACAAAACTATAAACCATCAGGGTCCCAGGGTCCGGTGTCTAAACCAGCAGCAACCAAAGATCAAGTTGTCCTCATGGTTTGGTAGTTTTAGTTTTTAGTTTTTCTCTTTTAACAGAAGAAGGGATTGTTGGTGTAAGAGGAGGAACCGTATAGTCCAAGTAATTGTGTTATAGTGTGATATTTGTCTGAACACAAAAGAAGTATTCCTCTGTTTTTTCAGCGTACACATTAATCACTCAGGTTAAAAAATGTATTTAAATCTTTATTAAAATGTCGTTTTTTTAGTTGTGTATATTTATGAAAACTGAATAATGAAATATGTTTTAAATGTCAGTTTGATCAGGTTTAGTAAAAGATGTTATTTTAATGTTTGTACTTTAGATATGTGTCACAGTTCTGACAGTTTACAGAGTCATTATGATGATTGTTGGTCTGAGGGCTCCTCCTCTGGTGGCTTCATGTCACAGGTGTTCAGGCTCTGAGGGGTTTTTGTTCAGCTCTACAGATGGTTTGTGTTGTTGTGGGTCTCTGGCACAGTAATAAACAGCAGAGTCTTCAGTCTTCAGACTGTTCATCTGCAGATACAGCTGCTGTCTGCTGTTGTCTCTGGAGATGGTGAACCGGCCTCTAACTGAGTCAGAGTAGTAGGTGCTACCACCACCGTTGCTAATAGCAGAGATCCACTCCAGTCCTTTTCCAGGAGCCTGTCTGATCCAGGCCATATAGTAGCTGCTGAATGTGAATCCAGAGGCTGTACAGGTCAGTCTGTGGGATTCTCCAGGACGTTTAACCACCGGCTCAGATTCAGTCAGAGTCTGACCACCAACACCTGAAAAGACAGAAGAAAAAAACCAACAGATTGAAGTGAGTTTGTTGTCATGAGGTGAAAAAGTCCAACTCAGATTAGTGATGATCTCCACCTGTCCAGCAGACAGTCAGAAGCAGCAGTCCTGTCCTATAGTCCATCATGTCAAACTGAGTGTCCACTGTCCTCTGTCCTCCTCTCTGCACTCACTGAAGTAGAGGAGGAAGACGGCGGACTTTGCATTGACTCCTCCTCTCAGAGAGATTGATCCTGTTTTTGTCTACTTCAACTTGAGGGATTAGGGTGTTAAATTTGACTTTACTTAGAAAATGATTGAAGTTAACAGGAACCTCCCCTCTGTCACCTGTTGATCATTAAAAAACCAAACGTTAAATTTGAATCAGAGACGCTGAATGAATGTTTTTAATCTGATGAATCAGAGAGTGAGGTCCTCATATTAGCTGTAACTGTACAACAGTAACTCCTGATCAGCTCATCACTGTTTTAAACTGTTTTCATTTTCTGACAACTTAGAGACAAGATTCACTTCCAATATGATCCCACTCACTTAATGATAATAATAATAACTATTCTAAGAGAACCTGAAAACTCTGACCCATTGTTAGTTATTGTGGAGACACAGTTTTACAAAGTCAGACCGAGTTTCAGAAAAATATGAAATCTTTTTGTCAGTGTATAAAGGAATTACTGAAGATCTGTCAGTAAAAAAAATGTTGATCAATGGAATTAAAACTTAATTGATCAGTTTTTCTCTTTATTTTTTTTATGTACACTACAGGCCAAAAGTTTGGAAGCAAGATCAGATTTGTACAAAAAAAGATCATAGTTTCATATCTATAATTTGCAACACAATAAACATGACTATTGTGTAAAGAGTAACTTATCAGAAGACATTTTGACTATAATTATGAGGTATTTGAGTTATTGTTGTTAGACTTTCTTTAAAGTAACCTCCTCTGGCTTTAACAACAGCTTGGCATATACCAGGCATTCGTTCCACAAGTTTTCTAAGGTCTGTTCCAGGGATTACATTCCAAGCTTTCTTAAGTTCATTAAAAAGAGACGCTGATTCGTGGGACGCGTTTCTCTGACCGATCGATCCAATTCATCCCACACAAGCTCAGTTGGAGAAAGGTCTGGAGACTGAGGGGGCCAAACCATTTTGAAGAACACCTTCCTCTTCTTTTTTGTCTCGGTAACCCTGACAGAGCTCGGCAGAGAGCTTAGGGTCATTGTCTTACTGCAAAACAAACTTATGAGCCACAAGTCTGAGTCCAGATGGAGCAGCATGGTGCTGGAGGATGGAGTGGTACTGTTCCTTCTTCATGATACCCTTTACTTCAAAGGAATCTCCTACTCCATCACCTGCAAAACATCCCCATACCATGGAGCTACCACCTCCATGCTGAATTGTGGGTGTAACACATGGAGCTTTCAGACGTTCACCAGTTTGTCTTCAGACATAGACTCTGTGTTTTGAACCAAACAGTTCAAACTTGTTTCTCATGATCATAAGTCCATGTTTTTGTGAGCTTTTGCCCACTCATATCTCTTTTTCTTCTTCTGTGGATGAAGTCGTGTTTTTTTGCAGATACACAACCCTTCAGACCAGCCTTTCTCAAACGTCATTTCACAGTTGTCAGAGATATGGGTTTCGACCTTGTCATGTTGATTTCCTCCCTTATTTTTGGTGCTGTCTTTCTCCGATCTCTCTTCCTGGTGACAATGCTCTGTTTATCCTCTGCTTTTGTAGTAACTCTCTTTCGTCCAGGTCTTTTTCTATCATCAGAACTTCCAGGTTCCTCTCGTCTCTTCAGAGTGTAGTGGACTCCTTTGTTAGACACCATTAGGCGTTTTTCTCTTTCTGTGTATCCTTCTTTCCTCAATGTACAAATCTGTACTTTTGTTTCTTGACTCAGTTGCTTCTTTCTGGCCATTTTTGCGGTAGTTTGAACGCAGTTGAGATTTATTAGGATTTTTGTCTGCAGACTCTCAAAAGACAAAAAGTTGAAGTGAATAATCCAACTGTGATTTGTTTTTTTTCCTTTTGCACTGAAGTTGTGACTCTTGCAAATGTTTTCAACCCTAAAACTAAGCCCTTATTATCTTTTGCTGACATATATTTAGCAATGGTCTGTTAACATCAATGTATATCTAAAGGGAAATGGAGTAAAATGGTGCATTTCCATGAAAGCAACATCTGATCATGGAGTAAATACATCCCAAAATACATAAAACTCATGCTGGATTTAAAAAAAGCATTGTGAACAAAAACTTGAAGTTACTCCCAACTGTTCAGCTTGTAATGGTCTTGCTTCCAAACTTTTGGCCTGTAGTGTATATCTGCATTGAAATGTTATTTTTTTAGTTGTGTATATTTATAAAAACAGAAATAATAATATATTTTAAATGTCACAATGATCAGGTTAAGTAAAATACATTTTTAATGATTGTACTTAAGATATGAGTCACAGTTGTGACAGTTTCCAGAGTCATTATGATGATTGTTGGTCTGAGGGCTCCTCCTCTGGTGGCTTCATGTCACAGGTGTTCAGGCTCTGAGGGGTTTTTGTTCAGCTCTACAGATGGTTTGTGTTGTTGTGGGTCTCTGGCACAGTAATAAACAGCAGAGTCTTCAGTCTTCAGACTGTTCATCTGCAGATACAGCTGCTGTCTGCTGTTGTCTCTGGAGATGGTGAACCGGCCTCTAAATGACTCAGAGTAGAAGGTGCTACTACTATCAGAATATATAAAAGCGATCCACTCCAGTCCTTTTCCAGGAGCCTGTCTGACCCAATGCATTCCATAGCTGCTGAATGTGAATCCAGAGGCTGTACAGGTCAGTCTGTGGGATTCTCCAGGACGTTTAACCACCGGCTCAGATTCAGTCAGAGTCTGACCACCAACACCTGAAAAGACAGAAGAGAAAAACCAACAGATTGAAGTGAGTTTGTTGTCATGAGGTGAAAAAGTCCAACTCAGATTAGTGATGATCTCCACCTGTCCAGCAGACAGTCAGAAGCAGCAGTCCTGTCCTATAGTCCATCATGTCAAACTGAGTGTCCACTGTCCTCTGTCCTCCTCTCTGCACTCACTGAAGTAGAGGAGAAAGACGGCTGACTTTGCATTGACTCCTCCCTTCACAAAGAAAATTAATGTCACCTTCATGTTTTGTGGTTTTCACATATTTTGCTTAATTTTCTCATAATTCTTCTTCATTATTAACTCCAGTTTGGTCTCACAGTGAAACACAACTTCAGGTACAAACTGATATTTTACAGTGTCCCTATTTTCTTCAACATAAAGGAAATCTTTAGTCTTCATCCCTCTATACAAACATTTTAGTTCTCAGTATTTTGATTGAATTATATAACTTAAGTGTGTTCACGTTAATCATTACTCTTTAAACTTTATATCTTATTTTGATGACCATGTTAGTGAATAGGGAAGGAAAGTAGGTGAAGAGAGAGGAGAGGAACATTCAGCAGGTGGAGGGTTGGAGTCAAACCTCTGTAGATGGAGCGTGAAGTTTCTCTGAAAACTAAACTAACACTCTGAGGATTTTATGATCCTGTCTCTGAGATTCACGTTCAAATGTCTTTTGTCTCTTGTTGTTGTTGATGGTCTCTTAAATGTGAGTTGTTGTATTTTACTGAGGATTGAAACAGCAGCACCAAAATGATCTGACGTACAGAGTGATATTGAAGAGCACAGGAGAGTTCAGAGTGTCATCAGCAGAAACTCTGTTATTGGAATAAGACTTCTTACTACTGTTCATGTGTTCAAATATTGAAGTGAACCACATTATAAAATTACTGTAACTTTGACTTGACAGTTTGATGATCCACAGGTGATCAGAATCAGTGTTGGCACTGGGACAACCATCTGTTCCCAGAGATGGTGGAAAATAGAGGAAGTAGTTTTTGTCTGTCTCTGCTGTTATTGTCTCTCTCTGTGGAGCTCACACGTACACAGTAATACACAGCAGAGTCTTCAGTCTGCAGACTCTGTCCTCTTAGAGTCACTGTTCCAGCTGAAGTGTCTCTGCTGGAACTGAACTTGTTCTTCAGAGCATTATTTTGGCGAAGTGTACCACCACCCCACTGATGAGAAATCCAGTCCATTGGTTTTCCTTCACTCTGTCTTATCCATCCTGTTCCATAGCTGTTATCAGTCGGAGAATAACCAGAGACCTGACAGGTGATGGTCAGAGACTGTCCAGGCTGAACAACCTTGGAGTCTGGCTGGATGAGATCAATACTGTTGACACCTGTGGAAACACAAACCAACATGATCTCCATCATTCATGTTCTTATTCAGTCGATCTGATGGGATTATTAGTTTAAAGCTCCTCACAGGATCCAGCAGCCAGCAGCAGCAGCAGAGCTCCAGAGAACATGGTTGGTGTTGAAGCTGACCTGATGGGAAGTCCTCTGTCCTTAAACTGACACACACACTTACGTACTTATATGGAAACACCAGGACCCAAATTTACATACAGAAGAGGGTAAATCAGCTGACTGAGTGTAGTTTAAACCGATTTGAATTAAAGTGAAATCCTCCGTTTCCTCTTATTGCTCAGACAGAGTGTGTAAGTTCAGACATGTCATATATAATTCAGACTGGTGTTGAGTTCACCTTTTTAAACAGACAAAGAAACGGCACCATGGAGCCAAATGAGAACAGCTGCTGCTCTTAGTGATGCACATGTTATCCTGATTCTGAACCTGCACCAGGAAAAATCCCAGCAAAGACACAGACTGGGTTAGAGTCCTGTGTTCAGAGTGAAAGGAGGGCTGTGTTACTCACTCACCAACATTTAGGGGGTGTTGGAAGTTAATTTCAGTCAGAGTTAAAAAAGACAGAAAATAAAGAGTTCTAATGAAAATGGTGAGCACTGCAATTCTCTGAACTGTGATGGTAAAAAAATGGAAATGAAACCATTAGTGGTCTTAGAGCTCCTCCTCTGGGGGCTTCAAGTCATACAAACTTACAAGGGGAACAAATCCTCAAAAGGCCTGATTTATTTTCACAGTTAAATCTGCATGAGTGAGGCAGTCAAACTCTTATTCTTAAAGCCAGAGCTTTGTGTGAAATCCCCCCAAACTGTGAGAAAGACAAACTGATTATTTCCTTTGGAAGAGGCTGTAAGCTGCAAGAATGATTCTGTCTGTGAAATGAAAAGAATAAGAGTGAAGTCTGAGGTTCAAAACTGACTTCAGCATTCAGGAAAAAAAAGATTGGATAGGACTAAAATACTCAGTTTGTACACAGACTTTAATCACTGACAATCAACCAAAGTGAGTATTGTAGGAGTATTGAAGAAGATGAACGTTCAGTGTTGGCTGTAAAAAGAGGAAGTGGTTTTTGTACGACTCCACAGTTATTGTCTCTCACTGTGTCTCTGCGGGCACAGTAATAAACAGCAGAGTCTCCAGGCTGCATGTTCTGTCCGTTTAGAGTCGCTGTGTTTGTGGAGGAGTCTAAATCGATGCTGAACTTGTTCTTCAGGGAATCTTTGTAGTATGAAGTACTGCTGTATTTCATCCCGATCCACTCCAGTCCTTTCCCTTCAGGCTGTCTGATCCAGTTTGTCCAGTAGCTGCTGACAGAATAAGAGACCTGACAGGTGATGGTCAGACGTTGACCTGGCTGCACAGTCACAGAGGCTGGCTGAGTCAGCTGTTCACACTTCACACCTGTTGAAAAAGAGAAAATGTTTGGTACCAAATGATGGAGTTGAGCTGTAAAAGAAGAACTGTGGACTTTGACAGATCCAGACTGACTCACATCCAGCTGCCAGCAGCAGCAGCAGCAGCAGAGCTCCAGAAAACATGGTTTATGTTGAAGGTGAGCAGCTGTGAACTCCACTGACAGCCTGATGGACAGTTTTTATAGCTGAGGAACAAGGAAGCTCTCTGAGTTTGCATAGAATCAAACAGATGAAGCAGCAGCAGAGTTGGTCTGCTCACTGTTTGGTCGTAATATTCATATTTGTATGAGATGATAATGATGATGAGGTGAAATCTGTTGATGATTTGACTGTGTCACAGGCTAATATCAGAACTATCCCTCCAAACTGGAGAAACCTCCTGGAAGTTCAATTTGTAATTGTTCTATAATAGGGCTGAAATTCACCTTACCCTTCCAGTGTTTCCCCGAGCTTTTTCACTTTGGCAGCGAGGTGGTGGGGCGTATGACGTAGACAAACGTCACCCTGTATGACATTTGTCTATGTCTACGTCACACAGGATGGTGGGAGATGAGCCAGCGCTGTTTTTGAGGTTAGGAGAGATGATTAAGCTAGCATCCACAAGAGAGAGTGTGGTGTCTGTGTGATACCCTCATAAATGAGTGAAAGAACTTTATTTTGAAAACAACAAACACTTTATAAACTGAAGTATTGAGCACTATTTTTTTATTTTTCATAATTTATTTTAATGGTTGAATGCCAGAAAGTCACCAGTATGCCTTACTGTGTATCTGTTATGGGGACCGGAACCTTAGGTGAGCGGCCAGTTTCACTGCTGTGCGATAAGGTGAGAGACAAGTGACTTCCGCCTACCGGCAGCTCAGTGAATGGAGGAGACACGAGCAGTTCGAACAGCCTCATTTCAATACATTTTTTTACTTTTCTACAGGTTGGTTTACTGTGAAAACACGGTGATTAAGATCGTAAACATTAGCATGTATGTGGGGATGCGTTAGGACACTTGAGTGACAGGTTCGAGTATTTAAATTGAAGTTTTAAGAGGGTTAGAAGGTCCGCGATTCACCATATGATTGTGCTTTGCTAGCGACTCTAGCGGTTAACGGCTAACGCGCTGTGGTACGGTAGTTATTAGCGACGCTATCGGCTAACGGCTAACGCGCTGTGATACGGTAGTTATTAGCGACGCTATCGGCTAACGGCTAACGCGCTGTGATACGGTAGTTATTAGCGACGCTAACGGCTAACGGCTAACGCGCTGTGATACGGTAGTTATTAGCGACGCTAACGGCTAACGCGCTGTGATACGGTAGTTATTAGCGACTCTAGCGGCTAACGCGCTGTGAAACAGTAGTTATGAAGACGTTAGTGTTTTGCTGTGCCATGTTGACGGTTATTCCCGACATTCGAATGTTTTTTTAAATGATTACCAGAACACTTGACTGATTTGTAGAGCTTGGATAAGGATGTTGAACAGGTTATTTTGAGTATGATATTGTTCATGCTTATGTGGTTAACAAAGGTTCACAGTTATAGTCTCTCCACACACACGCACCCACACATACACATACACACACACCCATACACATACATCCATACGTACACACATACATATACCACACCTACACACGTAGAAAAAAAACCTAATAAAGGACAGACCCAGATTCATTCATTTAGGACAGGAAGTATATTATTACCGTTGTTTACTGTTTGACTTTGTGATTGATTGTTTGGTTGATTTGCGATGATTAGTGTTAAGGATTGTGAATAAAAGAGTTCAGTGAATGGAGGAGACACGAGCAGTTCGAACAGCCTCATTTCAATACATTTTTTACTTTTCTACAGAAATAATCTTCATTGTTGCGTGGTGCTCGGTAACGCCCGGGACCCGTAACATCTGCATTACTATGTTCTGTGTTTTTTTAACAACGCAGATATTTTCAATTGGGGTGCTGAAAGTTCAGGGACAGTTCGGTGCTCCATCACCAGTTTTTTTGCTGTTTTGTTGGTTGGCAAACACGATGGAAAGGAACCAGAACCTCAGGTTGTCAAAACTGTCAGGGTATGAATGGCAAGCGTTGTGACCAAAATACAGGCGTGGCCTCTGAACTACGCGGCTTGGCATGTCAGCACACGTGGATGTTGGGAGATAGACAAAGGAGCGTGTGGAGAGCCCTGTTCATCGCAGAGGAGAGATACATTTTTCTTTAAATTAATGAGACGATTGCGAGCTTTAGAGTCTAAAATTGCACAAAATATATTTTTAGGCTCTGGTGATAAAAATAATAATTCAACGTATATATTGATCTAGGACTTCAATAACTGGGCTGGGATCTCGTTGGCAGGGCGGGGATACATTATAGGGGAAACACTGTCTTGAATCCTTGAAGCTCTTCTTTAGTTTGACGGTAATACTGCAGGAATCTAATGTTTCAGTGCTCATGAGTCAGTGCTGTTACCTTTGTGCTCAAATCACCTGTGTGTTTGTTTCTTTCTGCTCGTTCTTGTGTTCATTCTTGAAGAGGATCAGAGCAACACTCAGTCAGTCCTAGACTGCCCTCTAGAGTTTAAAGACAAACTGGAATATTCCAGTTTCAGCTTTCACTTCAAAAGGGACATTTTGACAGAGTTTCTCAAGTCTGTTGGAGAGTCTAAACTCAGACTGTGGATGTTGGATTCTTGAACTTGGACTGCAGAGAGAGGAGGGTCCTCTTTGGGAACATGAAACCTGTGGTTATTTTCATTCAACTGAATCTAGAAGGACTACATAACTTTCTGCAAAGATTTGAACTTGAATTGATTTTATGAAAATTTTGTTGCTGATAAAAAAGTCAATGTAGTCATCTGATGAAACTTCAGTCACAGCTGCCCAGTAAAAAAGAGTCCTGTAGGTTTTTGTACAGCTGCTCAGCAGACTCCAGTCACTGTGGGTCTCTGGCACAGTAATAAACAGCAGAGTCTTCAGTCTTCAGACTGTTCATCTGCAGATACAGCTGCTGTCTGCTGTTGTCTCTGGAGATGGTGAACCGGCCTCTAACTGACTCAGAGTAGTAGGTGCTACTACCATCAGTATTTATCAAAGAGATCCACTCCAGTCCTTTTCCAGGAGCCTGTCTGACCCAGTTCATATGGTAGCTGCTGAATGTGAATCCAGAGGCTGTACAGGTCAGTCTGTGGGATTCTCCAGGACGTTTAACCACCGGCTCAGATTGAGTCAGAGTCTGACCACCAACACCTGAAAAGACAGAAGAGGAAAAAACCAACAGATTGAAGTGAGTTTGTTGTCATGAGGTGAAAAAGTCCAACTCAGATTAGTGATGATCTCCACCTGTCCAGCAGACAGTCAGAAGCAGCAGTCCTGTCCTATAGTCCATCATGTCAAACTGAGTGTCCTCTGTCCTCCTCTCTGCACTCACTGAAGTAGAGGAGGAAGACGGCTGACTTTGCATTGACCCCTCCTCTCAGAGAGATTGATCTCATTTCTGTCCTCTACTTTAACTCTTCTCATATTCAGCATGATCACATGTTTGATATATTAATTAGAAATAAACATTTGTGTCTCATGAATCAGAGAGTGAGGTCCTCATATTTACTGTAGCTGTAAAGCAGTAACTCTTGATCAGCCCATCTCTCTTAGTTTTTTAGTTTTCTTCAGAGGATGTGTTTAATCTTCTGACAGCTGAAGGACATTTTTTTTATATTATCCTACAGAGAAAGATCAGTTCTTAAGGAAGCCTGAATCCTTCGAATCATGGCCAACAACTGCCCCTTAAACAGTGAAGGACTTTGAGATGATCAGAATAGTGGAGTCACAGTTTCACCTCAGTCCTACAGAGTTTAAATGAAATATAAAACTCCTCAAATAAAAGAAACATCTTTGTGTAAATTTATATAAATATATGAAATAACTGGCTAATGATCTGTCAGTAAAATTAGAGTTAGTTATTTGGTGAAATTTATTTATGTATTTATTTGTTAATATATTGATATATACTTAAGTGTGATATGCTTATGTTAAGTAAAATGCATTATTTTAATGATTGTACTTTAGATATGAGTCACAGTTCTGACAGTTTCCAGAGTCATTATGATGATTGTTGGTCTGAGGGCTCCTCCTCTGGTGGCTTCATGTCACAGGTGTTCAGGCTCTGAGGGGTTTTTGTTCAGCTCTACAGATGGTTTGTGTTGTTGTGGGTCTCTGGCACAGTAATAAACAGCAGAGTCTTCAGTCTTCAGACTGTTCATCTGCAGATACAGCTGCTGTCTGCTGTTGTCTCTGGAGATGGTGAACCGGCCTCTAACTGAGTCAGAGTAGAAGATGTAACTACCACCGTTGCTAATAGTAGAGATCCACTCCAGTCCTTTTCCAGGAGCCTGTCTGACCCAGTTCATGCCATAGCTGCTGAATGTGAATCCAGAGGCTGTACAGGTCAGTCTGTGGGATTCTCCAGGACGTTTAACCACCGGCTCAGACTCAGTCAGAGTCTGACCACCAACACCTGAAAAGACAGAAGAAGAAAAACCAACAGATTGAAATGAGTTTGTTGTCATGAGGTGAAAAAGTCCAACTCAGATTAGTGATGATCTCCACCTGTCCAGCAGACAGTCAGAAGCAGCAGTCCTGTCCTATAGTCCATCATGTCAAACTGAGTGTCCACTGTCCTCTGTCCTCCTCTCTGCACTCACTGAAGTAGAGGAGGAAGACGGCTGACTTTGCATTGACTCCTCCTCTCAGAGAGAAAATTAATGTCACCTTCATGTTTTTTGGTTTTCACATATTTTGCTTATTTTTCTCATAATTTATCTTCATTATTAACTCCAGTTTGGTCTCAAAGTGAAACACAACTTCAGGTACAAACTGATATTTTACAGTGTCCCTATTTTCTTCAACATAAAGGAAATCTTTAGTCTTCATCCCTCTATACAAAACATTTTTGTAGCGATTTGAATTTATAATAAATATCTGAAGATTAATAATCTCAAATTATGACATTTATGCACTCGTTGAAAGGGGCACCACCCACCCTTAATGGTAGGAAAATAAAGAACAACAAAAGTTTAATTCAGAAATCAAACATCAAGTAAATTTTAAATTAATCAGTCTCATATCTTAAACCGAAATTCTCATTTCAGGGACTCCACTTCTGGAAGAACACTAACAGACAAGAACTTAGAAAAATAATGATCTGTTTATTACAGGATAAATGATGGTACAACATACATGCAATAAATGATAAGATAATGAGGATAAATAATAATAGGTGAATAAATAAAGATTCTGAGTCAGGCTAGGAGCACTAAAGTTAATGATAGTGAGTGAATATGCTCTAACATATTAACCTACACTGTCTTTGGTGTCAAGATAAACTCGGATGAGGATTTGGAGGAATCTAAGATCACCAGAAATAGGTGGATATCTGAGTTACGACCGCATGAGACAGCATCAGCCCTGTTTGGAGCTCTGGACGTTTGTATACTTAAGTGAGACTGGTCCTTGGAGAAGATGGAGCAGGTTCCGAAGGTCCAGGGCTACCGGCGGTTCGAGCGGTTCAGCTCAGAAGACGACTGAAGTCAACCGAAGGATGGGCCAGGAGTTGTAGCACTCGGGCCTGAAGTAAAGCCGGCGCCTGTGGATCCTGTGGATCCTGTGGATGCTCGTTTGGATGCTTCTTTGGTCTCACTCAAAAACTCTGACACAGAGGATGACCTGGGCCTGCTGGGTTGTGTTCAGAGGTGACTTTGAAATCATGCAGATAACTCAGAAAAACGAGGCTCGATGACCAGTGGAAACTATTTCAAAAATGGCTTCGCAAAATTAACTAATTAATTAATGATTGTACTTTTGATATGTGTCTGACAGTTTCCAGAGTCATTATGATGATTGTTGGTCTGAGGGCTCCTCCTCTGGTGGCTTCATGTCACAGGTGTTCAGGCTCTGAGGGGTTTTTGTTCAGCTCTACAGATGGTTTGTGTTGTTGTGGGTCTCTGGCACAGTAATAAACAGCAGAGTCTTCAGTCTTCAGACTGTTCATCTGCAGATACAGCTGCTGTCTGCTGTTGTCTCTGGAGATGGTGAACCGGCCTCTAAATGACTCAGAGTAGTCTGTGCTACTATCAGTGTATATATTAGCGATCCATTCCAGTCCCTTTCCAGGAGCCTGTCTGATCCAGGCCAATGCAATGCTGCTGAATGTGAATCCAGAGGCTGTACAGGTCAGTCTGTGGGATTCTCCAGGACGTTTAACCACCGGCTCAGATTGAGTCAGAGTCTGACCACCAACACCTGAAAAGACAGAAGAAAAAAACCAACAGATTGAAGTGAGTTTGTTGTCATGAGGTGAAAAAGTCCAACTCAGATTAGTGATGATCTCCACCTGTCCAGCAGACAGTCAGAAGCAGCAGTCCTGTCCTATAGTCCATCATGTCAAACTGAGTGTCCACTGTCCTCTGTCCTCCTCTCTGCACTCACTGAAGTAGAGGAGGAAGACGGCTGACTTTGCATTGACTCCTCCTCTCAGAGACTAAATGAGTGTGGACCTCTTTTTTTCTGCTTTAAATCTCATTTGTGGTCTTTGAAACTGCAGACAGTCAGACAGTTAAAGACCACTTACAACTAACAGTTTTATATTTTTGAATATTGAGGACAGCTCTCTCTCTTTTTTCCTGTTTGTTGATACTAAACTCATGAATACACACGTCTTTATCTCTCTGGACAAAAACTGACTTTGTTCATATTTTCAGATTAAAACAAACAAAAACACAATGAGTGATTTTTGTCAGTTTTTAGAGTTTAGAGATTCAGCTCAATTACTGCAGATTCAGAAACATGACTCTGCAAAAACATCAACTTTCCAACTTTAGACAGTGTGTCTCAAACTTATGAGTCTATGGGAGAAAAAAAATTGAGTTATTTTGTTTTATGTATTTTTTTCAGATTTTGACATTAAAATATTTGATCAGGAATAAATGAGTTTTATTAGTATGAAGATGAGGTCTCTATATTGTTTCTATATTTGATATTTAAACCCCATTTAAAGACAGTTTCTGTCATTAAAAGCTGATGTAGAAATGATTGTTGGTCTGAGGGCTCCTCCTCTGGTGGCTTCATGTCACAGGTGTTCAGGCTCTGAGGGGTTTTTGTTCAGCTCTACAGATGGTTTGTGTTGTTGTGGGTCTCCGTACACAGTAATAAACAGCAGAGTCTTCAGTCTGCAGACTCTGTCCTCTTAGAGTCACTGTTCCAGCTGAAGTGTCTCTGCTGTAACTGAACTTGTTCTTCAGAGCATCATTTTGGTAAAAGTTGCCACCACTTCCACCCCACTGATGAGAAATCCAGTCCATTGGTTTTCCTTCACTCTGTCTGATCCATCCTGTTCCATAGCTGGTATCAGTCAGAGAATAACCAGAGACCTGACAGGTGATGGTCAGAGACTGTCCAGGCTGAACAACCTTGGAGTCTGGCTGGATGAGATCAATACTGTTGACACCTGTGGAAACACAAACCAACATGATCTCCATCATTCATGTTCTTATTCAGTCGATCTGATGGGATTATTAGTTTAAAGCTCCTCACAGGATCCAGCAGCCAGCAGCAGCAGCAGAGCTCCAGAGAACATGGTTGGTGTTGAAGCTGACCTGATGGGAAGTCCTCTGTCCTTAAACTGACACACACACTTAAGAACTTATATGGAAACACCAGGACCCAAATTTACATACAGAAGAGGGTAAATCAGCTGACTGAGTGTAGTTTAAACCGATTTGAATTAAAGTGAAATCCT